TCTAACCCTAACCCTTTCATTACCTTCAAACCCCTAATACTATGGCACTCTGCCTTCTAACCCCAAACCCTAAAGACCCTGAAACTGTAAACCCTGTGCCAGGTCTTCTTCATCCTCGTCTTCTCGGAAAAAAACATTAGTTTTTTTTGTTTTAAAGTTTTTAAAAATTTTTAAAAATTGTTTAAAGTCTTTAAAAGTCTTTCAAATTCTTTTTAAAGTTTGTAAAAGCTTTTAAAAGCGTTTAAAAGTCTTTTAAAGTATTTTTAAAGCTTTTAAATGTATTTTAATGTTTTTAAAAGTCTTTTAAATATTTTAAAAGCCTTTTAAAGTTTTGAAAAGTCTTTTAAAGTTTGCAAAAGTCTTCTAAAAGTTTCTAAAAGTCTTTTAAAGTCTTCTAAAAGTTTTTAGAATGTTTTTTCTTGCATTTGAAAGTTTTTAAAAGTCTGTAAACGTCTTTAAAAGCCAACTCTGTCGAAAAAGCCCTGTGGATCTAAACCTTGTGGTTCTGGTTCGGTGCAAAAGGGCAATGATCTACACAGGCGCAATCGCACAAACCGCTTTGTCTACGTGTCTGGGAGATGTTGATCATGGCTATAAGGCCCTCCCTAAGGTGGCACGGATCAACGACGAGGGGTTGTCGCGTTTCCAGCCCGGCGATAGCCGTGGCCGTGAAAAAGCCTGCATCATTGTTTCCGACTCTACCCTCATTTTCAAGGCTGGGGCGAGAACATTCGTTGAGATGGCGGAAGACTTTAAAGCTCTGACGGGGCCTGGTCATATCCTTCAGCAATACACGAATGTCCGGCAAAAGGCGATTTGGGGAGGCAACCTCCACTCGATCGTTGAGGCAGTTCACACGCTCTTGCCGCAGATCATCAACGAATCGTTAAATCCCTTGCATCTCGAGGTCGATATCGTTGTTGTGTGGATGGGCAACGAACTGTGCGGTCGCAGAGGTGTTTTCGTCGACCCAGGGACGCCACACTGGCAGATTGGTCCTGAAGGCGTTGCCGCGGAAGGGATCTGGGCGGACATTGCCGCACGTGTGTGTGGCGAAATTGGCCGTCTAGCCGCCCTTCAGGGCAGGCCAACAGTGGGTTCGATACAAATCCTCTCGGATGCCGACCCACTGGACTACGGGCTGCCAGCGGAATACAGAACAGCTATCCGAAAATTCCTCGGATACGCAAGGAGCAGGGGGTTGTATACCGCCTCTCTCAAAGAAAGCGTATGCCAGATCCCAAAGCACGACCACTACCACTTCCGCGAAGACTCTACGCATCGCGCAGCCTTGGCCTCTGTGATCGGACAGCGGATTAAAGTGTGTCAAGCTGACCACTTATTCGCAAAGATGCCCGCAGAGACGCTGGATGAGCTGGCCCGCCGTTTCCCTTTCGACCCAGAAGGAACGCGGGTATATTCCATGCAGTATGTCTTCGACAAGGCGCTGTATCGGTCCCAGCTCTCCCGCCGCCTTTTAAGGCAGGCCGAGATTCGCGAAGCTGCGAATGAATGCCCTGATCCATGGGAATCCCCTTATGTTCCTCCACCTGATCTTCCGGTCACTGGAATGCGTGAGGTACCTCAGGATGTCCTGAATTGGGAATGGGCCACAGCTCGCGAGCAGGCACAAAAGCGCGCGAAAGAGCAGGCGGAAGCACGTGTCCGTGCTGAGCGGAAGGATCCAGCCCCACTTAGTGGCGGCCCATCTGGCAGTGCATCATCTCGCGATGTACCGGAGGTGTCCTTTGACGATGTCATCGAGGCCATCCCTTATCGCACAGAGTCTCACCGCACTCTGTCAGCGGCGAAAGAGGGCATGACCAAGAAAGACCGGGGCCCTTCCAGCGGCCTGTTAAGGGCTCGCCCACACGACTACATCGGGGTAAAATACCAAGATGACTTGGACCTGATGGAAATGTGTGGCTTCATCGACGAGGATGCGTGCCCAGAGGATCCGGAGGGGAGCGAGATCGTTCAGATCCTCCCCGATTCGATCCCGAAGGACCACCTCCCTGAGTTAGGCCTCAAACCCTATGTTGAGCGCTACCTCACAGGTGCTGTCCGAGGATCGAACGTGAAGCTCAGCTCACGGCGCGGGAAATGGGTACGCATCCAAGACCTCATTCAGCACATGTGGAAGAAGCACCGTGTGGATCTGGGAACACGGGGTATCTTGTCCATAGTCGCCTACGATAACAAATCGAGGTTTAACTTGGCAGGCCTCCCCACCGATCCACGTGCTGACTTCATCGAGACGGACATTTGGCCGTCGTGGATTTGTGCGTCGCATGGTCACAGCGAACGCATCAAAGATCAAGTGACTGATTCCTCGATTGCTCTGCATTGGTTCACGAACGATACGCGTGAGGAGCTTGGTCCTACAGCCGCCTATCAAGGCAGGCCATTCCTTGCCCTTGGGGAGTTTCCCCCACGCCTCTATCATCGAACCACGCATGATTCAGCTTTCAATATTCTCTCTACTGGCTTCACGCCGGGGTTCAACCGGAGCGGGAAGTTTCACAACTACTTTGCGAAGGCCACTCTGAGCGAGCTTGAGAATAAAGCTGGCAGCCGAGCAAACCTTCCTTATGAAGTTGTTCTCGACACTCAGGAGGTGAACCGCTATGCCTATCTGTTTGAGACAACTTCCGAAGGTGTACTCACTCGCGACCCGGTGCCAGGGAGTTGCGTGCTCTACATCAGAGACACGATCAAAGGCATCATTTTGTGGTCTCGGCAGTCCAGCGAAGAGGAAGACACAATCCTTCCGGAGACTGCCCAGGATCCCATTGTCGATCCTGGAGCAGCTGAGCAGGAGCAGTTCCCCGATATTCCGGAGGAACCTTCAGCCCCACTTAGTGGTGGCCATGAAGAGGTCGAATCTGCAACAGCAGACGAGCCTATGGTTGAAGTTGAGGTTGAGGTTGCGCCACCAGCATCATCACCAGAACCTCTTGCACTCAACGACGCCACAGCATCCGACTTCCTTCCGGAGGAAACCACAACATTGGACCAGGGGGGCGCTTCTCCACCGGAGGCACCGACTGAGTCCAGAAAGCGTGTTCGTTTCCTTGAGCCGGAAGATCCCGTTGAAGTCGAGATCGGAGCCAGACGAAGGCGATGTGAAAAAGGAGGAAGAAGTCAAGATCGAGCCGATGTTCGAGCAGGCACCGCCTCAGCCGGAATCGACTCCTTTGGCTCTCCCTCCAGCCCCCGTTACGGGTGGCCGTCACAGGGCATGTCCCCACTGCGGTACTCAACACCTTGTGGGACAGATGATATGCTTGAGCTGTGGCGTGCACATCGTGAAGCCTTCCCAACAGAACGCACGCAAGAAAGCGCGTTCAGCTCGTTGGTTCGCTGAAGAGGCCGCCGCTGCCGCTGCGGGCAAGCCACGTTCCCAGCTGACGCCAGAGGAGGTCATTCATGAAATGACCAGAGACTCCTCAACCCAGCGGGGAACTACGTCGCTTGACGCAGAGGCGTTGGACAAAGCCCGGCAGCAGCTCAAGATGGCTACGAAAGGAGGCTACACAAGCATCGTACACCGCTTCGATAACGATGTGGACTACACTATGAGTTCCATCGGCAATGGGTACGATCGAGAGTTTCTGGCCATCGAAGACGTGCTTACGCATGCTGCCCTGCCGAACCATGGCCGTTCAAAGGAGCAACGACAGTTGGCTGTCGGCACCTATGGTGGAAGCTCCGAAGGGCCAAGGAACCAGGAGATTGCCCGGTTACCGGGGCCCGGTTGCTCTACTTGCACGAGTGCAATCCAGCCGCCCTTAGGGCAGGCCTGATCTCCGCAGTGAGTGACGATCCGTTTTGCATCATGTGGCTGGGAGGGGCATACAGTTTGCGTAAATTCGTAGATGTTTTCCTCCAGCACAAAATCGTGAAGATGATTGTTACTTTCTCAGAAGAGGCACTCTACGTCGATCCACGACTCGGCTATTCTGCCGAGGACTGGACTGAGTGGCTCCGTGGGAAATTCGCGGAACAGGTCGGAATTGCACGCCGTGCATACGAAGAGCGACAGCGCAACGCTGAACGCTCTCGCATCGCACAAGCCAAAGCTGATGCACGCAGAGCAGAGCAACAGCGCTACCAGGAGCAGGGATGGGATCGCGGCTACCAGCGAGGATCCCACCCCTACGGCCGCTCCTCCGGTTGCCGAGGATGGTACTAAGTACCTGATCAACATTTCGTGGTTCCGTCACGTTAACCGGTACTCCGAAATACAGCCCCTCTTAGAGGTGGCCGAATTTCCTTAAGACCAGAAAAATTTCATCTTGCATCCTCTGGCAGTCACTTTGTGACAAATCCGACATCAGGTCTTTGGACCTCGAGGGGAGTCGTCAGCAGCTCCAGTGGATGATGTATTCGTCCCATGCTGCACATGTTCTTGCGACTTGTATCCACGCCATCATTCAAGGCTTGCTGGATCGTCGCCATTTTATAATGCATGTCGCGACTTTAAACTGCGCGCTAAAAGAATTAACCTGCTTCCGTATCTTCCGCTTTACGGTAGTAGAAAGCCTATGAGCCCCGAGCCACAATCCAGCCGCCTTTACGGCAGGCCACACAGCACCAAGCTTCCGTGCATGTTTGCGCCTCAGACTGACGCTTCGGCGAGGGGGGTGTAATTTGTGCACGTGTGAAGTATCATGTTGTGTGTACGGCATTGTGGCACAAGTGCTCTAACAGGAAAAAGGTAGTGACCGAATGGTACAAGCCGTGCTGTTATCACTTGGACGGGTATATACAACAGTGCGTGTGTGCAGTGGTTTACAACAACTATATTTAATATAGGGGCTTTTACAATTACCTATACTACTGTGGGGTTCCTTATCCTAGTTATAGTGTAATACCACCACCCCCCCAAAAAAAAACAAAGCTAGTCTAATTGCTAAACGGCCCCTATATAACCTAAGTTTCATGTGTCGTTTTCGGCATTCTTGGGAGCTCTTAGGTGTGCGGCCTGCTGGGCATGAATGGCTTCCTACTGTTGATGATATAAATCCTGCATTACCTTAAGGACCCTAAACTATGGGAATTATGGTATATTCCTTATTATGGGTCATGCAGGATTTATATCATCAACCTGTTGATGATATAAATCCTGCATTACATTAAGAGCGCTAAACTATGGGAATAATGGTATATTTCCTTATTATGGGTCATGCAGGATTTATATCATCCACCGTACTACCTGATCTGGGCCTTCCTAGAGTACGAAGCTCCCATGCCCTACGGTTGATGGTAGAAATCCTGCATTACCCATAATAGGGAATATACCATCATTCCCATAGCTTAGGGTCCTTAAGGTAATGCAGGATTTATATCAACAGTAGAACCCCAAGGCCCTGAAGATCTAAAGCCCCAAAGTCTGAAACCAGAAGCTCCATGAACCCTTAAAGCAAACCCTAAAACCCTACAAAACGATATACCCCCCCCACACAGAGCACATGACACACTAACATGTGCTTCCAAAGATCGATACTGCCAGCAAAAAGGCCGGTTAATACTGAAACAAGCCTCATACCACACCCCGTGCAGCAGCCCGTCACAACTCTAAATCCTAGATCATTTGGCAGTCAGGCGTGAACCCTCTTGAGCACCGCGAGGCACACAGCAGAGCCTTTTCCGTTCGAGGGTTTGTAAAACAAATGCTCTTATCGTGTGGCCCCATAAGGGTTCTTTCAGGAAGTGGGAATAGCGGCTTGGGGCTTAGTGCTTTCTTTGAGGAGGACCTCATCAGTGAACTATAATGCCAACCAGAATGCCACTTTTGTTATAGGCCTATTGTGGCGTAGCTTCCGTTTGGCCCTGAAAGAGCAGTAGGGACAGCTTTCCACTTAGGGCTGTGTAGGGTCCTAAGTTATTGGGGTTTAGGGTTTTGGGGATTTGCGGTTTTGAGGTTTCAGGATATGGGGTTCAGGGATTTAGGAAGGACGGCTTTGCTCTTGCGGTTCTGGGTCTCGGCCCTGTTAGTATCTCACAGCGTCCTCGAATCCTTTCTTTCGTTGCTGGGTATGTGCTCTTCTCAAGATTTGGTTCTCATCCCTAAACCCCAAACCCTAAACCCAAAACTCGAAACCCTAAACCCCAAAGCCTAAACCCGAAACCTCAAACCCTAAGCTCTAAGGGGCAGCAAGTCTCGGCTGCCAAAGATTTTATTCTTTGAGCGGCGAGGTCGGATCCCTGTGGAGGGTCGGGAAACTTAGTAACTGATTGGGTTTAGGGGTTTAGGGTTTAGGGTTTAGGGTTTAAGGGTCTTGAAAATTGCCTATACTATTTTGTTGGCTCCTTATTAATTACGATTGTAGTATACTACGTGGGTGAGCCTGGGAGAGAACGTGTGTGCAAAAGCTTCGATGTGTAGCCACACAGACGGAACCGGAGAGAGAACATGAAGCCCTAAACCCTAAACCCTAAAACCACGCAGACGGAGTCAAGGAGAGACCTCGAGCTTGAAATCTCGCAAAACATGTGTCGGAAAGCCGCACAGACGAGGTCCGGGAGCACAGGAAGCCTTACAGTGTGTAAAAGTTTCGATGTGAAGCTACGCAGACGGAGCCTAGAAGACACGAAGACCTAAAAGCCGCAAATGTTGTCCGTCCTACATTGACGAGGCTCGCTGGTACACCACATGGGCCAAAGAGCGGCTTGTGGTGGCCGTGCCGGGCTCCGGCATCGTGACTCACGCGGCGCGAGCCTCGGACTGGACGACCTCGTGCATCTGGATTCACCGCGGCAGAACGCAGGAAATCGCAGTCACGAAGTCGGACACGGACTGGGCTGCCGCCATGAAGAATCGGCGACATCTTCTGCTTCCCGCACGTCGTGCCGATCTGGTGGTGGCGTGCTCAGAAGCCGGTGGCCGAGACGGGTCGGTTGCACAAACAGCGACTCGACGGGCGTGGGCCGCCGTCGCAGCAGGACCCCTGAACCGAGGGTGACGCGGCCGGCGCTTAGGAACATCATGGGCCCTAAAACCTGGTTCTAATTATCAAGGCCATAATATTGGACCCAGAGCGCGCAAGATGCCCCAAACCGAAGGTTTTTCATTTTCAGGTGTCTGGCGACGTATGTTGCCGTATGTGCCCGCACCATGTGTGTTGGTGCCTGTGTCACCTGGACCCCAAAAGTATGCAGAACAGGGGCCTTTTGTAGGTGTTAGGCCATTATTTTGCGTACAAATCTCGACTTAGGGGTCCCTGTTGATCATGTTTAACTTTTGGTTCCTGGAATCCCTAAGGAACAGCCAAAATTACAAGTTTTGCTAGCGGTCTAAATTCAGCATAGTCGAAATCTTAAGACTCTACTTGGAGGTTCATGGCTTGTTATGAGTAGGGTTAGAAGTCCCCCTAATATGGGTTATAATTATGTTCTTCCTGCTTATAACCCCATTTGTAACTACCCATGAACCTCTAAATAAAGCCAGTCCCGAAGCTTGCCTTAAGCCTGCAGCACATATCTTTGCCAGGCTCCGCGGATGGCCGTTGCGGGCTTTTCCGGCAAATTCCCAGGCGATCTGAAAGGTTTTGGCCCTCTTGGTTTCAGGGGTTTCTACACGATTCTAAACCCTAAGCCCTAAACCTTTAAACCCCTAAACCCTTCAACCCCTAAACCCCTTAAGCCCTTAAACCCCTAAACCCGGCCCTGGCAGAGAGTGTAGAGCTCAGGTTTTCTAAAAGTTCCCAGTCTTTTGCGGCTGCCGGACCTTTCGGGCCGGTGGTCAGAAGGTTTTGGGTTTAGGGTTTAGGGTTTAAGGCTTAGTGTTTAAGGTTTAGGGTTGCCTTAGTATAGGGGTTTTAATAACTACCAATTATTTTTGTGGGGTTCCTGACCATAATTATAGTATACTGGGCGCCCAAAACCCTATTCTGATTCCCAGACCCCGGGAGGATGCAAAAAGTAGACCCCATTCCTATAAAGCACCTTTAGTAGTATAGGGTCCCAAATTGGGCGATCTACTTTCTGGAGCCTCCCGGAAGTCTGGGATAAAAAACCCATATTAAGCCTTGAACCCTTAAACCCTACACCCTAAACTTATGATTTAGGGTTTAGGGTTTAGAGAGGTGTGTACTCCAGCTTTCTGGGCATGGAGTTTTGTTTTAGGTCAGGGTTTCGGCTGGTTCAGCTTCAGGCATCTGGGGGTTGGCCCTTAGTTAGAGCTTGGGTTTTAGTGCTTCAGGGCCTGGGGCGTGGGAACTCGAGATTTGGGATTTTCGGTTTAGGGCCTTGCGCCTTCAGTCGAGTTCTGCACAAAAGGAACGGAAGAAGTAAAGAACGGCTCTCTCTCTCTCTCTCTCTCTCTCTCTCTCTCTCTCTCTCTCTCTCTCTCTCTCTCTCTCTCTCTCTCCCAGAATTTCGACCCGCAACCCCAAGACTCCACACGCTAGGCCCTTCATCGCCCTCCTTCAGCATTAAGCCCTAAGCCCTGAACCTCAAAGGCGCGAAACCCCAAGTCCTTGGTGCAGGAGCCGACTCCGTGCAGGATTTCTGGGAGAACATCCAAAGGTCGGGAGAATTCTTCAGATGTATTGGGCTCTGCTTAGGGCTTCAGGATTCCAGAAGCGACTGAGTGCCAAAGACTGAAGTATAAAAAAAAAAGTGTGAGTTAATGTTTCAAACTTTTGTCTTGTTTTTCATTGATGAACTAATTAAGTACTTGCTGACTTAACTTGTTAGTTGATACTAAGTATTCAACTCTTTCTTTCTCTGTCTCTCTCTCCCTCTCTCTATCTACTTCTATGTATATATATATATGTATACATATATCCATATTGTATGTGGATGGTTGTCAAAATTATGGTCCCTTTTTGGCTCCCTAATATAGTGCGGCACCTAATATTTAGGGCACCCAAAAAAAGGGGCCCTAATTTTGACAACTACCCATGTGTGTATGTGCAGAAAGCCCAAGGCCCAGGCCCGGGAACGCCCCAAACCCCGAAAGATCTCAGCCTTTCCGTCTTCGGGCCGTTTAGGGTTTAGGGGTTCAGGGCTTTAGGGGTTTAGGGGTTTAGGGTTTAGAATTTTAGGGTTGAGGAGTTTAGGGTCTTAGGGTTTAGGGGTTCAGGGGTTTAGGGTTTAGGGTTTAGAATATTAGGGTTTAGGAGTTTAGGGTTCAGGGGTTCAGGGGTTTAGGGTTTAGGGTTTGTAGGGTGTAGGAGTTTAGGATTTGGGTTCAGGGTTTCAAGGGGTTTTATGTAGTCGGTCGCTGGCCCAGGCATGAGAGCTCAGCACGTCTAGTTTTGACGAATGGGCACTTCGAGGGGCGAGCTGCTTCTCCGGATTAAGTTCTACGGGAATTTTTGCAGGGTACCCCAAACCGCTCAGACACCGAATAATTTTGATGTTTGCCCGGTGGCCGAATCAGGGGTGGCGATGACTGTTGTCACCGATCTCCCTCTGTACATATACGTAAGTACAAGCCCAGCCGTAGGCTACAGATGGGATGTACTGTCGATGCTTGGAGGGTCGGGGGACTTAGTAACTAGTTATTTTGGAGACTTATAAGTACCATAGCCCCAACTAGGATCCCTTTTAGGGTCCTTATAACTCTACTTATTACTTACTTACTAAGTCGCGGGATTCTCCTATCAAGCGTATACGGTACGGAACACTGCCCTCTGGATCCCAACAAGTTAAACCCCAAGCCCTTAACCCTCAAACCTAAACCGACCAGGGCAGCTGTGTCGGCGACGTTCCTCTCCAAGGACTTCTTGCGACGTGCCTCGCCTTTGGCATGGTTTAGACGAATTGCTTGAGGACCTCTCAGTGAAGGCATCTAGCTTACATTAAAGTCTCCGGTATCTTATTATGAATTGAGCACCATCTTTTGATTAAGGGTGTGGGGCTGGGGGGTTTAGGGTTTATGGCTCAGGGTTTACTGAGTTGGGATTCTTTCTCTATTAGAGACATTCCGCAGCCCTGCACATGGAAACCCCAATCCAAGACCTCATGCGCTGCACTCTGCACCCTGCTAGCTAGACATGCAGAATTTGTTGCAGCTAGTTCCCACTTCTTAGATAGTGAACGGGGGAACTTTCAACTTTTTGGCCTTATATGGGGGTTTTCGAAAATAGGGGTACCTTAATTGGGGGTCCTTATAATAAGAATCCTACCATTTAGGGTACTATATTAGGGTCCCCTATGTTCGGAAACTCCCATATATTAGCTTTATCTTAGAAAGTTAGAACTTTTTGGGGCCCGGTTGTTGAAGACGAGAGACTTCAATCATCCCAACCCAAGCATGCTTCAAGCCTGGCTCCAGCCTACAGTAGAAGCCTTTAAGGGATCTATACGGGCTCTTTTAAGGAATCTATAAGGTACCCTAAGGGTTTAGGGTTTAGGGTTAAGGGTAGGATTACAGTAGAAGCCCAAAAGTTGGAAACCCCATAGCCTCGATCCTCAAGGGTAATGTATAAGGAATCCCAGCACCATTTGGCCTTAATCCGGTTTCCAACTTTATGGGGTTTACTGTACATATTCTGAGCCATAGCTCGTTATCGCGCTCCTGCGAAGAGCCACTTGAGTTGAAGCGCTAAACCCATCATTAAGCCCTTAGTGTAGGGGCCTTAATAATTAGAATACGCTTTTGGGGACTCCTTTACGATCCCCTGTTCTAATTATTTAGGCCCCTACAATAACTGATAACCTCTATCTACACCACCATCCATAAATCTTCGCCCCGAACCCCCAATCCCTAAACCTTAAAAACTAAGCGGTAAACCATCATGTCAACCTTTTTTGAAACTGCCAGCTCGAAAACGTTTCCCCTTGCTGAAGGGAAGGGAGTGCCGGAGACCACCCTGGGCCACAAAGACTTCGTGCCATATCCTCAGCGGGTTTTAGGTTAAGGGTATTAGCTCGTTCGTTCGGGTCCCATAGGAAGGGCACTTGGACTTCGGGTTCAGGGTTCAGGGTTCCGGGATTCCGGGTTTAAGGGTTGAGGGTCGACGTGGAGGGTTTAATCAGTAAGGGTCCGTTTCTTGAACTTGCAAAGGGGGTGCTGGGTGGCCGTGGTATTCTAGAAACGAGACTAATCAGCACATGTCATCTGACAGTGTTCCATCTCATATGCATCGCGCAGAACCCACCAACCCCTGATCCACCTATTCAGGATGTTGCCAAGAACTGCACAGCATTTAAATATTTCTTCTCGAGAGCTGCTCCCTCCATCGAAGAGGGTATCATGACTAAGCTTTTTTTGGTACCCCTGGGTGGCAACCAGTCTCGTTTGTCCGCTCGTACTCTCAACCATTCTAGGAATTCGGGGGTAAGCCCCAATATCCTTCATGCCACCATTCCCAAGCTACCACTCTACCCGTAGGAGTTTTGCACTGCCCCCACTCGGTAGCAGTTGGATAATGTTCGCGATATAGTTACATTAGGCGCTCTATAGTAGCCCTATTATAGACTGTTACTGTACTTGGAGGGTCGGGGGACGTAGTAAGTAGGTAATAGGTAGAGTTATAAGTACCCTACTAGGAATCCTAATTTGGAATATGGTACTTATAAGGCCCAAAAATAAGTAAATACTAAGTCCACAGACCCTCCAAGTATAGATCCCTCATGGGTCCTCTTTAAGGAACCCTTTAACGGAACCCTTACAGATGGTATAGATCCCTTACAGATCTCCTCTAAGGAGCCCTACTCAACGTAGGAGTTTTGTCCTGCAGATAGGCCGGCCGCCTACATGATCAACGATGCAGACAAGCCCCTTGGCCACAGAGTTTAGGGTTTGGGGCTTTAGGGTTTCGGGTGTAGGTTTAGGGTTTAGGGTTAGGAGGTACCGTTTTCGGCGAAGACTTGTGGCTGAGGCTTTCGGCTTCACAACCTGCTATGGCCACCAACAAGCCCAGACAGCGATAGTCCACTCCATCATGACGACGTCGACAGACTGGTGCTGCTGCTGCTGCGGCTGCTGCTTCTGTTCCTACTAGTGCGCCTCCCCCTACTGACACAACGATGGTGCTACTGGTGCTTCTGCTGTCTTCGAGTACCGCTTCGGCAGGTAGCATGGTTGAGGGCATCGTGCAGAACCTTACTTAAAGGGTCATGGGACTTAGTAACTAGGGTTATAATTAGGGTAACTATACTTATAATTACTTATAACCCCAATCAGGGTACTTATAACCCTACTTACTAAGTCCCATGATCCTCCAAGTACAGAGCATTGGAAATCTGAGTTACTCCACCAAGGCTGCTTCTGGATTCTGGACTAATGCTTCTTCGTACCTCTTCAGTCCTGTTGGAAAGAGCGATGTTTGTATGTTTTCTTCTGCATCCCTATTTCCAGACACGCTAAAGCCGCTGCCCGGTTGTTACTCTAGAGCCCAGAAACCCCTAAACCCTGAATTCTGAACCCTAAACCGTGAACCGTAAACCCTGGGGACTTAGTAAGTAGGTAATAAGTAGAGTTATAAGTACCCCAAAAGGGATCCTAATTGGGGCTATGGTACTTATAAAGTCTCTAACATAACTAGGTCCTAAGTCCCCCGACCCTCCAAGTATTCTCAACTCCTAGGTTCGACAACGTCTTCTTTGGCATCGGACGCCATGAGGCGGCAATGCCTCCTCATCATCTTACCGTTGGTTACTAGGGAATGGAGGAATGGGGTACAACCATAACTACTATTACTACCATTCTTCCATTCCGTACTAACCAAAGGTAAGTCATTCATGGATGGGATTTCGCAGAGCCCTTACCCCATCAATGTCGAGTTCTCGAGGGTTTTCAAGAGTTCCTTAGGTTTTTTTCCGGGTTTCATAGAACATAGACATAGTCCTGAATAAGTATCAATACTGTTCCTAGGGTTTCGTATTGTGGTCGAACTACAATAAACCCCCCCCGAGCCCCTTTGAACGATCATTATGGCCTCTATATGCCAGCAAAGCATCTTAAGGCTTGACCTGCGCGGGCCCGTCGCAGAATCTACAACCCTACAAAGCCTCCAGGTGAGTTTCGGTAATGTTTTAGCTGGAATTCATCGAAAATTTACACTAGTCTTGCTCGTGCCATGAGTGATTAGTAGAAGTGCTGCTAGAATTCCGGGTATTGGCCCAACAAATCATCCACTCCAAGTATCAAGGGAGCTGTCCACGGCTATTATCACCACTACTGTTTGTACTACCACGAAGAGCCGAGTTTCGGGATCTCCTGGTCTTCCAAAACCACGCAATCCCGTCGTCATCGTCGGTGGCGTGTGACACCAGATCCTCCTCCTCATCCGCATCTTGTCATTATCATCATGATTTTTCTTCATGATCTTCGTCATCATCATCGTCATCAACGTCATCATCGTCATCATCGTCATCACCGTCATCGTCATCATCGTCGACATCGTCGTCATCGTCATAATCGCCATCATCGCCATCATCATCCTCATCCTCGTTCTCATCGTCATCACCATTATCACCATCATGTTCCCTGTCGTCGTTGTCGCCTCCCTGGTCATCAGTATCGCCAACCGCATTTCCGTGTCATCATGGTCACATTGCTCTTCTTCATCATGTTCCATCATCTTCATTGGAATCACCGTCACTGCGATGCCCAACTTCCATCACAACTATGGCCAACATCTTGTTGCTTATTTCTTTCTGCAACTGCTGTCGTGTTTTACCTCGCTTTCTGCTTTACACCTTCGCGCTGTGCCTTGCTCACTGAATAATAGTCGTTCGGATTGGGATGTGGATTGTTGAGTGGCGCGTACACAGCTATCTGTCGCGAACGTGCCGCTCACGAACGATGTTTTCGTACTACTGCGCAATACCGATTCGTCTTAAAGGTGCAATGCACGCGGTTTGCACTCGAGCACCCCAGTTGGTTCAGAGACACAGAGAGTGACAGAGAACCCCATACTATAGGGGCCTCAATAATTACCTATACTATTTTGGAGGTTCCTTATTCTAATCATAATATAATGGGCGCCAAAGCCCTATTCAAGTTTAATTGCTAAGGCCCTTTATCCTTCAATGCCTTACAGTAGACCCCTTTACGGACCTTTCAAAGCGAACCCTATTCTGCTTATTCAGGCCCCTATAGTAGTGCGAGGATTCAGCCGGAAAGGCAAAACCCCAGAGTCGGGAGCCGAGATGATGCCTCTAGTGTACTAGGTTCCTGGGTGGTACCCTTTTTGCCCTTTCTATTTTAGGGTCCCCTTATTAAAAGTGAATATTGGGAAAAAGGGTAGCCTTATCATAAAGGTGCTACTCAGGAACCTAGTGTAGGGGCCTTCAGAATTAGATAAAGGGGTCTGTAATGGATCTATCGTATTAGGTTTTTATTATAAGGGCCTTAATGATTAGAATAAGGTTTTGGGGTGTTCCTTATAGTATCATATTTCCCAAAAAGCCTTTTCTACTAATTAGGGTCCTTACAGTATCCGAGCATCACCCCTAAGGAGATACAAGGTGCGATTTGGGGTTGAGGGTTTGGGGTTTAGGGTTTAAGGTTGGGGTTTAGGGTTTAGGGTTTAGGGTTTAGGGTTTAGGGTTTGGGGTTTAGGGTTTAGGGTTTAGGGTTTAGGGTTGGGGTAAGACCCCAAATCCGAAAGTTCCGTTTGCGAGGCATCGTTGATGGATCCACAGTCTGGGTCTTAGCACATCTTCCCAGGCGGAGCTTGTTCCTCGGGCAGCGCCTTCGGGTGGTTCGGGGCTGAGGGCTTGGAATTCAAGAGTTCAAGCATAGCTGAAGCCTTGGGAGCTGTGAAAGTCGAGATGGAGACTCCAGCTAGAAGCATGGGGTTGGCTGTGGTATGTTATATGGGAGTTTCCGCAAATTAGGGGTGCCTGTTTTTGGGGTCCATATAGTAAGGATCCTAGTATTCAGGGTACTTGATTGGGGTCCCCTATTTTCGGAAACTCCCATATCCCTGTTTCCCCCTCATCGCTCTACTCTACATGACATTCACAAGACTTGAAAGCTGGCGTACTCAAGGCCCAAAGAACCTAAACTTGAAAAGCCTGGTGTTTAGCATCTAGAAGCCCAAGAAACCCACTGTAAGGCTTCTGAGAGTGGTTCAGATAAGGCCCCAAGCCCCCCATCCTTGGCTTACTGCAGAATGCGTGTGGGGTACGTGTGCTTTGACTCTGCTAGTAAGTCATGCTTTAGGCAGATTGAGACTGGAGGCCTGACATATTACCGAGGGTTTAGGGTGTAGGGGATAGTTTTCAATTGCCCTTGTTGTTCAATATAGAGCCCTACTTAAATATTTTGGGGACTGTTGAAACCGACACCTAGTATTGCAGAATGAGGCGTTGCACCTATAGGATTTTGCTATGAGCTCCGTTTGTAATGAACGTGCTCATCGGTTTCGGCGGATATTGCTTCTAACCTCCGCCCGACGCCTTCCCCCACCCTGTAGTTGCTGGGGCTCAAGGCACCGCGTCTTCATCCAAGAGTCCTGGGCGGCGCTGGAGAATGCGGCGCTGCCGTCCAGACCTCGGTATGGAAGCAGCTTCAAATGTTTGGGATATGGGGGTTTTGGTTTGAGAACCACAGCGATCAATTCACTGAAGATTGGGCTTGTTGAATTTGTGTGGGTGCTGTGGAGGTATATGGGAGTTTCCGAAAATAGGGGACCCTAATATAGTACCCTCAATAGTAGGATCCTTATTATAAGGACCCCAAAAGAAGGTACTCCTAATTTGAAACGCTGCGCGTCGTCCGCCTCGGCCCGGCTGTACGCGCATGCGGCGAGTGGCTACTATCTGCAGTAGGGTTAGAATTTCAGGTTTGAAACTCGCTTGGTACTGCAGCCTTAAAGGCGAGCCCCAACACATAAAGATGCTACATTGCAGTCCCGTGTCGTCGAAAACTCCACAAAACTCGCACCTGTCAGCGAGCGGAGGAGGGGCGGGAGGGAAGGGGGGAGGGGGGGGGGAGGGGAGAAAATTGGGTGGGACTGCCTTCAGAAAGCCAAAATCCACTGGAGAAGGCGAAAATTCACCGCCGGACCTTGGGACTCATGCGGGGGCGAATTTTCGGAAACCTCCACATGGGCTTTATGGACTTCTGAAGCTTGTCTGTTTGTTCTGCATCCCTCGTCATCGCTGTGCAGCCCTCACCACAGAACCTTCAAGCTTCACTCACCCCAAGCCCCAAACCCCAAGCCTAAACACTAAACCCTAAAACGCAGGCCCTACCTAGGGATCCAAAACCCTACTGTGTTAAGGGTTAGACCATCTAATTAAGGGGTCATCGCCTACTATTTTGTCGGGTTTGGGGGTGCAGGTAAGCGTCAATCACCCCAAGCCCCAAGAGCCCGACGCCGACGTTCCCCATACCCCGACTTAAGAGATTCAAAAGCGACTCCTTTGCCCTGCTCTGCCTGAATGTTTAACAACAATTCTGTCGCAGAGGTCGGATTTAGTAGTACCCTGTTGCCCTTTTGATTTTAGGGTCCCCTGATGAACCGAACAGTAGGAACAAGGGTATCCGTACTATAAAGGGGCTGCTCCTGGACGTAGTAGTGGGGAACTCCTAAACCCACTAGAGCTCCTAAACCCTACACCCCGAAACCCCTGAAACTCCTAAACCCCTAAGATCCCTAAACCCTAAACCCCTGAAACTCCTAAACCCCTAAGATCCCTAAACCCTAAACCCCTGAAACTCCTAAGCCCCTAAGATCCCTAAACCCTAAACCCCTGAAACTCCTAAACCCCTAAGATCCCTAAACCCTAAACCCCTGAAACTCCTAAACCCCTAAGATCCCTAAACCCTAAACCCCTGAAACTCCTAAACCCCTAAGATCCCTAAACCCTAAACCCCTGAAACTCCTAAACCCCTAAGATCCCTAAACCCTAAACCCCTGAAACTCCTAAGCCCCTAAGATCCCTAAACCCTAAACCCCTGAAACTCCTAAACCCCTAAGATCCCTAAACCCTAAACCCCTGAAACTCCTAAACCCCTAAGATCCCTAAACCCTAAACCCCTGAAACTCCTAAGCCCCTAAGATCCCTAAACCCTAAACCCCTGAAACTCCTAAACCCCTAAGATCCCTAAACCCTAAACCTCTGAAACTCCTAAACCCCTAAGATCCCTAAACCCTAAACCCCTGAAACTCCTAAACCCCTAAGATCCCTAAACCCTAAACCCCTGAAACTCCTAAACCCCTAAGATCCCTAAACCCTAAACCCCTGAAACTCCTAAACCCCTAAGATCCCTAAAACCCTAAACCCCTGAAACTCCTAAACCCCTAAGACCCCTAAACCCCTAAACCCCTGGAGCCCCTCCTGAGCCCTAAAACCCTACACCCCCTAAGACCCCTAAACCCCCCAAAACCCCCAAACCCCCCGAGGCCAAAGCAGTCCCTTCAAGATGCCGTCGTCGGCGTCTTCGCGGCTGCCGGTATCGATGGCAGCTTGGCCTGCCTTAACCCCAAATAACCTACCTTTTTGGATTTATATAAAGAAATCATATTAGGGATCCCTAAGAAGGTAGGTTTTATGGGGTCCAGGTGGTTCAAGCCCTCTTCGGGTTATAGGGGCTTGTCTGTTTTTGGGGGTTTAGGGGCTTAGGGGTTTAGGGGTTTACATAGGGGTTGAGGGGTCTAGGGTTTAGGGGTTTAGGGTTGAGGGTCTAGGGTTTAGTGGTTTAGGGGTTTAGGGGTTTAGGGGTTGCCTTAAACCCCCTAAACCCCAAACTCTAAACCCACAGGCAACAAACATCCACCCCCCAAAACCCAAAACTCCCGCAAGGAATCCAAAATCCCCAACTTCTTCGGGCGCAGCTCAGCGTCGATGGTTTAGGGGTTAGGGTGTGCAGAACGTCTGCAAGGGCACAGAGGCGATGAATGATTAGGGTTTAGGGTTTAGGGTTTAGGGTTTAGGGATTAGGGTTTAGGGTTTAGGGATTAGGGTTTAGGGTTTAGGGATTAGGGTTTAGGGTTTAGGGTTTAGGGATTAGGATTTAGGGTTTAGGGTTTAGGGTTTAGGGTTTAGGGTTTAGGGTTCAGGATTTAGGGTTTAGTGTTTAGGGTTTAGGGTGATTGGGACACGTTACAAAGCTCGTAAGATCTTGGGGAAGCCGTCCCAGCAACCATGATAGAGCCCTCAATGGCAAACCATCAAATGCTTCCGAGCACCCGAACCTAAGCTTCGGGAAGAAGAGTCAATGCATCGCCTGAGCCGACACCGAGTGGGCAATCTTAACCTTTCCTTAAATCCCCGACGCCCCGATACCTAACCTTTCAGCTTTTTGGGTTCTTATAGTTTAGTAAGAATCGGAAAGCTTGACCTTTTATTTCTGTGGCTTCTTGGGGTAGTAAGTTTCTGTCGACGGATAGACCCCCAAGCTCCACAGTATAGGCATGATGGAATTCGACAAAAGGTTTAGGGGTGTAGGGTCTAGGATTAGGCTAGAGGGGGAGATTGTCAATCAGCAGCTATGCTGTAGGCTTTCTTAACCCCAGCCGCTGAACCCTACCCCCTGAACATCTAGGCCCCGGCGCAGGCGGGGAAGATTTTTTTAGCATGCCGACACCCTTCCACACCGTCCACCGAGCTCGACAAGATCCCTCAAGAGCCCTGAACCCTCAACCCCGAGAAGACATGGGTGGTTGTCAAAATTAGGGTTCCTTTTGGGTCTTTAATATAGTACGGCACCTGAGGGTATCCAAAAAAGGACCCTAATTTTGACAACCACCCACATGAGGATACATGGTGCACCACTTGGATGGCAAGTCTTTGAAGGCGGGGGCCTGCTTCCTGCGAAGGCATTTCAGTAACAAGACACAAAAAACTCGAGAATTGGAGCTTGTGGTTTAGATAGGGGGTTGGTTCTGCGTTTAGAGGTTGTAGACTTTTTCAGGGTCTGGAATGCTAAGCCTATACAAGCCCTTAGCCCGAAACTCGGAGTCCTAAACTCTAAACTCTAACAGAACCCAAGCTGGAGTTTCGTGTAAGTATTACAGATGCTTGAGGTTCCAGGTTCCTGGAATTACGCATTCTAAGTCTAAGGTGCAATTGATTCAAGTTGTGGACTTCGCCTGCACCATTAAGTTCTCAACCTAGGTCCTAGCGTTTAAGCTTCTCTGCCTCCGCCGGCAGTGCTTCCGTCAAGACACCCTGCAAAGGCTCCTGAATCAGCCCAATCGCTTTGGCAGCCTTCCCAAGCCGATCTGCTTCGTTTCCCAGAGACTCCCAATATCCCTTAGTTAAGGAATATACCCTAAATTATAGCAGGATCTCTCATAAATTAAAGGATATTGGAGTCTCTGGGTTGAACCTTGGCACCGGTCGTGCGATGCGCGTCAAGTGAGGCCAGCGATGCTCGAACGGCTTCCACGTTTGCTGACGAAATCCTAAACCCTACACCTTAAAGCCCTGGCGAAATGGCTGTAACAAGCCCGTGCTCCAAACAGTAAACCGGCCTTTGGAGTGCACCCACACGTGACAGTAAGTATTCATTTTTGTAGGGTCATACTTATCATAACACCAGTTAGGATCGCTTTTCGGGGAGTGTAATACCGCAATCATTGTCATAATCTCTACCTATACCTCGCTCCTAGATGCCAGAAGCTTCTAGAGAACCTGCCACAGGACACAATGAACCCGCAGGACATCTTCCTGACCGAGATCGGCAACGAAAAGGACGTATGCACTAGCCTGTGTGATCTCACGTGTTGCGAACTGTTGCAGGCTCCATGTTGATGTGAAGGAGTGTCGGCGCTTTGGACAGTTGAGGTGAAGGGCTTTGAATGCAAGGCAAGCCAGAATCCTAAAGTCCTAACATAGGGCCTTGAATAATGGCCTACACTATTTTGGAGGTTCCTTGTTATAGCCTTTGCAATATAATAAAACCCCCAAACCCTATTCTGATTGTTAACGCGCCGAAAAAAGCACCCTTACCCAACACCAATAAGGTATCATAGGGGCCTTAATCATGGGAAACGGGCTTTGGGGCCCATTATACGATTACCCATAGGCCCCAAAGTAGCTCCTTTGGGGGATTACCTAATAGGATTCTTTATACGAAACCCCAAAAGGAACTACTTTGGGGCCTTAGGGTATGCTATAGTTGAAGTAAGAAAAGTCTACACCGCCGGCAGCTGACAAAAATGGGTCTGCTCAGCCTTTGGCCCCGCAGCGCGACGTTTCAAGCAGTTCTGAGCACCCTAAAGCCTCTAATGCCTTCCCTTTTTGGGGGATTGAAGTTTAGAGTTTTTTTTTGGTGGGGGGTTCAAGGGTTAATCCGAGCTGCTGATAGCTCCTAATCTTGGAGTTTAGGGTTTAGGGTTCATACAGAAATTAGGGTTTAGGGGTTATGCAGGATTACAGTGCCCTAAATAGTAGGATCCTTATGAGAAGAACCCCAAAATAGGGTACCCCTAATTTTTCGGAAACTCTAAACCCTAAACCCTTTAGGGTTTGGAAGCCTGGGTCTGCCTCGAGAGGAGGGCCAGAGAGATTTGCTGAATTACTTGAGCGGAGACCAAAATATCCCACTGAAAGACGGGGAACGTGGCATTCACTGAGCCTCGTTTGGACCAGGCATTGTGCGCGCACATCGCAGCAATGGCAATGAACTGGACAGCGGAGACACGCTGAGACAAACAATCCAGAGGGTTTTGGTCACTGTGCTGGTATATTCGTCCATCGGATCCTGGAAAGCGTTTCTGGAGGACTTATGTGGTAACTAGGTCTTTTTCAGACTGATAAGTTCCACAACCCGAGTTTACTGAATAAGCCTAAGCCTTACTCCGCCCTGAACCGAAAGCCTCGCGCCCTTGAGCCCTAAACCGTCCAACTGAGGCTCCAAACCCTAAGCTGCACTAAGGCCCTAAACCGTGAACTCCTTGAACCCCCCCACTGCCTTCTTGAGGATAGAAAGAAATCAGAATAAGGAGCCCTAAAGAAGGTCGATGTTTCGGGGGGTGAAGGTAAAGCCGAACTCTATCCTTAGCCCAGTCTTTTGGTCGCCCTCAAACGCTCAAACCTTAAACCCTCTCTATTCCAAGCATCCACGCTCCAAACTTCCCCCACCCCCCCCGCAACACACCTCGTTTTCAATCTCAAGCCCTGAGCCCTAACAGAATCGGCTGCAGGACTACATCGCCACCCGGGTGTCCTACCTTCTGGACTTCACCGGGCCCTCCATGAACGCGGCCTGCTGAGGATTCGGGTTGAGGGTTTGAAGTTTAGTTTGGGCTAACCCCAAACCGTAAATCTCAAACCCGAGATGCCCCCCCAGGCTCTTAAACGCCTGAATACCGGCGGCTTGAAGACTAACTAAGAGTACATCCTAGAAAACATGTTCCACCTCTAAAGGTCCGTTTATTCAAGCCTCAAGACATCTGCGCAGGTTGACTCTTTGTTTTGTGCAAGTTCTTGCGGAATCTCAGAATGCAGGGTTAGCTGTTTAGTTGTAGAGTCATGAGTGCTTCTAAATGGTCATACGTTTGACTCTTGAACAAAGAATGCAAGCACCGATTTCCCACCTACAGCCTGTTCGGGTAATATGCTCAGGGGTCTGAGTGTAAGTGTAAGCAGGACATTCCAACACTTCTAGTTGAGTGAGCTACTTGGAGGTTCATGGGTGGTTGTAAGTGGCGTAAGTATACTTATAACCCATATTTGGGACTTACTCATGAACCTCCAAGCAACCCTAAACCCTTAACCCTAGAAGAATCCCGCATCTGGGCCAGCCGCAGTCAAGCGACGCCTGCTTCATCCTCACAAGATGAGAAGTGCATGACCTGACGCGGCAAAGGCGTGACCCCTTCCCGCCTGAACCCTAAACCTTAATCCCTAAACCTTAAAAAATCCTAAACCCTCATCCCTACACCCTAAACCCTGGTTTTCAATCGAGATCGTCAAAAGCTGCATGCCAAAAAATGTCCTATGAGGGGCCGGAGCACTACAACAAGTTCCTGCAGTGCCCGAGCTCTGCTTCGACAGTGACGTGTGCTACATGCAGCTTTGGGATCGGGTCCTCGGTTCTGCGCGATTTCGCCCTGAGCTCCTGCCAGATTGTGTCGACCTTGCAAAGCTGAATAGCTGAACACCGTCCTGTCTGCTATGTGCAAGCCGTCAAGTCGGCATGGTACTGCACCGTCTGCCGTGCCGAAGTGAACACTTACGGCACGCAAGGTGCTTCTGCAAAAAACTACTTGGGAGTTCCGAAAAGTAGGGGTATCTTATTTTGGGGTCCTTGTAATAAGGATCCTACTATTTAGGGTACTACATTAGGGTACCCCATTTTCGGAAACTCCCACTTCCTGGCTCACGAATCGAGGAAGGAGGTCAGGTCGCTCCAGGAGGCAGCGTAGGGTCTTCTCTGGCGTTTAGGATCTACCTGGACCCCATAAACCTACCTTCTCAGGGTTCCCTAATATGATTTCTTCATAAAAGTCCAAAAAAGGTAGGGTTTTTGGGGTTAAGGTAGGGTATCTAGAACTAACGTAAATCCTCCGGGGCGAGGACCTTGGCATTCTTATGGGAGTTTCCGAGAATAGGGGACCCTAATATAGTACCCTAAATAGTAGGATCCATATGGGTGGTTCCCTTTTTGGGTCCTTATTATAATACGGCACCTGATGTTTAGGGTACCCCAAAAGGGACCCTAATTCTGACAACCACTAAAATTAGCAAAATAAGGAGACCCTAATTTTTCGGAAACTCTCTTATCAGCCTTGCGCGGCCCAGGATGAAACGAGTTTTTCAGGTTACGGCTTAGGATCTGCTCCTGGGTTTAACGCAAAGGGGAAAAGGAGAGACCCTTAATGGGGACCCCTGGGCTATATAATGGCTATATAATAGCTATATTAAGGGTATATACCGAGGGGTTCTTATTAAGGGTCCCTCCTTTTACCCTTGGATTGACGCCTTGGAGTTTGGGGCTTAGAGTTTAGGATGTTAGGTTTTCGGTTTATGGTTTAGGTTTTACTTGGAGGTTCATGGGTGGTTATAGTGAGGTATATAAGTCCCCTAAATAAGGGCGATATGTATAGTTAGAACCCCACTTATGACCACCCATGAACCTCGAAGTAGGGCTTTAGGAGTTTATAGCATTGACGCCTTTGATAAAATCCGAGAGCTCAGGTGAATTCCGCCTGCTCCTCCGCTCTGGTCGCCGTCGCGCAGGCCGCTGCCGCCGTGGCCGCAAACCAGTGCGCCGGGGGCCCCATGGTGTGTAGGAGGGGTTTAGGGCTTTGTGGGAGTACCTCGGTTGATGATATAATTCCTGCATTACCTTAAGGACCCTAAACTATGGGAATTATGGCATATTCCTTACTATCGGCAATGCAGGCTTTATATCATCAACCGTTGGAGGGTCAGGGGATTTAGTAAGTGGCTAGTAAGTAGACTTATAAGTACCCTAAATGGGACCCTAATTTGGGTTGTGGTACTTATAAGCCTATAGAATAACTACTTACTAAGTCCCCCGACCCTCCAAGTAGGGCTTTGTGCGAATAGGGTTTAGGGACTAGGGTTTAGGGCTTTTGGGGATTACTTTAGGGTTTAAGGATTAGGATTCAGGGTTTAGAGCTTAGGGCTTTTTGGGACGAGGGTTTTAGGGATTAGGGTTTAGTGATTAGGGTTCCGGGTGTAGGGTTTAGGGCTTCCTGTGATTGGAGTTGAGGGCATTTTGGGATGAGGGTCTAGGGCTTATGTATTTGAGCCTGAACCCCTAAACCCTAAACCGCAATCCCCTGAATCCAGAGCCACAGACCTCACCCTGAGAACGCCACCGTCAGGGGTTTTTATCGTAGGCGCTGAGTAGGTAAGCCGTGACCAGTTTGAGGAATAGACACATAACACAAGGTAGATGCATATGTTTACACAAGCCTAGGATAGTGAAAACGCCAGCTTTTTTTTAAATAGGGCGAGGGTACCTAGCCGGATGTGGGGGTACGGGCCTTAATGCCCTTAATAAGGATCTAAGGCCTATTTAAGGAAACATAGTCCCCTACCCCCCTTCCCCCTACCCCCCTTAAGGGTCCCTATGGCCACAGTACTTTTCCTTCTGCATGTCCTGGGAGATGAGTGTGACAGGTTTCGGTAAGCCTCCTGCTGAGTGCAACCGTTGCATCATCGTCCCCATCTCCATAGAGCTTCAAGTATAGAGTTTCGGGTCGAGGGCCCATCCCCATGTTTAGGGTTTAGGGTTTAGGGTGTAGGGTTTAGGGTTTAGGGTTTAATAGAGATTCAAGTTTCGAATTTGGGGTTTAGGGGGACTGCAGGGCGAGTCGGTGAATACGGAAAGCCTATTAAGGCGCCAAGCCAGAAATCCAACACCTTGAACCCTGCACCCTGACCCCGGCACCCGCCTTGTCAAAGTCCTCAAATCTGATCGAGCCCACTCAAGGTGCAACAGCAGACACCCGCACAACGGTTTAGGCCGCCCAGCAACCTCAATATCCCTTCGCTCAGGAACATTACGGAATGCCGAACGCACAGCTTTCCTCAAGCAGGATCCCGTTCATCAAAGGGTGTTAAGCCCTGTAACACCTAAACCCTACACCGTACCGCCGGTTGTCAAAATTATTGTCCCTTTTTGGGTCCTTAATATAATACGGCACCTAATATTTAGGGTGCCCAAAAAGGGATCCTAATGTTGACAACTACCCATATCCAAACTCTTTCAACCCTGAACCCCTTTAGATGATCTCCGAGGATGCTGCCGTGGCGGGAGCCTCCTCTATCACCTTCCCGAACCTCGGGCAGCCGAGCTCAGATATTGAAAGAGGAGTCGGGAAGTTGAAGTAAAGGGTTGAGGGCTAGGGTTGATGATATAGGGTTTAGGGTTTAGGGTAAACCCTGCATGACCTTAAGGACCCTAAACCACGGGAATTGTGGTAGATTCCTTATTATGGGTCATGCAGGATTTATATCATCAACCGTAGGGTGGGGTGTAGTATAGGATTTAGTTTCGAGTTCTGGGTTTTCGGGCTCGTAGAGTTTCGGTTTCAGTTTAGAGCTTAAAGTAAGGGGAGGTGAGGTATAGGGGATGGAGTTTAGGGCTAAGGTTTTAGCTTGGGGAGGCGGGGACGTGGAGTTAAAGGGTTTCGCGCTTGGCTGAGCGTCGAGCACGGTTTGGTTTTCATTTAGGCTTCTGGGCTTTGGGTTTTTCAGGTTTTGAGGTTGAGGGTTTTAGGGTTCAGGATCTTCATTTTTCCATTTATTTTCTATCTCATGAAATCTTTCTAAGATTGCTTGTATGATATTTTCTTGAAGATTTTTGTCTGCTGCTTTGGGAGGCCAAACCTTACAAGCACTGTCGACCCTAACCACCCACCCAGGAAGCCTTGAATCCTAAACCCAAGCGTAAACTCCCTTACCCTAAACCCTAAACCCTCCCTAAACACCCCAAAAGCCCAAGTAAACCCTAAACCCTCCCTAAACACCCCAAAATCCGAAGTAAACCCTAAACCCTAAACCCTCCGTAAACACCCCAAAAGCCCAAGTAAACCCTAAACCCTAAACTAAACCTTCCCGAAACACTCACACCCCAAAATCCCAAATAAACCCTAAACCCTAAACCTTCCCTAAACCCACAAAGCCCAAGTAAACCCTAAACCCTAAACCCTCCCTAAACACCCCAAAAGCCCAAGGTATCTCTACTCCGATGGCCTGGTCAGCTCTAAGGACGGCTATGCGGCGGCCCCAAAGTGTTCTTTTGGAGTTTTCGGGCTTTGGGTGTTGTCTAAACCGGGTTTAGAGTTTAGGGTCTTTAGGGGTTTAGGGGTTTGTGGGTTGAGGGGTTTAGGGGTTTAGGGTTTAGGGTTTAGGGTTTCGGGTTTAGGGTTTAGGGTTTAGGGGTTTAGGGGTTTAGGGTTTAGGGGTTTAGGTGTTTAGGGAAGAGCTACAAGAGTTGGTGAACGAAGGTCATCGTGGTCTCTGTAGGGGTCTTACGCAGATTCATACTGTAGGGTTTCATGAGGCATGTGTAGGGTTTAAAGGGATTCGTCGGACAGCTATACTTCCAGTTCCGGTATTTGAGGTTAGGCGTTTGGGCTTTGGGTAAGGGCGGTTAGAGCATTGCATATGGTAGTATGTTGCAGTCTTAAACAAAGCTTGCAAGCAAGAGCCCCTTATGGAAGCTTTGCCTCCCACATGTGGTCCTTTTGAGTAGCTGAGTAGCTGTTCCTGAGCTTGTGCTTCGATGCATAGAGATACCGGCTATGTAGGGCCCACGGACTTGGGACACTTTTTCACAGCTTTTCTGCTTCCTGTTCATGCCTCATGAAATGAAGCGACCCGAAGGGACCAGTTGTCCTGCCATACCATGCAACCCTAAACCCCTAAACCCTAAACCCTATACCCTAAACCCGTAAACCCCTAAACCCCTAGACCCTAAACCCTATACCCTGAACCCTCAACCCCAAACCCTAAACCGTGACAAAGACCTAAAGCCCGAAGCTCCGAGCCCCCTTGGCCCCCCAAACACTAAACCCTAAACCTCCAAACCTTAGGTACGGCCCCCACTCAGCAACAAGAGTTGAGTAATAATATTCATAATATAGATATATTAGGACCTTAATAGTAGCCCTTTTATAGACTCTTACTGTATGGGGGCCGTACCCACTCCAAACCCTAAATCCCCCGAGATCCTCGACTCTTTGAGTCCCCAGAGCCTATCGCAACTGCCAGAGTCTTCAGGTTCCACATCTAATCTAGGATGCCCAGTAGTACCCTTATTCCCTTTTTGTAGTCCTAGGTTCCTTATAAAATTGCCCCAATACCAAAAAGAGAGGCCTTTTTATTCTTAGGTTACTGGGTATCCTAGTAAAGTACCCGGCCTGAATGATTAGTACTACGGTTGATGGTATAAATCCTGCATTACCCATAATAAGGAATATGCCATAATTCCCATAGTTTAGGGTCCTCAACGTCATGCAGGATTTGTATCATCAACCGTAGCCCTCCTTGGGGTTCCCCGAATTTCACAGAGCTCTGATGTTCAAGGTTGTACTGGGGAGCCTGGAGAAACGAAGCTGCTAGTGCTCACATCCGAGAGGTCCGACCCTTCGATGCTGGTGCGGATGGCACGGTCTTTGGTGACTCTGTGGCAGCGAGTAGCACGGTGTAGGGTTCAGAATTTAAGATGAAATGACGGCCAGGGGTTTAGGGTTTAGGGGTTAGGGTTTAGGGTTTCGCATTTAGGTTTCAGGGTTTGAGACCTAGGTGACTCTGTGGCGGCGATGGTGCTTCGACGACAGGAGGACTGGGCTGGTTTGCTTGAGGTTTCAACAATGTGGACTTCACAGTGTCAGGATCTTCATTCCATAGGGTTGATGAGACAAATCCTGCATTGACCCTGGACTGGGAATTATGGCATATTCCTTGTTATGGGTGAAAATGCAGGATTTGTATCATCAACCGTAGTTTTGGAGGGCTCTGCATTGACCCGGTTGCCTGATTCCGAATCGATACTGTAATATTGGAGCCTTAAGAATTAGACTAGGGTTTCGGGGCCCATTATACTTTAGTTATAATAAGGAACCCCCGGAATACTATAGGTAATAGGTATTTATTTCGGGTACTACAGTAGAGACGTGCCTTCGACGGCAGGAGGAGGGCCGGGGTTCTGGACTTGAGGGTTTACTTTACAAGCCTAAATAATTACCAATACTATTCTGAGGTTCCTTGTCATAACTGTAGTATAATGGGCGCCAAAGCCCTATTCTACTTATTAAGGCCGCTATAGTATGTGAGTTAGGTTTAGAGAGTGTAGAGGTTTTGGTTTAGGGTAACTGGACTTCAGCAACCATAGAGCCGTAAGCAACACACCCTTCATAAGCCTACCCTTTAAAGGAACCCTTATAGAAGGAAACCCCCTGTAGAAACCCTTGAAGGAACAAGGACAAGAAAGCAGGGCGGATTGTGGGCCTACGGGTGTGGATCTTGTTCCGGGAGGGTTGCGCTACTTATCCTACATCCAAGAGCTTCCAAGATCTCTTAAGTAAGGAATATTCCCTAAATTGTGGTAGGATCCCTCCCTATTATGGTCCAAGGTATACTTCTTTATTAAGGGGTTTTAGAGTCTCTGGGATCCTGCTGTTCCTCCTGTTGCTGGTACTTCTCCTGGTGGTGATGCTTGCCTCAGCTGGTGATTGCTGTACAACTGTCCCCACCCCCTACTAAAGCCGGAAACTGCCCGCCAGAAATCCTGAAGCGCACGCCCCAGAACCCTGCCATAAACTCCAGGTACAGGGTCTCCCACAAGTACGTATTCGGATTTCACGATTGGGGGTATCGGATTTCTAGCACGTAGGAGTACTGTTTTCCAGGGTGTCGAGGTTTAGGGCTTAGCATTTAGGGCTTGGCGTATCCACCTGGAGGGTCCTGCAAGGTGTCAGGTTTGGGGTTCGGGACCTACGGTGCGGGTTCTGCGTTATCGAGATTCCTTTTCAATTCTAACATGAGGTTTCTAGCTGGATGTCTGTAAGGCTCAGGGAGCACCTTGTTCAGGAGAGGTTTGACCGTTGAGGGGCCATTCCTACTGGAAACCTCCTAAACTGTAAACCTTAAACCCTAAACCCCTAACCCTAAACCCCTAGGCCTAAACCCTAACCTAAACCATAAACCCACGCCCCAATCTGTAGACCATAGGGAGCCTCCTGAACCGGTCTAGACCCTTACAGAACCGAGCTCTAAAAAGGCTTGAACTCCACAAGCTTTTCATCCCTGGAACTCGCAACCCTTAAACCCTGAACCCTGAACTGTAGCTTAACTAAGTGTGAAGCTTCTTCGTTCTACCCCAAACCCAACAAGCTAGAGCCAAAATCCCCCCTAAACCCTACACTCCAGAACCCCAAAACCTGGTATGAAGGACGTTGGGGAAAGCGGCCTCCTCTACGCCGGGCTCCGGGGTTTCGCCACGGACTTAGACGATCTTCGGGCTTTGAAAGGGTTCTACAAAGCAAAAGAGTTTGGGTTTCGGGTTTAATTAGGGCTACATGTTTTTTGGATTTCGCGCTTTCGTGACGATTTTGTCTAAACCCCTGGACTCGAATCATAAGCCCCTATGCATGATGCATGGACCCTGATACCCTAAAGCCTTGTGGTACTTAGGGCTTTTGGATTGAGGTTTAGGGTTTAGGGTTTTAGGCTTATAGGATTGGCTGTAACATTAAGGTTTAGGGGTTTAGGGTTTAGGGTTTAGGGTTTAGTGTTTAGGGTTTGGGATGGTTGGAAAGACGGCGCTGTGTGGCCGGGGCCTAGCAGCTATTATCGAGAAGGCGATGCCTTCGAATGCATCGTGTTACACCCTTCTTTGGCCTACACACTGCAGGCAAACTCTCAACCCCTAACTCCCCAAGCCCGAAATCTCTGTACTATACTATATTATGCTATACTATACTATACGTCTGAAACCTCGCTTTAGCCGATCCTTTTTGTGAACCTTCTGAAAACTCGGATTTCTTTCCAGGATGCTCTACTAAACCTCATCTGAACTCTTCAGCGCCCGATACAAGATCTTGCGTGTTGACTCCCAAAAACACATCCTGCCGCGACATATCCAAAGCCCTAGGCAAAGATCCTGCAAGCACGTGATCGACATTGGGGTTAGGGATGGCCCATTAAACCCCTATACGAATCCCATCGAAACCCAAGACGGCGAAATCAGCTCAGGCCGTCAGCAACGACGGCGCTCAGAAGGCCACCCAAGAGCTGGGCTTTCATGTTCGTTGCTGAGTCTGTTTTGGGTTTGCCAGGTTTAGGGTTTTCGAGAGACTTATGGGTATTTCATGAGCCGCAATGGTCCCTGGACAAAACCGAACAGGGGGCTAGCTCCCTTTAAAAAGCAGACTGTTGGGAAGTTGGGAAGAAGATCAGGACTAGACGGCAAGTTGCCTGAGTTGATGGTGACAAGTCTTTTAGCAACGACTAGAGAGTCCTGCACCCCTAAACCCTAAACCCTAAACCCTAAACCACCACTCAGGCCGCAGGGGGAGAATCCGCGAACTCTTGTCGGAACTGTCCGTAATAAAGAAGTCCTTCACCATAAAACTTACTGGGTAGCTCGGGTTTCTGGAAATCTGCAACCCTCTGCAGCCCTGGAAACAGCATAAGAAACACCATGTAATGCACCACTGCATAGAAGCTTTTCGTAAGTCCATAAACATGTAGAGCCTCGATGAAAGCCTTATGAATCCGCCATGCAAGCCCTTAAAGTAAAGAACCCTAACAACATTTAATGAAAGTTTCTAGAACTCTTATAGAACTGTCCAAAGCCCTTTTGAAACCCAAACCCTAAACCCTAAACAGAAACCCTGCGTGAAGAAGGCCGGCTATGCGGCTCCTTCGTCGAATGGTCGACTCCTCGGGGATGATCACGGGATTTAAAGGCGATTCAGCCTTAGAGATTTCGGCATGTAGGGTCTATAGGGTTTAGGGCTTTTGGTGTTTAGCGTTTAGGGCTTTTTGGGATTGAACGGGTGTAGAGTTTCATTTTTCGAGTTCTATGGAGGTTTATCCGAGATTTTTGCGGGGTTTCTCGCAGGGTCTGGGTCTTCATCGGGTTGTAAGGGATTTAATGAGGTTTCGTAGGGTTTCGGGTTCAGGGTTTAAATGTAGGTTTCAAGACTTCGCTGAGTGCTCATGGTTTGCGGCCCGGGGGTCGTTTTTTAGGAGACAAAAGGTTTTCTAGGGTTTAATTTGTGTTTAAGGGGTGTCTATGGTTGTTGAGCGTTTGAGGGTTTCGGCGGCACACCTGTTTTTTCGGCGAGAGGTCGAATGTTTGGGGCTGAGGGTGTCGGGTTCAATGTTCCGGAGGAATCTTGTCAGCATGGGGTTTAGGGAGAAGGCATCAACTACGGTTGATGATATAATTGCATGAGCCTTAATAGGGGAAATACCATAATTCTCATACTTTAGGGTCCTTAAGGTAATGCAGGATTTATATCATCAGCCGTAGGTCTCATAAAGATTAGAGGATCTCAACCTCGAGGGGTTTCCTGTGTCAGTACTCCTTCAACCTCGAATCCGACATCCGAAGACCCTCAGCCACTTAAGGTAAAAGCCAGAAAGTTGGAATATGATTGTCCTAAACCTTTTATGGTGAACTATAGGGTATCCTACCCTGAAACCATATTCCGACTTTCTGGAGTTCCCTTTAGTCCCAAATCTGTGCATCCCGGAACCCGCGCAGCCCAACACCGAAACTCGCCATTCCAATTCTGACCAGGGTGGATGTCAAAATTATGGTCCCGTTTTTGGGTACCTTAGATACTAGGTGCCGTACTATATCAGGGACCCCAAAAAGGGACCATAATTTTGACAACCACCCATCAGTACGGTTGATGGACAAAATCCTGCATTACCTGAAGGACCCTAAACTATGGGAACTATGGTATATTCTTTATAATGGGTCATGCAGGATTTATATCATCAACCGTAGCTACTAAGTTTTCTAAAGTGTTCCCAGAGACTCCGAAACCCCTTAGTTAAGGAATACATCTCAAATCGGTTCTAAGCCGGATCATGTACCCAGTGTTTTTGGGCTTTTTTATGACATTAAGCCCTCAAATCATATTTCGTTAACGGGTAATGCAGGATTTTGCCCGCCCATCAGTACGACTCCCAGGTCAAGCCAGGGCCATCCAGGTCGCCATGAACATGCTCGGGGAGGACGATCATGGCTCAGGGTTTAGGGTTTAGGGCTCAGGGTTTAGAGTTTAGGGCTTGTAGGGTTTGTAGGGTTTGTAGGGTTTAGGGTTTAGGGTTCAGGGTTTAGGGTTTAGGGTTCAGGGTTTAGGGTTTAGGGTGTAGGGTTTAGGGGATATTGGAGGAGCTAAGGAGCCAGGGATGATGATAATCCCTATTAAATAAGGAGCTAAAGAGCCAAGGGAACCCCAAAACCACTGGTTTGTCTATACCTGGACGTTCATGCATAGTTATTTAGAAGTGGGATCATACGTCCTAACATGGGTTATAACTATAGTTATCCTGCTTTAAGTCCTAATATGGGTTAAAACTATAGTTATCCTGCTTATAACCACGCTTTTAACTACCCATGAACCTCGAACTAGGGGTCAGGATCCCCCACCGGATCTTTGGGCCATGTTGACTGGGTAACGTTTAGGTTACAGTAGAAGCCCAGAAAGTTGGAAACCCCAATAGCCTCAAAATCCTTAAGAGTAATGTATAAGGATTCCCAGCGCCATTTGTCCTCAATCCGGTTTCCAAATTTTTGGGGTGTACTATAACTAGAGGCTCATGCCCTACCCCTTTTTTAGGGCGCCTACTTTTAAGATAACAGATCCTAACCATAAAAATAGGCATGCGAAAAAAAGGGGTAGGGTATGAGCCTCTAGGTAAAGTATGAGGTGCAGACCTTAAGGTTTCCGGTTTCAAGTCAAGGGCCAAGGGTCCTTGAGGCTGTGGGTCAGCTTGACGGTTGAGGGTGATCTCTGATCCAAATCCCTTTAAAGCCCAATCGCTGAGAAGCTTAAAGCCATTGTATAACCCTTGTACTTATAGAACCTTCGACCCAAACGGCTGGGGCCCTCGTTCCCCACACGCCGCCGCTGCTTGGGCCCACCACGCCACCGGCGCTGGCCTTTCGGCCGGGTCCTCTCACTCCGCCTCCCCATGTCCCCTGAAACATGCCGAAACCTTGAGGTTCGATGATTTTCGAAAAAACCCTAACCCTTGAAACTCAGGTACGAAACCAGAGTGGGCAGGTACGACTATCGGGGGGGAGCTGATTCTGGACGAACCGCCATGGCTGAGTCGCACTCCGACTCCGTTAATCATGGCGGGGACGCCGGCCTTCCTGATTGGGACACCTCCCCGGCGGCTCTACTTCATTCCAGGTTTAGGGTTTTGGGGTTTAGGGTTGAGGGAACGGCTCTACTTTATTGCAGGTTTAGGGTTTAGGGGTTTAGGGTTAACACCACTGAGGACGCCGGGTGTCCTCACGGTCTCTCCTGTGAAGCTGTCAGGATATAGTATTATTATGAACACAGAGTACAAAAACCCACAAGAAGCCTTGCAAAGCCCGCCAAACTCCTCCAAGACCCTTCAAGCCCTAAGCTCTAAACCACCGTAAAGGCCCTTAAAACCCACTTGCGATAAGGGACCCTTAGGAAGCTTCGAGCATGCCTTAAATGACCTTAAAGGACCCCTTAAGGGACCCCTTTAACTTAGATCCCCAATACCCAACCTTCAAAGTTTTTGGGTTCTTATAGATAGTTTTTCGGAATCGAAAAGTTCGAGCCTTTATTTCTGTGGCTTATTGGGGTAGTAAGTTAAAGAACCCTAAACCCTAAACCCTTAAACCTTTAACCCTAAACCCTTAAACCCTAAACCCTAAACCCTAAACCCTTAAACCCTAAACCCTAAACCCTAGAACCCTAAACCCTAAACCCTACAAACCCGAAGCCCTACAAGCCCTAAGAACCCTAGGAGCCCCCCTAAACCCTAGAACCTTACACCCGAAACCCTACAAACCCTAAGAACCCTATAGGAACCCCGTTAAAGAGCCTCTGGGGCTTCGAGGATCCCTGGTCCATCTCCTACGTGGAGTGTCACTGCACCGGCACGCGTATCGGCGATGGCATCGAGGCAGAAGAGTACTTGGAGGGTCGGGGGACTTAGTAACTAGTCATTTTAGAGACCTATAAGTACCATAACCCCAATTAGGATCCCTTTTGGGGTACTTATAACTCTACTTATTACCTACTTCGAGTTTTCGAAAATAGGGGACCCGCATATACTACTCTAAATAGTAGCATCCTTATTATAAGGATCCCAAATTTAAAATAAGGTGCCCTAATTCTAGATAGTAGGATCCTTATTATAAGGACCCCCCAAAAAAGGTGCCCCTAGTTTTCGGAAACTACCAGAAGAGTATTTCAGAGGCTTAGGGGCCTAGGGGTTCGACGGTTGATGATATAAATCCTGCATTACCTTAAGGACCCTAAACTATGGGAAGTATGGGTCATGCAGGATTTATATCATCAACCGTAGGGGTTTAGGGATTGTAGGGGGTTTAGGGGGTTTAGGGTTTTAGGGGGTTTAGGGCTTAGGGCTTAGGGGATTATAGGGGGCTAGCGGTTTAGGGGTTTAGGGTTTAGGGGTTGAAGGGTGTAGGTTTAAAGGGGTTTTAAAGGTTAGGGGTAAGGGATCTGAATTAGGGGTTCAGGGGCGCAGGTTTAGGCGTTTGAAAGGTTCGGAGTTGATAGGGGTGTGGGGTTTAGGCTTTGGGGGCCTAGAGCCTTGGGGATTTGCAGGTTTAACGAGGGCTCAGGCTTCAGGGTTTCGACTTTGGATGCACACATTGAGCCTGCAGTCCTGACCCTAAACCCTAAACCCTAAACCCTAAACCCTTAACCCAAAACCCTAAACCCTAAACCCTTAACCCTAAACCCTTAACCCTAAACCCTTAACCCTTAACCTTATACCCTGAACCACACATTGAGCCTGCAGTCTTGACCCTAAACCCTAAACCCAAAACCCTAAACCCTAAACCCTAAACCCAAAACCCTAAACCCAAAACCCTAAACCCTAAACCCTTAACCCAAAACCCTAAACCCTAAACCCTTAACCCTTAACCCTAAACCCTTATACCCTGAACCACACATTGAGCCTGCAGTCTTGCCTCGTAAAGAGCCCTGAAGCTTCCAATCCTTGAGCACTCAGCCTCAGCCTGCAAAAGGGAGTTACCTTTAAAGGGATCTATAAGGGTTCCGTTAAGGGTTCCTATGAGGGATCTATAGGGTTTAGGGTTTAGAGGTTTGGGAGTTTCCGGGGTACCTCAGGGCTCCTTTAACGGGATCTATAAGGGTTCCGTTAAGGGTTCCTATGAGGGATCTATAGGGTTTAGGGTTTAGAGGTTTGGGAGTTTCCGGGGTACCTCAGGGCTCCTTTAACGGGATCTATAAGGGTTCCTTCAAAGGGATCTGTAAGAGTTCTATAAAGGGTTTAGGGTTTAGAGTTTCCGAAATTTAGGGGTACCTCATTTTGGGGTGCTTACAATAAGGATCCTACTATTTAGGGTACTGTATTAGGGTCCCCTATTTTCGGAAACTCTCAAATAAACCCTCGCCCCCGAACCCCACGCCTGTTTGGGTCAGGGGGCCACTTTTGGTTTACATGCAATGGTATGTTTATCCAAGTATATAAATCGGTACCCCTAAACCTCTTCCCATACCCTGTGCCCTGCACCATGGAACCTACATAAACCCCAATACGACCTGATCAAGGCAAAGCTTCGCAGTGTTAATGAGCTATGCAGCCATGCAGGGCAGCAGGATTGCGATCGGAGCTCCGATCTTTTCCTCCCCCCTACCAGGTCCGTCTCCGCCGGAATTGAGCCGGCCGAGCTCGGGTCACGAGCACAACAACAGCTCTTGGCCCTTCTCACTCACACTTTCACCGACACCACCGCCCCCTTCCAGGGGCCTCCAGCCGGCGCGGATTTGAAGAGCATCCGAATGCGACCGCCTGCTACGTCATCGGATCCAGGATGTGCACAAGCCGGCTATGATGGTGTCTAATGCCTTGGAAAATGTCAGATGCTTGCTGCATATCAAACGTGCAGCTCAGGGACATGTTGAATAGGGATGTCTGAATGTTTGAATGATTGCCATAGTGCATACCGTTCTGACAGCCTTGTTATCAACTCCCCTTGCGTTTTATTCTAATGTAACCCAAAACAGCATTCCATGTGCTAACCTGGCCATACTTACATAAAACACTTATCGACCTAACACCTAAACCCTTCAACCTCAATCCTGCACCCTGCATCCTAAAACCTAAACCCTACACCCTAAAGCGCTTAACCCAAAACACTTGTGACAGCCCTACTCGCAGGATCACAGGACTTAGTACTTAAGTTCATAAATGAGGCATCTGTACTTATAAGGTACGTGCAGCCAGGAGAGCCTGACTTTGCTCCTGCAAGCGCATTTGGACACCAGCTATAGTTGTAACCCATATCAGGGGACTCATAGCCCCACATAAATCTGCCCTAAACCCAAACCCTAAGCCGCAAATACCCTAAACCCTAAACCCAAAGCCGAAACTACCCCTAAACCCAGAGCCGAAACTACCCTAAACCCTAGACCCTAAAACCCTAAACCCTAAACCCTAAACCCTAAACCCCAAACCCCAAACCCTAAACCCTAAACCCTAAACCGTAACTACCCATCAATCCAGCTCCAACGGCAGATCCACGGCCTGCTCAGCGCCTTCGAAAACGTCGGCGGCCGGAAGCAGGAGCCGCCGTTGCGCTCCCATCTTGTAGTATGACAGTCGAGATTTGACTATGAACATCATTGGATAGATCTGTTTCGTGTATTTCCTTCAACTAAGACCATGCCTGAAACGCGGTTTTACTAGGGTTCTTAAGGGGCCTTTAGGTTTGTTTTTAGCATCTTTAAAGTGTTTTTAGGCGTTGTAAGAAAGTGTTTTATTTAGGAGTTCTGCAAGGTTTGTTAGGTGCCTCTAAGGTTTTTTTTGCACGTGTTTTTAGATGTTTTGGGGTTAAGGATCTAGGGAAGTTTAGCGATTTGTTGGGCCATATCCTGAGGGCACCACATAGTGACCCAATGCGGGAAATACTGTTTCAACCGGGAAAAAACATTCCTAGAAGCGAGCATGTGCGTAGGGTCGGCAAACCGAGAGCAAACTGGCTTCTAGACACATTCGTAGAAGCATATGCATTTTTGCATCCTCAAGCACGCTTCGATGAAACCGTCGCTGCGCTCTGGAACGAAATAGCAGACACGGCCATGTGCCGCGAGCCCCCTTTTAAAACAAAGGTCAACGAAGCCTGAAGGAGAGCCGGAGAGCCACCTGATAATGCGATATTACGATTAACAAATCAACGAAGATTTCACCGAAGATGTCATCGAATATGTCGTCGCTAAGCCTACGGAATCATTTCAGTGAGAAGGTTTTTGCAATTATCACCGAAAGCTTCACCGAATATGTCATCGAATATGTCGCCGACGAAGTGACATTGTAAAGGATGCTAGTCAATTATAATGCAAAACGACCTTTTCTTGAGCCCCAACTCCAATACCCCGGTACACAAGCTTGTGGGACCTTTCAGTCTACTTGCTCGATGCGGCAGTGGTGTAGCCAAAAGTTTTCCCATCTTTTGTGCAGATCTCCGCAGATCTCCTCAGCCTCTGATAACAGATGGCTGCAATCCTTGACCGAAGTTGAGCAACGCTCAGCGCCTTGTGGAGCTGCGTATCAGTGAGTGAGTGAGTGGCTTGGGGTGTAGAAGTTTTTGGTCCAGGTGCTTGTGTTGATGATGTAAATCCTGCACTACCTTAAGGACCCAACACTATGGGAATAATGGTATATTCCTCATTCTGGGTAATGCAGGATTTATATCATCAACCGTTCGGGTTTAGTAAAGCTTGTCTTGTGCTTCTGCTGGATGTGGGTTTTTGTCATGTTTCAAGCATCTTCAGGGGTGGATTCAAGGAAAACCCTAAGCCCTGACCTCTAAACCCCAGACCCTAAACCCTAAACCCTGAATTGGCTTATTGGTTTCAATCGGGGTTCTGGGCGTTAGCGGCCCTCAGAGTTCTGCGTTGGTTTGGGTGTCAAACGCAAAGGGTCCTAGGTCTCTATTAGGAATGACTATGATTTGGGGAAGGATCCCCCATAAGAGTACCCAGGAACCTTTGGCAATTTGGGAACAGTTGCTAATTCGGGTGTTTGGGTTCACGGGTTTGGTAGTCGTCCGTGGCCAGAGGCTCGGCAAGGCAACACCAAGTTCTGTCGGCAAAGTACATTTCGTCCATTTCTACTGGACACTGAGCCGGGCACTGAACTCTGGACCACTGGCAAGAGTTATGTAAAGCTCTCCAGAAGACTCCACAAGCCACCTTCGATCTGCACGAGCCGAAGAAGAACTCCAAAGAGCAGGTCCGAGAGCCCGACCGCCTGATTGAGGCTTCCAACATGAGTGATATAGCGGCCTGGATACTTACCTATAGTATTCCTTCTCAGAAGCTATGCTGTGATTATAGTCAAGCCCACAGAACCCTATGCAAAAGTCCACGAAAGCCCTACGCCCTAAACCAGCCACGAGAATCCCAGAGCCTTAACACTAGACCCTAGACCCCAGACCAAGACCCTTACTTAGAGGGTCGGGGGACTCAGTAAGTAGCTAATAAGTCGACTTGGAAGTATCCTACAAGGGATCCTAATTGGGGTTATATGGTGCTTATAAGTCTATAAAATACCTAGTTACTAAGTCCACCGACCCTCCAAGTAGACCCTAAACCCTCTATGCCGTAGCCATTTTGGCTCAAGGTACGAATTGAGACTTTTCCATACGAAACCGCACGTCTGAAACAATGATGCTCGGACCTCCAGCCCCCAAGACCCTCAAAAGCCCCCTAGGCATAGCCATCCCAGATGACGTGGCAGAGGTTGTGGACCAAGCAAGGAAGAGTTATGATGCAGCAATGATGGAAGACTCGAAGAAGTCCTTGAGTGGGCTAACTGGGGATGGCTCACAGAACACGATTCAGGCAGCCAAGTACACCCCGGTGGGCGCCAACATCCCAGTCAGGGTGTTCATGCCACCACCTATGAACACCACAACTTGCAACAACACGAGGCATGCATTGGCCACACTGGCCATTGGGTTTTTGTACTATGTGGCAGGCGACGTGAATGACAACGTTTATGTTGCTGACGTCATAGGCGCATACCTGACGCTTGTGTACAATCTGTTCGCTCCTGTTGACCAAGACCTCGGGGCGGCGATGACTGGGCTGGGACTGAGATCAGATCCTACCCCGTGCTCAATATATCCTGGTGGTGAGCCTGGGGATCTCTGGGCAATGCTAATGACCCTAGGCGGATTCATTGAGGCCATGATCAGACCCTTATCTGACTCCATCACCCAAGGTGGCGGCCACCTTCAAGCCACAACTATGACAACAGTGACACAGGTGATCTCTACGATTACCGCCATGGTCGGCAAGGGAGCAGCCCACGTGGCCATGCATTTGATGGAAGCTTCCAGGCCTTCTGCTTACACCGATCCCGTGCTATTGGCATTGTTTGGTGCCATAGACCTTGTGTCTGTCAAGCCAATCAATTCTGACGGGACTGGACCGCAGAACGCGAGGACGTATTTCTCAAGACGCTGTCACGCCTTCCTGGCAAAAATCGGGTACTCGGGCGTCAATCCACTCACAAAGGACAAGTGCTGCCCGTGTCATTCCTCTCTGGTTGTGCTGTACCATCGGCTTTTCAACGCTTCAGGCATGGTTCGCAACCAGATTGCTTTGATTATGTCAAGCATCGCCCTTTCAACCGAGTATCAAAACACGCTCGTCAGCGACTTGCTAGTTGAGATCCACAATCTGAAGAAGTCGGGGGGCATCCACCACTTGCGTGTCATTATGGACGTATTGTGTCGTGATCTACCGGAGGTCATGGGGTCTCACGAGTTGGCAGCTGAGCTTGTGAACTTCAAGATGCAGCTGAACATATACAACTCACTTCCAGCGTCGATCCGTAACCACGTCAAAGCCTACGGGCTTACTGGACACACGATGATAAGTAGGCGCAACTGCCAGGTCATGACCGCGATTGCCATCGGCATCGCTCGTCTGAAGGACGGAAGTTACAAGACGGTCACAACCATGGTGTCAGAGTCCCATGCTGCAGTCGCCAACGCCCTGGAAATTTACAAAGTGAAAATGAGATCTGCTACCGATTGCTATCCCTCCTGAAGCACATGATGCACTCCATGTGGATGATACAGTATCTGTGGTGGCTGCAACGGAAAATTCTCCTGAACGCCCTCGGTCTCGCAGCCCGCGACGTAGTTTGACCCGCCGTACCACGCGAACCAGGAGACGCAGGACGTCGAGCTCTACCGTGAGACGGCGCGCCAGAAGGAGCCCCTCTTCTTCCCGGAGTTCCGCACCGAGATCAGTGGCCACTAGTGAATATGCTCTGAATTCGGAGGGTGAACTTCAGTATATCGAACGCAACACTGCTCCTGGCCCCCATGGCCCACCACCACCTGTGCCAGTCAACTTGCCGCCTAACGTCTCCCCACCGGACTCAGCTGTGACGACGGCGGCCTTGGAGATTTTCGCCAGTACCTTGACCGCACCCATCGACATCAATGACCTGCAAGGAATATGGCGTGAACCGCAGGACCTGGACACAATGGGTGATAACATGGCGCCTACTTCGACCACGACCTCCCTGACTTCATTGTGGACTTCAACTACAACGTCACCGACCTTCTGGACCTCAACTACGCCACCCTCTATCTCTTCGACAGCACCGAATGGGTGGCAAACTTTGTCCTCCGGACCATGGGAAACCAATACTTTGGATGAACTGGTAGAGCACTCCTCATTCATGCAGACTGGGGCCTCTCTTGGTCGACGTCGACGAGTGGCACACCATACTGCAGGCCCTCGGCGCCGATCTTCTCGACCCAGAAGACACCTAAGGCACCTTGAAGATGAAGACAGAGTACGACAGATGGTGGATGAGTTACTACAACAGGGTGTTGGCTGCGATCACCGTGACTTTACTCGTCGCCTTCTTGACAGAATCCGTCGGCTACGTCGTGAGCTACATCTTTGTGGTGCCGCTGTCGAGCAGGCCCTGTCTTGGTGGCCTCGACATGATGGTGAGGAACCCTGGAATGGAGGCATGATGGAGTCCATGGTGCACAGAGAAATTATGGGAATCCTGATGGACTTCAACCCCAGCCCGGACCCGGTGAGTGGCATGGCAGTGCTCCTCCAACCCGATCTACCAGAAGGCGCGGCTCTTGCCAATCAACTCCCAGGAGTGCCTCCACGTGTGGTTGCAGGTCTTCGACGACGACTATGGCGTGCACTCACATGTAGCGGGTCTACGCAACACTTGGTGTCCACCAGATGAAGGGAACTCAAGATGGAGGGATGCTCCACTCTTCCTCATCCCGGCCCATGACAGACCTGTGCAGAATATGCCATCAGGATCCACTGTACCAGAAGACCCCCTACACCGGCGAGCCACAGTTGGAAGTGCAGACCGTCGACGGCATCAACGGCGACCTCATCGTCGACCTCTACTACCTCCCTATAATGAAGTACGATATGATGCTGCTCGTCCCTCCCTGACAAGGTCATCTACACGGGATCCGACTGAACAGGAGCGTTCACGCAGTCGCAGTCGAGATGTTGCACACCTTGGTCGTGGCGGATGTTTGTGATGACAGTGCTGCTGATAGCGGTGATGGAGACTCGGTCGCCGACGATGATGCTCGTCGATTTGCTGAGCACCGTGGTCTCATGTATCCACGCAGACGTCGCACCTCCAGCCCGCACTCGAGTCCGAATCGCAGTCATGTCTGACCTCGAGTGAAAGCCTCATCTGAGCCCGTGCAACGACAACTTCTGATCGCATCGAGTGCAGTCAAGTGTTTTTCGAGCAGGGTTTTTGCTGTCTTTGCCACAGGCAAGCTCTCAAGTGTCTTTGTATGTGATACTCTGATCAAATGGTCGGAGTTCTGAGTGTGTGCCCTCTTTTGGGTGAGCTGGATCTGCGGAGAAAGCCCGTCACACTTTAAAAAAAAAAAACCCTATAGATCCCTTTAAGGAACCCTATAGATCCCTTTAAGGAGCCCTTTAAAGAGCCCTACTTACTAAGTCCCCCGACCCTCCAAGTAACCCGAGAGGCACCGCAAACCTTGCCCTCCTTCTCTAGGATGCCCAATAGTACCCTTATTCCCTTTTTGTAGTCCTAGGTTCCTTATAAAGTTCCCCAATACCAAAAAGAGAGGCCTTTTTATTCTTAGGTTACTGGGTATCCTAGTTTTGCCGCAGGCTGGTAGCGACGCAACAGTTGCGCAGGGCGCTGAGATGGGAAGGTACTCCAAGGCGCTAAACTTTAAACCCTAACCCTATAGGGGTCCAGAGGACAGAAGGCTTAGTTACTTAGTTACCTAGGTTTACGGTATCAGTGTTTTTGATTAGTATCAGGGCGAGTATATGGTTATTAGGTGTTTGGACCCTGCGGGTTACCCTAAACCCTCCCTAAAGTCCTTAAACCTAAACCCTAAACCTAAATTCCTAAACCCAAAATCCTTACCGCTAAATTCCTATGTAAACTAAGCTCCCTAGCTGAGAAGATTCTTGAAGGTCCATGGCTCGAAGTACAGCCATCGGTTCCCGTTTGGCTAGTGCAACTCACAGGTGTCCCTGTAGCTTCGAGATATTTGGGCCCTTGCACCCTGAAGGACGATTTTTTGCTTTTTCGGAGAATTGCTGCCTGTTCCTTGTATAGGGATCATGTAAGCAATCAAAAGACGTTGATAGTTGCCTGTAAGACCATGTATGCTCCTAATTCTAACACCCGACGACGACTGCTGCTACAACGAGCGTCCTCCAGGCTCCGCCTTGCTCGCGAAGGAGGAGGACGCCAGAAGCTGGAGGCCATGCCTCAAGGCAACGCTGGCGAACAACATGTTGCCCACAGGCGCGGGATTTATCCGCCCTTCGGGGCGCAGTCATGCTGTGGCGGATTGCTGTGTCCAGCGCTGCTCGTCTCTATCTCCAACCTGCATCTTGCCTTCCGACCCCGGCGAAGACAGAAGAACGCACCGGGATAGCTTTCGCATCACCCGGTAGCTGTAGAGGAACACCAGTAGAGACTCGATCTTGCCAGGGCAACTCGTCATGGAACTCTTCTTTTTTGTTGGTTATGACCACCTGTCTAACTATTTGTTTATCTGTCTACCTATCTATCAGTCTACCTACGGAGACCTGTGGATGTTGCAAGAGGCCTGTCTTTTAAGATGGAGTACAGCAGAGTTTCGCGGATCACCCTGACCCTTTCTTGAGTTTAGTTTTTACCCATTAGGCTTACGAGCATCGAGGTCAACATCAAATACACGAGCCCAAGCTTCTTCATCATGGCTTTTGTCCTAAAGCGAGGAACACCTTCAGTCTAGGGATCCTTAGAATCGGGATCCTCCTGTGTAGGTTTTAAGTTCGCATATGTGCCGAGAGCCCGTGCAAGTAGTTTAGGCCCGTAGGTGGTTTAAGGCGTTCGAGTTGAGGGCAGACGCGAGGGTTAAGGGCTCAGGGCTTTAAGGTTCAGGGTATCTTCGAAGCCTTTTTGATTTTAGAAGCCGACAGAGTATCAGCCCCTTATATTTGGCTCGCAAGCCCCTCTTCCTAATCCTCCTTACCGGGTCACGGGAGCATCCGAGAGGTCCAAATCTTTCCCCTCGTATTGAAGGAAGCTGAGAACGTTGGAGCTTTCTGCAATCCTAAACCCTAAACCCTAAACCCTCACTAGCTAGCCAGCTACACGAAGCCGCATGCCAGCGAACTTCAAGCGCAACTAAACCTCAAAGCTCAGACTAAGCCCGGCTATAGACTCTTAAACCCACAGCACCCAACCCTGAAACCCAAAGCCCTAAGCCCAGAACCCTACATCCGGCCTTCCTACCCACTGCGGGCTCCTTATTACCATGATCATACGGTTGATGATATAAATCCTGCATTACCTTAAGGACCCTAAACTATGGGAATTATGGTATATTCCGTATTATGGGTCATGCAGGATTTATATCATCAACCGTACCAAAGCATACTCCAGCCCTTATACTGGAGCCCTCATTATGGTCACCATGAGTCTAGAGCTCTGTAACGAAACCCTTATTCTTTATGAACACTTCGTATACCCGGAGCCCTTAAGTGTTCTATCATATCACACCTAAAGCCCTAGTCTACGTTTTCCGATAATGCCTCAAAAACACCACCTACGACTCTTTGACCGCCGTCTGAGCAACTTATCAACACAGTTACATAACAACATATCAGTGCATGATATCTTATTACCCCTAAACCCTAAACCACTAACCCCCAAACCCCTAAACCCCTAAACCCGAAACCCGAAACCCGTAAACCGCTAAACCCCTAAACCCCAAACCTAAAGCTTCTAAGCCCTAAACCCCAAACCCCATCTTTTTCGAGGTTAGGCTCTGTGAAGGGGAATATCGCGCACGCCAACTGCGCGGCTGGAGCCACGGGCCTTATCAAGGCTGGGGCTGGGGTTAGAGTTTACGGTTTAGGAGGGTTTAGGGTTTAAGGGGTTAGTATATGGATAGCTGGGGTTTAGGGTTTAATTGGGGTTTACGGTTTTGGGGTTTGTCAGGCTCCGGGGGTCTGCTGTAAGGTTAGTTAATGCTTTATTTTCTTAGGGCAGTTGATTCTAGGTGTTCATAGGACGTTTAGGTTAAGGTGCAACTCGGGCTTTTTGGGTGTGGAGATTTGGGCTTGGCGGTTTCGTGGGGCTTACAGGGCTTCGGGCTGAAAGGGGTTACATGGTTGGTTGAAACGGGTTTGAGAAAGGTTCAGAGCCGTGAATGGCAAATTGGACACCGACCTTGTTAGCCCTGTAAAGCCCTAATGGTTCCCTTAAAGGCAAACCTTGGCAGGAAGCCCCAACCCCACGCAGTCAGCACGGAATCCTACTGAGCCTGGTCTTCAAAGCCAGGGAACGTCCTGGAAAGTCGTGCGTCTTCAACTCTTCTATCCGCGTTCTCGACGGGGGACTCTACAAAAGTTTTAGAGCAGCTTTCGAAATCTACAAAGGATCAGCGGTGGTCTTTAGGACGTTCAGGGTTCTCAGCCACAGTTGCCTATCCCGAAGCCAAATGGGCAGTTAGTGTCCCTTTTTGCGTCCCCAAGATACTACGGCACCGATATTCTTTGGTAATGTGGGCACCTGATTAAGAAACCCTGGGCCGATAACCCCAAAATAGTAGGATTCATATCAGGAACCCTAATAAAGGCCCAAGGTTTCTTAACCAGGTTCCTACATTATTATATTATATTAACCTTAGAGATCCCTTGTAGTAGCCCTGATAGACCCCTTTAAAAGGAACCTCAATAAAGGCCCAAGGTTCCTACATTACTTTGGACTCTTAGGCTTCAACCCAGACCCCCGGGAGGATCTAGAAAGTAGATCCCCTAATTTGGGGCCCTGTACTACTAAGGGTAGTTTATAGGAACCCCCATTAAGGGATCTACTTTTTGGATCTTCCCGGGGGTCTGGGAAAGTCAGTGTCAGTGAAAGGCGCTGGCAATGATGGGAGCGAGGAGCCTGGCCGGGCCCTTATCATAGGGATCCTTAGGGGTGTAGGGGGAGGGGGGGTAGGGGGTCTTAAGGCCCATAATAAGGACTAATAAGGACCACTAAGGCCTATTTAAGGAAATATAGTCCCCTACACCCCTCCCCCCTACACCCCTAAGGATCCCTATGACCTTAGCTGCCTGATTTTGTTCAGGGTCTGGGGTTTAGGGGGTTTAGGGATTTTAGGTGTTCAGGGGTTTAGGGATTTTAGTGGTTTTAGGGGCTCAGGGGTTTAATTAGGGTTTTTAGCGGTTTAATTAGGGTTTTTAGGGGTTTAGGGTTTGGGGTTGGGGGCTTTGAGCTGCAACTTCTTGCAATGGTCTGAGCATTAGTCGAGCTTTACTTTACGGTTTGATCTTCAGGATTTAGGGCTTCTAGGATTCTAGGGGGTTTCGGGTCTACGCCGGAACTTTGTGTTGATGCTTGAGTGTGTATCTTTAGCTGGCAAAGGCTACAGCACTTCCTCAACCCTACTAAACCTCGTAGCCAAAACGGTAAGCCTCTAATCTAAGCGCCTGAGCGACAAATCCGATTCTGCTTGTTCAGGCTCACAGTTTCCGTAGGGTCCAAGCAGCCACAACCAATAGCGTTGTAGTTGCTTCCCCGAAAAACCATACAGATATTGGCAGTTGGACCCGGTACTTCTAAGCCCTCAGCCCTATCCTTATTCGAACTATTAAGGCCCCTAAACCTAAGCTCCTTAAGCCCCGAACTCTACAAACCCTGTATACTCTACACCCTAAATTTCTGAGGCGTTGGACTCTCCTTGGAGGGTCGTAAGTGGGTACTAAGCAGACTTATAAGTACTCTAGAGGGAATCCTAGCTGGGGTCATGGTACTTCTAAGTCTGCAAAAGTCTACAAAGCAGCTGCTTACTAAGCCTCCCCGACCCTCAACTAAAAGCGTTAAACCCGAAACCCTCAAACCTAAATCCTACACCCCAACCCCAAACCCTAAACCCTTTAAAGCCTATAAGTCCTATAAACCCCAAACCCCAACCCCATAAGCCCTACAAGCCCTACAAGCCCTGTAAGCCTACCAAGCCTACAAGCAGTATAAGCCCCAAAAGCCCAAACCCTTAAGCCCTATAAGCCTCATAAGCCCTAAACCCCGAACCTAGAAGCCCTATAAGCCCTAGAAGCCCTCAACTCCAAACCTTTGGCCTACAAGCCCTACACCCCAAACCCTATAAGCCCTCAACTCCAAACCTAAAGGCCCCAAAGCGCACTTGCCTTCCCGTGGGGTCTTCCGAGGCGCCCACCGCGAATTTCAAGCAGCTGAACCCGAAGATCAACTTGGAGAACACGCCCTTCTTCGTGAACTCAGAGGTGGAGTTTAGGGTTTGGGGTTCATATTTTTGGTTTTGGGGTTTGGGCTTCAGGGTTAAGGGTTTGGGGTTTAGAGTTAAGGGTTTGGGGTTCAGGGTTTGGGGTTTTGGGGTTTAGAGTTTAGGCTTTGGGGTTTAGGGCCCTACTTCGTGAACTCAGAGCTGGAGCTTCTGGAACAGTATCTGGAACGAATGAAAACCCAGAGACTCCAAAACCCCTGAATTAAGGAATATACCTTAAATTATAGTAGGGATCCTATTATTAAGGTATATTCCTTAATTAAGGGGTTTTGGAGTCTCTGGGAACTCCTAGGCTTACGGGTTTAGAGGGATTTGGAGGTTCTGGGTTTTAGGCTTCAGGGTGTGGGGTGTAGGGTTCAGGTTTCACGGCTTAGGGTGTAGGGCTCAACGTTTGTAAGGCCCTAAACAAGAAGCCCGCACCAGCTTCCTGAGATCCAAAATTCCAAGTCCAGGGGCACTTTGGTGGCACTTTGGGATGCTCTTAACATCGGTTTAGGGTTTAGGAACTTTAAAGTCTTTAAAGATGTTCCTGATGGTTCTTCGGGGTAACTGAGTATGTTGACATTGCTGGTGCTTATCGGCGGTGATGCTACGGTTTCTCACTGCTGCTGGTGCTTGATGCGTGATGCTGCCAATATAGCTCCGATACTTTTCCTGCAGTTGTGGTTATTGCTGTTGTCATCCTTACTCAATCACGCTGATAGTGATACCAATATCACCACCGGACTGTTGATCCCTAAACCCTGAAACCCTAAACCGTCAGTGGAATCAAGGCAGCCTCCGAAGTCTTGAATCCCACATGTTACGATACTCGCAGGTCTGCCAGTGGAACAAGAAGAAGCCTCTTCGTGCAGGACGGAGCATGCTGCATCCTATGACTTGTACCCCTAACCCTAAACCCTAAACCCTAAACCCCTAAACCCTAAACCCTAAACCCTAAACCCCTAAACCCCTAAACCCCTAAACCCCTAAACCCTAAACCCCTAACCCGCAAAGCTCTCTAAACTTTAAGCCCCTACAATTCAAGCGTCTTCAAAACCAAGACCACTCTGAAGCCGACGGTCTGTGAGGTTTGCGTCCTCCAACGTGCATGTCCCAACTAGTCCTAACTTGCTGTAGGGTTTAGAGTTTAGGGTTTGGTAGTTCGTCCGATAACAAACTCACAAGCACAGCTTGCATGGCCTGTGACCAAAGCCCGGTAGCAGTCGCGGCCTTACACCCTTACGGTACGTGCTCGCGTTTTGTAAATTTTCCGTCTATGTGACCGCCGTTGCCAGAATTGCGCACTGAATCCTAAACCCAACCCTTAACCCTGAACCGTGTACTGAATCCATGCTAATGCTTTAGGCCGCGGCTGAAGGCTTTTGTTGGCGGGTTTCGGGGCTTTCAGGCTTCAGGGTTTAGGCCTTAAGATCTTCGAAGTTACAAGATCCGAACTGCGGCATCTTTGCACATGGGCTCAGAGTTTAGGTTTCCAGTTTCCCATAAGCCTTGAACCAGGAGTCAGCTCCTTTGGAATCGGCGGCACCAACGCTCATACCATTCTTGAAGAGGCCTGTGGGCTGAACAGTGAAGTGATGGGTGCTTCTGTCCAGGTGCTGCTACTGCTACTGCTACATCTGGGGGCTTGTAGGGGAGGACGGCCAAGTCAAGGAGCCTGCATTCGGGGGTTTAGGGTTGGGGGTGCAGGGTGTACAGAGACTCAGAAGTCTAGACGATGGTCTTCCTTCATCAATGTGTGCTTGCGACGGGTTGGTTGTGGCCTCTTCGGACAACCGGCAACGTACCCTAAGTAGCTGGGGCCTCCTTGAATGTCAAATTCTTAACCTTCGATTGGATCGGCTCTCCCAGCTTTCTCCAATCAGGTGAACAATCCTACCGTGGACATCTACAGCACGGCAAAGAAGCTGCATCCCCGGGACAAGTGAATGACGGCTTCCTTCTTTCTTGATTGGGCTTGCCTTAGGCTCAACTGTTTTGCTAAGCACTTCTTAAAGGTCGATCTCACAAAGGGTTCCAGGTAGGCTGAGAAGAATCTGATTTTGGGTTCTGGGACTTAGATCGGGAACGGGGGAACTTTAAACTTTTTGGCCTTATATATTAGCTCGAAAGTTTGAACTGTTTGGGGCCCGGTTGTTGAAGAAGAGAGGGGAATGTTTATTCTATGTCGTTTTGGGGTTTAGGTCGGTTTACGTTCTGGATTTGGGTCTCGTGCGGTAGACTTCGGACTCTTGGTTCATACCTGCTCAAGTTCCGAAGGACTGAGACTCTGAGACAGAACGTAGACCACGGATCAAGAGCCCCTGCCCTTTATAGGGATTGATTGTGGTAGAGATCCTTATGAGAAAGGGGCTTATGAACGAGGGGTCTATTTTACAAAGCTTAAGCCGTCGCCTTAGCAGCTTGAAGACTTTAAGGGCTTTGGGTTTGGCCCCAAGGACGCAACCCTTCCTGAACTTGGGGTGTTCAGGTGCTCTCCCCGTCCCCTAAACCCGGAGAACTTAAATTTTAAACTTAAAACTTTCTATCAAAAAGTAGTTTAACCCAAATACCTTCGTCGTGTAAAAGCAGATCCTTCGTCGTGTAAGGCAAATCCTATGTCGTATCAGGCAAATCCGCCGTTTGTTCCTTTCGACGAAGGATTTGCCTTATGCTCATGCGACGAAGGATTTGCCTTATACGACGAAGGTATTGGGCAAACCCTTCGTCGTGTAAGGCAAATCCTTCGTCGTATAAGGCAAATCCTTCGTCGTATAAGGCAAATCCTTCCCCAGCCCACAGCCCCGCCCCCAGCCCTCCAGCCCAGCCTCCAGCCCAGCCTCCAGCCCAGTCTCTAGCCCAGCCGCCAGCCCCAGCCCAGTCTTCGGCCAAGCCTGCAGCCCCCAGCACAGAATCCAGCCCAGCCCGCCAAATGGACAACAAAGGACATTAACAAAATGGGGCTATCATTTTCTCAGAAAGCTAAGCTGTCCTGGCCTTGACTGCAAAATGGACAACAAAGAGTGTTTAGGGCTGAGTCCCTAAACTCTAAACTCTTGTAGAACCCTTGCAAAAGTTCCTTGCAGAACCCATGCTGCAACCCAAGTATACCACCACTCCAAGGGTAAAAGGAGGGACCCTTAATAAGGACTCATATGTATATACCCTTAATATAGCTATTGTATACCCATTATAGAGCCCATTATAGGGTAGGGGTCCCCATTAAGGGTCCCTCCTGTTACCCTTTGAATCACCTCTGCACGAGGCCCCTGGGCTTCCAGCTGCTGACCCTCTCTGTCGGGAGCCCCGGGATGTAGTGGTTGTCAAAATTAGGGTCCCTTTTTGGGTACCCTAAATAATAGGTGCCGTGTTATAATAGGGACCCCAAAAGGGACCATAATGTTGACAACCACCCATTTCTACAGGGATTGATTGGGCATTCATTCAGAAGATCTGATTATAGGATTGAGTAGGTGATTTGGGGTTGTTTAGGCTTAGGGTTTAGGGGTTTAGGGTTTAGGGCTTGCGTAGGTGGCGACAGTCCATATCAAAAAGGACGGCTGGAAACTCCGCTCTAACGAAAAGCCACAGAATTCCAAAACGGATCAGGCTACATGTGCCCGTCTGGTAGCTGATAATAGGGTTTGTCCGGTTTAGGGGTTCGGGCCGGGATTTAGGAGGATATATAGAGTCTGATAGTTATGGGCTGCAGTCGGCCGTGACCATGAGTGCGAGGAAACCTTCTCGCCGAAGCACATCCTAAGACATCCACGAACATCTTCAGGCATCCTGAAGCAGCCACCTAGTGGAAACTAGATGGAGAAGGTACGGGGCCCCTAAAAACAGATATCTTGATTAGGGGCTGTGGGGCTACGGTTAAGGGGTTTGCGAAGCCCTGCGAAGACATATCCAACAACGCAAGAGTCCTTACCTAGATACCTATCATTGTAACTCGAACTTCCGCTAAGGATCCATGTGCCTATATAATACATACTCGGTCCCAATACTAAAGTACTTACATCGGAATTTAGGGTTCTTTGACCTACACCCAAAGACCTCAAACAAAGATTTTCCGAAAGCTTAACCCAACACCCTAAACCCCCAAACCCCAAACCCGAAGCACCGAAACCCAATGAAGGAACCGAGCTGTTGGGAGTACCCTTAAAGCAACCCTAAACCTTTGCCCTGAAATTCATAGGAGGCCAAAAGGGGTTTGAGCGTATGGGGGTTTAGTCGGGATTAGGGTTCCCATAATAGGGTTCATATTAAGGAACCCCTACCCCAAGAATCTTAAACCCCCCTTTTGGCCTCCCATCAGAAACGGACCCGGGGCTGCAAGGCGAAGACACCGGGCTCCCTTAGAAAAGCCGCGGATCGACTCTCGAGCAGTCTCAAAGCGGAGGTGCATCGTTTGGGGCTTCAGGGGTTAGGGGTTTAGGGTTTAGGGTTCGTGGGGTCTAGGATGTAGGGTTTAGGGTTTTTTGGGGGTCTAGGGTTTAGGGTTTAGGGGTCTAGGGTTTAGGGTTGACGGTTCTTTTAGGGTTTCGGGGTTTAGGGTTTAGGTTTTTTAGGGGTTAGGGGTTTAGGGTTAGGGGTTTAGGGTTTAGGGTTTTCTTAGGGGTCTAGGGTGTAGGGTTCAGGGCCTCGAAGCTTTTAGGGGTCTAGGGTTTGGGGGTTTAGGGCCTTAAAGCTTTTAGGGGTCTAGGGTGTAGGGTTTAGGGCCTTAAAGCTTTTAGGGGTCTGGGGTGTAGGGTTTAGGGCCTTAAAGCTTTTAGGCTTTAGGGGTTTAGGGCCTTAGGGCTTTCGGGGATTAGGGGTTTAGGGTGTTGGGTCTAGGGCCTTAGGACTTGGGGCTTTAGGGTTCAGTTCACGGCGTTAGGGTTTAGGCGTGTGTAGAGTCAGGGTCTAGGGTGTTAGGGTTTAGGGTGTATAGAGTTTGGGTTTAGGGTGTAGGGGTTCGGGTTTAGGGCTTTAGGGCTTTAGGGCTTTGGGGCTTTGCGGGCATGGGGGTTAGGGTTCAGGGTGTTGTAGTTGGGTCTGACGTATTTAGAAGCATCTGTATACAAGGCCGCCAAAAGGCCCATGTTCCCCAGCCGCCATCAATCAAGCTCACTTAGCCGTGGCATTCCAAGGGGCTTTGCTTTCCTCTGGGTTCTTATCTAGATACATGCTGCCTGCATGGCCAGCATAGCATACTATGGGGGCCTTAATAGTTAGAATAGGGTTTCGGGCCCATTATACTATATTACACTAAGGAACCCACAACATAGTATAGATAATTATTAAGGCCCCCTATATTAGCGGTCAGCCAGGACAGCACTCCTTGGTGGACGCCCCCCCCGAGTGGACGCAGTGCATTCGGCAAGGTGGAAAGGGCTTCGGCACTGATGACGACCCAGGCCAAGGAAACAGACGAACGACGATTCGCTTCGAGCCTGGATGAGGCTTAGGGTTAAGGGGTTTAGGGGTTTAGGGTTTAGGGTTCAGGGGTTAGAATCTCCGATGAGATCCTCGAGGCCTCCGATGAAGAGCTGGGCGAAATCACGAACACCTCTCAGGGCACGAGTAGCAAGCGCAACCTGTACTGCATGATGCGCTACAAACTCGAGGTTGGGATGAGCCCGGAGAACAGCGCTGCGGGTGCCGGGCTGATCGCATCCGCGACTTTCCGGGCCATTGCCTAACCTTCATTCCGATGGTCCCTACACCTCACTCTGCGACGACCCCCAGATGCCTGCGACTTAGGAAAAGGAATACTATAAACTCCAAAATCTACAAAGGTATAGAATTGTATACACCACTAGTCTATCATAGCACGTAAGAGTATGTACACTAAAATATACCATATAGAATAGTATTTACTTGTAAACATCGGTACATTTTAGTACCGTAGGTCGTAGTTTACTCTAGTTAGTCGTAGTATCTAGTACCCCCCCACAGATGCCCACGACATGATTCGGAAGGCGGCCCAGAGTGCGGCGGCTGCAGTTCAGGACTTCGCCTACACCCTGCAGGCTGGGATGGGAGGTCGTGTAATCGTCGCGTTTATGGTTTAGGGGTTGGGTGCAGGACCCTAAACCCTGAACCCTACCGGGTATCGGATTGGGGTGTAAGATGTTGTAGGGTTTAGGATATATGGCTTTGCAGGTTGGGTGGGTTTGGGATTGGGTTTGCACAAGACCGCCGACAGGTGGGGCTGACAGTGTCCGAACAGCCCCACCACACCTAAGGGACACAAAAGCCATGAACAACAAAACTATACCCGTGGCAGAAACCACAACCAAGCGCCAACACCCCAAAGCCATGAATCCTAGTCTCTAATATCCGGAAGCACCGGACCACACAAAAGTCAGAGCCGTCCGAAGCAACGAAAAAGTGAAGGCTGGCCGCACATCCTTGGCGCTGCGGCCACTGCCTCAGCCGCGTATGATATCTGTGTTGTTCTTTGAGCTCGAGTGCTTCATGAAGGGTTTCGGGTTAAAGTTTAGGGTGAAGGAAGCTTGCCTGGATGAAGGACCAAGCCTCAGGCCATAAGGAGCAACCCCATAGCAGGACCTCGAAGAAAAGCCTCGGCACCTGCTTAAACCCTATAAACCCTAAACCCTGCTTTTCCTGCGAAAAAATGGAAAAGGGCGATGTTCGAGGCGGCAAAGAAGTTCGAAGTTAACGCTCTAGGGCTCCTTTGTTGGCCTGCTTACAGGATCATGGGGCTTAGTAACTAGGGTTATAATTAGGGTAGCTATACTTATAACTACTTATAACCCCTATTATGGTACTTGTAACCCTACTTACTAAGTCCCATGATCCTCCAAGTGTCGACAGTGCACAAGTGCTTCCCGCGCTCGCCGGAACCGCGGCTGCAGCATGTATGACTGGAGACCTGCCCACACGGCAACATGCACTCGACACAGTACGAGCCTTACTTTACTGACTCCTACTGAAGACAGTACCCCTAGGTGTAAGACATCCTCAACTTCCGACGCCGAAACACCACAAGGACCCTTAGGCTTTATCGACTCCTGATTATGGTTAACCCCCCCCCCCCCCCCTACCCCCCTCCCCCCTAACCCCTCTGAGGCCCTACACCTTGAGCCTTAAACCCCTCAGGGTCCAAATGAAAACACTGGTTTCCCAAACCCGTCGACTACGGAGGTTGGCAAGAGCCTCCATCCAGAACCCCACAAGCCCGCTCTGGAAAACTCCGCTCGGTCAAGTCCAGTTTGACGTGAAAAGGTCCATCCCTTTAAAGAAACCTGTAGGGAGACCTTTCAGGAGTCCTTTAAGGGTCCCTTCCATCCCTTTAAGGAAACCTTTCTAGAAACCTTTCAGGAACCCTTTAAGGGACCCTGCATGGCCAGCCAGAGGCGAGGCCTCAAGTCAGTTCCTTTGCGGTTGTGGCTCATCATGTGACGCGTGATCGCACCTCTAGGACCCTAAACCCTAAACCCTAATCAACCCTAATAAACCCTAATAAACCCCAATAAACCCTAATAAACCCTAATCAACCCTAATAAACCCTAATAAACCCCAACAAACCCTAATAAACCCTAATGAACCCTAATAAACCCTAATAAACCCCAATAAACCCCAATAAACCCCAATAAACCCTAATAAACCCTAATAAACCCCAATAAACCCCAATAAACCCTAATAAACCCTAATAAACCCTAATAAACCCTAATAAACCCTAATAAACCCTAATAAACCCTAATAAACCCTAATAAACCCTAATAAACCCTAATAAACCCTAATAAACCCTAATAAACCCTAATAAACCCTAAACCCTAAACCCTTAGAAGCCTCAAGGAAACTCAACTCCCCTTTTTGGCCTTGGGTCTCCTGACTGAGTCGTACATACCGAACCTGCACATCGATCGACTCGGGTATTTAGGGTTAAAAGGGCCTTAGGATTTGGGGTTTAAGACTAAGGGGCTTAAGGTTTGGGATTCAGGGCTTTAGATTTGAGGTTTAGTTTAAGGTCAGAGTTTCAATATCAATCTCAAACTGAAATTAGAACCAATACTAATGTAGCAGTAGTTCTGAGTTATGAGAATACAAGGGTATAGGCATAGGTCAGAAAGCCTGAACCCAAATGCAAAGGCGCACAGCAGTTGTCCCCGCGGAGGGCACCCGGGCAGAGGCACTGCAACGCGCTGCGGAGGCCATGTAGTTTCGTGCTCTCAACACGATCCCTGTGTTGTCACATAATTTACCTAAGCCCTTTATTCACTGTACTGCTCTGCATCTTTTTGTGCATCAACTGTGCATATTTGCATTCATGTCGTCTTTTCTGGCTGGAAGGGTTGCTAGGGCTCTGGCTGGTTAATGGGTGTGGAGTAGGTGTGAGCTGCTGCGTCTCGAATAGCATTTGAGAGGTCCGACTAGTCACTTGCGATAACCTTGTTGGTCCCCATATACTTCCATCTGCTGTGAACAGCCTGTTTTAAGTGACGGCCCATATTTAACTGTTAGACCTGGGTTGTTTTTGCCACAGGGCTCTTCCCAAACCCTGAACCCTAAACTAAACCCTGCGGATGGCTTGAGTTGGAGGTTTGGCGGGCCTAGTGCTGAGCTTGCACTACTGCAAGCCCGAAGGCAACCCGGCAGGCCCCCTAAATCCTACACCCTCAAGCCCAAACCCTTAACCCTAAACCCTAAACCCTTACTTTCTCAAACCCTGTCCGTGAGGGGAAACATTTATAGAGCCCCTGCGAGACCTCAAAACCTTGACCTAAAGCCTCCAGCCTGTAGCCCGGATAGAGCTCTTATCGAACGCCAAAGATTTCATCTCAGAGCCCCCTGAAGCTTGAAACCCGTAGCCCATAACTTTTGTTGATTCCCTATCTGTAGCGCTCATAGAGATGGAGCCCTTACGGACACCGAAACCACAAACCCTAAACCTCAAATCCTCAGCCCGAAGCACCACCCTCTTGGAGGGGCGGGGGTTTTGGGAAGAAGGTAATAAGTAGACCTATGGTTACATTAAAAGGGATCCGAATTGGGGTTATGAGTTATGATGCTCATAAGTCCATAAAGAGCTACCTGACAAGTCCCCGGACCCTCGTAGCTCCTTCCCGCAGACCCCAAACTGCCCGGGAGGTCTTAGAGTCGTCCTTCCCGGATGTTGAGGAACTGGAGGCGCACTGGGGCTTACTCAGTCTAGGGGCTAGGGGTTTAGAGGTTTAGGGGTTTAGGGTTTAGGGGTTTAGAGTTTTAGGGTTTAGGGCTTTAGGGGTTTAGAGGTTCAGGGGTTTAGAGTTTGGGGGTTTAGAGTTTGCGGGTTTAGGGTTTAGGGCTTTAGGGCTTTAGGGCTTTAGGGGTTTCGGGGTTTAGGGGTTTAGCGGTTTAGCGGTTTAGAGTTTGCGGGTTTAGGGTTTGGGGCTTTCGGGGTTTAGGGGTTTAGGGTTTTGGGATTTTTAGGGTTTAGAGTGGTCGTGGTCGTCGTAGTCGTAGTTGTAGCCGTAGTCAGTCACTGTACTAGTACTAGTAGTACTAGTGGTAGCACGAGTACTAGTACTCGTATCAGGACTAGCAGTAGCAGTAGCAGTACCAGTAGTAGCAGTAGTAGTAGTAGTAGTAGTAGTAGTAGTAGTAGTAGTAGTAGTAGTAGTAGTAGTAGTAGTAGTAGTAGTAGTAGTAGTAGTAGTAGTAGTAGTATTAGCAGGAGTAGTAGTAGTAGTAGTAGTAGGAGGAGCAGCAGCAGCAGAAGTAGTAGTAGCAGTAGTAGTAGTAGCAGTAGTAGTAGTCGTCGTCGTGGTGGTGGTGGTAGTAGTAGTAGTAGCAATAGTAGCGGTAGTAGAAGTAGCAGTAAAAGTAGAAGTAGAAGTAGAAGTAGATAGTAGCAGTGGTACCAGTAGTAGCAGAAACAGCAGTAGCAGCAGTAGCAGCAGTAGCAGCAGTAGTAGTAGTCGACCCTGCCAAGCAATCCGCAATCCTTAAAGTTCGTTTTTTTTGGCAATCGTCTACATGTTTTCCGATACCACATACCCATTGCTCTTTTCTGTTGGACGGTCCAAAGAAGCCTCAGTTTTTGGCGAGCCTACGAGTCCAAGACCTAAGCTTGCACATACTCCTGAACTCCTGAACACAAGCAAGCTTCAGAAGTCTACTTGTAGGGGGCCTGAATGAGTAGCAATAGCATTCCCGTAAGTTCTGACGTATACAAAGCATATCCCAGGACCATGCCTGCATCATTTAGGCCCCTGTCACCCTGAGACAACCCTTGACTAGAATCCACATGCATTATATACAAACTTCTCCACCTTGCGAAATAATGCTAAACCCATATCCTTCACCCCAATATAGGGGCCATTCGGGGCCTAAAAAATTACCAGTACTATTTTGGGGGGTCCCTCATTATAAGTTTAGTATAACGGGCCCCAAAACCCTGTTCTAATTATTGAGGCCCTATTTTATAGTGCCCTCATAGATCCCTTATAGAACCCTTGAAAGGAGCCCTTTGCTAATCATTCAGGCCCCTATATTAAACAAACCCTAGATCCTCTGCCCATGGAGGAGCTGGAGGATGCTCGGAAGCGACCTCCGGCATGGAGTCCTGGTTTTTTTGGTGGCGGAGGGGCGTTGGATGGAATTTCTGCAGGGTTTTGCGCGCCGGGCTTGTTAACGGTTTTTAGAGATGTGGAGGGCTTCTCAGGGGTTTAGATGGCTTTAGAACTTTTGCAGCTTCTCTTCGGGCTTGATTGGGCCTTGCAGATTTAACAGGTCCGCTTTGCGGCTGAAGTTGGACTTGCAGCAAGTTGAAGTTTGAAGTTTGAAGGGTTTAAGCAAAAAGCAAACACAACTGAAACAAAACCCCAAACCCTCCCAACGACCCTACGTAGCACGGATGCCCAGGTCGCTTTCGTCTTCCCGGGACAGGGCAGCCAGTGCGCAGAAGGGTCTTGCGGGGTGATGTAAGGTTTTATTGGGGCTTGCAGGGTTCTGCAGGGCTCTTTGTGCAGGGACGTACTTCAAGCTAACGGATCAGGGTTTTGTGCTTTCTGGGTGTTTAAGTTTTGCTCAGGGTGTTTTGGGCTTGTGGTTTTTAAGTTTTTTGTGAGCTTCAGGACGCACTGGTTCTGGGCGACGGGAGTGGGGGCATCAAGTTTTAAGAGTTATAGCTTCACGGTCAAGGATTTGTGATGTAAGGTTGCAGAGCAACAGCTGTCTGTTACCTGCCGTACTACAGTCACCAAATTCAATCATCGTCTCAAGTATTTTGGATGAGGTTCGCATATTGTGGGCTACACAGCACGTTTGCGTCCTCGTAGAACGAGAAGACAAGCATGACGCAGTGACGTCGAATGCTGCAAATGATAGTGGTTCATGGTTTGCTGGGATTGGGTTACATGCCAGAACCCTCCAAGCACTCGTCAACGACGGGCTGCAAGAAAGGATGTTTTGCGGGTGTAGGCGGAGATACGTGTTTAGGGTTTAGCTTCATGAGAGTGTACCGTTATTGAGGGGTTCGGGGTTACATAGTGTTTTGGGCCACGTAAATGGGTTTAGGGGTCATGGTGTGACTCTGAATCAATACCGGCCTCTAATACCCCTCGCGGTGTGCGCCAGGTACCTCGGCATGGCCAGAGGTCTCTACGAGCAGGCACGCGCTAGTACTCGCCGGCATCTGAAGCTAAAGCACTACCCTAAACGCCATGGCCCTGACCCCTGAACCCTATACCGCTTGGAGGTTTACGATGTACAAAGCGCAAAGTCTTAAAGTTCAAAGCCCGACACCCAGAGCCTCAAAAGACGATGGGGGCAATCTCAGTTCAGGACCCTGACAAAGTTAAGCGCTCGGGGGACTCAGTAAGCGTCGGGTTGCAGTCAGGCTACTTGGAGGGTCGGGGGACTTAGTAAGTAGGTATAGTAAATAGACTTATAAGTACCCCAAAAGTGACCCCAATTGGGGTTATGGTACTTATAAGTCTCTAGAATAACTACTTACTAAGTCCCCTGACCCTCCAAGTAAGGCATCTCGCTTTACCTATGACCTGCGTGTGGCTGCAAAATCAAGTTTCAGCCTCGCTTCCGGGACGCATACCTGGGTCAAAGACCCTAAACTCAAAAGGCCCCAAGCAATGGATAGCTCCCTAACATGATAAACTCTGAGGACATCTGAGGACGCCTCAACACGTGAATCCGAACGTTCGGTATAGAACTCGTATACCACCCTAATACGACGCGGAAAGTATCTGAACAACCCCTTTACCACCCTATAAGCCTGTAGTGATACTTTGAGAACACCTCTGAAATCCCTACAAAACACAACAACACCTTGATCAAATCCTACGCCCGCCGCAGGTGGCGCTGTTTCAGCGAATCGCGGACCAGTGCTGTGAGCAGTTGGCCTCGTCCGGTGCTGAATTTTGGTTTGGGGTGGAGGGTGGATGTGGAGTGTCGGGGGACATCGTAAGTAGGTAAGTAGGTATAATGATGAAGTAGACCAACAGAGGATTCTAATTGGGGTTATGATACTTATAAGTCTTTAAACTGCTTACGCAAGGGGTCTACAGGGGTTAGGATTCAGGGTCCAGCGTTCAGGAAGATACAAGTACGGTTAGATGTAGGATGACTATAGTCATAACTTATGACCGATATTGGGGGGACTCATCACCCCACGTATCACTACCCATAAACCTCCAAGTAGAGTTCAGAGGTGTGCCATCTCGGAAGTTGGCGGGTTTCTTCTTGCATCAACCTCTGACGCCGGCCAGAAGGAGCCAGAATTGAGGTTTCGGGTTCGGGTTTAGTGTTTGGAGTGTCTAGGCCCCATGCCTAGGTCATTGGACCGCCTCTCTACGCCTAGGGCCTAGGCCAAGAGTTCCAATCCCTTAGCACAGCGTTCTTGGCACCCTGCTTGGAGGGTCGGGGGACTTAGTAAGCAGGTAATAAGTAGACTTATAAGTATCTAAAAGGGATCCTCATTGGGGTTTTGGTACGTATAAGTCTCCAAAACAACTAGTTACTAAGTCTCGCGACCCTCCAAGTGCAAACCCTACGCCGACATCTGCTCCACTGAAAATCGAACCATCAGATTCCGCACGAAGCCAACACTGAAATGGGAGTTTCCGAAAACTAGGGGTACCTCATTTTGGGGTCCTTATACTAAGGATCCTACTACAAGGGGTACTTTCTTAGGGTCCCCACATCTTCGGAAACCCCAAATCGAACTCATGATCTCTGAAGTCCAGGTGTCTGGTTAAAAGGCTCAGGGTCTTAATATGAGCGAAAAAGGCACACTAAGCGCTTCGACACCTTGGAGCGCATCCTTACCGAGCCTTGCGCAACCTTTGTAGCACCCTGTTTCATCCCCACAACGTTCTGAACACTGGGACACTACATGAACTTACATACTTGTCTTTGCAGCTGCTTATCAAACACTGGAGAACTCTACAACCTACAACACTTAATTACGAGACCTCTAGTTTCTTAACGACCCAGAGACTCCAAAACCCCTCAATTAAGGAATATACCTTAAACCAAAATATGATTTAAGATGTTTTCCTTAATTAAGGGGTTTTGGAGTCTCTGGGAACACTTTAGAAAACTTATAAAACTTATATAGTAGCTATTAGAAGCTGCTCCCACCCTGTAATAGTGACTATAAGGATGATATCAGGGCCCTAGTATATTCCTATTATACCACTGTTACAGGGGACCCTAAACCCTAAACCCTATTATATACCTATTATACCGCTGTTACGGGGTGGGGGCCCCTTCTAAAGTAGCTTGCACTGTCGAGGCCACAGTTGCTGGGCCAGGCTGGGCCGGGTCAGGGCTCTGGAACCCCAAGCCTAAGACTTGAAAGTCTCGAGGGTTTAGGGTTTAGGGCTTAGGGTTTAGGGTTTAGGACTTAGGGTTTAGGGCTTAGGGTTTAGGGCTTAGGGTTTAGGGTTTAGGACTTAGGGTTTAGGGCTTAGGGTTTAGGGCTCAGGGTTTAGGGCTTAGGGTTTATAGGGCTTAGGGTTTAGGGTCTAGGGTCTACTATGCCCCTAATATATCCAGAGTGGCTTCTGTTGGCAGCTGCAAAGGCGTTTAGTGATGTATTCTGAAGCGTTTGAGGGTGAGAGTTTCGGGCTACGCTGCTACTGAATGCGGATGTCGATGCAACCTGGGTTCTTGTCAAGGAACCTGTAATCCAAGTTACCAGAATGGCGTTCTATAGTGAAAAACCAACATGGTTTTCGTGTTGTGGTGACTTGGGTTAGGTTCTTTAGCATGAACCCGGCAACAGCCCCATTCAGACTACTCTTCGGCGCTGCAACTTCAGAGGAAGGCTCCCACAATGAGGGAGCGTCTTCTCCAGGGTTCCCCAGCTTAGAGGCATAATCGGACTAGAATCTACACCCCAAACTTTTAAGTAACCCTTTTGTAGTAAAGCAAAAAACCTAAAACCCTACACCCATATAGAACCCTTTGAAGGAACCTCATGGTGCAGTCTTGCCCCTTGGTCCCTACACCTATATAGAAGCCTTTAGAGGAACCCTACACCCATATGTAAGCCTTTAAACGAGCCCTACAACCCTTATGGAGCCCTTTAAAGGAAACCTGCACATAAAGGTTTTAAAGCAACCCCACACCCATATTCAACCCTTTAAACGGAACCCTACACCCTGAAACTATCCTTTAAAGGAGCCCTGCACCCACATAGAACTTTTTAAAGGAACCCTGAAACCTTAGATCCTAAACCCTAAAAACAACCCTTTAAAGGAGCCCTTAAACCTTAGATCTAAACCCTAAACCTACCCTTTAAAGGAACCCTACACCCACATAGAACCCCTTAAAGGAACCCTATAAAAAAACTGGGCCCTAAACCCTTTAAAGGACCCCCCACACCCACATAGAGCCCTTTAAAGGAGCCCTTAAACCTTAGATCCTAAACCCCAAAAACTACCCTTTAAAGGAACCCTAAACCCTAATCTAGGCCCTAAACCCTTTAAAGGACCCCACACCCACATTGAGCCCTTTAAGGGAGCCCTTAAACCTTAGATCCTAAACAGACTACCCTTTAAAGGAACCCTAAACCCTAAACTCCCTAAACCCTTCAAAGGAACCCTACACCCACGTAGAACCCTTTAAAGGAACCCTACCCGGCAACTTTTGCGGAGGATCTTCGGCCGTTGCTCTTCGGGAGCGCGTTTACCCCCGAGGAAGCGCAGAAGGAGATGGGAGATTTCGGATTGGTTCGGGGTTTACATAGGGTTTAGGGGTTCAGGGTTTATGGTTTGGGGCTTTGGGGTTTAGAGCTTGGGGTTTAGGGTTTAGGGTTGTTAGATCAGGGTTTAGGGTTTAGGGGTTTGGGGTTTTGGGGTTTTTGGGTCACTTAATTTCTTTTCCCCCTGTTTTATTGCCAGACGATTTCATCTACACCGAGTACCAAAAGGCAGGATTCCGCCGGCATCGAGTGAGTACATATCTAGTTGGTTCAGGTTCGCGACTGGCCCACCACCAGTACGGACGGCTTCATCCTCCCGATGGTGATGGTAATCGAGTTCCGTTTGAGGCCCGCTTCGGTTTCTTAGCTTCGCTTCGTTGCCTTCGCAAGTGCGCCTGACAGGAAGCTCGAACATTATTGTCGCCTGATGGACTTGGAGCCGCCGGGGCCTTGGACTCACCGTAAGTACCCTCTTCACGCCTCGTCGCTCAGGCACCGGCTGAGGAAGCGGAATACCCCGGAGGAGCTGTACTGGCAGCTCATGTGGATCCCAAGAAGCGCGGTCCTCGTTCGAGCGAAGTCGAAGCTGCTCGACGAACCGCGTGCCACTCAGGTCAGCGCGACGAGTGATGAGGAGCCACCCGAGCGACGCGGAGTATAAAAGCAAGAAGGTTTTTATAGGTTTTTGATAATAAAGTTTTCTATTTGTAGAGAAGAAAGAAGCTTCAACATAGACGATGCGCATTAAGGAAGTAACACAAGCATTCACGACGCACCAACATGTACTGCATAAGATGTAGTTGTATTTGGGATTTTTGTAAAAGGTATAGTATGTACACATAGAATACATATATATATATATATGGACTCTATATATATATATATATATATGTACATATACATAGAAACACATACACATAGATATATAGTATGTATACATGGGTCAGTTGAATTATACTTATATATATATATATGTATCTCTGTATTCCTACGGGTTCTTAGGAACGTTTATGCCTTGTATGTGCCGCGATTGCGAACCTAGATGTTGTCATAATCTCGGGTTCGTCGATGAAGACTGCAAATAGGACTACACGACAAGTGTTTGGACTACTTCACCGACTACATTTGCAACATAGAACTTCTTATGACGGGAGATATATTTCTCTGTACAAATAGATTCTATTGACTTTTATCGTTCATTTATCCTATATTTGTATATATATATATATATATGTATGTATACATATGTGTAAATAAATAATATATATATATATATATATATACATATATATATACATGTATATTTGCTACGGGAATTAGCGATTTTTCTACATTTTATGTGCCGCCATTGCGAGCCTGGATGTAGTAATAATCACGAGTTTGTCGATTGAGACCGAATAGGACTACGTGAAACAAGTGTTTGACGACTTCACCGGCTACATTTGCAACAGTATTTCTTTACGACGCGAAATATATTTCTTTGTACGAAGAGATTCATTGAATTTTGTCGTTTGCTTGTTTTTGTATATATATATGGATATATATATATATATATATGTATATATATATATATATATATATACATATATATATACGCTTCTTCTCTAGAAGGTATATGTACACATATATACTATATATCTATGTACGTGTATATGCACATATGCGTATATATATATATATATGATTTAACAAGCTTTTGCTTGCTTGTATGCGCCTCTATTTTGTATTCGGTTGTTATGATAATCCACGGAGTTTAAGCCTGAGAATTGAAAACTACGTCAACAAGCGTGAAGATTCCTTCTCGACTAGATTTGGAACGTACGATGTCATTGCGATTGGGAACCCTTTTATTCCTAGGATACAATTCCAGTGGAAGTTTGTCTTTCCAGATCGAAAGCTCGAGTCTCGAGAGAGGTTGACCTGAATCGAAGCCCAGGCATTTCCGATATGTTTCGGGCATGTAAGGCTTCAGGATCGAAGACGCTTCACACATAAACATATATGTATATATATATATATACCCATATGTACCCACCAGACTAGGCCTGGACGTGCACATAGAGATTTCTTTATATAGTACTTATGCATATATACTTATGTTTACATTACCTATGTACACACATCTGTTCCAAACCTTGTTACTTGAAACACTATCCTTGTCGTAGTTGTTCAACTCATCCTTGCCTGGTGGACTAAGGTCTTTACCCCGTACGCTCGTAATAGGCGACCATCACCGGAATTTACATGCTTTGAAGTTTCTCGAGCATTCTGAACATGACGACTGTTGTAGCTGTTCTACAAGGGAAGCAGTTAACCACGAAAGCACTGAAGATTGCAGTCGACAGCGCGGCTTGTGGATCAAGCGGCAGTTGCGACTTTTCGCCAACGCGGCCGCGTCGCCGAATCCTCAGTTGCACCGAAATCCTTGGTTAGGCGACGCACCTCTCGATTTGCGAGGTTTCGCACAAATGCCGCCTCCTCCTTCTAACTACTTCAGGGACCGAGGCGTCGCTGCTTTGCAAAGTAAATCGAGCAGAGCGGCTTGGATGACGAGGTGACCGCAAGAGATTTCGACGAGGTCCACTGATGTATTCCGTGCCGACCTCAGGAACGGTTGACGGCAGAACGCGGCCTTCGTCGTGCTAAGTCCGGTCGCGACTTTCGGGAGATGCTCGACATCGAGCGCGAGGCTGCGCAACTGCACCGATAATGCTGCTTTGATTTCGTCCGAGCCCGTTAGCCGGGAAAGCCTTGACTACTTGCCCACAACCCTGTTTCTCGTTGCTCCCAATCGTCCCGCTCTATAACTCCACATAAACGCTCGGTGCGATGGGTTGTCACAGGTAGAATCTTTTACGACAGTGCTTCGGACGCGAGAACCGACAGAAGCCAGAGGGTCATTGGGTTCATGAGATTCTCCGGTGTCTACCAGCCTCGGTTAAAACCGGTACCGACCGTAGGTACTCCAAAACACAAACCCAAGCATCTAGCCCAAACCAGATTAAGAGCCGTTTGAAAGGAGGTGAAGCGATTATGGCTCGGGGCCATCGCCGCCACGCTTCGGCCTTAGTTAGCGGCCAACGATCGGCATCGACATCGGACCGCACAGGATGGTCCGTTCGGCGGCGGATGCCGGGTGTCCGGAAGAAAGCCACTTCGCGCCGCCGGCCTACAAAACGTGCCGGAGACTAAGGCAGTAAACATCTTGTCCCAGGTCGTGCAACAGCGTCGCCGACATCGACGACTGGTCCGGGCCGACAACGGTCAAAGTTAACTGCACCGCATTGATCCCGAGGTTGACGCGAACGCATTTTTCCTTCTTTCATCAAGATGGCGACTTCGAGGAAAGTACGCTGGAAACCCGACTCGAGTGGAGATCCTCGAAGAAGCAGAGCGGGCCCGCCCAGGGACCTGGCGCGCGCCCTGAGATCCTGGCTCTTCGGTGCCAACAGGCCGACTGTGATTCAGAAAGCAGTGTCCGAGAACAGGTATTCATGCATCTTCAGCCGTATGTATTCGGATGACACTAATCTTTCGCGTAGGGGTTCAGGGTTCAGGGTGTAGTGTTTGTGGATGAGACACGTCGGATTGGTTCAGGGATTTGGGTTTGGGGTTTAGAGCTTAGGGTTTAAAGTCTAGGAGTTTTGGGTGCAGGGTTTAGGGTTGAGGGTTTGGGGGTTTAGGGTTTAGGGCTTGGGGTTGTTAGATTAGGGTTTAGTGGTTTAGGTTTCAGGGTTCAGGGTTTGGGGTTTAGAGTTGACGGGTTCCGTGTTGAGGGTGTAGTGTTTACGAAGGAGAATTGTCGGATCTCTGCGATTTCTTGGGGGGCGGGCTGCGGAGATTTCGGGACATGTCCTTGACGAAAGGTTGGGCCAGGTTAGTTCTATAGCAAATCATCCCTACCATCCAACACATATACCACAAGACCCTATTCTAATCGTTAAGAATTCACATTCGTCAGCTGGGCGATGTTGGGGACAGGTAACTTGAATTAAACCCCAAGGCCCTAGGCACCAAGCCGCAACTCCCAAAGCACCAAGCCGCAACTCCCGAAGTACCTTGCTAATGTTGCTACAGCAGGAGTTCGAGAAGCCTTCCGTGGCAGGCTCAGGGCGTTGTGAAGTGCTGAGCCAAGCTTAACCAACCAATCTCAGTATCTGCAAAATGCCGGCCGGCATGCTCTTCAGTTTTTCGTGCCTTCTCCGTTATGTGGGTAGTTGCCAAAATTAGGGTCCCTTGTTGGGTACCCTAAAGATTAGGTGCCGTATTTTGATAAGGACCCAAAAAGGGACCATAATTTTGACAACCACCCATGTAGGGTTCTAGGGTTGAGAGAGTCGGGTTCAGAATTCTTGTTTCGTGTATTTCGGGTTTGGGGCTTAGCGGTGTTCCCTGTCGTTTGGCTATCCCACAGAACTGCCGGTAGCCTGGTCTAATGCAGAGGCTTCAATATTTTAGTTTTACTAGGAAAACGTATTATACATAATATAGTATCATGGGTCTCAAAAAACTTTATTCTAATTTTTAAGACCTCCATGGCAACTGCTGGTGAAAGTTACTTCGGCTACGGGCAGACTCTTAAACCTGGCACTGAAACCTCAAGGTCTTGCAGCCAGCCCTCTTCGTGGTGGAATATGCCCGGCAGCCGGCATTTTCCTGGTGTTTACCCTAAACCCTAAACATTAGTCGATGGACTGTCTGGGCAACGAGGGATTGAGAGGGAAAAACTTCCAGGGTGGTGGGGCTCCAGAGTGCAGGTGCATGGATATGGGAGTTTCCAAAACCACGGGGTACTTTTTGTTTAATACTATTTGGGGTACTATATTAGGGTACCGTATCTTCGGAAACCCCCATATGCTCGAAGCTTGAACCGTCATATAGGGTTCTGAGTAATTAGTTCTTTTGTTCCCTTGTCATCCCTAAGCAAGAGCCCCGAACTCTGCTTGAGTTATCCAGGCCTCTACAGTACGTTCATCGCTTGAACTGCACATCCAAAACGCCCCCCACTACGGTTGATGACATAAGTCTCGGATGACCCACAATAAGGGACACGCCATCATTCCCATAGTTTAGGCTCCTTAAAGTAATGCAGGATTTTATATCATCAACTGCAGGGCCCCGAGTCCATGAGGATTAGGCCCTGAACCTGACTCCCAGCTTTTGGTTTAGTAGCTGAGTAGATACACTTTACACTTTTTTTGGAATGTTCTACCCACTATAAAACCAAAAGTGACCGCTTCTTGGGGCTTATGAACTCAGCAGCTGAGTTGAGAAGTAAGCCCTACACCCTAAACCCTGAACCCTAAGCTCTAAACCCCAAACCCTAAACCCTAAGCCCTGCACTTAAAGAAAACTAAACCCTAAACCCTAAACCCTAAGCCCTAAACCCTGCACTTAAAAAAAGACTAAACCCTAGCCCCTAAACCCTAAGCCCTAAACCCTGCACTTAAAAAAAGACTAAACCCTAAACCCTAAACCCTAAGCCCTAAACCCTGCACTTAAAAAAAGACTAAACCCTAAACCCTAAACCCTAAGCCCTAAACCCTGCACTTAAAAAAAGACTAAACCCTAAACCCTAAACCCTAAGCCCTAAACCCTGCACTTAAAAAAAGACTAAACCCTAAACCCTAAACCCTAAGCCCTAAACCCTGCACTTAAAAAAAGACTAAACCCTAAACCCTAAACCCTAAGCCCTAAACCCTGCACTTAAAAAAAGACTAAACCCTAAACCCTAAACCCTAAGCCCTAAACCCTGCACTTAAAAAAAGACTAAACCCTAAACCCTAAACCCTAAGCCCTAAGCCCTGCACTTAAAAAAAACTAAACCCTAACCCCTAAACCCTTTTGAGAAGGGTTTAGGGGCAAGAGCCTCGACGAAGCCAGGAATGGGATCCCCAGATCCCCAAAATTTTCCATGGAAGTTTGATTGGGTTTAGGGTTCAGGGTTTATAGGGTTTAGGGTTTAGGGTTTAGAGTCTAGGGTTTAGGGTTTGGGGTTTAGGGTTTAGGGTTTAGGGTTTAGGGCTGAAACTTAGAGTTTAGGGCAGTTTAGGGTTTGTGGTTTAGGGTTTAGGGTTTAGAGCTTAAACTTAGAGTTTAGGGTTTGTGGTTTAGGGTTTAGGGTTTAGAGTTTAGGGTTTAGGGTTTTGATTGAAGTCGGGGCAGCCCCAATCGAAACACCTGATTTGAAGGACCCCGGAGAAGCAAACACCCTGCAGCAGCATGACAGGGCAATTTCCTGCATCCATAATAGGGAAATTACCATAGACCCCTTACTCTGGGGTACTTAAGGTCATGTAGGATTCTGTCTATCACCCTTATGAATCTGCACCCCACGAAGTTTGCCCGCCGCTTTCAGAAGTCGGACCTCGCTCTTCTTGCCCCCAGGCCTTGTCGCAAGTTTTCCTCGCCGTGAACGCGCGGGCCATGTCATGCTTGGAGTAGGATTTAGGGTTCAGGGTTTCGTGGCTTGGAGGGTTTCGTGGCTTGAAGAGTTTGAGGCTTAGGGTTTAGGGATTTGAGTTGTAGGTAAACCAAAACAGGCTATGACACTTCTTCTCGAACTTCAAGTGCCAATTGTTCGGTAGCCTTAACTGCCCACCATGCAACATTTTTGGACGTGTCGATTTTAGGGTTTTGGGTTTGGGTTCACAAGGATTTTAGCACGGCTTGGAGAAGCTTTTGCAGCCCCATAGGGTTACAGTAGGGGTATGGTTCTCCTGCTTGGGATACCTTTGTTTCCGGCAGTCGCCGTACATGGGCTTGAGTGGATTTAAGACTGTAGTTACTCCCTAAACCCTATGCCCTAGAACTCCAAACCCTCAACTCGAAACCAGAAACCGCGAACTCTGTACACGAAAGAAACTCACTAAACTTGACTCTAAAGCCCTGAAGCCCAACAGCGAGACGACACCTGGGACTGTCAAAATGCTGCAGAACCTTCAGAAAGCTCGGGGGCGTGGATTTGCCAAGAATAGCTAACACAAGTTTCGGCCTATACCTGTCCCAAGACAACGATATCAGAATCGATTCTGAAGCCTTCTTCTAATTATATACTACGCTTGTCAGGCCTGCATACAACAGCTCTGAGCCTACCATTCCGAGGTAAAGCCAGTCGCCTGTGCCGGCCACTCGCTTGGGGAGTGCGCCGCTCAGGGGTGTAGCTCGTTGGCTTCGGGTTGCGCAAGTAGGTTTTCAGGCCTAGGTAGGGGTTTGGGGTTTGGGGCTTTGTGGTTTAGGCTTCAGGGTTCAGTGAAGGTTCATGGTTGGATTTTGCGGTTTCCAACGGCTGCGAGCTACCCCCAAGCGACATTGGGGCAGAGTTTTTTCGGCGAATACCATCCACTTGAGTTCTTGTAGTCCCTATACAAGCATAACTACTACAGTGTACCCCGATTTTCTATCCTAAGCCCTAAACCCTAAACCCTAAAGTCTAAACCCTAAAGCCCCTAAACCCTAAACCCTAAACCCCGAAGCCCTAAGCCCTAAACTCTAAAGGCATCCAAAAGCTCTAGAGCCACGTAGCCCTCCGGTCCGAAGCCATGCAGCTCTCAAGCCCCCTTAGGGTTTAGGGTTTAGGGTTTAATTAGGGGTTTAGGGATAAATCCCTTTAGGGTTTAGGGCTTAGGGATTTAGGGATAAGCCCCTTTGGGGTTAAGGGTTAAGGGGATTTAGTTAGCAGTCTAGGATTCAGGGTTCAGGGTTCAGGGATTTAGGGATCTCAAGGGATTTACGTGTTTAGGTTCTCAAGCCCCTCTCGGGTTTAGGAGTTAGGGCGTGGGGATTTAGCAGTTTAGGTTTCAGGGTTCGGTGCTTAGATGAGGGTTGAGGTATCTAGCAGTTTAGGTTTCAGGGTTCTTGGTTTGGCGCCGCCGAAAGCCGAGGTACAGCGCCGCCGTCGTCGGTGGCTTCCTGTCCCTTGATGCCGCTTTGGCTATTGTCGCTGCGCGCGCAAGGCAGTGGTAGATGTCCGGACAGCAGAACAGCGAGCTTTTGCAGTCATAGTGATAGTGCGCGTTGATGCATCCTTTTGATTGTGGGATAGCTCAACATGTCCTTAAGGCGTTGAAGTAAACTTGTGGTTTTTCAGCCCTAGCCTAAACTCGACGCTGCAAGATTCCTTTAGCAAGACTCCGTGTTGATGGTCTTGCTGACGGTAGAGTCTGCATAGCAGCTGAATTACTAACCTTTGATATTGGAGGAGCTAAGGAACCAGGGATGATGATAATCCCTATTGAATAAGGAGCTAAAGAGCCAAGGGAACCCCAAAACCACTGCGTAGATTAGCTTGTGTGCCAAACGGAGATCATGGTTGGCTCTGGATGTAGGGTTCAGGGTTTAGGGCCACGAGCTGCTAGTTGTGATGATGTGCAACCGACTACATACTATATAACTTACTAGGGATAACCGCAGATGAGCCATCAAGTTGAAGGAACCCCTAAATCTAAACCCCGACTCCATTGTGACTCTACCTCCAGGCCAACTGCAGTGCAATGGGTACCGGCAGCAGCAGAAGCAGCCGCAGCAGCAGCAAACAACAAAGTAACGTCCTGGGTATGCTACTGCATCCACCAGCTTCGTAACTGGGTGCTTCGGAGAAGTGGGCCTTAATCAGGGTCCGTCTTTCTAAGGTCCATGAAGTAAATCTCTTACTAGTTGGGTCTAAATCAGGGTCCGCTGTTTTCTGAAGATTCCGAAAGCAGGCAGAAACCTTGGTGTTCAGTGTCAGACCTGTGTTTCGGTCGCCAACTCCTCCGCGGCGGTCTAGCATGGGTGGGCCTCGCGCCATTGATTCAGGTGCTCCTGCAGGCAGATGATTCGTGCAGCCAACGTGGCCCCAGCGCCCAGCACACCCGGTGCCGGCGAAGCACCCGCGACGCCAACACGGGCAACAGCTGCGGGAGTCCACACCCCTGCGTGGCCGCAAGATGCATCGCCGGCCTCGACTGCCTGGGAAGAGGTGCGGCAGATGCAAGCACCCGCGGCGCTGACAAGGGGGCAGTGTTTTTATGGGCCAGTCGACGTGACAAGTCCTTCTTGGAGGGATCTTCAGGGCAGTGATTCCATGTCCGAGGCAGAGAGTTGCAGCGAGGCCATCGGAGAAATTGGCAGCGACCCGGGCCAGGCCGGGCCAGAAGCTTGGACATCGGACAGGCACCCAGTGGTGATTGACATTGACAATATCAGAGCCAGGTGATGCAGAGGCTCTCCAAGGCTCGGGGCACCCAGTGGTGATTGACATTATCAGCTCCAGCGACAGCTGACAGCGACATTGATCCAGACGAGGACGTGTGGCTATCCGAGGGCGCGCTGGAACGCGCACTTGGTAATGTTCCCCGCGGCGTGTCTTACTGCAGTGACAAGTGCTGTTGGCGATTGCAGTACACCTTGGAGGGTAAACGGCATCCCGGAAAGAAGAATTCCGCATTTAGACGTCTGAACGCTGAGTCTGAGTCTGAGTATTCTGCAGGGCGTCTTGTTATGACCATACTATAGCAATACACATCAATACACCAAAACACTATGCTAATCATGAAGGGGTCCTTTGTCACGCCCTATCCCGGGACCTGAATCCCGTAGCCCAACCTCAACCCCTTAGCCTACCCTTTTGGGTTTACTGCTTAGGGTGGATTGGTTTTGCATGTTTGAGGGTTTAGGCTATTGGTGTAGGATGGTTTAGGGCTTAGGTTTAGGGCTCAAAGTTCACCCTAAGCCCTATACCCTAAACCCTAAACCCCTAAACCCTATACCCTAAACCCTAAACAAAACACACCCTAAGCCCAGAGCTGTGCAGGTCCACCGAGACCTTGGCGGAGGAGGGCGCAATGCTGTCCGTGGCCGACTGGCCGGGAGCTTGGGGTTCAGGGGTTTAGGCTTTAGGGTTTAGGATCTGGAGTTGAGGGTTTGGGGTTCAGTGTTTAGGGTTTAGGGTTTAGGATCTGGAGTTGAGGGTTTAGGGTTCAGTGTTTAGGGTTTAGGGTCTAGGGGTGGGTTTACCCGACGATGTAAAATCAAGATGGTTTTAGGCCCTTGCCCTAATCTGCGTGTGCGTTTTCTGGCCCGGGAAGTGTACAAGAGCCAGACACCCTCCTTAGTAGCTGACTTTACATTTTTTTGGATAATACTACCCACTATAAAACTAAAAAATTGTACCCTTTTGGGGGCTTATGAACCCAGCAGCTAAGCCTCCATGTTACGCCGTCGGCCGCTCATCGCAGTCGCGCCCTGCTCTGAACCAGTGCTGCTCGAGGATCTGGGCACTCATTGGTTATCTTGGCGTTCTTCTGGTTGGCTCTTAGGACTTTAACTTTTTGGGTTCTATATGAACCATAATAAGGAAGGGGTTCAGAAGTCGGCCAAGTTATCTTATAGAGTTATTCATGGGTTACCTTATAGAGTTGTTATGAGTATCACAACCCTAATTAAGGAATTAGGGCCCTTTTAGGATAAGTAGCAGTGTCCTTAGGAGCAGCAGAGGTCCTTTGGACGCATCTGGTCATAGGTGTTCGAATCGCTTAAGCACCGGTTGAAGGTCCCCAAAACTCTTAACCCTAAGCCCTATAAACCCTAAGCCCTCAAACTCTAAACCCTTAAAGCCCTAAACCCCTAAGCCCGGAAACGCCAAAAAAATCTGAAAACCCAAACCGTGAACCCTTATAGATCCCTAAACCCTAAACCGTCTGTACCCCTTCAGCGAATCCTGTCAAGGAAGCCTAAAGGCTCGAGCCCAACACGCTTAACGTAGGGGCCTTAATAGTATTGGGTTCCCTTTAAAAGGGTCCTTTAAGGGATCTATAAGGGTACTATAATACAGGGGCCTTACCTTATTAGAATAGGGTTCCCTTTAAAAGGGTCCTTTAAGGGATCTATAAGGGTACTATAATACAGGGGCCTTACCTTATTAGAATAGGGTTCCCTTTAAAAGGGTCCTTTAAGGGATCTATAAGGGTACTATAATACAGGGGCCTTACCTTATTAGAATAGGGTTCCCTTTAAAAGGGTCCTTTAAGGGATCTATAAGGGTACTATAATACAGGGGCCTTACCTTATTAGAATAGGGTTCCCTTTAAAAGGGTCCTTTAAGGGATCTAAAAGGTACCATAATACAGGGGCCTTAATGATTAGACTAGGGTTTTGGGACCCATCATGCTATAATTATGAGCAGGACCCCCGAAATAGCCTTGGTAATCATTAAGGCCCCCAAAATACTAGGCGGGATCGAGGGACTTGGAAAGTTAGTAATTCGTAGACTTATAAGTTTTCCCCCCGAAGGATCCGAATTGGGGTCATGATACTTATCGGTGGATAGAATAGCTGCTTATTACGTCCCCCGACGCTCCAAGCATAGATCCCTATAGATCCCCTTTGAGGAAACCTTTAAAGGAATCCTTCAAATCCGAGCTCTTTAAGGAAACCCTTTAAATGAATCCTTAAAGGAACCCTTAAAGAAACCCTTTACAGGAAGCCTTAAAGGAACCCTTAAAGGAACCCTTTAAGGACACCTTCAAGGAACCCCTTAAAAGACCCCGAAACGATCGGCGCCTAACACCCCTGGGAGGATCTAGAAAGTAGATCCCCTAATTTGGGGCCCTATACTACTCAGGGCACTTTAGGGTTTAGGATTTTAGGGTTTGGGGTTTAGGGGTCTACTTTTTGGATCCTTTTTTTGGGGGGGTTGGGCCTACACCCCCAAGGTCCTCCGAGGAGTTGGAGGCCGTGGCCGCCGGCTCACGGCCGGGGCTTTGGCTGGCCGCCGTGCTTTGGACTGCAAGGGGTTTAGGGGATTTAGGGTTTAGGAGTTTAGGGTTTAGGGGACCTCGGGTTTAGGGTTTAGGGGATCACGGAGTTTAGGAGTTTACGGTTTGGGGTTCAGGGTTTAGGGGAGTTCGGGTGGGGAGATTTAGGGCCGTGCTTCGGACTGCAAGGGGTGTGGAGATTTAGTGTTCAGAGTATAAAACCCCCCAGACCTTCCTACTATTTGCTTAAGAAACCACCAAAAAACAAAAAATAATAATTCCTATATTACCACCATAAGGAATAGATTTTTTATTTTTTGGGGGTTCTTAAGCAAATAGTAGCCAAAGACCTTCTTAAATCCCTTAATTCAGGAATATACCTTAAATCATATTAGGGGTCCTACTATAGTTTAAGGTATATTCCTTAATTAAGGAATGCCCTAAGGCTCCTGGACCTTCGTAGTCAGATCCCAAACCTTGGCTCCCAAAGCCCGAACCCCTCCCCCAGAAAGCCCATGACCCCTTTCGGAGCCTTAGGGTATACCTTAAACCATATTAGGGATCCTACTATAGGTTAAGGTATATTCCTTAATTAAGGGTTTTAGAAGGTCTGGGCCTAAGGGTCCACGTACGCTAATAGTAGATACTTTGTCCGCAAAGGCATGATTTTGGGACTTTTGGTATTACTTGAAAGCCGAAGTATATGCTATTTGGGTGCATGGAGCCTCAGGAAAGGTTCAGGGTTTCAGGATTCGAAAGGTTTAGGGTTCAAGGGTTGCAAGGGGTTTTGAGATTTAGGGTTTAGGGTATCTTACGGCTTTAAGGGCTTTAGGGGTTCGATTCGGTGCTTGTGTTTGGGACTTAGGGTTCAGGGTTACCCAGACCCCCGGGAGGATCCAAAAAGTAGATCCCTTAATTAATGGGGGTTCTTATAAAGTACCCTTAGTAGTATAGGGCCCCAAAATTTAGGGGATCTACTTTCTAGATCCTCCCGGTGGTCTGGGTACAAGTTTTGGGGCTTAGGGCTCAGAGGGCTCCAGGGTTTAGGGCTTTAGGGGTTTGGGGGGTCAGGGTTCAGGGTCTAGGGTCTGGGGTTTAGGGTTGAGTTGTAACCTTTGGTATAGGTTCTTGGAGAGTCTTGCAAGGTTTCTATTGATACGATTGTATTGAGCGTACTAACTTGGTTACGATTGGAAATAGCTTCCCAGCATACGTCTGGTTACAGCTATGTGGGTGGTTGTCAAAATTAGGGTCCCCTTTTTGGGTACCCTAAATAATAGGTGCCGTACTATAATAGGAGCCCCAAAAGGGGCCCTAATTTTGACAACCACTCATGTATGTTGTCTCCACGGCTAAGCCACAGCTCCGTGGGACACCGACCTCTTCAACCTTTTCTGGTGGGGTGCGGTGAACTCGCCGATCTAACGGCCCCGGCACGCTCGCGGGCTTCCGTGTGCAGCACAGCACTCGACGGGCTTGGGGGTTATCATGGAAGGTTCTACGGTTTGCTGGTTTGCCGGCTGGTTGCCCAACGCCGGGCACGATGATTGACGTTCGCGGATGTTTCGCAGATGCGGACAGACGGGGAACGGCCAATGATGCCCTGCCGAAAGGCACCCGAAGGCGTGTTTCGCTTGTTAAGCCCGCGAGCGCGGCCGAATCCGACTCTACTGAGTCTAGCGCTGCATGCTGTCTGAGCGTCAACGCTTTACGAGTGGTATTTGGCTGATCCTAGATCCTGAACCATTCAAGCATATTAAGCTAAAGCATGTAGCACCCGGCCCCCCGCCCCCCGCACAGGCAGATGTCCAAATGTCCTAAATCCTTCCTTACCTGCCGGATTGTCTCCATGCCGCCGGAGCCATAGTATAGAGTTCAGGGTTTAAGGTTGAGGGTTTAGGGTTTAGGTCTGAACAGTTAGAAAAACCCATAGACATACATGTATGTGTGTATGTGTATATAAATATATATATATATATATATATATATATACATCATACATATATATATATGTATATAATAACAGTTCCCTGTTGCCGCTGTATCGTCCGTGAGAAACTGTAGGAAGGCGAAGGTACCCTTTTAGTTCAATGCCATTCGAATTTCTTGAGGTGCCGAAGTAATGAGCTCTAAGAAAGGTACAGTATCCGTTGCGCTCTCTTCAAAAGTCCTAAACCCTAGACCCTAAGCCCCTAAACCCTAGACCCTAAGCCCCTAAACCCTAAACCCGTAGTCCCTAAACCCTAAGCCCTAAAACCCGCAGGTGAACTCCCCGCAGCACGCCGTCGTGTCTGGCGAGGCCTCGCCCGATTTGCTTTCTTTTCCCGCCGTCGGAGTGGTTTCTCGGGAAGTCAGAGGGGCTTATACCTATACTTTTTTGGGGGTTCCTTATTCTAACTATTGTATAATATGCCCTAAAATCCTACTCCGTCTATTACATGCCTTCTCTCACAACGGCTAAGCCGAATAGTTGTAGCTTGTAATCCCTAGTCCCATGAGCGTGGCAGCTGAAAAAGACACCTTTAGCTTTTTCGGCTTGTCTGGCCCATAACTGACAGTGCTTGTTGGGATTGTATAACCTAGGATGAATCCCTAGACTTGTGAAGATCTTTTTCACAGAACCCTCAATCACAATAAACCCATTGGGGCCCTTTTGTTAGGTTTACATGCTCCATAGCTTCAATGACTTCATTCGGACCCGTGAGCTCAGCAACTAGGTACATAAACCCTAAACCAAACCTTACATGAAGTTTTGGCCCAGTGGGTCAACTTGCAATCGTGGATCTTCAAAGCATTCCAGTGTCTAGGGGTTAAGGGTTCAGGGGTTGCTTGATGCTTCGCAGGTTGAGGGGTTTAGCTTTTGTAGCTTTTCAGAACTGGAAAAATAGTCCAGTGTAGTATGAGCCCCCTGTATAGATACACTTCGATGTACCCCAAAACTTATTCTAATCTTTGGGCCCCATGGGCAACCAAAACTTGGAATCGCAGCTCTACAACCTATAAAACCACTACCCCATATGACAATCAAACCCTAAACCCTAAACCTGCCGTCAGGTGCAGGCAGTTGCAGCGCTGGAGGCAGAGTTGAAAGCAGAGGGGCGCCTCCAGCGCGCTTCGGAAGAAGATTCCCGGTGTTAGGCTTATTATAGGGGTCTCACAAAATAAGAATAGTGGGGCCCATGATACTATTTTTATAACAAGGAGCCCCCAAAGTAGTACAGGCAATTGTTCAGGCCCTACAGTAGAGCCTTCTTTCAGGTTTACAACACAGCATCCTTATGTAATCCCACTGTAGAGCCTCAGGAGGACGCTTTGTGATCTGTTGAGAGTAATGTTGAGGTTTCACGTTTGGGTTCTGAGCCAGGCAAATCACACGAAGCATTGAACAAATGTGCAGGCAGACGCATCAACTCTCGTATATGCAAGGGTTAACCAAAGCGGTACATAGACATGCATGCCTACAGATGCATTTGGATGCATGTGCATTCAATATTGAACATCATGTCCACATGTCTCGTGCTTTCACGCATGGGTATGTATGTCCATGTGTACACATGTGTGTGTGTGCGCATGTGTATGCATATATGTGTGCGCCTGCTGAACATCAAACGCCTGCGGAGAGATACGACATGTATGCATGTCCGCAGGTTTTCACGTCCGCAGGTTTTCAGGTTTGCTCTCTCTGCTTGTGTCTCGCTCTCTTGGGTTCTCTCCGTTTCTCTCTCTTTTGTATCTGTTTCTTCCAGCATACATGTACTCTTTTCTATGCATGCATGCATGTATGTACGAATGTATGTATGCATGCCTGTATGTATGTATGCATGTATGTATGCATGTATGTATGTATGTATTTATGTATGTATGTATGTATGTACGTATGTATGTATGCATGTATGTGCGTAAATTGGTCCTTGTGTATGTCTGTGTGTATGTATGCACACACACACACACATGCACCGTGTCACCGTCCACATGCACATCGAGTTATCCTGTACTGTACATCCGTGGCGCAGCATCTGGACGTCACATGTCGAGACTTAGTTTCACGGTTGGGTTCTGTCGCAGTCTTGGAAAGGCTGTCAGGGCATTCGACCCTACACCCTAAAACCGGAAAGCAACTTACACTAAGGCTCGCAAGCGGAAAGTCCTTCTAGACCACCACACCCTGCACCCTGGGCCTAGAAGCCGAAAACCCACACACCCCACAACTAGGTAGGGCTTTGGGACATTTTATATTTTCCCTTATTGGGCTTAAGAGGATCTTATTTACTAATATTTTTCAAAGGCTTTAAAAGCCCCACCTAGACAACCAAGCCAGGCGCAAGTGCTCCCGACTCCATGTGAAGCGTGCGTTCCACTCTGGCCTCATCGCAAAGGCCTGGACACAGGGTTCGCACTTGGAGGGTCGGGGGACTTAGTAACTAGTTCTTTTAGAGACTTATAAGTACCATAACCCCAATTAGGATCCCTTTTAGGGTACTTATAAGTCTACTTACTAGTTACTACCTGCTTACGAAGTCCCCCGACCCTCCAAGCAGGGTTGCAGGAATCAGGCCCAGAGTTTCGGGTTGTGGATTCAGGGTCCTGGACTTAATCAGGGGTTCTATGTTTACCCAGACCCAGGATCCGAAAAGTACATCCTGTAATGGGGGGGTTCCTATAAAGTACCCTTAGTAGTATAAGGCCCCAAATTAGGGGATCTACTTTCTAGATCCTCCCGGGGGTCGGGGTAGCGAGGAGTATGGGGTACATGCTTATAAGGGCAAGAGTTCTCGAGTTTAGGGTTGGCCCACACCGTCCCCACACCCTCAAATAGCTTGGATAGTCAGTATGGGTGGTTGTCAAAATTATGGTCCCTGTTTGGGGTCCTTAGTATAATACGGCACCTAATATTTAGGGTAGCCAAAAAGGGACCCTAATGTTGACAACTACCCGCATGGTCTTCAGGTTTCAGAGCCCCTTGATCATGGGTCCGATTGAAGTGCGTGTAGGATGTCTTCCGGTTTCAAGGTGTTCCTTTATTCGTGAAAAATGCAGATCTACAAAGATTCCACGAACTGCTGCCAAGGACATGGGTCTATTTCAAATAATTAAAACACGTTTCAGGCAGAACTAGGATTTAGTCAGTGCTTGTCATGATTGTTGGTTGAGTGGTCATTGGCGAAGGTAGAGATTGCATTGCAAGGATTTAAGGTTTTTGATTCAGGCGGACTGGCATGCCCACCAGGACAATGGGGAGTCGACCAGCACCAGCCAACCTAGAGTGGCAGACCATACCGGACCATGGCCGCTTGGCTGTTCGCATGCGCTAAAGTCGTGCCGTGTCTTATTCGGAGCCAGATGCCGCCGAGCTTCGGTTCGCCTGGCTCGCACGGTTGAGCTGGAAAACTCGACTGGCACGAGCGACCATGTGAGCAAACAGCGTGGGCAAGCTCTGCCAGCATGTTGAGGCCCACAACAGCCAGGCCAGCAGGAAAGACCCGCGGGGCTCTTCCCAGTGGAGTCCTTCCGTCCGCCGAGGACCATGGAAGATGCCAGCTTCCAGATCGTGCTCATCAAGGCTGCCGCTGCTGCAGCTGGGTGTAAAGATCGCAAAATCGCGCCGTGCCGTGTGATGGCTGCTTTCCGGGGAAGCGTGGTGAAGACAAAATCTGGAAGCATGGTGCGCCCGGGCAAGCCATCCTCGACATTTCTGCCTCCACTGCCCAGCTTATGCAGCTCCTCCTCCAGGGGTTTTTGCATATTGACATATCGTCTGCAGAGCTGGCCCGGCTCTCCACCTATCCCGGCGCGATTCTTTCCACCACTGCAGGCACTGCCCATCTTCTTCGATGGGAGACATATGTGGCCCGCGGCTGCGGCCTGATACCACGGGCTGGGACCCTAAACCCTGATCCCTAAACCCTAAACCCTGATCCCTAAACCCTAAACCCTAAACCCTAATCCCTAAACCCTAAACCCTAATCCCTAAACCCTAAACCCTAAACCCTAATCCCTAAACCCTAAACCCTAATCCCTAAACCCTAAACCCTGATCCCTAAACCCTAAACCCTAAACCAGGAATCCCACAGAGTGCAGCCTGAACACTGGACCTCCATGTTGTGTTCCCGAGGGCTTTGGCATCGGAGACCCTACCTAATCTCAGAGCCCTTAACTAGGTTGGATTTTGCGAGATTTTTTATTTCCCTTATTTGGGTTTATAAGGGACCCTATATATAAATATTTTTCAGGGTGTTTAAAGGCCAACCCAGTTAAGCTCTAAACCGAGCATTCATGAAGCTATTAAAAGCCTTATAGATCCCTGAAGCGAAACCTCATAAATCCTTATTTCACCGCGATACCCTGAGCCTGAATCGTCGATGTCGAGATCTCAGCCCGAGAGCAATCCTCCTGGGGCATCTCAATTGCCCCACCACATCTCCTCCACTGTAGCGCTTTTGTAGGGTTGCATGGGGCTTTGAGTATATCCAGGTGGGGTCTTCCCCAAACCCTAAACCCGTCCTAAACCCTAAAACCCTAAATCCCTAAACCGATGTACCTTGACATACAGTAGAAGCCAGAAAGTTGGAACATCATTGGCCTCATGCCCTGAAGGTAAAGTATAAGGGATCCTAGCACTAATCCTCCTAAAGTTATGTTCCAACTTTCTGGCTTCTACTATATACTAGGGCTTGAGGATCCCTCTGTGATGTAAGGTGCGGCTCTTGGAGGATCCTTTGGTCTCTGTAAGGATTTAGGGCTTACTTGGAGGGTCGGAGGACTTGGTAACTAGTTATTTTGGAGACTTCGAAGTACCGTAACCCCAATTAGGATCCCTTTTAGGGCACTTATAACTCTACTTATGACCTACTTACTAAGTCCCTTGACCCTCCAAGTATGGTTTATGTTCAGTGTGAAGGTAGGGTTTTTATGGTGGTTTAGGCTTTAGGGTCTGGTTGGGGATATTTAGGGTTCAGTTTGGGGTTTAGGATTTAGGGTGTAGGTATCTTTTGGTTAACTAGGTTTATGACAAGGACCTTAGAATTGCTCGAAAAACCACAAGCATGTGCAGGCCGCAGACACGCTGCGCAACCTCGGAATGACAGAAGAGATGTCCAAGCCCCAGCCGGTTTAAAGTTTAGGGTTGTATGGGATTAGTGGTTTAAGTTTTGGGGTTTAGGGCTTGGGGTTGTTAGGGTTTTGTGGTTTGAGTTTTAGGGTTTAGGTTTGGGGTCTGGGGCTTTAGGGTTTAGGGTTCAGTGCTTAGGTTTGGGGTTTGGGGCTTCCCCAAGGGTCCAAAGGACCCAATGATTAGGTACTCGGTTTTAGGATAGTAGTTATGTAGGTTATAATAGGATTTTGGAGAGTATATGATTATTAGGTACTTAGACCCTGGGGGGGTTTGGGCTTTAGGGTTCAGAGTTCATATCGACTCTTAGCGCTGAGAGCCTAGGCGCCCTAAACGCAGAGCCTCCCATTGTCCCACACTAAGCTTAGGCCTTCAAACCTGAACCCTAACCCTAAACCCTGAACCCTAAACCCTAAAGCAAGGCCGCGGCATAGGGTTGAGAGTTGACAGTGCCTCGGATGTGGGACTTCCTTATGCAGTAAACTTAAACTTTAACCCCAAACTCTACCTATAGTCTCCATTGCAGTTCCGTTTTGGTGTTATTTTAGAAAGCCCTCAAGCCCGGCGTGTCGTTGGGATTCAAGGCGCGGGTGGGGTTTAGCATCAGGAATTAGGGTTCAAGGCTCCGGGTTTCGGGTGTCGGGCTCAGATTGAGGGGCCTGCAAAGGGTTTAGGGTTTAGGGTTTTGGGTTTAGGGTTTAGGGTTTAGTCCTGAATCATGCAGTTTCTTTGTCAAAGTTGGGTAACAGTTTACATGTTTACGGGTACTTAATCCCAATAAGGAATACAGTTGCATATGTTTTAATCCTATCCCAGCCATGAACTAGTTTTGACTGAGGTTCATGCACGCTTGCGGTTTAGGGTTTAGGGTTTACTTACTTGGAAAGGCTTCAGGGTATTATGTGGCATTTAAGGAATTAAGATGGTGGAAGCGAGATCCCAAACCCGGCGGCTGTCGCTTTCCGTTGACCTTCTGCTCCACCTTCTTGAAGACAAAGGTTTTTGAATGGCGTGAACGTATCTATGAGGATGAATGGACGACAGACAGGAAGAATCGTTCCGATGAACAGTTTCCGCCTTCGAAGTATGAACCTTCAGCAAGGAATGGAGTTGGGAAGCTCAGAACTATCCACCAGGAGGGGTCACAGGCGACAGCCCCTCCAGAAGCCCCTATGACGGTGCCTTGGAAGACGAGCACAGCTGGACGACTCGCATTTTCCAGCCCTCGCAGACTTAGTAAGTAGCTTGTAAGTACACAAATAAGTACCCTAAAAGGGATCCTAACTACGGTTATGATTAGGGTTAGGTACTTAACAGCCTACAGAATAACTACTTACGAAGTCCCCCGACCCTCCAAGAAAAGGAGGCCCTTCTTAACCCTACTTCTGGCTCTCGTAAACGGGACCTGGTTGAGAGGGTCTATATCCCCAAGGGTCCCCCTAATCCCAACTCCTACTCAACAGTGAGCCACAAACCCTGTATCGCAAACCTCAACAATGGGAGTTAGGATTAGGGGACCCTTGGGGATATAGACCCTCTTAATAAGGCCCTTTTTAAGAGAGCCAGAAGTAGGGTTCAGAAGGGTTTCGCTTTAAGGGCATACTACCCAAGCAAGCCTAAGGCCCCAAACTCCAAGCCCTGTAAGCTCTGAGCCAAAACCCAAAGCCCCAAAGCAAAGCAACCAACACCCACCCACCCCCAGCCCTAAACCCTAAACCCCAAACCCCGCCCCTCCCCCTAAACCCTAAACCCCAAACCCCAAGCCTTAAACTCTACTAAACCCCACGCCCCCTGAACCCTAAACCCCAAACCCTAAACCTCACGCCCCCTAAACCCCAAACCCAAAACCCCAAACCCCAAACCCTCAACCCAAAACCCCAAACCCAAAACCCAAACCCTAAACCCCAAACCCTAAACCCTAACCGGTCCTCTAAAATCGTGAAGCCTGAAGCCTTGGTCGTCGAGGCAGGGTGTTGAGACCCTTCCGGTGGCGCGGGGCCCGGGGAGTTTGGATCAAAGCCGAAATCTACCTGATTGAAGGGTTTCTCTAGGAATCTTTTCGGTTTTTTAATTTTTATGAGTTCTGTGTTTTTATGAAGGTTCGAAAAAAGGTTTCTCTCATGAGTTTATTTACAAGACTTTTTGGGTGTTCAGGCGCTGAGGGGCTTAAGGATGTTTGGTGCAGGGGCTTCGGGCTTCAATTTTTCGGGGGTTCAGGTGGGTTTAAGGCATGCGTCCCAAAGCCCCATACTTGGAGGGTCGGGGGACTTAGTAAGTAGTTAATAAGTAGAGTTATAAGTACCCTAAAAGGGATCCTAATTGGGGTTATGATACTTATAAGTCTCTAAAATAACTAGTTACTAAGTCCCCCGACCCTCCAAGTACGAGCCGCCGCAGGTCCAACCCTACACCCCTCAAACCCCTGAAAGCCATGGACCGCTGAAGCAACCTTTCAATCTCCTAGAGCCTCAAACCCCAAACCCTAAACCCCAATAGAACTGCGTAAAGCTGTAACAAGAATCCTTTCTAGAACCCTCATCAGAACAGCAGAATTCGGGAAGCCAGCTGCCCTTCCGCCACGAAGGCCTCGAATCTCACTGGGCAGTGGCTCCACCAAGCTCACATGAAGGAACCCGATACCTTTGTCCATGGTCTTAGAGTTTAGGATTTAGGCTACTTGGAGGATCATGGGACTTAGTAAGTAGGGTTATAAGTACCCTAATTGGGGTTATATGTGCTTATACGTATAGTTACCCTAATTATAACCCTAGTTACTAAGTCCCATGACCCTTTAAGTGGGGTTTATGGGTTGAGGACCTGGGCTTTTGCGGGATTTCTACTCGGGCCAGGGATCTACAAGCGTGATGGGAGTTTGTATAGGTTCAATTAGGAGGGCTCTAAATTCTGTAAGAGTTGTATAAAGGTTCTGGAAGAGTTTAGATGTTTAGGGTTTCAGAGTTTCAGGTGTTTTAGTGGTTCAGGGTTGCGGTGCTGCGGGACTTTGGCAGGTTTGTTTTGCCGCCAATGTTGGGAGGTGTGGAGGGTTTGCCGGTATGCTACATCAGAGTTATATATGGACCATGAGGGATAGTATAGAACCCTGTAGCCTGAAGCTCAAACCCTGAACGCAGAACCCAAGGTGCTGAAACCCATCGGAAGTACTCTATTGATAATTTAAATCCTGCATTACCCATAAAAAGGAATATACGATAATTCCCACAGCTTAGAGTCCTTAAGGCAATGCAGGACCCTAAACCCTAAACCCCTAAACCCGGGTTTGGTGAGGATGCCATAGAAAGAAGCCAGCTGATGAAGCACAGGAGGAATTTCCTTGTCTTCACAGTTAAGGTTAGGTTGCAGCTGTTCGTTCTTAATGTTTCAAGGAGATAAGCATCCTCTGTTTGACAGCATGTCTAGTTTGGAGTTCTGCATCTAGGTTGCAAGATAGATTTCGATGTGCACTTCGAAAACCCCAAACCTTAAGCCCGAAACCCTAAAACCCTAAACCCTAAACCCTAAGACATCGGAGTTCAGGATCCAAGCCTTAGACGTAGCCGTGCTCGGATGGCAAGGACGGCCAGTACTGGACGAAGCATATGCGGGGAACAGCACGGGTCCCGGATTGCGGCATTGTTGCTTGAGGTTGAATCCAAGTCTTTATTTCAGTTACGGTGGAGTTCCTATCGCAAGGTGCTACTGAGTGACGATAGTCGTTCGCATGGCAGCATTCGAGAGGAAAGAAGGCTTGCAAGCCCCGAACCAATAAGAGGGTTCGCTGAGCATCAAGATGATCTTCAAGCTGTAATCTTTTGGCTTCGGGCTTTGTGTATGTTTCCCAAAGTGTCCAAGTAATAGTATAGCATATACTTTGGCGGCCCAAATACCTACTAAGTACCTACTAGAATGATACTTGGACCCTTTGGGTTTCGGTTTTGCAGTTTAGGTTCACTGAGCTCACGAAGACATCAGATCTTAAAGTACAGCGACCGACTTAAAGATGCATGTGGGGGTTTAGGGTTGAGGGACTTTGGGCTCAGGGCTGTCGGAGGTAGGGTGTAAGTTCAGACCCCTGAACCCTAAGCCCTCAAGGGTTTAGGGTTTAGGGCTTAGGGCTTAGGGCTTCGGGTTTAGGGTTTAGGGTTTAGGGTTTAGGGTTTAGGGTTTAGGGTTTAGGGTTTAGGGTTTAGGGTTTAGGGCTTAGGGTTTAGGTTTAGGGTTTAGGGTTAGGGTTTAGGGTTTTAGGGTTTAGGGTTTTTAGGGTTTTTAGGGTTTAGGGGGTTTAGGGTTTAGGGTTTAGGGCTTAGGTTTTCGGTTTAGGGTTTAGGGCTTAGGGTTTAGGCTTAGTTTTTAGGGTTAGGGTTTAGGCTTAGGGTTTAGGTTTAGGGTTTAGGTTTAGGTTTAGCTTAGGGGGTTTAGGGTTTAGGGCTTAGGGTTTTTAGGGTTTAGGGTTAGGGTTTTAGGGGGTTTAGGGTTTAGGGCTTAGGGTTTAGGGTTTAGGTTTAGGGTTTTAGGGTTTAGGGTTAGGGTTTAGGTTTAGGGTTTAGGTTTAGGGTTTAGGGTTTAGGGGCTTTTTAGGGTTTTAGGGTTAGGGTTTAGGGTTTAGGGTTTAGGGTTTAGGGTTTAGGGTTTAGGGTTTAGGGTTTAGGGTTTAGGGTTTAGGGCTTAGGGTTTAGGGTTTAGGGTTTAGGGTTTAGGGTTTAGGGCTTCAAGTCGGGTGGGATCTGAAATCGACCTGGAGGCTTGGGCACAACACGTTCCCGGGGAGAGTCGTGCGATAGGCCTTGTAAGCCCTAGAGCGTCTCAACACCCCGAAACCCTTAGACTTTTTTTGGGTGGTTGTCAAAATTGGGGTCCCTTTTTGGGTCCTTATTATAGTACGGCTCCTAATATTTAGGGTTCCCATAAAGGGACCATAATTTTGACAACCACCCATACAACCCAATCTAGGCCTCGGCCTCCGAATGCTGAATCCCAAGGCTGCGAGCTCCCTAAACTCTTGATCCTGCACGTGAGCCCGAAACCCCAAACCCCAGACCGCCACGTCCTAAGCTAAACATACACGCTAGTCGTAGACTTATAAGTGCCCTAAAGGGGTTCCTAATTGGGGTTATGGTACTTATAGGTCTCCAAAATAACTAGTTACCAAGTCCTCCGACCCTCCAAGTAAGCTAAACATACACGCTAGTATCTTCACGTCGCACACCTAAACCCTCAACCCTAAACCCTAAACCCTAAACCCTAAACCCTAAACCCTAAAACCCTCAACTGTAGAACCCAAACTGCCGCATCTCAGGTCCTCTGGCGGGAGAATGCTGAGAGGCTCATGTCGCAGTGGCGGCCTGCCATCGTTCTCGAGGCCTGCACCCTCAGGGTTTAGGGATTTTAGGGTTTAGGGTTTAAGGCCCCCCGAGCCTGAGACCTTAAACCCTGAGCCTTCAGCCCTGCAGAGCAAAACATCTCAAGATAAGCCCCAACTCTGAATGCCACGACCCTTGACGATGCTCTCGGGAAATTCGCCAACTTGGAAGCAGCGCGCGCGACCTTTCGCGACGCCAGAGTACCCATGGAGTGAGGAGCGTGCATCGCGCATTGATTATACTGGCTGGGAGATATTGGCGCTTGGCTGCAATGTCCTTATTGGGGGAAGGAGATGCACTGGTCCCCCAACTCTGATCCCAGGTGGAGGTCGCTCCTTCCCCAGGGTAACCCTAAATCTGGAGACCTGGGATCAGCGCTACACGTTCAAGTCATGGACAGATAGACTAGGACCTAGAGTAGGCCCTTATTCCATTTTCGGGGGTTCAGGTTCCCTTATAAGCCCCTTTAAACTAAAAAGGGCACCCTTTTTATTCCTAGGCTACTCTTGGGTCTAGTAGAAAGTGGATGACGCGTCGGTCCGCTCTGAGGACACCAGGGCCTTGGAAATGAGCTACTCCCCAGCACTGACCAGGGGGAACCACATTCAGACCTATGTTCGAAAAGCTTATATCATTATGGGAGTTTCCGAAAATAGGGGACCCTAATATAGTACCGTAGATAGTAGGATCCTTATTATAAGGACCCCAGAATAAGGTACCCCTAATTTTCGGAAACTCCCATATCATTATAGATTTAAGCTCGCAACTTAAACCCCAAACAGTAGATCCGTAGCCCCGAACCCTAGATACACACCGGCTTTACGGTTTAGGGTATAGTGGGGGGGAGGGGGCTCAGAGCCCTTCGCCTGAACTCTAAGCAGGAAATCCTCAACACGAAACTTTGAAGACGGCCTTGCACCTCAAGAACAGGGGTTGTAGAAAGTACGGGACACAATAGAGACCCTGGACAGTAGCAGCGTTTGCAATGACGCCTGAAAGACGTCACATTGTCGATCGAGGCGACACATCACAGGCGTTTGAGTCAACGATGCCGGGGTTTGTGCTCTGCAGTTTAGGGTTATCCATTTCTTGGTGTTTCCCTCCAAGCACGAAGGTAACGCGTGGCTATAGGTGCGTGCAACAAGGGCCTCGGGTTTATGAGGCAGAGCCCTAAACCCTAACTCCAAGAGAAATTAGAAACCCTAAGCCGGTTGGTGCCTTTGTCTCTCGAGACCCCACTCTTGGCCTTTTCTTTGTTGTGATCCAAAGCCGGGAAGCGGGGAGGTCACATGAAACAGTTAGCAATTTCTTCGCACTCAGGATCCTACTCTTGAAGGTTTGTGACAGTTGCAAGTACCGATTTTGAGCATCTTCGACTTGCTCAGCGATGCACCTTGTCCGAAGTATATACTACACTGGTCCTGCATGCACCCTCCAGACCCTTGGCCTCAATCCTGGGGGAACTCTCAACTCCTACACCCGAAACCCTAAACCCTAAAGCAGACCCGAAGTCCACAATTCGAAGTGAGGTGGGGCCAGGCAACGTACTCAGCACGCTGACTTCAAAGTGCGTCCGGGGCTTGTCTGACTCAGAGAACATTCGGGCGTTCAGCCAGAAGCTTACACCCTAGCCAACCCCAAGCCCTAATTGAACCCTAAACCCTAAACCCTAAACCCTAAACCCCTAAACCCTAAACCCTAAACCCCCTAATTGAGCCGGAAGCCGGCCTGAAATTGGCATTCTCAGAATTTAAATAGTAACTCTAGGCCAAGCCTGGCCTTAAGTAACTTATATACGGTGTAGGCACGGGTATTTGGAGAACGCTCAACCCGCAAGTGCAAGGCAAGTACATGTTTATTTGTAGAGCACTCAAGTATCATAACACCGATTAGGATCCCTTCCTTTTAGAGTGCCGAAAACTCTACTTGTTACCTATTTACTAAGTTTCCGGACCCTGTAAGCAAGCGTGCAAGCGTCAGAAGGATCCGATGGTGAGTTTTGACTTCGGTTAGCCGTAAGGGAGACTACCTACGTGGGGGTTTAGGGTTCAGGGTGTAGTATGATGATTAGGTACTGGACCTTCAGGCATCCCTTTGGGAGAGACTCACCACACTCAGAACCTAATCCTCAAGCCCACAGCCAGGGCAGCCAGGGTTGCGGGGTGTAGAGTCGCTGAACCCTAGACCTTCGGCCCGAAACCCCCGCAGACAGCCCGAACTGAGTAATATCGGGGTCGGAACAAGTAGTGTACCAAGCACTTAGTTTAACATCCCCATGTAGTCCCTGTAACGTCATCCGACAATGCCGATGTACCACCGAACCCTGTTTCGGAGCATCAAGCCTCCTGTGCTAATCACTAGCTGCTAACTTCTCGAAACCCCAAGGCCATGCATCCTCAAACCTCAACCCTAAACCCGAAACCCCAGCACCCAAAGCAACAAGGTCCAGCCGCACGGCCACAAGCCAGACTTCGTCCAGGCTATGCGGCATCCCAAAGCGCACGGCATCCCAGTGTGTGTGTTGAGAGGTTTGCGGATTCACCTAGAGCAAACAATGTACCTTTAGAAAGGTTATGACCCTCAAAAAGTGGTACATGTACCTTTTCAATTTACCTTGGTTTTTCTGGGTAGGGCATACTCGGCATATCAAAAGTATATGGCTTGAGGGCTTAAATTGCCCTACTGTCATTATGTGTGAATAACAGGTAGGCGGACATGTTCTGGACGCTTCTGAATTTCCTTGATGGCCTGTAGAAGTGCTTAGTCGTACATGCTTGATTCATGCCCATGACCAAGGAGGCGTCCTCCATAATTCGCGGCATTGCTGAAGCCATCTCCGTTGCTGAAAGTTGAAAGGGGGCTGCCCTGCCCAGCTCTGCGAAGAGATCTTTGAGCGCATTGCCTTCCTCACCGTCCGGGCCAGCGGCCGTGCTGTTGCCCGCCGCTTGCAGTCCCCCAAAGCGGGTGTTCCCGCTGCTAGTGCTGCCTTGGCGGCCCACGCCGCCCTCAGTGAGCCGATGGACATTGGCTAATGGCCATTTTGTTAGGTCGTTTTTCTCTTTTGTCTAGTCCCATCCCGCTTTCTTACACGAAGGCGTGGTTACTCTCTTTCTGCGCTGCTTCCCTTTCGGATTCCTGTAGCACCATGTTGGCACCCTCAGACGCAGGTGCTGCCCTTGTCATTTCCTCTCATTTCCTTTTGCTTTGCCCTCACAAGTAGGTTTCAAGCAAGGGGCGACAGATCTCTGTCGGGCCCTTCCACACGAGTAAGGGACTTGATCTGCAACCAGCTGTGCAGATTGTTTTTGCATGCTTGATTCATCATGTAATCCCCAGCTTCAGTCCGGAAACCGGTCTTTTTAGGGTATAGGGTTTAGGGTTTTAGGGTTTAGGGTTTTAGGGTTTAGGGTTTAGGGTTTTAGGGTTTTAGGGTTTAGGGCTTTAGGGCAAGCTTCTCATGATCAGAGGGCAGGGTCCTTTTAGTACATGGGAGTTTCCAGAAATAGGGGACCCTTTTATAGTACCCTAAATAGTAGGATCCTTATTATAAGGTACCCAAACCGAAACGCCCACATACAGGCTTCGGGTTTTAGGGCTGTCCCGATGCTCTCCAGTTTTGTGACTGCGACCCTATGACAAACAAGCCCGGTTCCTCCTAAACCCTACACCCCTAGATTTTAGGGCCTACTTGGAGGGTCGGGGGACTTAGTATTTACTTTAGGGACTTATAAGTACCATATTTCCAATTAGGATCCCTTTTAGGATACTTATAACTTATACCTCTACTTATTACCTACTTAGTAAGTCCCCCGACCCTCCAAGTAGGTCCAGGTAGGGTTCGAGGACCCCCAAAACCCTAGACGCCGAGGAGCGGAACGCACGACGTGGAGGCAAGTGTGGGCATGCCACAGCCTTCCAGCCTAATAGTGGGGCATAGGAGAATGGGTTATAGGGACGATGACCTGGTTTGTGGCTGAGGGTTTAGAATTTACGGTTTGGGGCCTGGGTTTAGACTATGATTAGCCGTATCATCCGCGCACAGGCCCTCTCCACATCTACGATGTTTTGCACAAGTTTCCTTTGCTCAAGGGTCCATGTACCTACATACCCTGGTTCGACACCATTGAAGTCTGTCGGTGTATTGCAGGCAGGTATGTGATTCCCAAACACTAGCAATTCGCACCAACCAAGGGAGGAAGGGGCGCGTTTACAAGATGACATTCAATTCTACCAATGGCGGCTTCAAAATAGGAACACCTTTAGGGAACATTCTGTACTAGTATGTAGGTACATGGCGTGCAACGTTTCGGGACTTGGGGATTCCAAACCCAACCACGCCAAGCTCTCTGCCGGACAAGGGGTTTCAGGGTTTGGGCTTCAGGGTTTGGGTTTTAGGGTTCGGGGTTTAGGGTTTAGGCTTTAGGATTTAGGGTTTAGGGGTTTAGGGTTTAGTGTTTGGGGTTTAGGGTTTAGGGGAGGTTCCTGAGTGGTACCCTTTTGCCCTTTTTGGTTCGGGGTCTCCTCATTAAAACTGAATATTGGGAGGAAGGGGCAGTCTTATTATTAAGGGGTTCCTGAGGAACCTACTTGGAGGGTCGGGGGATTTAGTAAGTAGTTAATAAGTAGAGTTATAAGTCCCCTAAAAGGGATCCTGATTGGGGTTAGGGTACTTATAAGTCTCCAAAATAACTAGTTACTAAGTCCCCCGACCCTCCTATTAGTCAGGGTTTGGGGTTCAGGATTGGGGGTTTCAGGGTTTAGGGCTCGGAGCACCGGTGCGCAGGTCTTTGCCCACGAGGTTTAAGGCTTAGGGCCTCGGGTCGAGGGTTGATACAGCGGCCTTGATGATCCGAATAGGGTTTTGGGGTCCGTTATACCGTAATTCGAATAAGGAACCCCCCAAAAACCCTACTAAAATTATTAATTCCCCTACATTAGGCACCTTTTAGAGGTCTGACAAGAGGTTTCCCTGGTTGTCAGGATCAGCCGTCCTCAGTTCCTCTCGGCGCCGAACCACAACATCGAAGTTGGACCGTGCGGCTTCATAACAGAATGAAGCTTCGCTAGGAAAAACACTTCAAGCCCCAAACTACTGCACCAACCGAAACCGGCAACATGCCACTCAAGCCTGAAGGCTCAAATCTCGGAAAAAACCTTAACCCGAATCCTACCCCAAACCCCCTCGCCGCCAAAACAAAAGCGAGGCACCGTGCCTGAACTTGCAGACCTAGACCCGGGGCCCTCCACATCACCACCCTCAAAAATGGGAGTTTCCGAAAATAGGGGACCCTAATATAGTACCCTAAAACAGTAGGATCCTTATTATAAGGACCCCCAAATAAGGTACCCCTATTCTTGGAAACTCCCAAATGAAGGCAGTGGCATAGGGGCCCGAAGGCCAGGTATACTAGACAATATGTAACTTAATAACCGGGACCCCTCCTAAACCCTAAACCCTAAAACTTAAACCCTAAATCCTAAACCCCTAAACCCTAAACCCCGAAACCCCTAAACCCTTAAAACCCAAACCGTAAACCCCCAAACCCCCAAGACTTCAGAAGCCTCTCCGGCCAGGCTCTCTTGGGTGCGCTGGGGAAACTTTGGGAGGTGCTTGTCCGGGGTTTCCGGGGTTTGCTTAGGGGTTTAGGGGTTTAGGGGTTTAGTGGTTTAGGGTTTAGGATTTAAGGGTTTAAGTTTAGGGTTTATGGTTCAGGGTTTCGGGTTTAGGATTTGGGGCTTAAGATTTAGTCAGGGTTGAGGGTTTAGGATTGGGGGTCGAGGGTCTTGGGGGATTCTGGGGGGGGGGGGGGTTAGGGTTTAGGGTTTACTTGCATGGCTGGGGGATTTGGGAAGTATGTAGCAAGTAGACCTGTAAGTATTAGGGTTTGGGGTGATTTTCGGTGGTTTTAGGGATTTTGGTGTGGGTTTACGGTTGGGGTTTTGTTTTGGGGGCTTACGGTTTAGGGAATTTGGGGGTTCACAGGGTGCTTCGGGCTTCTACTGGGGTTTAGGTATTTCGGGCTTGGGGGCTTGGAAGCTCTACGGTTGATGATACAAATCCTTTAGAAGGGGCCCCCGCCCTGTAATAGTGGTATAATAGGAATATAATAGGGCCCTAATATAATCCTTATAGTCACTATTACAGGGTGGGGGCAGCTTCTAACAAATCCTGCATTACCCATAAGAAGGAATATACCATAATTCCCATAGTTTAGGGTCCTTAAGGTAATGCAGGGTTTATATCATTAACAGAAGTACCCGAAGAAGGCTTCTAATTGGGGTCATGATACTTACAAGTCTACAGAAAAACTACTCCGTAGCAGCTTAAGGTGGTGCAGCCTGAGGTTCAGGAGCATCAATCCGTCACCTCCTGCTGGCTCAAGGACTTCTCTGGCAAAGTCATCAAACACTGCTTTAGGGATTTGGGTTTGGGTTTAGGGTTTAGGGTTTAGGGTGCACCCAAAACCCTACAGCCAAGCCATCAGTTAACCCTACAGTAGAAGCCCAACAGTTGGAAACCCCATGCACAGCCTCGGTCCTTAAGAGCAATGTATAGGTAATCCCAGCACTATTTGGCCTTAATCCGGTTTCCAACTTTATGGGGTGTACTTTAGGTACGGCCCCCATACAGTAAGAGTCTATAACAGGGCTACTACTAAGGTCCTACTATATCTATATTATGATCCCTAAACCCTAAACCCTAAACCTTAAAGCCCTAAAACCCTAAAGCCCTAAACCCTAAACCCTAAACCCTAAACCCTAAACCCTAAAACCCTAAACCCTAAACCCTAAACCCTAAACACCTAAGGTGTACTATAAAGCCAAAGCCCCAAACTCTGACCAGAACTCTCCTCGGTCCCCAAACCCTGAAGCCTTGTCTTCTGTGCGGTTTCGGGTTTTGGGTTTAGGGCTTTAGGGTTTAGGGCTTTAGGGTTTAGGGTTTGGGGCTTTGGGGGTTTAGGGCTTTGGGGCTTTAGAGCTTAGGGTTTAGGGCTTTAGGGTTTAGGGCTTTAGGGTTTAGGGTTTAGGGCCAAATCACCGAGCCAAGCCCTCAGCATTGCTTCTTGGCAGGCTGGATGCCCGGTCAACTTCGATCAGCTCCATACCAAGGCAGGCAGGATGACAAACACAAGGGACCCGTAGCAGTGGGATCCTTGCGTTAAGAACCGAGTAAGACCATAAACCCCCAAACCTTAGGCCACACGCCGCGAACACTGAACCCTACAACAGCCCTCAAATAAGGTACCTTCCACAACTGCCCTGGGCTTCAGAGCTCACGGCTTTGGGCGTTTTATCGTGGTAAAGAGTTTGGGGTCTAGGGTTTAGGGGTAACTCAGCGGTTAAATACATGTATAATATCAAGGTGCTTTTTTCGTCAAGTGTTCACGAGTTTTTTGTGAAGGGTTTTATACGGCAGTTCTCTAATAAGGCTTGATGGGGTTTGCGCTTCTTTGCTTTATCCGACTTTTCAGGTGTGAACGGCTCGTCCCCTCTAGCGGCAGGTGTCCTTTCAATGCTGCTTTGAGTTCACAATGGTGGCACCTGCAGCGAGAAGTTCAAGTTAGTGAAGGGATGAGTATGTCCTTATTGCTACACATGTAGGGTTTAAGGTTTAGCTATCACCTCTTAAGCCCTAAGCCTAAGCCCAAAACCCACACCCTATAAGCCCTAAACCCTAAATCCCCTCGAAACCCTAAATCCCTAAACCCTACACCCAAAAAAGCTTCAATTGAACTTCTCCAGGTAAGTGGCATTCTGTTCATCTAGGCCAAGCTAGGTCAGCCTGGGGGCTCGATCCCCATGTCCGGTTAAGGTTTAGGGTGTAGGGTTTAGACATGAGGGTTTAGGTGGTTTCGGGTTTAGGGAGTATAGGGCTTAGGGTTTAGTAAGTTTAGGGTTTAGGGTTTTGGGAGTATAGGGTTTAGGGTTTAGGGAGTATAGGGCTGAAGGTTCAGGGAGTTTAAGGCTAAGAGGGATTTAGGGGTTTGAAAAATTTGCCCTAAACCCTACATCTCCTAAGCGCACAGCCCTATATCCTAAATCAGAAGCTGCAAATATGGAATCTGTAGTTGCCCCCCCAAACTCATGTACATTATTCTTAGTCTCCCTTACACAACTGGGTTACCTATAGTCTCCATTGTAGTTCCTTTTTGGGATTTCCTTTTAGGATCCTTAATATAAAATTGGTTACACCCAAAAAAGGAACTACAATGGAGACTATAGGTACATTTACAGAACCCAAAACCCTGGTAAAATCCCATCGGACCTTTTTCGAACCCCAAACCCTGAGGCGACCTCCCCTATAACCCCAAGGGTCCAAAGGACCCAATAATCAGCTACTCGGTTTTAGGATAATAGTTATGTAGGTTAGTATTTTGGAGAGTATATGATTATCAGGTACTTGGACCCTTGGGGTAAGACTACTTTTTGTACCCTAAACCGTTATGAAGCGCTCAAGTCCATGCAAGGCTCCTCCTACGAGCTTCTGGGTCAAAAAGCCAAAAGCCTTTGTGCCAGCTTTGGTGCCAGGCAGCCGGCCGGTTTAGGGTTTAGGGTTTAGGGTCCTCCAATGGGGTCAGACAGTGTGCGAGAAAGCATTCCTGCATTTGGCCAGAGTGTCCCGTAGCTTCGTCCGGCGGCTGCAAGCCTCGAGTGACAGTGTGCAGCTACCCGAAGATGGCGGGTCGTTGCGAACTGTGCGTGTCCAGCCCAGCGCTGCAGATGTTGACTCCTTCTTCAACTTCTGCAACCGCCACCTGGCAGAGCATTTGGCAGAGGGTCTTGCGCCAGACGGGGCAGGTGAGGCGTCGGACGTGGAGGACGGCAGCCCGCCATGCTTAGAGCATGACGTCCTCAGGAACCTGCAAAGAGCCCTCATAAGACGCGGGAAGGATCTGTCCCTAAACCTTATAAATCTAAAACCCCGAAACCCTAAACCCTAAACCAACCCTAAAGCAGAGGAACTGGGGCCCTTAACATAAAAGATAGCCCTAAACTGTCTCCGAGGTGCTGGGTGCCACACGCGTGCCGCCTTCCGCACGGCTTCCAGCCCCGGGCCGAAATTGCCGTGCTGTGCCAGGGTTTAGGGGTTTAGGGCTCTGGGGTTTAGGGGTTAGGGCTTTAGGGGTTTAGGGGTTTAGTGTAGGTGTTTAGGGGTTTGGAGGTTTAGGGGCTTTGGAGGTTTAGGGTTTAGGAGTCAGGGTGCAGGGTTGGATAGGGTCCGAAGAGTCAGAGGTTCTGGGTTTATGTGTTTATGGGTTAGGATTCAGGCTTGGTGGGCCTACCTAGACCTAAAAAACCTGCCGTTTTAGGGTTCCCTATTATGAATTCATTTTTGTAAGCCCTCAAAAAAGGTAGGCTATTCCGGGTTAAGGTAAGGTTTAAAGTTTAGGTGTTCAGGGCTTGTTTTCAGTTTTGGGGGTGTAGCTGGGAGGAAGTACCTTCGAGACTACCGAGTCGTTTTCATCGCCGTCTCTTGCCCTGACACTAGCTCTCTTTCAAGGCATGCGCCCCCCCGCTGAAGCAGGGGCCTCGCCGACAGGCAGAAAGAGCCTATCGCATATCCCCTCCTTATCTTGACATCTACTGATAAGCTAGAAATTGCTTTCTTTGCCTTAATCGAAGACTTCTAGATGAGGCGAGACCTACCCGCCCGGCCCTACACCTATCCCCTCACAACCAGGCCAGAGGGCCCCCGTGCAGACAGCTGGATTTCTTGCCAAGTGACTTGGTGAGGAGATTTTATGGTGCTAGTGCCAGTGCTAGTGGTGGTGATTGCGTCCAGCAGCCCGAGCTTGCAGTGGAACCAGGGCCAGCCAACACTACCAATGTATCTGCCATTGGTCGCATGAACGCAGGCCTCATGGGCCCACTCGCCTTCGACACCGACACGAGTGCTGCATTTGAGCCGATACAGCCTTCGGCATCCAGCCAAGACTTTCCAGAGGAGCAGCAACTTCACCATAAACGTCCAGCCCTGACGCAGCTTAGTCTTGTACTGAAGCTGACTACTCTTATTGGCCCTAAACCCCAAACCCTAAACCCTAAGCCCCAAACCCTGAACCCTAAACCCTGAACCCTAAACCCTAAACCCCAAACCCTAAACCAGGATCCTAAAACCTAAACCCTAGAATCAGCCCTGAAACTGAGCTCCGTCACCTGGCCGCAGACCCCTTGAGGGAACCCTGAAAGTGAGGGTGTCGGCTCCGTAGTCGTCAGAATGCTACTACCTGTCTACCTCATGCTGCTACTACTGCTACTACTACTACTACTACTACTACCACCACATACTGCGATTGCGGCTGCAATTTTGGCAGCGAGTGGGACTTAGACTTCGACTTGACTGCCACTGCACCTGTGACTCTGCTGCTGCTGCTGCTGCTGCTGCTGCTGCTGCTGAAATTTGACACTGCTACAACCACCCTACGTTTACTACTCCTACTCGTCCTCCGACTCCTAGTACTAGTACTTCTTCGGCATTAGTGAGGCGACCACAGGATTAGTGTCTCATCAGCAATGGTAAGCGTGCTGTGGAGCAATCAAACAGGCACCGTTCATTTTCAGAAACTCCTGCCCGAGGCCTATGCCTTTGAGACGACTCCTCTCTGGGTGAATCCGGAGAGGTCCGTCTATGTCGATGCTACCGAGGCAGATTCCCCAAACCCAGCACCTGATGAGACTCTTGGGATCAGGGCTTCAGGGTTTAGGGCCTGCCTGAGCCCTGGATAACCTACCGTTTGAAGGACTTATATAAGGAAATCATAGTAAGGAGCCCTTAAAGTCAGGTTATTCAGGGCTTTGGTGGGGCTTCGCAAAACTTCAGCTTGAGAGTTTGGAGTCTGCGTGCATTGGATGGTGGAAAAGGTGTCAGCGACCTTGCTTCACTGCGATTTTCCAGAGGTGGTTGCTATAGGGAACTTAAAAAGTTGAATCGGGTTTTGTGGTGCATTATACTGTAGCTATAATCAGGAACCCCCCAAAACAGTATAGGTAATCATTAAGCGTTTAGGGTGTGGGTGAAGCTGACCCACTCAACACTTTAGTTCCTGTTTCTGCCTTTAGCATCCAGTGGAACATGGCACCTTCAGGCAAGTTGGGCTTCAGGGATTTCGGCTTCGTGTTCAGGTTCATACGACGTTTACAGGTAGTTTTGTCTAGGCACGGTTGCTGGTTTGTGTCTGTTCGAAGTCACAGCAGGAATTATGCGTTTCGCGCTACTTGGAACTGCCCATTGCTACCCTTTAACCCTGAACCTTGCGTCCTTAGCAGTCCTAACACCCGGTCTACGAACCGGCAACTTGCCAATGCCCCCGAAACCTCTAAACCGTACAGCCTAAACGCTGAACCATAACCCAAGCCTAAAAAACCCCGAGTTCTGGACCAAAACCACGAAGTAGCCCCTGGACCTTGACCCCAAACCCAACGAGCTTCTCCCAACCGCCTGTTTTCAATTTTTTGGTCTTTAATTTCGATACAGATTACGCAAGAAGACCAAAACCCTACCCTGAAGAGGCCTAAACCCTAAACGCCACATTCTAGCAGTTAATAAGGCAAGCTTAATTTAGACCTAGTTGCGAGGATCCGGCGCCTGCCGCCTATGTGGCTGCCGAGGCTTCCCGAGCAAAACTTCATGAAATGGGGCTGCTTTTGAATTCTAGGCCCAGAGCAGGCCCTTATTCCTTTTTGCAGGGTTTAGGTTCTCTTATAACACCCCCTAATCCAAAAAGGGCAACCTGTTTATTTCTAGGTTACTTTTGGGTCTAGAATTTAATGATTAATTAGAACAGCTTGGGGTGTGTATCACACTATGCTTCTATCATACAGTGGTAGTTTAGGGGCATTTATGATTAGGCTGGGGGTGGAGGGGTACATATTACTATTCTTGTATCAGGGGCTGTAGGCGACTTACTTGTGGTAATTAGTCCCACCCCCATTGTTAGCCTGCTCATAGCGCGCGTCAAGGTTTCGCCAGGGCGTTCTGCAGTTTTTGATAAGGATTTGACAGGTGTTGTATAAGGGAAGTATAGTTGTGTTTGATGATTGCAGTCTTTTATGGCCGATGTATATGTCCTGCTAAAGAAGTGTCTGTTCGACATACATTTTCTGTATAATGGCTCTATTGTAGACAGCTGTTTCGAACAACTACCAGCTACCAGCTGCTCAGATTATGGTATGGGTCCAGGGCTTAGGCCAAAAACCCTTAATCCCCCAAACTCTAACTAGTAGGGTACATGCAGTGTGACGGTAGTGGGTTCACGGTTTCCTTTCAGGCGTGTGGGACCTTGTCATTCAGCCGGATGGGGATTGACACAGGGTAGGGCTAGTATTTTTGCTCTGGTGAGTGTTTCTAATGCTCCCCAGGAATGTTCCTGAGTATTGAAGTCCCTGCTTCATCTACGCCTTCTATAGGACTCTGAGCTTGAATAAACCTTGAGCCCGAACCCTGTAAACCTTGAACTTCACAACAAGCAACTCTAAACCCTCAGCTCTAGATCCTAGATTAGCTGAACTCAGACATCCCAAAGCCTAAACCCCTAAACCCTAAGCCCTAAACCCTAAACGCTAAACCCTAAACCCCTAAACCCCTAAACCCTAAACCCTAAACCCCGAAACCCTAACCCTAAACCCTAATCCCAAAACTGAATCCCAAACAGCGTGAACTGCAGGGCTGGGTGTAGAGCTCAGAGTGCGTAGCCCGGAGGATCTCTGCACCTTTGGGGTTTATTATAGGCCTTAGGGTTGTAGGGTAGTATATATATATATATATATATATATAGATATCTGTATCTATCTATCTATCTACATATATATATATATATATATTATATGTATTGGTCTTCCAGGTTCCTTTATTACCCGTTTCTGGAGAACCACACTGTACTACTTCTAATTTGACCTGTTCCTTAAGGGAAACAGTAACTATGGCATGGAAGGTTATGCTTTGTTGTTGCTGGTTACCTCTCGAAGCCCATATTACGTACTTTTATTGGCTTGCGAGTACATGCTGAATATATATATATATATATATATATATATATATATATATTAGGTATCGATTTGGGATAACTTTGATCCCCCTTACTGTTTAATATAGAGCCTAGAGCCGTAATCATGACTAATTTGGGGGCTGTTGAAATCGACACCTGGTATCGGTACGTGGAACCCGAGACCTTCCAAAATCCTTCAACTAAGGAATATACCTTAAATCATATTATGGATCCTAGTACAACTTATGTTTAATTCCTTAATTCAGGGATTTTGCAAGGTCTGGGACCTTGGCGTGGGGATCCCGGATAAGTCGGCGTTGGCTTGAATTAGTACGTTACGTCTCCTTCAAGAATATAATATACTTAGTATAGTTGTAGTATAAGCCTTAGCATAGTATAGTTATAGTACAGGTGTAGTTTACTTTTACTATAGTATATCAAGAAACTCTACAGCACTTGTTCAGGCCCCGGAAGTACCTGCACCTGTACGCCCATACAGTTTCACGTGAGGACCATCTGATATTGGCATTTAACCCTTATAGAGCGATTAACGGAGCCGTTCAAGGAACCCTTAAAGCGGGTTCGGATTGACTGAGGTTTTGGACTAAGGATGATGATGATAAAAAATCGGATCTGTCCCTGAACCTGCACCTGGCCCAAACCTCCTGAGTAACCGACTTATTCAGTTGGGCAGGAAGAATGGTCCTAACCGAGCGATCTGAACCCTCCCTTCTGTATTCAACACGACAAGGTCACGAATACTCCCATTGGCTCAGCTCTCGCCTGGCCATCGGAATCCTTGAATGGCTTGGTCAAAGTACGGAATGTCACGCTGTTCATGAAATCACCAAACGTGTCACGGCCATACCTGCTGACTACGAAGGGTGTCCCTCCGGCAGGGGTAATGGCTGAACGAGCATCCCTAAGCATCGCCCTGTTTTGTGTTTCCTGCCTTGAAGCCGTGTGCAGCTGATGCTTGATTCTGCGTGTGTAGGTTTTGATATGTGCAAGTTTGGAATGTTGGCTATACTGCAAAGATGAGTTTCGGAAGCTGAAACCCGGCAAGCGCAGCCAAAGAATCCCAACACCCATTCCGCGGGAGAATTTGACGGTGGGAGTAGCATAGCCTCGCTAAAGTCAGTGTCCGGGGAACAAGGTGCGGACAAGCAGCACGGTCGGGTGTTCGGTTTTGTGCTGTCCCCAAACACTAAACCCTGTGCATCGCAAGTTTCATCGCTTCTTGAACTTGAAGTGTAGGGTGCCTAGCCTACCTTCCTTGGACAAATACATTGTGGACTTTGTACTATAAGGGCTTTTCAATAATTACCAATCCCATTTTGGGGGTTCCTTATTATAATTACAGCATAATGTTTCCCAAAATCCTATTCTGATTTTTAAAGCCCGTATATTACTCATGTGCGCTCGTTCGTTGCTTACGAAGACATCTTGCAGCGTGTATGACACTTCCTTTTCAACCACCGGTTTGACGCTGAAATACGTGGGCATGTGATTGACGCGCAGGAAGTTTACCCTTGCCTTGACGGCCACACACAGAGCAGAGACTGTCGGCTCTGCAGTAGCCAGAAACCCGGGCTTCACTCTTTTTAAGCTTCAAACGTTTCCACAGTTCTTCGTCTCTTACTATACGGTCGCTGCGTGGCCACAGAATTGGACCTTCAAGCCGCTGGGTTCAGAATTTTGCTAGTGCGGGCTTTGTTTGTTTAGTCAAACTTTTTACAACGGCGCCCGAAATCGGGAAAAGTTCGACCTTCGGCTGGCGCCCAGCAGGTTTGTGAGTCGGACTTAGAATCAGGTGTAAGGCCAAGGTGCAGTGGAGGCCCAAACAGACACCGGAAACTTCGTCTTAGGATTGTTGAACCGGGAGTTCGACAGTTTCGAGCCGCCACATCCCAACCCTTGATCCCAATTCCCAAAATCCCAAACCCTCATTAATTCCTGACCCAACCATGGCTTGGTAAGCCACCGCCACAAGCATTGTTCCGGTATCGCGAGGATGGAACCGAAAGACCCGAAACCCTGCACCTTGAACCCTAACCTAACCCTAAACGCTGAACCAGACCTTCATGACCAAAGCAGGGTTTCAGGGTATATTTCCGTATCAACCAATATATAAGGAGACAAAATCATAGGATACCCCCGCCACTAATTCTTGTAGCCCAAAGTTTCTATTCTTTTGGATTATAAGGAGGCTTCATATCCATCGCGGAACCTGCACGTATACGTCATTCGGATTGCTGGTATATCCTCCTTCCTAAGCCTCACTTTTCGTAGAAACCTTTGCACTCAGCGCGTAAGCCTGAAACCCTGAACCCTATAAACCTTAAGCCCTGAACCCTAAACCCTAAAACGTAAACCTTAATTTTTTGGAAGGCATCGGCTCCCTATGGATCATCTTCGCGAGTGCAGATCTCAACAACGGGGCTCGTATTGCGGGTTTAGGGTTTAGGGTTTAGGATAGAGGGTAGAGAAGCCAGGTACCGATTTGGGGATATTTGTTTTTGTCCTTCATGACTATGAAACTTTTTGTTCTGCTATTGAGACCGACTTTTGGAAGCCATTTGCGTACGATTTAGGATGTACTTGAAGCCTTGCAACTTTCACCGCGAAACCCTAAACCTTAAACTCCCTCACTCTGACCAAAAAAGACGAAACAAAGACCACCACATTTAATCTCAGCTTCGGAGGTTCAAAACCTTTGGGTTTGGGATCCCTAAACCCTAAACCTAAATCCTAAACAACCCTAAGCCCTTGTGGGTCAGGACCGTCCCGTGAATGGACGGTTCAAGGATCTCTGGGTCTTCCTTATTGAACACTTAGGGTTTAGGTTTTAGGAATTAGGGGTTTAGATTTTAGGGTTTAGGGTGTGGGGAACATATGCTTCTGCTTTAAGTGTCTCAGACCTTTCAAGTCTAGATGTGGGAATTCCTTGCAAGTCTAGATGTGGGAATTACGTTCACATATACATATATACATACAGCATATGTATACGTACTGCATATATATATATATATGTATGTGTATATGTCTGTATGTATGTACGAACCTCCACACCATAAGCGTCCTTGAAACCATACAACGCTGAACCCTACACAATAAGTGTCCCTGAAGCCGACTCCAGCACCGACCGTGGGCGCCTCGGCAAAAGCACACTCTGCGGAAAGGTCAACTAGCACAGGTTCCATGCAAAGCCAGTGCTGACCGCAGCTCTTCTAGAGATACAGCTCTCGCCGGTCGCAAGCATGGGCAGCGGAACCTCTGCGGAGTCGCGGCCCTAGTAGACGCGCAAACCAGCTGCTTGGCTAGTAGGGCCCTCACAAGCTAATCCTGCAGCTACCAGGAGCACCGACTTCTTCGAGCGGAGGGATCGGGAGGTCGAGCCCCACACTCGGAGCAAAAACACAACATGCAGTCGAGAAGCATAGGACGCAACGCATGAACCCGTCGTAAGCGCGACACTCCAGGGTGGAAGACTACGAGGACATGATCACCACGATCAAAGGCTGTGGCAGAGGACGCCAATCGTCCGGGCCCTACGCCAGCCCAGCAATCACAGCATTGTTGCGCGTAATCCTAGACTCTTCATGCGCTCACCCCCTGGTATGAAGCTACAGGCATGCGAGCGAGACCATGGCGAAGGCGGCTGGAAAGGGAGGCGATGCCGGTTCCGGGCGGGTCAGAGAACAGCGAGTGACACAACCAACATGCAGCATGCAACGTCGCAACAGAAAACACTCCTGACTTGCTATGCAGGTCCCGATCCCCGATGCCAAGCGCGATCGCAAGCGGCAAAGGCAACAAACGCCCTCTCGAGCGCTCCTGAGGGACGGATACAAAAAGCAAAGCAAAGCGTGTGCCTGCAAACACAGAGCTGCATGCAAGCCACACATGCATGTCATCAGACCCAGCCACACGCAGACACAGACCTGTGTTTGAAAAGCTCTTCGATGGGCCCAGGTCTTCTACATTCAGGTCAACAACACCACCGCCTGCCAACCCCTGGCTGAGGAACAGCTTCAGTGCCACCTGCGAGAAGTCGAGTGGTCAGGGCCACTCGCAAGACTGAAGCCAAGCTTCTTAAGCCTTGAGCGTCAGGAGGTGGCAGCGAATTGAAAGCCACAGCGGCCGGAGTGCAGAGAAGCGACGCAAAGCAATGCCAAAACAGCCGCACCAGACTTGCGTCCTGCTGAAACATCGGAAGCCGATACCCTGGAACTGGAACCAAAACGCTAAAGAGGCATGTGCTGCTGAGTGATTTTAGGGTTTTTGGCTTGCAAGACGGATCTTAAACCCATAAAACTGCCGCTTTCGGGTTCCTTTTTCTGGCTGCTATGTGCATGCAACCTTGGAGAGGTTGGTTTTGTGGGCTGCAGGCAGATGTTGAAGAATGGGGGCCATAGCAATGAACACCCAAACCTTAAACCCTAAATTTAAATCACAGTGTTGCCATGCCGCGATCGTCTTAGATTGTGTGCTTCCCACAGCAAGGTTGAGTCCCGTGCGGCTGAAGCTCGACGCTTTTAGTTAACAGCAGAAGCAAAAGCCTAAGCCTCCCAGTGGGCCCGTTTTCCCTTTCTGTAGTCCAGGCTTCCTTATAAAGTTACCCAACACCAAAAAGGGAGCCATCTTTATTCCTAGGTTACTGGGCATCCTAGAAGCGGTTCGAAACTAGAGCGGTCCTTCTGGGGTTGAGTGCCTGTCAGTAGTTAGCGGCTGCTTGAAGCAACGGGGGGCGAAGTAAGAAGGTTGCCGGTAAAGTTATTGGTAGGGCTATTGCAAGAACTGTAATCACAACCCCCGGTTTCTAAAGCTGCTTGTTGAGTCCCTGTTTGTTCAAGCAGTGTTTGACCGTAAGCCCCAAACTGCACGCCTAAATTTAAGCTGAGGGTTCGGAGACAACCCGTGACCGTAAGCCGCAAGCACTTGTCCTTACTTGGAGGTTCAGGGTAGTAGGGATATACGCAGGGTAGCTAAAATAAGTGTCGCCCATGTTAGGGGACTTATAACCCTCCCTAGAGCTACCCATGAACCTCCATGTAAGGTGCTTGTGCGCTATGGGGAAGATCGTGAGACCGAGCCGGCGTTGAAGGTGCCTGACTTGACGGGTTTAGGGTTTGGGCAAAGCATTGCACGCCGAATCCGAAAACCAGCTACTGATCAGCTACTGTCTGGAACCCGAACCACAAATGCTGGAACTACCGCGGCTTTCGCCACGCAGCTGCGCCAGATAGAGTTTGGAGTTTTGTGATTTGCGATTCGGGTGCAGATTCGGAGGCTTCGGGTGGCTGCCATGCGGCCAGGAGCAGCCTGTGAATCGACAGACATCATATTAAAAGGCATTCCACAGTTTGCAAGTTCTCTGTGCTAGATGCTGGTGGTTTAGAGGTCTAGGGCTCATGGTTACAAGTAGACATTGCGCGAGTTCAGCTTTGGGGGCTTAGGCTCCCAGCGTTGATGTTGCTGAGCGATGATGCACATGAAATTTGTGCCTACCCAGCCGAGAAGACCACTGCTAGGGTTGCATGCAGCTGCTTGCTAAACGAAACAAGTGCTAAAACTCGCACCTTGTCAACAGACGTCCTAAACCCTAAACCGTCAACAAGTCATAGGGAGGGATCGGACAAGGGGGCTGTGCCGAAAGTCTTCTGCCCTGCAGGCTTGACAATGGAGGAACTGTTTGATGCAGGGGCCGAAGTAACCAATACTTATATCGTAGTATGGAATCGCCCAGAACTCATTTCCCAAGTATTTAGGCCTCTATCCCGAACCGAGAAACACCGCTAAGCACACATCCTAAACCCTACCTGGACCCCAAGTAACCGACCTTTTGAAGGACTTCTATAAGGAAATCATAACAGGGAGCCCTGAAAAGGAAGGGTTTGTAGGGTCCAGGTAAGCCTTGGAACCCCAAAACCCTGAACCATAAACCCTAGACCCTCAACCCCCAACCCTCAACCCTACACCCTCAACCCTAAACCCTCAACCCTAAACCCCAAACGCTAAACCCTAAGCCCTTGAAACCCCGAAGCCCCAATAACCCCCGGAGGCCTACTGCCTTCCCTTTGCCAGCGGCTCCTCGGCCGTCTTCGCGCCATGGACAGAGGACCATTTTTTTCACCCAATGCCTCAACCCTTTATTTTAGGGTTTAGGGTTTTTGGCTAATTCAGGGTTTAGGGTTTAGCGTTAATCCCTCAACCCTCTAGGGCTGCCTGGAGCGCATTGGGGAGCAAGAAAGGGCTTTAAACAAGCTTACGTAACTAAATCCTAAAGCGCAACATTCCTAAACGCTACCTAAGCCCCAAACCCTCCACCCGAAATCCTCCAAACTTTAGCCCGGGGACCCGACATACCCTGAACGGCAGTAGCTCTGCAGAGCGCTCCTCGTAAACCGACGGTTTGAGGGCTTGGGGTGGTTTACGGGTTCCTGTAAGGGTTCCTAGAAGGGTTCTTCTCGGATTCCTTTAAGGGTTCCTTTAAGGGCTCTGTACGGGGCCTTTAGGGTTCATGGCATATGGGTGTAGTGTTTTGGGCTTTTGGGCTTTAGGGCTTTAGGGGTTCAGGGGTTTTGGGGCTTTAGCGGTTTAGGGTTTGGGGTTTCGGGTTCGAGGCTTGCGGATTTTAGAGTTTGTGGTTGAGGGGTGTGGGATGGTTGCGGGTTCAGGGTGTACGCAGGGCTTGGGGCACCCAGCGACTCCAGTATCCTGCTTTTGCACTTGAGACCTTTTCCCTGAATGAAGGAGTAGTACCGTTTTCCGGGGCAACCTCTGCTTTGTGTTCAGGGGTCCTGATTAGACTGACTAGGATGTCCAGACAATTGTAGGGCTATACAGGCTATACATGAGGCGAAGAAAGCAGCATGAGCAGCTATATCCGCCCAATGAAGGTAAACTTGACACCATCTGCATCTGCCCATGATCATTTGAGCAAACCCTAAAGTCCTCTGCCCCAAACGTCTTACAGCTCGAAGCATATAAGAAAGCCCTGTAAAGTGCTCTTCGCTAACCAGAAAACATGCAAAGCGTGGACCCCCGAAAGAGCCTCGACACAGACTGTCCAGGACGAAACCGTCGAAGTCATTGCGGTGGTGCGAACCTCAGAGGGTTTCGCGTCTCGGGATTTATTTAGGAGTCTCGGTGACTTCCTACCTTTCAACTCCAAACCCTGGTTAGAAAGCAATACCCTCAACCCCCGGAACCCTACTCCCTTGTACAGCGCCCAAGCAAATCCCGCACTGAACCCTTTAACGCAACCGGAAGCAGCAAAGTGGACATTCCTTATGTAGAGGCATGAGCAGTGAGCTAGCTTCCTGAGTGGTTCCCCTATTTGCCCTTTCTTGGTTCAGGGTTCTCTTATTCGAACCGAACAGTAGGAAAAAGGGTACCCCTAATGATGGGGGCTACCCAGGAAACTAGTGTTTCATTTTAAACTAGGATGCCCAGTAGTACCCTTATTCCCTTTTTGTAGTCCTAGGTTCCTTATAAAGTTACCCAACACCAAAAGGGGAGTCCTTTTTATTCCTAGGTTGCTGGGCATCCTAGTAAATGGCTCGAGGAGTTGCCTGGCCGTGGCAAAAGATCCGAGGAGGCACCTCTTCTTGTGTTGAGATGTTAATAAAGTCTTTGGAGATTTAATAATCCAGGGATCGGATTTTAAGGCTTAAGGGTTTAGGCTTGTGTTGAGAAAAACTCTTTGGGGTTTCAGTATTTAGGGTTTGCGAGTCGGGTCGCGTGTAGGGGTGTGGGGCCTGAGAGGCATCTAGTCTAAAGTTTAGGATTGTTTTGGTGGCACCTAGTTCAGAATTCATTGGTTTAGGAGTTAAACATCGAGATGTGGTAGTTACTTTGTGACTTGGGTTCGGGATGTAAGGTTTAGGGCCGTAGATGTGTAGATATCGTACTTGCCATATGCCCCGAAATCCCGGTTCTAATGATTACGGCAACTGGTTTTCAGCATATTCAGACAGGAGGCCGGAAGTGGCGGCCGCGTTAGATCCACATCTATCCCCAGGCTGTCCTAAAGCAGCCTCAACCCCCTTCCCGCGTTCAGCTCTACCCGAGTTGCAAGATAAAGCTCCTGCAGGCAATGCCGGCGGATGATGCAGGTGACGACGCCATGCTGCAGGCAGGAAGCTCCGCTTCAACCCTGGCCCTGAAAGTCTACAGTCGGGCGAAGTAGATCCTAAGACTTTGCTTAACCCGAAACCCTAAGCCATAAGCCGCACAAAGCGAAAGATAGCAAAGTTATAATCAGAGTATGTTCTGAAAGCCCTTGACTTGAGTATGTGGTGCCTTAGACCCTTGAGCCTGTCGGGAGTCTAGGGCATGGGGTTTAGGTTTTAGGACTTTAAGGTTTATGCAGGGCTTTGGGCTTTGGGAGTTTAGGGTTTAGGATTTGCTGCTTTAGGGTTTGGGGCTTTCGGGTTTAGGGCTTTAGGTTTTAGGGTTTGGGGCTTTGAGTTGCTCGATGACATCGTATGCAGCCGCGCAGTATGGCTTAGCAGAGCACTTTTAGGGTTATCTAGGTTGGAGGTTGGATCATTTGTTATTTTCCTTATTTGGGTTTAGAAGGGACCCTCTCTCTCCATAAATATATATATATATATATATGTATATACATATATATATATATATATATATATATATGTATATTTTGTTCAGGGTGTTTATAGGCCAATCCAGTTATGAGCGCTTGTAGGGCTGTGGTTCATGCCTGGTTAGAGGGGTGGACAATCATGCAGCTGCAGGTAAAGCAGGTACAGCCTCTCAAACCCTAAATCCCTAAACCGCAAACCCTGAAGCCTAAACTCTAAACCACGTACGCTCTGATTCGTTTTCAGCTCCTTCGGTGTGCGTTTGGAAGAACACTTCCAACCCTCCTTCAGTGGGTGCCGAAATCGTAAGCCTGAACCGTAAACACTTAGGCTCTGCAGTAGGGCCCAGTCCTTAGTCTCATACCAATATGGGGCCTGTGGCTACATGGAAGCAGAACCGAAGCCTGAGCATTAGGGCCGTCAACTGCTGGCTGTGATGCTAGGGTTCAGGGTTTAGAGTTTAGGGTTAAAAGTTTAGGTTTTGGTAGACTTCTAGCTACATATCAGTTTGCACATCACGACCCAGCAACATTTGGGTCTTAGTATACCAAGATTATTTGCTAGGGATCCCCATGATTATTATGCGAGTTCATACCTTCAGGCCCCTATCTTACACCCTTAGGGTAACCCTTATGGAAACCTTTTACAGGTTGCGATTCGAGCCTTGAGTTGGGTTGAACTGGGGGTGTTGCCTTGTGATTCCAGGCTTCAAAACCTTAAAAAGTGAACTGATAAGCTGGGGTTCAGGGGTCGGGGATGCGGGGTTTTGCTCAAATCAGGTTTTTGGGCTTCAAATTTGCCAGCTAGGCCCCTAAAGCCCCAATGCTGCCAACTATGAGGCGTTGATGCAAGACATCATGGCAGATCTGAGGGGGTGCCCATATGCACGGGTGCTCAGCGTTATGGGACTTGTCGGGGCAGGGGAGCGCTTGAGGGGTCTGTATGGGTGTGCAGAGTATGTTTGAATAGAAGGCGAGATATCGCTGGTAATGTCGCTGATTACGGCAGTAAAACAATTTCTAGCCGTCATCATCGTCGTCGCCGTCATCACAGCGTTATCACCATCCTCCTCTTCCTCCTCCTCCTCCTCCCCTCCTCCTCCTTCTCCTCTTCAACCTCATCATCATCATCACCAGCATCAGCAGCATCACCATCACCATGGTCGTCATGGTGGTCATCATCATCATCACCACCATCGTCATCAACATCATCTCCATCTTTTCCATCACCGTCACCATCACCATCATCATCACCGTCATCATAACCATCATCACCATGTTCATCATCATCATCATCATCTTCATCATCATCACCATCCTGGTCTTCGTCGTCATCATGGTCGTCGTTGTCATTGTCCTCATCGTCATCATCACCGTCATCATCATCATCATCATCATCATCATCGTCGTCGTCGTCATAGTCGTCGTCATAGTCATCGTCATCATGATCAGCAGCAGCAGCAGCAGCAGCAACTTCATGACCACCACTCTATCCATAGAACGACGAATCAAAGACCTCCGGTTTTGAAAATGTAGGGAGGAAGGCGACCAGGAAAGCTGTCCGCTTAGAATCCTTTTCTCGTTCCTTTGCTCCAGTGCATACCGACATGCAGGGTGTCGACTTCACTGTTTGTAGTGGGGAGAATCCATTCCGAGCGAAAAAATCAGCACTGACAGCAAAGAGGTATAATAAGCACAGATCTCAGCTCACTCTCTTGCATTGCAGTGATTCGCAGCATCATTGTCACCACTGTTGCAGCATCTTTGTTGCAGCCCTATAAACACGTGAACAGCGAACTCCCATGCAATGGGACTACGTCCTGAACTCGAAATTTGACCCTAACGCGCGACATCCAAAGATCCAAGATCCGAGCTCTAAGCTCTCGCCTGGAACAAGGCAACAAAATTCGAATCTCAAGACCCTACCGTTTTAGCTCCAAAAATCCTGGAACCCAAAGCTGTAGGTATTGTAAAACCTCGACACCTGAAACCTGATGTTCCGAGACCTCACACCCCCCAAATCCCAAAAGCCCAAGGTCCACTCCACAGGAAAGTCCAGGGCCCCCAAACCTTAAGCCCAATAGCCTCCCACACCTTGAACCCTAAACCCGTATTGATTTCTTATAGACCCCTGCAGGGAGCCCCTTAGAGGAACTCTTAAGGACCTGAGCCCTACACCCTTATAAATGCCTTGGTGCTGACACCTTGAACCCAAATCAGGTCTAGGTCCCTTATAGACCCCTTCAAGGAACCCTTTAAAGGAACCCTTAAGAAACCCAGAAGGAACCGTTAAGAAACCCGAACTCAGGTCTTAGTTGGCTTCTCTATGGGTGGTGGTTTGGCCATGGAGCTGGCCATGCGCATTGCCGACGGGGTGCCTGGAGGTTTAATGTTAGAGCTTAGGGTTTAGGGCTTCGGGCTTAGGGTTTAGGGTTTCAAGCGGCGTAGGGTTTAGGGTTCAAAGACGGGTTTATGGGCTTAGTGGTTGAAACGGATGTTGCAACTTAGGCAGTTTGAGTTCATTGTTGTGTGTTAAGGTTAAAGGGCTTTAGAGTTTTAGGATGCCCAGTGCTACCCTCATTCCCTTTTTGCAGTCCTAGGTTCCTTATGAAGTTACCCAATACCAAAAAGGGAGCCCTTTTTTTTTACTAGGTTACTGGGCATCCTAATGCTGATAAGACCACATTTAACGAAGCAGGTTTTAGTAGGGCCGTAGAGACATAAAGAAGAAGGAGGCAAGTTGGAACATCATTATCGTCATGCTGCATTGAAGTAAGGTGTAAGAAACCCAGCACTACCTAGCCTTAAGCCATTTTAGCCAACTTTCCGGAGTTCGCTGTATCTTCTATTCTCAAGGTTTTGGATGCGCTTGCCCGGACAGGGTCCCAGCCTGTGCCGAAACCCTAAGTCAACCGCAAGCGCACAAGCGGAATATAGAAGCTTGAGTATTTGCTAACTTAACATAGTTCCTAAGGGTCTGCTGTTATGGTCATACGGTATTATGATACACCAAAAGCCTGTTGTAATTGTAACTGTTAAATACTGTTAACACCCTAATCTCAAACCCTAAACGCCAACTCCTGAACCTCAAAGCCTAAACCTGCACCGTGAACCTGGAACCTACCAGAGAGTCGCTATCAGATTAAACACCAAATCTTCAACCTAAAGATTGAATATCTCCAAGGGTAAAAGGAGGGACCCTTGATAAGGACCCCTAGGTATATACCCTTAATGCAGCTATTATTTACCCATAAACCCGCAACCATAGAACCATCGTTCCAAGGCCGCCCCGACCTGCCCAGAACCTTTGGCGGCTCGAGCCTCAAAGTTTCACCGCTTGGGTTTAGGGTTTAGGGTTTAGCGATAGGGTTTGCAGGGTTTGGGGTTTAATAGGGTTGGTGTTTGGGAGTATCGGGGTTTACGGGATTTCGGGCTTGGGGTAGGGTTTCGGGTTCAACTTATGTACCTACAACTCACTCGGGCTTTGGGGTATACTGCAGTACAAATTTTTGCGCACTTATAAGGAATATTTCGGAGTAGTCTTAGGCGTGATTCGGGCCAATCATTATGACCACCGTAATTCGTTACTATGAGGTCAGCCGCGAAGAACACGCAAGGCTAGCCAGCCATCACCGTGAATAATACCCCAGCCAGCAAGTCATGCAACATAAAGGACTTGCACCATCATTATGAGTCATGAGAGTGTGCATGGGTACATAAGATTGTGGTGATGATGGTGATGGATGTGGTGATGATGACGATGATGATGATGCTGCTGATCATGACGCTTGTTGGTGGTGGTGATGAAGAAGAAGATGACTGTAATAAGGCGGAGCTGTTTTCAATCAAAACCACCCCCCCCCCCCCGAATTATCAGGTTGGCTTGCAGACACTGGTTTCATGGCCTCCTTGCGCGTCAAGCCCGCAAGTTCTCTGCTGAACTCCGAAGCATTCAAACTACATACTCTTGTCCCTTCTGCAATGATGCCTTGATACGCTTCCCCCAATGTCAAATTACAAACAGTACTATCAATAGCCCAAGTACCTAGTGTAATCTTAGTAGCTGAGTAGAGCCTTTTCAATTAAGATTTTCTTGGGCTAGGGTATCAACCGCTAAGTCATAGTCATTCCTTGAACCCTACAGAAAAGGCCCTCAAAAAAACAGACTCCAAAGCCCTTAGCTTAATCCCCTCTTGCCCAACAGCTCCGAACCTCGACACTCCTACAAAGCCTTTGTGGTTTCCTGAGCCCTAGCTGGGAGAGGTGTATGTCGCTGGCCGGAAGCCTCCAGCGCAGAATCCTTCCTTGGTGCCGCAGCCTGAGAATGCTCCTGTTAAGGGTTTGGAGTTTAGGGTAGGTTCAGGGTTTAGGGCTTTTTAGGATTTAGGGGATTAGGGGTTTAGGGGATCCGATATGGCTCCTACTTGGGTTGAGGCTGTAGAAAGGTTGGAAGTCAAGCGTACTTTTGGTAGGCGGTGCCTCTCTTCACGACGTCATCCGGCCCTCCAAGCAGGAAAGCTGTTGTAGGCTTGCCGGCTGAGGGCTTTAGCGTAGGGGCCTAATAAATATGTAGTCTTGCTGTTCCTTAGGGTTCCTTCATGTGTTTATGGTACACCGCGCCCCCCACCCCCCCCGCCCCCCCGCACCACCCCAAACCTTGTTGCACTTGTTGCTGGCCCCTGCCAATCAACCCTAATCCCTAAACCCTAATTAAACCCTAAACTCTCAACGTTAACCCTTGAAGTTTAACCTCTCAACCCTAATCCCTTTGACTTAAACTCGTAACCCTAAACCCTATAAAGTCTAAACCCTCCAACCCCAATCCCTACTTAAAGGGTCATGGGACTTAGTAACTAGCGTTATAATTAGGGTAACTATACTTAGAACTACTTACAACCCCAATTAGGGTACTTGTAACCCTACTTACTAAGTCCCATGATCCTCCAAGTAGGCCCTAAACCCTAAACTAAACCCTAAAGATCCCTTTAAGGAACCCTAAAGATCCCTTTGGGAGCCCTTTTAAGGAACCCTTACTAAGTCCCATGATCCTCCAAGAGCCCTTGAGCCCAAGCCCTTAAAGGGAAGCAAAGCCCTAAGCCCTATATAGATTCCTAAAACCCTAAGCCCTAAACCTTATGAAAGCCCTAGGCCCTAAAAGACCCCGAGCCTTCCAAGACCAGGTCCGACATCAACATGTCCAATGAAGAGCTGGCAGCGGGGAATCCCGGGGGCGTCGTTGTATAGAGGACCTACGGATCCTAGGGTTCCGTTAAAGGGGTCTATAAGGGTACCTGTAAGGGCTTCCTTTAAGGAATCTATAGGGGGTTTAAGGTTTAGGGTTGATGATATATATCCTGCAAGACCCATAATAAGGGACATACCATAATTCCCATAGTTTCGGGTCCTTAAGGTCATTCAGGATTTATATCATCAACCGTATTATTACTAAACAGAGGGGCTCATATTCATGGCTATATACAATCATGTTCCAAACATTATCTCAGTGTTGCAGAGTAGGGGCAGTACAGTAAATCCCATAAAGTTGGAAACCGGATTACCGCCAAATAGTTGCTGGGATTCCATATACATTTCTCCTAAGGATTGAGGCTATTGGGCTTCCAGGCTTCTACTGTACGAAACCGAGGGGCTTATAGGATACAGGGTTTTTGGGTTCGGGTTCAGGGCTTAGGGAGTGTAGGGTTTTAGGGAGTATGGTTTAGGATATATAGGGTATAGGCAGTATAGTCCAGGAATGTCTTGTTTGCAAATGTCCTTATAGTCGTTCTGATACTTGGAGGGTCGGAGGACTGAGTAAGTAGATAATAAGTAGACTTATCAGTACCCTAGAACGGATCCTGGTTGGGGTTATGAGACTTATAACTCGATAGCAATAACTAGATACTTAGTCCCCGTGCCAACGGCGGCTGATCTCGCTCCGTTGTCTTTTGCAGGTCGGACGGCACCAAACGTCAGTTGCAGCATCTGCTCTTCGTCCATACTGTTCCGCAAGGGATATGCCGGATGAGGCGGCCGAGGCGGCCCAGGCCCCTAAACCCCTAACCTTAAACCCTAAATCCTAACAGCAATCCTAAACCCTAAACCTCGACCTCTGCACTCGGTTCGGGCGTACTTGCTGTACCCCACTCCAAGTAGTCTTGCTCCTGCTTGGAGGGTCAGGGGACTTAGTAAGTAGTTAATAAGTAGAGTTATAAATACCCTAAAAGGGATCCTAATTGGGGTTATGGTACTTGTAAGTCTCTAAAATAACTAGTTACTAAGTCCCCCGACCCTCCAAGTGAAGGTCGACGAAGGATCCTTTTCGCGTGTATTTGGCGCCACTTCGCACGCAGTGCGATCCAGAAATCCTGAACCCAAACCTGATAAGTCCGTTCCCTCAGCTTCAGCTACTTAGTGTCTGAATCACACATTGTGTATACCAACTTCAAAGCCACAATTTGCAGCCCTCGGGTCACGCTCTAACTGGGATGCCGTTATGGCTGTCCTTCAAGAATGGGTGGTCGACTAAACTTGATTAATCAGGCATCTACGGCCAAGAACCGTCATCCTGAGCCCTAATCCCCTCGCCCCCCCCCCCCCCCCCCCCACCCCCGTACCCTTAGCCTCTAAACGTTAGCCCGCCTCAACCCTAAACCCACAGGCCCTTCTAGCAACGTTTTTTTGGAATCCTGAGGGACATAGCAACCCTGATTTTTATAAAGCAGCCATAATCATAAGCAGCCCTTCGACACCCCAGCCTAAACCTAATGTAGAAGCCATACTACAATTCCGGACCCTAAACCCTTAACCTCTAAACCTTATAAACCCCAAACCCCTAAACCCGACGCCCTATAAAAAAGGCCTAAACCGCCAGTTCGCCATCATTCCAAGGGTAAAAGGAGGGACCCTTAATAAGGACCCCTAGGTATATACCCTTAATATAGCTATTATGTACCCATTCTATAGCCCATTATAGGGTAGGGGTCCCCATTAAGGGTCCCTCCTTTTCCCCTTTGAATCATGTTAGCAAGTTATCCATTGCTTGGGGCCTCCTGGGCTTAGGCTCTCTGACCCAGGCCTGAAACTGGATTTTGCAGCCACGCGCAGGTCATAGGTAAAGGTCCCCCCTTTTCCCCTTGGAATCATTACGCGTTCCTGCAGCTGCTCTCGAGGCCTATGCCTTCGCTCCACCGGAGGCGGCGGCATCGGCAGAATTCCGTGAACATGCCAGGGGCCTCGGCACTGGATTTGGGGGTTTAGGGTTTTAGGGTTTAGGGTTTAGGGGTTTAGGGGTTTAGGGGTTTAGGGGTTTTGGGTTTAGGGTTTAGGGGTTTAGGGTTTAGGGTTTAGGGGAGGCCTCGGCACTGGACGAGGATGCCCAGTAGTACCCTTATTCCCTTGTAGTCCTAGGTTCCTTAAAAAGTTACCCAATACCAAACAGGGAGCCCTTTTTGTTCCTAGGTTACTGGGCATCCTAGTGGATTTGGGGGTTTAGACTGAGACTTGAAGTAGAGGGGGTTATGTAGGTTACTCTTGGGTTTCTATAGAGTAGGGCTTACTATGACATCTCTTTAACGGCGTAGGGTTTGGGGTTTAGGATTTAGGGTTTGGTGGTTGAGTAATGAGGGAGCTGGATTCAGGATGCGGATTTGGGGCTTGGGGTTGTGTAGGACCCGCGGTCTGGCGACTTTCAAGTTCAGTCGCGTTTGATTCTGAGAGGGGGGCCTATCGGCTAGGGAGCCGTGGGTCTAGAGTTTAGGGTCTAGGGTTTAGGTACCCCACAAATCAAAGAGATGTTCATCGCATGTCTTCCCGGGTTTAGTGATTCTCGTCGCAACTGCAAGACATGGAGCTCATAAGCGGGCTGCTTGGGGTTCCAGCTTCGTGCGGAAGGTGAATCAGCCCCAAACCGCTCAAATCCTCAAAACCAACACCCTAAACCCATAAACTTTCCTACAACCAAACTTCAAACATATCCATGGACGTCACACTATTCAACCCCCCCGAGCAAAACAAACATACCTCAACAACCCCCCCCAAAAAAAAACCCAAGCCACCAATGTATAATCAACCCCACGTCCAAATTACCCAAGCCGAGGCCTTACAATTTCCAAAAAAACCCAAACGCTATCGTCGGGGCTTGAATAGGTGGTCCTCATACTCCTCTATAGAGGCGTAATTTGAAACGCTGCGCGTCGTACGGCCCGGCTGTACGCGCATGCGGCGAGTGGCTACTATCTGCAGCAAGCTCTTGTAGGAAAAAAGTAACAGTTGGAATCGCACTTATAGTAAAAGTAATGTTCATAGCAACACGAAGCAGGATGATTGTGAGTAGTATTAGTAGTGGTAGTATCCGTACGAGTTTTGGTGTCGTCATTCCGAAACACTGGATACCAAGACTCTCGCAAGCGGCGGGATGCCTTAAGTATGGGCCGTTGAGGCTGTGGATTTCGTGGGCGTCTTGGATTAGGGTAGCATCACAGCCTTTTCAACCACGTTACTCCACGAAAGGGCGTCTAAAACAAGCCTGAGACGCACATAAAGATGCTACATTGCAGTCCCGTGTCGTCGAAAACTCCGAAAGCTCGCACCTGTCAGCGAGCGGAGGGAAAGGGGAGTGGGGGGGGCGGGAGGGGGGGGGGGGGGGGGGGGGGGGGGGGGGGGGGGGGGGGGGGGGGGGGGGGGGGGGGGGGGGGGGGGGAGGGGGAGAAGGCGGGGAAGCGAAGTAAATTGGGTGGGACTGCCTACAGAAAGCCAAAATCCACTGGAGAAAGAGAAAATTCACCGCCGGACCTTGGGGCTCATCGACACGTTTCCATTTTTTAGGGGGGGGGGGGGTTAAGAGTTAAGAGGTGGGGAATAGGAATATTCCGACTAGGAACCTCTGACCGCTTCGGCCGGGGCCGAGGCGAATTTCTTAGTAGTTAGACATCCCCAAACCCATTTCTAATCATTCAACCCGTTGTTGTGGGCCTGGGTAGGCATTGTGGTATCAACAGGCTTGCGAGTGTGCTGACCGAGCTGTTGTTAGCAGCAGCTTCTTCCGTAAGAGATGTTAAGAAGTCTTGCTTGCAACCACCCTGATTAATATAAACATCCCACCCCAAACACAGGTAGTGCCTTTGTTGCGCGCCGACCTCGAGGCATTGCACAGGGCCCCTGCGCGGGCTTCGGGCTTGGGACGTTGAAGGCTCTTCATGAAAAACGTACCCAGTTTGAAATTACCGTTTGTTGTGTAGTACAGTGTTAAGAGAAAGTTTTCTTATCCAATCGAAAGCTTAGTAATTATAATCTTAAGACTTGACAGCAGAGACGCTCAGTATTCCTTCAAAGCATGGGCATCCAAAAAAAATCTGAGAACGACCCGCAGCTCTGAATTCCCGGAGCTGTTGGGGCTTTTGGGTGTCAGGGTGGAGGGATCCAGGCCGGCAGTCCCAAGTCCACTTTGCTTGGCGTTCTCCTAGTTGGCTCTTAGGGCTTTAACTTCTTGGTTTTCTATATGAGCCATAATAAGGAGGCTAATAGTTTTCGTTTTAGGAGGGCTTCAGAAGGCAGCCAAGTATAGTCAGTGTTTAGGCTACAGGGTTAAGGGTTTAGGGTAAAGTACCAGCATAACCTACTTTTTTGTGGGTTCTTGTTACAGCCCACACATGGAATGTACGGGACCCTGCGACCAAGTTCTGAGGTTCAAGCTTCTGACTCAGGTTTAGGCTTGGGGGGTGGGGGGTGTGCGATTATCCCCTAAACCCAACTGAACCCGAAGCCCAACGGCCGGAACCCTAAACCCTAAATGGATGTCTAGATCCGAGCTCAACGTGCAGGGATATCTGGAGGGTTCGAACACGCGCAATAGCAGCCGAATAGCGGCGTCTTAGTCTTATCAGGCCCAAAATACTATGCCCTGGAAGGTCTTTGATACTTTAAGTGCATCCTTATTTTGGGTTGCTGGACTCCTTGGGTTGGGATCCAAAACGATTCCTACTTCCACCCGAGAAGAGGGAACCCGTAAACCCGAAACTCTAAGCCGCTAAAGGCTCCTAGTACCTACTGTAGGTTGTTGATACGTTGGGATCATCCGAATGACCTGCAGCTTTCGATCCGGGTTGCAAGCAAGAGCATCGTTGCTGCGCGGGGTTCAGGATCTAAAGGTTAAGCTGTGGGATTTCGGGCTAAGTTTGGAGCTTCAGGTTTCATTAGCATTAAGGTCCGAGGGTGTGCGAATTAATATTTCGCGGGGATACGAAGCGCGTGGACTGCACCTCGGGATGGAGATGCGTCGGAGCGCTCTTGGCCAAAGGATGCAGACAACGGGCTGGCCCATTCGAGCCGTTCTGATGGCCACCGTTGACCACAACATCCCTGCAGTTTCTCGTCATGACGCATAACAAGGAGGCCTCAGAGATTCATCATCATCCTCATCAGCGCCATCATCCTGGCTTCTTCAGCCTAAGGTTGGTGCCGTGACATGTATCGGCTTCGACCTGGAATCGAGCAGGCTGGAGCACCTGCTTCAACTCGCCGACATTCAGGCTGTGCTGGGTGATGCGAACTGGAGGGATCGGACTCGGCTCAAGCTTTTGCTGCCCAGCATCGAGGAATCGCTGGAGCGACAAGAGTTTCCTATCAGGACATTGACCTGATAGAAAGTCCCCCAAATCAATGCCCGATGCCGCTTCCACAGTCCTTCCGCCAAGCAAGATGCCTACAGCTGCAAATGTTAAAACCCCGCCTTAAAACCCTGCACCCTCGGCCTTAAACCCGCATGGACACACCTGGAAAGCATTACATATATATATATATATATATATATATATATATATATATTTATGCCAGGCAGATGCCCGGGCGGAGAAGCGGCTGAGCAACGCGGGCCTGGAGGCTTTGGGTTTCAGGGTTTACCCGTAGCCGGAAAAAAAACTACATACCTTTTTTAGGGCTCCTTAGTATGGTTTCTATACATAGTTCTTTATAATCATTATGCTAAAGGTGGTCTTTTGCGCCACAGGTGAAGGGTTTATGTTGCAGAAATAAAGAAATGGAGCCGATTACAGAGGTCTGCCATTAGCATTAGGGTAAAGGGGCTATCCGGTTTGATTGGGAAGTTCAATAGGCACTGCAAAGGTTTCAGATTTTTGTTCGGGGTATAGCAAGAATTTGTTAGTTTGCGCCGTAGGGTAACTGTCGCAGTTGTTTGACCACGGAAAAGATACGTGTCCCAAACCTGGTTCCACGAACCCGGTTTACGGTTTAGGGTTTTAGGGTTCTGCGGATCGTGAAACGCAAGAGGAGGTGTACACGGACCGCAGAACTTTCACTGCTCTTGTTTCTTGCTAGCTTTTACTTCTTCTATTCTACATTCCCCGGCCACCCGTCTGCTTCTGACGCCTATAAACCCTACTTAAACCCGAAAGCCTAAATTCCAATTTATCCCTAAACCGTACGCAGTAGCGCATCTTGCTGGCTTCTGATGCCCTGAGCTTGTTGGACTCTTCGAAGCTGCACCCGAGCCTTTGAGTTTCCCCCACTCCTGCGTGTTCAGGCTTTAGGTTTAGGGTTTTGGGTTTAGTTTTGGGGCTGGATGTTGCATTCAGAGACTCACCACGGCATGGCCTTGCAAGGATCACCTCTCTCTCGATCCGGGTCTCTCAGTGGGCACTTTTTCCTTATTTGCCGCCTTTGGTTTCTTATAAGACTACCCAACACAATCAAGAGGAGTTATTGTTAGGCTCCTGGGATCCTAGTGTTTGTAGGATGCTGACCACAAGCGTTTCCGAAAATTAGGGGTACCTTATTTGGGGTTCTTATAATAATGATCCTACTATTTAGAGGAACTCTATTAGGGTCCCCTATTTTCGGAAACCCACAGATTGGTTTTCATAAAGAGAGAGGAGCTATCGCTACCCGGACTAAACGCTGAGCTCGACAGGCCCCACACCCTCAACCCAACAGGGTTTCGGGTTTTGGGTGTAGGGTAATAGCCCTAGGGTTTAGGGTTTAGGGTTTAGGGTTTAGGGGTTTAGGGTTTAGGGTTTAGGGTTTAGGGTTTAGGGTTTAGGGTTTAGGGGTTGATGATACAAATCCTGACCCATAATAAGGAATATACCAAAATTCCCATAGTTTAGGGTCCTTAAGGTAATGCAGGATTTTTATCAGCAACCGTAGGACCCCCAACCCTAAACCCCTAAAGCCAACCAAAACCCTAGTAGATCCCTTATGGAAGTTCTGCCAAAGACCTTGAAGAGCCCTAAACCCTACAGGCTGCCCAGACCTTCCAATATCCCTATCTTTAGGAACATGCGTTGAATCAATGTATGGATCTTATCATCATCCAAGGCATATTGGGTAGTTCTCCAAATTAGGGTCCCTTTTTGAGTAAGTCCCCAATATAGTACGGCACCCTCATAAGAAGGACCCTAAGGGACCCTAATTTAGAGCATTGCTCATATATTCCGTGAATAAGGCACCTTTGACCCTAAGCCCTAAATCCCTATAAGCCCTAAACCCCTAAACCCTAAACTCGAATAAGGAAAATCTTAGAAGGTTTGGGTATGGCCAACCAGGATCCTCCTAAAAAGCACTGCCAGGGGCGACAGCTGCCGGCCACCGTTGGTGTTGAGCTGCCGGGGGGGCCCAGCAGATTTTGGATTTAGGCTACTTGGGGGATCATGGGACTTAGTAAGTAATTAGGGCTATAAGTACCCTAATTGGGGCTTTTAAGAAATTACAAGTATAGTTACCCTAATCATAACCCTAGTTACTAAGTCCCATGACCCTTTAAGTAGACCCTAAACCCTAAACCCTATAGATCCCTTTAAGGACCCCGTCAAGGAACCCTAGTTACTAAGTACAATGGAGACTATAGGTATAGTTGGGTTCGTATTTAGGGGGTTTGGGGTGTAGGAGGTGTAGGGTTTTGTGCTAATCGAGACGCTCGACTCCAGAACCGTGTAATTAGAATCTAAACCCGGATAATTCATATGGGTGGTTGTCAAAATTAGGGTCTTTTTTTGGGTACCCTAAAGAGTACGTAAAAAGGGACCCTAATTTTGACAACCACCCACCCATATAAGCCTAAACAATTACCAACACTATTTGGGGGACTGCCTTATTAGAATTATAGTATAATGGGCTCCAAAACTTTATTCTAACCTGGGGCTCACCTATTTTTCTTGAGCCCCAACACCAATACCCTGGTACACAAGCGCTTGTGGAACACTTCAGCCTACTTACTCGATGCGGCAGTGGTGCAGCCTCCAAAACATTTTACCATCTTTTGTGCAGCTCTCCTCAGCCTCTGACATCACATGGCTGGAATCCTTTCCCGAAGTTGAGCAACGCTCAGCGCCTTGTGGGGCTGCGTGTCAGCGAGTGAGTGAGGGCTCAAGTCAGGTCGAAGAAACTACACGAGCCGCAACCACTTCAGGCAATCAGACTCCCACACAGTCAATGCCACTTAGATACGTAATTGGCATCCTGCGTAACTGCACTACATGTTCTAATTCTTCAAATCCTTGGGGGTTTAGGGTCCAGGGTTCCTTGTTAACCGTGTCGCATCTCTGAGTGCATGTTCTGTTTTAGAGCGAGTGTCGAAGATGCACGCAGTGGGGTGAAGATTGTACAGTAATAAAGAAGTCTGAATAAGGCGTGATACATCTCAACTATACTGTGTGTTTACGAAAACTGGGCTCCAGCAAGAAGCCCTAAGCTCCCATTTCTTACGTTCGAAACCCTCACCTCTGCCCCAACCCTAACCCCCCAAATCAGGTTCTGCGGGACAAGCGACACCGTTGCACCGTGGCTCGAGGCAGTGTCGCACTCGATAGGGCGCGGATTGTGATTTACTCGGTACCCTAAACCCTAAACTCTAAACCCTAAACCCTAAACTCTAAACCCTAAACCCTAAACCCTGAACTCTAGACCAAGAGATCCCAATATCCGTTCGTTCAGGAATGCATCTGAATTGTCTAAAGTCTATAGGTCCTGTTATTCTGATTAAAGGTGAGTTCTTAAGTTCGGTGTGCTGGGCTCTGTCTGTGGCTATTCTCCAGAGAGTTCCTTTTGTAGAATTGCTTGTCTGTTGCCGTTGAATTTACACATGTTGTCCTTACTCCGGTTCTCAAAGGACTTCAGTTTAGCAGCATGCAGCGCTAAAGGAGTGAGGTGTTATGCTAGGCTATCGACTTGGGATGACTTTTTATGTCCTCTATGGTCAATATACAATTCTGGGGACTGAAATCAGCGCCTAGTATAGTCTCCAGTGTAATTCCTGTTTGGGGTTACCTTATAGGACCCTAGTTATATATATTTGGTGAAACCAACAAAAGGAACTACAATGGAGACTGGAGGTAGTATACTTGGAGAGTCGGGGGACTTAGTAAATAGTTATTTTATAGACTTATATGTACCATAACCCCAATTAGGATCCCTTTTGGGGTACTTATAAGTCTACTTATTAGCTACCTATAGTCTCCATTGTAGTTCCTTATTTTGGTTTAACCATTTTTATATTAAGGATCCTAAAAGGTAACCCCAAAAAGGAACTACAATGGAGACTATAGGTACTTACTAAGTCCCCCGACCCTCAAAGTAGGGCTTCAGAGAGGATGGCCTTCGGATTGAAGTGGAAGCGGGTCTGGGGATGCAGGGTTTAGCAGCTCAGGACCTCTTTCTGTAAATCAACCCTAAACCCTACCTAGAACCTGCCTTCTTTAGAGTTCCCTATTATGATTTCCTTATGTAAAATAAGTCCTTAAAAGGATAGGTTATTCCGGGTTAAGGTAAACCCTAAACCCCTTAAACTTTAGACCCCGAGATGAGCTGTAACTGCCCTTGAGCATTCGAGCCGTGACTTGAATTTGCAGCTCGGGGACTCTAGGGACGTAGGATTTATACTATAAGGTGTGGGTTTGAGGGTTTAGGGGTTTACTATAGGGGCCTAGATGATTACCTATACTATTTTGGGGTATAGTATAATGGCCTCCAAGCCCTATTCTAGCTATTAAGGCCCCTATAGTATGCTACTGTACGGGCTTGACAAATTCAGAGAGGGCAGTATTACCCAAGCGTACTACTTAATGTGTTCAGTGCAAAGTTGAGGTCTCTATATTGGGACGTAAGTTGTCTGAGTGGGAGCAGCGCGAAGGATTTCGGGGTTGCGGGAGGGGTTTGGGGGTTACACGGGGTCAAACGCCAATCCCCAATGCAGCGTTCTGAATACGTACTTATTAAAAGCTTCCTCTGATTGCCCTCTTTGCGTATACGGTCCTTAAAACCATACAAGGCCCCAGTCTAACTCCACACAGCAACTGATTCTAATCCTGCCATCTTCCCTGCAGAACCTTAAACCCTAAACCCTATAACTCCAAACCCTGAAACCTATATCCTAGACCCTAAACCCGAACCTCTAAACCCCGAATCCTAAACCCTAAACCGGCGAAGATCCCGTCGAACCCATCCGCGCCAGGCACCCGGGTGGCAGCGATACGCGGAGTCTGCCGTCGGCGGGGATCCTCGGGGGGGGGGGGGGTTTGGCGTTAAGGTGGTGGGGTCTAGGGTTTAGGGTCCGGGGTTTAGGGTTTTGGGTTTTAGGCGGTAGGGTTTACAGTAGGGTTTAGACCCCTATGCGAAGGCCGGGGGAGATCCTGAACACTAAAAGCCAAGCCCGCGGCCTCGGGTGAAAGTCCTACTATTTGGGTACTTCCGTTGGGCCCTGTGCGTAGGAAAAGATGCAATCTCAACGCGCCGGACGCACAAGCACGGGAATCCGAGTTGGAAGAAGACATTCATAGTTTGGGGTTCAGGATTTGGGAATAGGTATATCGGGGTGGTGATCTTGTGCGGAATTCATCGAAGCAGGGTAGCCAAAGGAGTGCAGGGGTGTTGGAGGGTCTAGGTACCCTAAACCCTAAACCCTGAACCATGGCTCCGCCTTTGACCGTGTACTTGTGCTGCAAGGCCTCCACTACTTACCGGGCGGCCATGAGTTCATGCAGGACTGGGCTGCAACAGTTTAGTTTTGGGGTTTAGGGTTTACAGGGTTGTAGGGTTTAAGGGGTTTATAGAGCTTTCAGAGTTTATGCGGGTAATAGGGGTTATTTATAGGGTTTATAGGGCTTGGGGTTCAGGGCGAGGGTAAGGGTAAGGGTGTCCAGCACTTAGGTTATGGACGTGTTAAGGGCGCGGAAAGCAAGGACATGAAAGGATCTACACTCATAGGGACCCTTAGGGGGGTAAGGGTTGAAACACTGAATGTTACACGTCCAGGTTCCTGTATGTGTCACGTATCACCTGCATGTATCCATGCCTGTTGCTCCAGGTTCTAGCAGACTACGATCTACAGCTGTGCGCCTGTAGCAAAAAGAGACTCCTGCGAGCCTGTGTTCCTGTACGTCTAGCGAGGGGATACACGCCCAGGTTACATCTCAACGGGAGGGGGGTAGGGGGCGTTAATACTTATAATAAGGACTTAATAAGGCTTACTTAGGGAAGTATAGTCCCCTACCCGGCCCTACCCCCCTCCCCCTACCCCCGTAAGCGTCCTTATGATACACGGATCTACAACTGTGGAGCACAGCCTCGAACCCGCAAGCCCTCAACTCAAACCGTCGTATAACACACTCGAAATTTGTTTAGGGTTTAGGATCGGGACCTAAACCCTTGTCCCAAACCCCCCCCTAAACCCTAAGCTTCCTAAGCCCTAGCCCTAAACCAGATATCCCTAAAACTTGGGATCTTGACGCCCGAAGCGGTGGGGGCGCCTCCACCTACAAGAGCTACTAACCCAGAGACTACAAAACCCCTTAATTAAGGAATCTACGACACGGGAGCCAAAAGCTGCACAGTGCTTCAGTGCCGTCACTCTGGGACGGTTGTGTGTCCTCTTTTATGTGCACATGCATAAATTCATACATCCGTACATATATGTATACGTGCGTATCTATGCACACATAGCCGATGTATCATAATTACCTATTCTCGTCGCTTGACATAAGTTCCGTAGCCAGAGCCCGGACATTGCAGAATTTATATAGTAGCTCTTTAACTACCAATATTGTTCCTTCGGGTTCCATACCTTGGTTATGGTTCTACTACGTACAATGCGCCAGGTCCTATTCTTTCTGTTAAGACCGCTTTCTTCAAGCCATTACATAAACCCAATTCCTAGAACCCGTTTGTCTAGGGTTTGACGGGGTTCATTCCTTCCCTCGGTGTGGGTTTCGCGCTGAGGGCTGCAGGGTCTGCGGCTTTAGTGTGGGTCTAGGGCTTTAGATTGCCCAAAGGCCCTAAACCCTAAACAGGGGCGAGCCTGTAAACCCTAAACCCTAAACCCCTAAACCCTAAACCCTAAACCCCTAAACCCTAAACCCCTGAACCCTAAAACCCTAAACCCTAAAACCCTAAACCCTAACCCCGAAACCCTAAACCCTAAAAACAAAAATATGGTTTATGGCTTAGGATTTGAACTTTAGGCCTTCGTCTCTGAACCCCAGGCCCACAAAACCAATTCCTCAAGCCTGAAGCGCTGGGAGTTGTGACGGAGCTTTGCCTCCAAAACCACAAATCTGTAGGGTCACACCTGTGAAAGATATAGTATGAAGAACTAGGTTGTTCCGTGTTGTCTTAATTACTTTCTTGTTTCTAGGGTTCTATATGAAATCAAAGATCTTGCCCGAAGAGTGTACACGGTTTCTAAGCGGGTTGCTGAACTGCCGAAGGATCATTGAAAGTCGGGTGCGCGTAGATTTAGGAGTGCTTGATGGGCTGGTACAAGCGGTTCCTACTAGGGTTCCTATCACAGTTCTATAAGGACTCTAAACGGCTAGGTCTTGAGGCTTTAGGGGTGACGGTATGGGTTCCCGGGCTTCTAAGTACCCCAAGCACCCTCATTGAGATTTCCTGCCTTAGTTAAAATACTATAGCAACCTGCTTGCTATGTCCGGAAGCAGGGTCGGGGGACTTGATAAGTACCATAACCCCAACGCCCCATTCAGAATCCGCCGTTTCATCATGCTTATTTAAACTCTGTTTCGAACCTTCATGCTAAGTCAGCCGACCCTCCGAGTAAAGACTAGGCACGAACCGGAAGGGAGAAGATGGCAGGAGCAGCGCACGAACATCTTCTCCACATGGCGTCGGTATCCTCAGTCTTGTGGTAGGGCCACGTCGTTCCTTACAGGTTGACTCGTCCGGACATAGAGACGGGGAGAACCTGCGTAAGTTTTTGGGGTTAGGGGTTCTTGCTGAGGGGTTCAGGATGCAAGGGTTGAGGATAGGGTTTCAGGGTTTCCGGATGTCCTGCATGATTTGGGGACTGACGCGCTAAGCTTGTCCTTTAAGGGTTTAAAATTTTGTTTGATCTCAGCCAGCCGTCACAGATCTTCTCTAAACTTCAATCCTTGAAATTGTCGAGAGCTTGGAGTTTGTAGTTTGCACCTTGCCGTAACAGGAAGGTAACATGCGGGTTGCTTGGTTTTTGCGATGGTTGTCGCAACAGTCAAGCTAGCATTTGTATCAAATGTTGCGTCTATTGCGGACGACGTCTTGGCGTTTTGGCTCGAATTCGCTGGCAGGGATGGTTTCCATGACTGAAGCAAGGTGAAGATGCTTCTGCTGGGACGCATGTAATATCCAGCCTAAGCCCTACACTCCTACACCTTCTTAAAGATCTTTAAGGGAAGTGTTCACGATGATTCACGACGACCCTTGCGAGTATGTGTGCCAATAAGTTCGAACAACCTACTCAAAGTTGGCAGCAATAAGCAGGATCAGTTCTTGCCTCTGGGCTGCACGTCCCGTTGCGATGAACAACGCCTGGGTGCATCAGAAGCGCCTGACAGAGAACACCTCCTCTCCAGGCTCAAGATGGGGATGTCCTTCCCTTTGTGTCTCGGTGTATTGGAGATTGAATTGCACAGGTAAACGACAACATTTGAACGACGAATAAAGACAATTATATGTGTATATTCATATATGTACATATAAATCTGGAATTTGCATTGATACGGTTTGTACACTATTTACCTGCGTATATCGTCATCCTGCTCAAGTTGTAAGAGAACACTACTACCCGGCGCTAAGGAACATTCACAGATGCATAAGTTACATGGACAAACCATGAAACAAGTACGCGGCTTGATAGACTGGCCAGTAAATGACTATAATGTTTGTTGATGTGTATAGTAAAGAGTTTGAGATCATAGCAGATGTAGTCTGTGTGTTGCTTCATGTCAGGTTCTAGGTCTAATCTGGAATGAAGGGGTGTTGGGCTCGATGTTATTTGCACCTTAGCCAGGTGCGGTGCCCTGCTTCGAAGCTTTGGCAGCGCCTTTGACGGTCGTGGACCTAACCCGACTGACCCTCACTAACCGGCACTTCCGTGACGAGCCCTGGCCACGCCTGGCCATTCTTGCAGATGACAGCTGCAAGGTTGCTCTGCCACAAGGTGAGCTCGCACCTTTGCTTGAACAGCTCGGCGGTAGACTGCGGAGGCCAGCATGCATCCAGGCAGCGGCAAGGGCCATCGGCCCTGCAGACACCCCTCGTCTTCTTGCTTGGGCGGAGGAAGATGCGCATCGTGCAACATGGGTTGTTACTGTGGTGTTGACTAGTAGGTGGCGAGAGATTGAAGACAAGCCCTACTTCGTGCGTTTTTTGTCATCTGCTTTAGCCTCGTGGCAGCATGTACCTCTGTGCACTGCGTGCTGCATACTTGCGATGGTCCCAAAGAGCTCGATGATTCCCGTGGACATTGACTGGGACATTCAGGAGAAAGTTTACGATGCTCTTCGAGATGCAGGAGTTGCCCACCTGTTGGAGAAACTGCTTAAGTTTGGCCCCGCTCCTGCGCAACGTGCAGTACTCGAAGCACTCCAACACGCTTGCGATCTTGGCTGTGACCCACTCAATGTCGCTCCTACGGATGTTACTCCCAACTTGCTCTTGATAGCACAGTCTGGATGCGAGGAAATCATGCTGGAATCTGTGACAGTCTTGGGCTGGCTCGGGGACTATCCAGAACGCTTTCCGGCTGATGGCATACCTGTGCTTATCGAGCTATTGGGACATAGATGCAATGACATAAAAGAAGCAGCTTCTTCCGCTCTTTGGGGATTCATTTTCCGCGCAGAGCATCTCGCAAAAGCTGCTTGCGAACACGGGTGTCTTCGACCGTTGATTGCCCAGCTTCGCAGCACGAGTATGACGAAGCAGTTTCCGTTGTTTTGCCTTGAGGGTGCCCTGAAGGTTGCGACACATATTGCTTCCGCAGTGGAGCTCGGGCTCCTCTCAGCTTTGTTCGACTGCCTCAGGCTCAGGAATGCAGACGACGTGGAGGATGTCGAGGTCATCTTGGGGCTGTTGCAGACGTGTTTCCGCCATGTGCCGCAGGCTCTACTGCAGGAGACCGTTGCCCAGAGAGAAGCCACGGTCCGCAAAGTCCTGGCAGCAGCAAGCAGCACTCGTCATTCAAATCGCGTTGAAGCTCAGAAATTGCTTCAGCTTCTCGACAGTGCCGGTCCACAGATGAGATTGTTGATTCGTCAAGAGGGCTACCGGGAGGAGTAGCTTTGAACACCAGCTTTGATGCAGCCTAACCATCTCTGAGCATTCGGGGTTCATGTGCAATCGCAGCACATCCAGGGGAGGACGCGGCAGATGTGAAAAAATCCAGTCGTGCCCGACCAGGGTGAGATCTAGTATGATGCAGTCAGGGGCCTAGCTATACTCAAAATACGACTTCGCAGAAGACTTTAACTATGCAAGGATTCTTGATGAAATTGTACTTGCTCCTCTTCAAACTCGCTTTACAGCCGTAGCCGCAACCTCAACCCTAAGCCGTAAACTCATCAAGCCGCAAACCCTAAACCACGATCCCCACACCGTGATTTGTGAACTGTGCGTTGCGCCTTGATTCGGCTTGCGCTTCCTGTGGGCAACATCAATGGCTACTTGGAGGATCATGGGACTTAGTAAGTAGGGTTATAAGCACCTTAATTGGGGTTAGAGGTAATTCAATTACCTCTAACCTCTAACCCCAATTATAAGTAAGTGCAGTTACCATAATTATAACCCTAGCTACTAAGTCCCATGACCCTTTAAGTAAGGTTTCACGGGGCTTGGAAACATGTCTGTAGGGTACAGGCCTTGATGATGGGAGTAGGGTTTCAGGGTGCATTACACTAGCAATCATAATTACACAGGGATCTAAGGGTACAGCATTGCAGCCTCGTGCATGGTGGATGGTCACTGAAACTGCCAAAAAAAGAAACAAATTAAAACCCTGGCTCCAAAGCATCCTTCAAGCCTGAATCCTAAAGCCTAGCCCTAAACCCTACTAGACCTTTAATATAAGTCCAGAGTCCAGGCTCCAGACCCTAAGCCCTTAAAGCGCCAGTTCCTTCAAGGCCGATGAGCAACAAATCATTCAGCCTAAATCCCGCTTCCTCGCTGTTCGCTTGTTGCGTGTCTTCGACGCTCTCGTTCTCCGGGTGTATCCGCGCAGAGCATTCTCGCGGACGAACTTTTAGAGTTCAGTGTTTATGGTTTCGGCTACTTCTAGATGCATGTGTTAGGACTGTTAGGGGTACGACGGTAAGTGCGTGCCTTCATCTTTTGCTAGTCTCGCTACATTCCCTGCAACCCCGGCCGCCCTGGCCCTGAAAGCTACCGTTGCAGCCACCCAGCAGCTTACCTTGACCTAAACCCTTAAATCCTAGACCGCAAACCCTAACATCCACATGTTTTAGAGCCGGACCCGGCTTTCGAAAAGGCTAAGGGTCCAAGACCGTAAAGATACATGCAATGCCTTAACCCTATTTGGGAGTTTCCGAAAATTAGTGGTACCTTATTTAGGGGTCCTTATCATAAGGATCCTACTATTTAGTTTAGGATGCCCGATTTTCGGAAACTGCCATATAGGGCTCAGGGAACTATGTTTTTCCCAATGGAGTTGTCCTGAAGCTACTACAGATCGGAGATTTGCCCGCCATGGTTCTGCTTATTCATTTCATCGTCCAAGCACTTCGGTCAGGGCTACCAAACCCTAAACCCTAAACCCTAAACCCTAAACCCTAACCAAGCCGAGCTAAGCTATACACCGTAAGCTGCAACCCTGCGGCCCAGAGTTGCAAGCCTCTCAACGTCATCCCAAGTCCTAAACCTTAAACAAACGATGGCACTGAAACCCTAGACCCGAATTGTGAAGCTCTACATCCTGAAACCTTAAAAATCCTAAACTCCCACATCTTAAGAACCTGCAAACCTCAAACCCCAAAGCCGCAACCGAAGAGAAACGGCATCAGGTCGCCCTAAGGTAAACCCTAAACCCTAAGCCTAAACCCTAAACCAAAAGCCCGAACGGGAAGCAACTTACCTTTGATTAGTAGGGAATGGAGGAATGGGGTACAGTTATATCTTATAACTACTATTACTACCATTCTTCCATTCCCGACTAACCAAAGGTAAGACAAAAGAGAGCAGCATCAGGTCGAGATGCACTGGGCCGTCTTGTGCAACGTCGATCTGCTGAGGTGTTCGCATTTGGGGGTTGACGGTTTGTGAGTTTAGGGTTTAGGGGTTTCGGTGTTTAGGGTTTACGGTTTAGGGTTTAGGGGGTTTAGGGTTTAGGGGTTTAGGAAACCCAAAATGTGGGACCTATAGGGCTTAAGTAGGTCTTAGAGTTGAAATTGTGGGTCAGAGCGCTTGGTGTTTTGGGTTTCACCGCGAGTAAAGGTTCAGGGTTTGGGTTCGAGGGTGTAGGGGTCGTGGCGGAGGTTTTGCCGCTTTGGTTTGAGATTCCGGGATTTGAAGCCCACAGTAATTCCAGGCTTCCGAACACGGCATGCCTGTGGCAGTCGTTAAGCATACTGGTGGTGTGCACGACAACTTGGGTTTTGCTGCACCTTTTGGGACCTTTCTTTGCCATGCAAAATCTCTTTCCGTGTATATATGTTGGGTTTCAGGAGGTGTTGAACGTGCATGATGTCATGTATGCGTATCACACAGTAGACTCGGGATATAACAGCAAGTCCTCTGAACAAGACCTGAACCCTAACACCTGAAATACCAGAGCCCGGAGAACCTCACTCCGCCTTCAGTCGATGATGATGGCCTCCAGCAAACAACAGGTTGTTTCTAGGGGGTTTCAGCTGCAGGTGTTGGCGTTGTGTTATCGGCCCAAGTGACCAACATTTACACGGACGTCTGAGTACTCAGGGAGAGTATCCCGGTATAGTTACTCGCAGTCTGGTATACCCCAAAAGCCTTGTTCTTGTTCTGAAGTCCCCTATACCTGGCACTGTGTCGCAACGTTCAGCCAGTATTCGGTGAAATTACGTAGAGTCGTCGATGCTTTTGCAGATTATTTAGGATCCTTGGGTAGTATAAGTGTTCTTGCTATTCTAAGCCCACTACCTTTAAACTTTTGCCGTAGAAGCTAGTCACATGTTCATCCCTCTCAATCCCAAAGCTATGCTAACTGTCTAGGTCACGCTGAAACCTAGGGCCGCTAGCCTTGAGGGTTGAGGTTAGTTTCCCAAATTAGGGGACCCTAATGCAAGAACTTACATTTTGACTTATAATAGGAACCCTAATATGAATTAAGGTCTGTTCCTTAATTAAGGCCCCATAGTAGTTCCTTTTTGGTTCTCATATGTTGAATCCTATAAGGTAAACCCAAAAGAACTACTATGGGGCGTGTAAGGCTCTGACGGAACTTGAAAAAGCCTGACTCCGGAGGTCGCCAGCACCTTCGTCACGTAAAGCTTATTGAGCTTGCCCTACCAGGACCCCCCAGATGCCCTTTAATGGAGTCCCTATGGCTTCTAATGGTGGGTATCTGGGGGGTACTTGGGGGGTCTAGGCAAGGATGCAAGTACCTAGGCATGATATACTCTCCAAACCAGCAACCTACATAACTAGTATCATTTAGAAGCTGCCCCCACCCTGTAATAGTGGTATAATAGGAATATAATCCTTATGGTCACTATTACAGGGTGGGGGCAGCTTCTAAAGTATCATCCTAAACCCGAGTACCTACATAATTATTGGGTTCGTTGGACCCCTAGTGCGCATGCAAGGCAAACCTAAACCCCAAACCCCTGACATCTAAATCAAACCCTAAACCTAAAGAGCCCTAAGTTCGTGAGCCAGCCCCGACTTCTTCAGGCGGCGCTTCTGGCGGCGCAGTCCTTTTCCCCCGCTGGCAAAGCAATTCTTCAAGGCGCCTTCCTTTTTCTGGGCTTTGTGAGTCTCAACTTTAAAGCTACAAACCTTTGCATGGGGAAGCACCCAGAGACTCCAAAATCACTTAATTAATTAAGGAATATATACCTTAAATTATAGTAGGGATCCTAATATGATGTAAGGGTATATTCCTTAATTAAGGGATACTAAACCCTATAGATCCCTCATAGATCCCTTAAAGGAACCCTAGGTATATTCGTTAATTCAGGGGTTTTGGAGTCTCTGGGCATGGGCCGAGATTTGTCTGAGGGATTCGGTGTGTAAGTTTTGAGGGTTTAGCCGGTTACCCAAAGGCTCCATGTACCCTTATAGCAGATACTTAAGCCTTAAAGGAGTCCCTATATAGGTACTTTAAGGCCTAAGTATCTACTGTATGGCTACATGGAGCCTTAGGGTTAGGGTGTCTTGATATGCGGCCGTGGGATTTGGGGCCCGCATCCCGTCAATCTGATCCATGTCATGGGGTTTACGGAGAACAGCTAGGTAGGATTGTGGGACATTTTTAATTTTCTTTATTTGGGTTTATAAGGGACCCCATATATATTTCAGGTTTAAAGGCCAACCCAGACAGTGCCGGATTCCGAGAACAGTATTTTGGACGACTCCAGTCCGGCTTTCGACGAAGAGGGGCTTTTGCCATTCGGAGTGGAGCCGATCTTCCAGAAATCCCAAGACTCGTAAGTTGTCGAGAGCTTGTAGTTTGTGGTTTGCACCTTGCCGTAACAGGGAGGTAACACGCGACGTGCTTGGTTTGTGCGGTAGTTGTCGCAAGACTCAAGCTACTTGTAGCTTTAGTATCAATCGTTGAGCTATCGTGGACAACTTCTGCGCATGTTGGCTCGAGTTCGCGTGCGGGGCTGGTTTCATGACTGGAGCAAGGTGAAGATGCTTGTGCCGGGTCGCATGTACTCTGCGGCTCTTGCGTCAGACATCTTTATGCGCAGCCTGTGCCCCGTTCTAGTATGTGTTCGAACAATCTATGCAGCAACATAAGAGTAGCTTGCACCTACAAGCCTTAAAAACCCTAAAGCCTGGGCTGCGTGTCCACGTTGCGATGAACACCGTCCCGGTGCCCCAGCAGCCGCTGACAAGAGAGATTTCCAACTGGGGAACAGCAAGTCCTTCCCTGTGTGCCTCGGCATATACAAGGGTTTGTGCGTGTGTACACCAAAATACATCAAAACACTATTGTGTATATGTGTGTATATATACACATGTATTTTACATATTCTAAATATGCGTATATATTACCACATGTGTCATGTACGTGTATGCATGCATGATGATGCATGAAAAGGTTTTTGAGCTCAGGTCATTTGAAGATGTGCGTGCAAGCCTCATAAGGAAGTGAAGCAGGGGTACGGTGTTTTGGTATCATCGGTTCTGAACCGAAGTGCCTGAACCTAAACTCTAAACCCAACCCAACAGAAGTATAGAGTACTTACCTTGGCGCAGGTTTAAAAGAGCCAGGAATATACCTTTTGCACGTGCACGCACTGAATGAAAGCTGAAAATAAGCAAGCAGACCAGCACACCAAAACACAAGCGCATACACAGCATACGTGTATGTATATATACATATATATATATATATACACATAAATATGTATATATATATATATATATACATGTATATATATATATATGAATATGTATAGCTAAACAGATCGATAGACAGATAGATAGATAGACTGCACTGTGTATACATGTATTAATTACGGTAACATGTAACATAACCATGTACAGTACCAGGTACAAGACTAGGTTAAATCATATCATGTTGTATTATTTCCTGCCGCATTGCAGTGTCTGAATGTAATCTCGCATGGTATCGTATTTTGCCGTATGTAATCATACAGTATCATATATCATCATAGCATACCGTTTACAATCAGATATCGTCACACAATATGGTATAGTACAGTATGACAGAATACAATTGTGCATGCAAATGGAAACAGACATATACATATATGTAAATGTTTATATTTATACATGTATATAGTATATACACATAAATGAGTATGCCCATATATATATATATATATATACACATGTACATATTTACTTACACATGGCCTTATTGCATATAAAACCTTGCACGATCGATCATGTCATACTTTAATCGAATAGCATAGTACCTGGCAAAAACCTACAAAACCATATAACATCATATACCACCGTCTTTCATCATAGGTTGTCATATGATCATATCAAGATGGCATACATACATATAAATGCCCATAACCCATAAGTAAGAAAGCATTTATTATACATATATATATATATTATAGTATGGTATAGCAAAGTATAGTATAGAAATATCTACATATATATATACACATACAAGAATATGTAGCGTATTAGTATCACTATCAGTTAATTTGCGTTTGATCACAGTTTCCATACCGCCATGAAAAGCAACAAAAGGTCATAGAACACCATATCATCACATAGGACCATCCAGCAAAGTGGAACTTCATGTAACACCATAAAACGAAATCGAATCTCGTATTTTATCGCCGAGTAGGATGTACTTTGCAGTAACACAAAATCGTACTACGTGTTGAAATATATAGATTCACATGTGCGTGTGTGCATGTACTTATATGTATATGCAGGTATCAAGACTTAAATGTGTGTCTGTATATGTGTATTTTTGTTTGTATATTGGAATAGGAATGAAGGAATACAGGGAAATAGGTATGTAAGTATATAGGTAGCTAGGTATATAAGTGTGTGATGTGTGTATATATACACTCACCAAAAGGGGGGGTGCAGACCAGGATTTTCATTGTTTGCCCTTTTCAATGTCTCTTGTCTGCTGATGCATAAACAAATAAATACTCATGTTGATGTAAAGGTGTAGAAGTATGGGTATATATATACATATATATATATATATGCATATATATATATATATATATATTATGTATATGTGCTCACCCCCCCCCCCCCCCCCCCCCCCCAAGATCTACGCTTTCGTGGTTCTTGGGGCATGGGGAGCACGAAACACTGCTATGCTCAAAAAATTCCAAAATTTCTTTCCCTGAAACTCACAAGACACTGTAATGCTCAAAGAATTCCAAAAATTCCAAAATTCTGGCATCTATGGCTAGGACGGGGGCAAATTCCTTAAAACTTTGGAATTTTTTGAGCATAGTGTTTCGTGGTTTAAAACTCACAAAACACTGTAATGCTTAAAAAATCCACTTTTCATTGCCTCAAAGCTCACGAAACACTGTGTTTCGTGAGCTTTGAGGCAATGAAAAGTGGATTTTTTGAGCATTACAGTGTTTTGTGAGTTTTAAACCACGAAACACTGCTATGCTCAAAAAATTACAAAATTTCTAGCCCTGAAACTCACGAAACACTGTAATGCTCAAAAAATTCCAAGAATGCCAAAATTCTGGCATCTATGGCTAGGACGGGGGCAAATTCCTTAACACTTTGGAATTTTTTTAGCATAGCAGTGTTTCGTGAGCTTTGAGCCAATGAAAGTGGATTGTTTTTGAGCATTACAGTGTTTTGCGAGTTGTAAACCACGAAACACTGCTATGCTCAAATTTTGTGAGGTTTGAGGCTGTGAAAAGTGGTTTTTTTGAGCATTACAGTGTTTCGTGGTTTAAAACTCACAAAACACTGTAATGCTCAAAAGAAATCAACTTTTCCAAGCCTTGAAACGCAGGAAACACTGCTATGCTCAAAAAATTGCAAAGTTTTAAGGAATTTGCACCCGGCCTAGCCACAGATGCCAGAATTTTGGAATTTTTTGAGCATTACAGTGTTTCGTGAGTTTCAGGGTTGGAAATTTTGGAGCTTTTTGAGCATAGCAGTGTTTCGTGGTCTAAATTTCACAGAACACTGTAATGCTCAAGAAAAATCAATTTTTCACAGACTCAAGGCTCACTTTTTTGAGCATAGCAGTGTTTCGTGGTCTAAATCTCACAAAACGCTGTAATGCTAAAGAAAATACACTTTTCACAGCCTCAAACCTCACAAAATTTGAGCATAGCAGTGTTTCGTGGCTTACAACTCACAAAACACTGTAATGCTCAAAAACAATCCACTTTCATTGGCTCAAAGCTCACGAAACACTGCTATGCTAAAAAAATTCCAAAGTGTTAAGGAATTTGCACCCGTTCTAGCCATAGATGCCAGAATTTTGGCATTCTTGGATTTTTTTGAGCATTACAGTGCTTTGTGAGTTTCAGGGTTGGAAATTTTGGAAATTTTGTTTGAGCATTACAGTGTTTTCTGATGTCCAGGACAGGATATATTGCATCACAAGATAATTGGGTGCTTTCAACCGTTGTCAAGGACTGGAAGTACTGTTTTATGTGCCTTCTGGAACAGCGACGGTTTTCATTACTCTTGTTTGATAAGTGTGAACAGTCCTGCTTCATGTTTGGAAGGTTGCAAGAGCTCTCTTACTTCTTGCTGCAGACGAGCCTTCTTGTGCGCCAGCATATGCACATGAACCTTTCAACTCCAGGGGAGCTTTCTCACTTCTTATGAGGCAAAGAACAACTATTGGAGTATTGCTTCAAAGATAAACGTGCCCGTATATTCGACTTCCTTCATGTATAATGGACAGGACATGAAAGGAGCTCTTTGTATTTCGTAACTCATAAATCAAATGCTAGAGCGATTAGGCCGCATCAGAATCGGACGCTTCACGAGCAGCGGGAAAGAGATGGCCCACGCACGTAGACGTCTTCGTAAGAGAGACAATAGTATTTTTATTATTAGAGGAATGTTGTTAAATAACACACCATAAAATGCAAAAACACGAGGTTTTTTAGTATTAATTACATGAACAAAACTAGCACGCCCTTCAACATTTCAGCTTCTCCAACACATAAACTACCATACATCCGCGGCCGAGATTCGGCGCCAGATTGTTACACATATCAATCGCGCGCCTTGCAGCAGAACGGTTTGCATGCACATGAGGTAAAGCACGAATGTATCGGTATTTACGGTGTTTTCGGTATATATGAGTAGTCGACCAATGTAGAGAAGCAACCTGTGGAATCGTGTGGAAGACGCGAGTGTAGATCGGGGGGGGGTATAACCATATATATATATATATGTACGGTCAGGCGTCTGGCGTTCCCAGCCCACCCTCCCGCCCCCCCCCGCCGCCCCAAGGCATTGTCTGGTAGGGTGGGGGCTGGGGTGGGGGTTGGCGTGTGCAGACAGGGATCGGAGCTGTTGCCGCTAGATGGTGGGTTTGGTGCTGGGGCGGCCAGGGGTCACACGCAAGCCCTACGCAAGCCTTAAACCCCACATAAGATAGCGCATGCTCCTGTTTTTTTTTTGTAACGTTGACCTGTACTTTAAACCCTACACCCAACCCTAAACCCTGCCTCAATGCAAGCTCTAAGCCTAAAGCAGGACATGAACCGTCAACCTTAACGAACCTAGCCCTTGTCGATCGAAGTCTGATACCTTTTAACAGTAAACCCCAAACTCAAAAGCTTAAGCTAAACCCCAAGTCCCAAAACCCCACAACCACCCCACGGGAGGAAGAGAGACCCCACGCCCCACACCACAGGGGAGGGGGGGCCCCACCTACATTTAGACCGTTGACCTTTTGGGGGGGGGGGAGGGGGGGGACTGCGGAGCACGTGACCGTATATGCATCTGCATTTTTGCATGAAATATCTATTTGTAGACATGTGGGCTTATTTCAGTATTTAGCTGGCTACACCGGTAGATAGGCGTGTGTTGTAAAGATGTTGGTAGAAGGGCATACACGTAGACATCTCTATATATATATACATATGTATATGTATATATATATACACATGTGGAATGTATACGTATGTACATGTGTACATGTACACACATGTATATATGTATATATGTATATATCTGTATATATATATACATATGCAGGTATGTAGAGGTGGACTTCTAGGTAGAAGGATTTGTTTCATATGGTGCAGATGTATGTACAGAAGGTGTGTTTATATACACGTGGGTGTATGGATACTTTGTTTATGTACGTATATTTGTATACATAAGTATGTAAATGCCTGTATGTGTATATACTGATATGTATTCACAGGTTTCATATCGACAGACATTTGCATGTACATGCATATGCATATAGATATATGTGTATTTGCATGTATATGTTTATAGGTTCAGAAGTATAGATGCAGGTGTATATGTGTACACGTATCCACATATACGTATCAGCACAGAGAGGTTTGCTTATTGGGCTGCTTGTCACACCTGAACTAAGGTGAGTGGGCTCTATGTTCCTTGACGGCCGTGGACTTAGCCAAACTGGCACTTGCTAACCGGCATTTCTGCCACCATCCCTGGCCACGATTGGCCATTCTTGCAGATGACAGCTGCAAGACTGCTCTGCCACAAGATGAGCTCGCACCTTTGCTTGAACGGCTCGGGGACAGAGTGCGGGGTCCAGCATGCATTCAGGCAGCGGCAAAGGCCATCGGAGTCGCGGACGCACCTCGTCTTCTTGCTCGAGCGGAAGAAGATGCCCATCGTGCAACGTGGATTATTACTGCAGTGCTGTCAAGCAGGTGGCAAGAGATAGAAGACAAGCCCTACTTCGTGCGTTTCTTGTTGTCTGCTTTGGCCACTTGGCGCCGTGTACCCTTGTCCGCAGCGAGCTGCATACTTGCCATGGTCACAAAAAATCTCGATCTTGACTGGCCTATGCAGGGACACGTGTGGATCGCTCTTAAAGATGCAGGCGTTGCCTACCTCATGGCGAAGCTGCTTAAGTTTGGCCCCGCTCCTGCACAGCGGGCGATACTCCAAGCACTCCAACACGCTTGCGAAGTCGGCGGTGACCCACTAGGTGTCGTATCTTCAGATGTTATTCCCACCTTATCCTTGATGGCACAGTCTGGATGCGAACAACATCTGCTGGTATCCGTGAGCGCTTTATTGCCTCACCTTGTCCGCGATACACAGTCCACGCACGAAGAAGCGGTTTAATGGGAGCCGATTGATCGACAGTTCTGGTGTATCCGAACCATCTCTGAGCATTCCGGGGTTCATGTGCCATCTTAGCACACGCAGGGGCAGATGCGGAAAAGTGCAAGTCGTGACTGACCTGATTCGGATTGAGCGCGGGGCCCAGCTAGCATCAACATAAATGTATATGACCTCGCAGAATGCTATAGAAACTTCAGTTGATGATAAACCCTTCTTACAGCCCTTAAGCTGTCCAAACACGCCTATGCTCTGGGGTTCAAGGTCTAGAATGGTCCAGTATAGCGGCTAAACAATTTCCACAATTATTCCTTAGGGTTGCGTATTATGGTATATTATACACCAAAACTATATTCTAATTGTTAAGGCCCCTACATTCGTTGTCGAATCTTTCGAAGTTCCATGACCGCTAAGCCATTTACACATCATGTATAGCCAAACTTGGAGGGTCGGGGGACTTAGTAAGTAGGTAATACGTAGGTACCCTAAAGGGGTCCTAATTTGGGTTCTTATGATTACCCAGAGGCCCCAAAGTAGTTCCTTTTTGGGATTACCCTATGCGAACCCCAAAAAGGAACTACTTTGGGGCCTATGGGTATGAATCAATCAAATAACTGCTTACCGAGTCGCCCGACATTCCAAGTAGGCCTTAAGTTTCAAGCTCCTAGTTTCGATGCTGCCTTCAAAACATTCCGGTTCCGTGCTTCGTCTGGCTCCTACTACGACTCAAACCGTACAAAGAGCCTGATATCGTTCAGAGATACATTTGGAGACACCCGAAGGTTTAAGCCGTCAACTAGGGAATATACAGGCTATACTGCTATTAAAGGGCTCAGGGCTCCTCATTATGATTTCGTGCACTTTCCTTCTTAAAGTTTCAGACCCTAAACGCCCTAGGCCTTGCACAATAAGCCTCAAGCCAAGTTGCTTGTTTACACGTTTGACTTTCTGAACATAGTTCATATTTCCTTTCCAGGCTTCGGCGCATCCGCATTTCTCACAGGTCCGCAACTGAGAGTCCCGACCTGTTGTTTCCCAGGGGCAACCAAGAAGGCTGTGGCATGTACAATGATTTCATGTATATGGGTTTTCTGATCATAATGGTGTGTTAATGCGTTTTGCAACGGCTGTTATAACGGCTCGATGGGGGCTGTAGCACACGAGGGGCCTGGCGATTTAGTCAGGTCGCAACATCCCCACGACCCGGTTCGAATTGCTCGGCTTCCACATGATATGATTTGGTGTCTGGCATCTTGAGGTTTTAGAGTCTGAGACGTCTCGGAGCTTGGGGGCGAATTTTAAGTTTAGTGCGCGCACCCTCGTCTTAAAGGTGGCAGTTCGGGGTTTATTCCTTAGGTTTCCTTCTGATAAACAGTTAAGTTATACCACAATATACTAGAAAATCTGCCCATATATTGGGGTGTAGGGTTCAGGGTTGAGCTTCAGGATTTCGGTTCAAGACTTAGGACCTGGTGCGGCCTGAAATTACGATTGTGGCTCTCTGCTTTCGGGGCGTTAAGGTGTAGTGTTGAGGGCCTTTGTTTTGATGCCGTTTTCATCACAAGCTCATTGACAATTCAAAACAAGTTCTCAAACCCTAAACCCTGAACCCTCAAGTGCCCACCCCAAATCCAGAGCCCTAAACTGTGGAATGCTTCTAGAATGCGCCATCTTTCGGGCTGGGTCCGACTCAAATGCAGTGGAAAATTGAAAAAGGCTTAAAATCGGATAGTGTTTAGGGATGAGGGTTTAGGGTTAAAGCGACGCTTGAAATCAAATCAGAACATGAAGAAACCCGAGGCGGCAGCAGCAGCAGCCGGAGCGGCAGCAAGACCAAAACGGAGGACGCACCTTTGCCACTCTATGCGGTGCGCTGGCCTCGGTCATCGGGAGCTCTTCTGGGCTTTCCGAAACCCAGAGATAATTCCCTGTGAAGGCTCCTTCTTATGATTTTTGAAAGAAGGTCCTTAACACAGTCAGGAGAGTTAAGGTTGGGCTTAATGAACGACACAGGATTAGCTCCTGACCGGCCCACTACTACACCCGATGCTCTGAACAGTGAGCAACGATGAATGTCCCTGACCCCGGAAGCGTAGCAACCCCTTTGGGGTTAATTGGGGTCCTGCGATAAGCCCCAAGGCTTCTAAAACGGTCTCTGGGCAAAAAAGCCTTAACGCCTGCACAATTCTATAGTTACTTCTAAGAAACTCTGAAACCCTGAGCCCTAAATCCTAAACAATTAAACTCGAGACCATCAAAATTTCAACCCGAAAGATCTGTTTACAATTTACATGATATTCCTTATCGAACCAGAATCCGAGGCGGTGGCACCATGCAACACCGGCGGAGAATCCGGCGCAAGGTGCCACAAGTTGGGTAGAGGTACTGTTGCGGGTCTACAGGTAACCTGTACTCTGAAAGGGTCTTTCTAGTTGGTTACTTTGTTTTTTTCACTTGTGATTTCGATGACATGCATGCACTCTTCGAGATTAGGTTTCAACAGACTACGGGTCTTCGGCCTTAGGGTCTATAGGGTTCTACTGGTCCGGGTTCATGGGCTTGGGCTGGGACGGCCGCAGACAGGCAGGAAGCCCAGTCTCGAACCAGAAATAGCCTAGTTAAGCCCATCAATCATAAACCCTGAGCCCCAAACCCCAAACCCTAAATTCCTAAATCCTAAACCCCAAACGCTAAATTCCTAAACCCTAAACCCTAAATTCCTAAATTCCTAAATCCTTCTCCCCAAACCCGAAACCCCTAAACCTTTGCAAGGGGAGGCAGCGCCGGTGATCCTGAAGCTCGGTTCGGAGGCGATCGCCGAAGGCACCCATACACCTGGGACTGGAATGCCATACCTGTAGCCGAAAAGACCTACCGTTTCAAGGTTAGGGGCTTAGGGCTTTTAGGGTTTAGGGTTCTAGGAGTTCAGGGTTTAGGGGTTTAGGGTTAGGGGTCTACTAGGGTTTAGGGAGGGGTTAAGGGCTCCTTATTAAGGTTTCTATATACAGTTCTTTATAACAGGTTGGGCTTTGGGCCACAGGTACTTCCATATTTTTTTGTTTTTGTTTTGACTAAGACCTGTTCCCTGAAGGAGCTTAGGAGCTATTATGACATACAACCAACTGCTTTTTCTTCCGGGTTACTTCGGAGTCCAATACAGAGAGCTTTTTTGGTGCATACGGTTCGCACAGGATTTTCATTGTACTTCAAACCCAAAACCCCGAGTAAGAAACCTAAACCTTTACCCTTATGCCTCAGACTCCCATGCCCAAGCCGCCCCAAACTTACCTTCGGTTAGTAGGGAATGGAAGAATGGTAGTAATAGTTGTTATAATTGTACGCCATTCCTCCATTCCCTACCAACCATAGGTAAGCAAAGCAACCGAAGCATCAGGTGATGTTCAGAGAGCGCTGGAAGCCGCGAAGAAGGGTGAACAGATCGCAGCTCGGCTCATCTCGTGTGACATTGGGGTTAAGAGTTCAGGGTTCAGGGTTTATGTTTTAGGGTTTGGGGTTTAGGGTTTAAGGTTTAGGGTTTAAGGTTTAGGGTTTAAGGTTCAGGGTTTAGGGTCTAAGGTTTAGGATTTAGGGCAAAGTCCTGCATTTTTTGAAGTATCCTCCACCGGGGGCGTCTCTGTAAATTCGGGATGCCTTATGCGGGATAAAGTAGGCCTTCTGTTGGCCAACAGCAGACAGTTTTTTCATAACTTTATAAGATTTTATAAGTAAGGTCACCGGGAAGGTTGAGATTGTTTTTTCCAATGCGGGTTATTTGTCCTTGGAAATAGTTTGAAACCCTAAACCCCCTAAACCCTAACCCGATCTTGTATACTTGCACGTTCATCAGCACGCTTGCTATTATAGGCAGTGGTGGATCCTGAAATGCCTTTTCTGGCCTTACTGTAAGGGGCCTTAATATTTATTAGAATTGGCTCCTTTTAAAGGATCCTTTAAGGGTTCTATAAGGGCTCTATGAAGGATTTAGAGATGTAGGGGCCTTAGTATTTAGAATAGGGTTTTGGGGATTATTCTACCATAACTATTGTAAGGAACACCCAACACCCTATCCTGATTATTTAGGCCCCTACAGTGCTTAGATGTCCGTTGATTTCTGACCGATCTTCGACCAATGATACTCGACCAGGATGGACATACAGCGCAGCGTGCCTGCGCAGAAACCAGCAGCCGGATGAAGAAGCCTACTATAGGGCCTACACAAAATTACCACCACTATTTTGGGGGTTCCTTTTGTAAGTATAGTATAAAGGGCCCCAACACCCTAAACCCTAAGGAATCAAAGTAGCTCACAGCGGCAGCCAACCACAACAGCAAGCGCAAGGTGGCCGTGGCGCTGCCCACGCCTGGTGCCTTCTGCAGTCAGGAGGCGCCAATATTTTTGGGCTTCTGGCCCTGGTAGTGCAGGGATTACAAAGTAGGATTCTCTTCAAGGGTTTAAGGGTTCCTTGAACGGGTCGTTCAAGGATTCAACAAGAGGGTTCCCTCAACCATAAGGGTTTTGCGGTCTCCATTGTGCTTCCTGTCTTATGTCAATTTCGGTATAAGCTCCTAAGCATAGAAGTTATTGTAGCAGCAAAAAGTGACGAACCACAATAGCCCAAACACGGTTGCAGCAACTTCAATCGCTTTGCCCTGAATCAGGCCTCACCTCAGACTGCAACTCGAAACCCTGAGCCCTAAATCTTAAACCCTGAGACCTGAACCCTATATCCTAAATCCTAAACCCTAAGCCCTAAGCCCTAAACCCTAAACGAAACCCTAAGCCCTGAATTGCCAAATCAGTTTCGCCTTCGCCTGAATGACTTTCAGCTCGTCAGGAAGAGGTGCAGCTCAGCTGGCACTTCGTGCAGCTTGTACAGCGCCGGCCTAAGCGGTTTGGAGAGTTCTCAGTTTGGAACTCAAGATGCTACACTTTACATTCTCAGCTTGTTTCCCATTCGGGAGCTTTCGCGTATATCCTCAGCTAGCCCTTCAAACCCAACCGGAACCCTTCAGGCTTTCTGACATTCTTGTCGCGGAACATAGATGCCACAGTCACTTGAAGCTTCGAGCCCAAACAAAGTTTCAGACTTTAGAGTTTTGGGTTTGTTCCCTCAGCGTTTTGTCAGTGTTGCGGCTTCAAGGTCTGACGGTGAAGGGGTTACTAGCTCGTAAAAACGCGGGTTTAGGGCTTTCAAGGCACCGGATACTCAGGTTGTTGGGGCTCGTTTGGGAGCCTCAGCTCGGAGCCCCACCGCTATAAAATACATCCACTTAGTTCGAACTTGTTCTGAAGTCTCGTCGATTCGTCTGAAATTTGCGCAATGAGAGCCGATAAGGCGGCTGAGGGCCGAGGGCTGAGGAAGTTAAATTCCCTAAAAATGAGGGTTTAGGGTTAAGGAAATTAAATTTTCCAAAAATGAGGGTTCAGGCGTTAAGGAAGTTAAATTCCCTTAAGATGACGATTCAGGGTTTAGGGTTAAAGAAATTCAATTTGTAAACTTTACATCCTTCTAAGCACTCATAAACCCCATACTATAAACCCTCATAATCATAAGCACGTATAAACCATAAATCCGTATACTTCCCCATCCAATGACAGGAGGCTGCTTGAAGCCGGCGTAGCTGCCCCAGCATGTGTGCAATGTGGCGACCCAGAGGGTCCCTCCTTGTCCACAGGGTCTTTAGGGTTTAGGGGTTTAGGATTCATGATCAAGGGGTTTAGGTCCATATATGCTACCATTATGGAAATGCGCCCCAAAAGACCATTCTCATTATGGTTTAAGTCCATAATAGTAGCATAGATGGACCCGCTGGGGGACCTTACTAGTGAAGGCTTTGCTGGGATTAGAGTTTAGTGGTTTAGGGTTCAGGGATTTTGGGGTGAGGGCTTACGGTATTCATAGGGGTAAATCTGGTGGCCTAAAGAGTTCGCCTTGGGTTGTGGCAGGTATTATAATGATCATGCTTTGATTGCTACAAATGTACTTAGGACCCAGGTCGGCTTCGCACCATAGCACTAATCCTCAAAGCCCCTTCAAACCACAAGAGCTTGAGTCCGATCGGTCAGGGATCAAATCCGTTCTGAGTTTAGTATCTATTTTGCCCCGGGCCCTTCTTGGGTGTTGTCAACGTCGGATGCAGTTTGCGATTTTAGGCGGATTGTTTACGGAGCCTTGCGTGCGCACAGACATACATGCACCGAGACAAACGTATAAAGAAGGTTCAAAGGCCTAACTCCACATCTTTAACCACTGAGACGACAAAAGAGGGATTCGAGCGTGCCTGCAAGGGTTCAACGATACCAAAGCCTCACGCAATAGGCGATGTGGTGCCACTACGCGTGGCGCCTCGGGTGGCCGGCGTGGTGGCGCTGAAGGCAAAGCCTGAACCTCGTCCTGCAGGCAAGGACTACGCTTGCCAGGCATTACAGATCACTGTGTGGTTGCGAGGCCACCGCTGCTGGTGAGGTAATCTGGATAACGCGCATACCGACAACATCCGTGACGACCCACACAGCTCCATTATTCACCGTTTTCGACTTTCTGAAGAAAGGGAGCCCCCCGCTTCGGTGTCCAGATACAACAAGACGCTGCTGTGTTTCTGAAAGTCTAGTGTGCAAAGAACGACCTGGGCAGAAGGAGGTCGTGGGAGTAACAGCGCCCACGACAAGGCGCTGCGACCATACAACGCTGGTTGATACCGACTACCTATAGTCTCCATTGTAGTTCCTTCTTTTGATTTAACCAGATATATAAATAGGATCCTATAAGGTAACCCCAAAAAGGAGCTACAATGGAGACTATAGGTAGTGTCATGGAAGACACGCCCACGACGAAGCCCCACACGAACTCCAGCATCCGCAACCATACGCCCTAAAGCCCCAAACCCCAAACTCCTGAACTAGGACCCCAAGCCCGCAGACGATCATTCATGACGAGATAGTTGCTCTTTCGTCCATCAACCTCCGAGACCAAGCCTTGCGCCATAAGCCCTAACCACAAGCCCTTCACCGTACCTGAAACGCGGAACACTGTAGGTTTACTCATGGTTCCTCCTTATGACTTCATCCGAAAGTTCCTCAGAACGATAGGTTCTTCGGGGTTCAACTGGGCTTTGGAGTACCATACTTTAATACGTTTTCGGGACCTGTTACTTAAAAGGAACCAGTTGTGAGAAGAAAGTCTATACTTTCTTCTCCCTGGTTACTTCAAAGCCCAGTCAAGTACCCATAGGCCCCAAAGTAGTTCCTTTTCGGGGTTCGTATATAGAATCCTATAGGGTAACCCCAAAAAGGAGCTACTTTGGGGCCTCTGGGTAGACCTCAGAGCCGCCTCAACAAGCTAACTCCGAAGCTGCAGCTACTCTTGGGCTTCGAGCTCAACTTAGGGTAGGATTGTGGGTCATTTTTGTTATTTTCCTTATTTCCCTAAGGCTCCTAAGAGGGTCTTGGGCTTGCTGTTGAGGGTTTCGGCTTTGGGGGGTAGGGTCCGGGCTCTCACTACAAGGGTCCAGGAGCCTAAAGGTTGGGTTTATAAGGGACCCTATATATGATAGCATATATAAATATGTTTCAGGGTGTTTAAAGGCCAACCCAGTCAACTTAGGGCATTTTTGCCAAGCATTTACCCCGAGCCAGAAGATCCCTTATAATACCTAGAGGGTCATACCCTACCCCTTTTTGAGGGTACCTAGTTTTACTATGGATCTCCTATATAGAAAAGTAGGTACCCTAAAAAACGGGTAGGGCATGAGCCTATAGGTACTGTTGATGATATAAATCCTGCATGACCCTAAGGACCCTAAAGTGTGGGAATTATGGTAGGTTCCTTACTATGGGTAATGCAGGATTTATATCATCAACCGTAGTACAGTGTCCCAAATTAGGAGATCCACCCTTGAGATCCTCCCGAAGGTCTGGGAGCGCACCACACCTGGGAGGATCATGGGACTTAGTAAGTGGGGTTATAAGTACCCTAATTGGGGTTATAAGTAATTATAAGTATAGTTACCCTAATTATAACCCTGGTTACTAAGTCCCATGATCCTTTAAGTAGCCCAAAGTGAGGTGGGTGCTCGCCTGCTGGTGGTGTGCCCTGCAGCTGCAACTGGGGCGATGGCTGCTGGCGCAAGCAAGGCCCACCGGCTCCAAATTGGGTTTGCGGGTTTTAAGGTCTTGAGAGGTTGGAAGGGGTTCATATTTTCAATCGGGGGGTCTGGTTAGGGCCTGGGATCTCCGTCGAAACCGGTGTGTCGAGGGCTGCTATGCTGATCCCCCCCTCAGAACCCAAATCCCGTCCTTCACATGCGAAAATTATGGCCCCTTTTTGGCTACCCTAAATATTGGGTGCCGTAATACAATCAGGATCCAAAAACTAAACCCAAACTCCAATCCCGAATCCTTCATCTTCTTACTCGACTAGAGCTATCCGGAAAGCCCAGCACCCGTCAGCCACCTTCATTCAGCTTCCGGCCCAACACCCAGACAACTACCCTGTAACACCCACGGACATGCTAGAAAATCCCATCGCAACCTTGCAGAACGTTGAAGAACCCTTTAAATGCCCTATAAAGCCCTATGGAGCACCCTGTAAAACCTCCAGACCTGAGCACAGGCAGTCGCAATGGAAGACTCGTCGCTGAAGATCCAACGCCCTTCGACACTGAGTTTAAGAGGAATCAATTTCGAGGGCCGTGTACAATGCCCACCCTTTCATAAACCTCATGTTCTGCTCTCTCATACCGTTGACAGCCACACTCAGTCCTAGCTAGCATTGACCACTGAATCTCGCTGTCACTCAAGCTGAATGCAACCCTGCACCTCGCGACTATTGGCCCTTGAAACCATAGCCCCTAAACCATGCGCTGGGCCCGAAGCGTTGAGGATAGGAAGAACATGTGGGGAACGCTCATACTTCAGCTTACGGGATCCAACTGGGGCTTGCGGCTTACGATGCACCGTGATGGAGAACAAATTTGAGCCGAGAGATTCACAGGAGGACGGCGATGCGACTAGGGACCGGTCCCCTCCCCGAATGGATCCCTGCCTCCATAAACCCTATAACTTCAGAGATTTTGAGCCCTGAGTGTAGCTCCTACCACACTGCACAGCTTGAGACGAAGCCCTGGGCCACGCACAACTCTCACTCTACGGCCCCGGGCTGCAGCATGAATGAAGTAATGCTGGACGAAGCCATGGCTCCTGCCCAGCATGCGAACTTTCGGGTGTCGCATGTGGGAGGAGAGCGAGCTTCGAAGTCACAACGATCGTCAGTGGTTAAGATCTGGATCTCACAATGGTCCGCTTAATAGGCGAGCTTACATGTTCTTCATCAGCTGCTACACATATATCATGCGCGCGCTCACGTACATGGAAGCGTACATGCGCACGCACAGCATGCATAAAAAGTTGTGTTGACGGAAGCATGTGGACCCATTGAGGTTTCATCCGTATTTGCGGGCTTTTAAACCCTATTCATAATTACCCAGAGGCCCCAAAGTAGTTCCTTTTTGGGATTACCCTATAGGATTCTATATGCGAGCCCCAAAAAGGAACTACTTTGTGGGGTGTATGGGTAGCTGTGAACCTCCAAGTACACCGCCCTCCACGCAAGCGAGGCATTTTCGTCCCCGTGGACTGCCTGCAGAGGATCGACGACCTGGCGCCGGACTTGGATGTGGGCCTTGCAGCCCCATGCCCCATGCCCCATGATCCCTAGAATCGCGGACCCGCTGCGGATCCCTTGTAGAGCCCCTTTGAGGAACCCTCTAAGGAAAGTCCCGAGATCCGACAAGCCCTGGTATACATACAGCCCTTAAAGGAACTCTAAATCCGAACTCAAACCGCTAAACCCCTAAACCCCCAAACCCGAAATCCCGAAGCACCTTTAAACCCGAAACCCTTAAACCCCTCAACCCTAAGCCCCCAATTCCTTACACCCTAAGCCCCTGAACTCCGAAACCTCTAAACCCCTAGACTCCTAAACCCCGAAACCCTTAAAACCCTAAACCCCTGAAGCTCGAAAACCAGCACTCATGGGGTAGCTTTGTGGTGAGGTGGGAATCCCCTTCAGGGTCAGTCTCCAACCCGACCCCTCAGCCAGCATGGCATTCCAACTAACCGGATGGGTAGAAGGAAAAGAGGGCTAAAAAAACAGAGAAAACCCCGAAACCCCTGAACCCTAAACTTCCAAACCCTAAACATCTCACCCCTAAACTCTGGAAGCTCGTCCTCCCCAAAGGAACCCTGCTTTCAAAGCTCCTGGAGCCTCCAGGTGCTTGGAGGGTTCCAAGTAGATACTGCTGATGGACGAAATCCTGCATTACCCAAATCCTTTAAAGGGCTCTATAAGGGTGCCTTTAAGGGGTTCCTTTAAGGGATCTATAGGGTTTTGGGGTTTTGGGATATTAATCCTGCATTACCCCGTTATAAGGAATATACCACAGTTCCCGTAGTTTAGAGTCCTTAGGGTCATGCGGGATTTTGTCCATCAGCAGTAAGGTACTGCAAGCCCTGAACCCTAAACCCCTACGGAAGCCCCTAAACCCTAAACTAAGTCCCTCGACCCTCTAAGTCTCCGAGGTGCCTCGTCTCTGTGCTGTCTCGTCGGCACACAAAGATGAGCTGGGGCCTTGAAGAAACCCTGAACGGTTTCAGGTCTAGGGTTTGCGGTTTCGGGTCCCAAATGGTTCAGGGTTTAGGGTCCTAAACGGTTTAGGGTTTAGGGTCCTAAACGGTAGAAGGTTTAGGGTTTAGCGTCTAGGGTCGTAAACCTTATACCCTCCACCTGAGGCTGTTTGGGTTTTGGGCTTCAGGCTTTTACGTATTTCGGGTCTTCGGGATTTAGTCTCGCGCTTCGGAGGGTTTCTAGTTTTGGGTTTGGAGGGCTTTTGGTTTGGGGTTCAAGGGTCCGGTGTGTCGCTCAGAGGTTCTGTGGTGTCTTGCGTATGGCCGAGGCCCTGAAACCCTAAATCTTAAGTCCTAAACTGTACAGGCAAACCCCGCACCCCCGAGCCTGTATGTCGATGTCTAGGACGGACCTGTGGATCCGGGATGCCTCGCTTCGCGGCCTTCCTTTTGCCAGATCCCCAAAAGGTTTGGGCTTCCAGGTTTTAGGATTTAGGTTTAGGGTTCCGGGTTTAAGGTTGAGGGGTTTAGGGTTGAAGGTTGAGGGTTTTAGGGTGTAAGGTTTAGGGGATCAGGGGTTTAGGATGATTTTTAGGGTTTGGGGCTTCAGGGGTTTTGGGCTGTAGGGTTAAAAGGATCTGGCGGTTCTAGAGGCTCTTGAGCTTGAAATACTACATGACATTAATGCGGGCTTAGGGTTTAGGGAAAACCCTGTTCTGATTGTTGAAGCCCCTTTTTTCAGAAGATTCGTAGTCGCAGGAGCAAGTGGTACGGTTGATGATATAAATCCTGCCTGACCCATAATAAGGCATATACCACAATTCCCATAGTGTAGAGTCCCCCTAAACCCTAAACCCTAAACCCCTTAAGGCAATGCAGGATTTACATCATCAACCGTACCTGCTCTGAACCCCGGCCCTTCACCATAGGCCCTAAACCCGAGTCTGGTTTACTTGGAGGGGGTTCCTTTAGGGTTCCTTTAAAGGGATCTATAGGGATTCTGTAAGGGTTTAGGGTTTAGGGTTTAGGGGGACTTAGTAACTAGCTATTTTAGAGACTTATAAGTACCATAACCCCAATTAGGATCCCGTTGGGGGGTACCTATAACTCTACTTATTAGCCACCTACTAAGTCCCCCGCCCTCCAGGTAGGCGGGAGCACCTGGCCTGAATCCTCAACCTAAAGACTTTAGGTCCTAAGCCCCAATCCCTTTGAAGTCTCTGGGAGCGGGGATGCCACTAGATTAGGAAGTAGATTCTTGTTTGTACCCGATGGGTTCGTTGGTTCAGGGCTGACGGTCCTGAGCTTCTCGAAAGTGTTGCTCGGGCTTGGACGTTTAAGCCTATTTCGCAGGGCTTCAAGTTTCCAGTTTAGCATCTAGGGTTTCGGGTTTTTGTATCGGTGTAGAAAGTCAGAAGTCAGGGTAGCTTTCTTCCAGCAGCACGGATGCATGCTCAGCCGCTTGTCATTGAGGGACGTACGCGGGAGCCTCTGCTTGCAATCGACATCCCAACGACGCCAGCCATGCTAGCCCGGGGAGTTAAGTGGAGTTGTCGTTACCGACTAGGACCAGTTGGTTGTTCGGGCATTAATTAACCCTAAACCCTAAACAACCTTGAACCCTAAACCCTGAACCCTTTAAAGCGGCATTACCTACTTGCTCATACCCTACCCCTTTTTCAAGGTACCTACTTTTGTATATACCATAAAACTAGGTACCCGAAAAAGGGGTAGGGTATGACCCTCTAGGTAAAGCTGATGGATCAGACTTCATCTTCGAGGTTTAGGGTTGTCGGCCTTGGTTTTGGATTTCAGGTTTGGGGTTTTTGGGGTTTAGGGCTTCAGGGTTTGGGGTTTGGGGTTTTGGGTGTAGGGATCCTGGTTCTAACTGTCCGTGAACCACCCGAAAACTCCCAGACCCTGACCTCTTCCCGCTCAGGTGCCGCGACTGGAGCGGATGCCTGCCGGAAGCGCTAAGGCAGAGCTTAGAGAGTAGGTACCCATAGGCTCCATAGTAGTTCCTTTTTGGGCCTTTTGGGATTACCATTATGGAGTTCTAAATACGAACCCCCAAAAGGAACTACTATGGAGCCTCCAGAGAGTAGGCGGGAGTTTCCGAAAATAGGGGACCCTTAGAGATAGTACCTTAAATAGTAGGATCCTTATTATCAGGACCCCCAAAATACGGTATCCCTAATTTCCGGAAACTCCCAGGTACTGGGTAGCATCTGAGTGTAGCCTTGCGATTGCGACTCATCTGAATCTGGACATCGCTTCAAGCTTGCGACGGTGACTGACTTCTTGGAGGGTCGGGGGACTTACAGTAGTAAGTAAGTAATAAGTATAGTTATAAGTACCCTAAAAGGGATCCTGATTGGGGTTATGGTACTTACAAGTCTCTAAAATAACTAGTTACTAAGTCCCCCGACCCTCCAAGTTGGGCCCAAACCCCTAAACTCCTGAACCCTAGACCTTAAACTAAACCCGAAATCCTTGAATCCTAAACCCAGAACCCCTAAACCCTTAGTTGATATCGCGAACCCCAGGAAGTTGGAACATAGTTTAAGGATGATTAGTGGGTGATTTGTGCTGGGATTACGCATACTTTGCCTAAAGGGCATGAGGATAGCGGTGTTCTAACTTTCTGGCTTCTACTTGAAACCTAAACCTAACCTACCCACACACTTCAAACCCTAAACCTTGGACCTTACTGGGAGGGTCGGGGGACTAGTAAGTAGTTGTTCTATAGACTTATAAGTACCATAACCCAAATTAGGGTCCTTTTTATGGTACTTATAAGTCTACTTACTACCTACCTACTAAGTCCTCCGACCCTCCAAGTAGACCCAACACCCGGCCTTGATGAGGCCTTGCGCCTGCACTCGAAGGGCTTCGACGGGGACTGCGTGGGGGGTTTCGGGTGTCGGGTTATGAGCGAATCGGGGGTGCCGGAGGTTTTAGGGGCCATGCGTCTACTTGGATTCCCTAATTAGGATCCCTTGTGGGGGACTTACAAACCTATTGCCTACTTACTAAGTCCCCCGACTCTCCAAATAAGGTGTAGGGTTTCAGGATGAGGGTTCAGGTTTTGCGTTTCTACGTTGTAATACCAGGATGCTATATATATATATATATATATATATAAATATAGGTGCATTTAGGTTGCGGAGCTTGGCTCGACGATGCATTTTGGGGTTGTCCACCCAGCAAGGTAGCATAGGGGCCTCAATAATTAAGATAGGGTTTTGGGGCCCATTATACTATAACTATAAAAAGGAACCTCCAAAATACTATGGGTTAAAATAACGGCAAAGGCTGATAGTCTTGTTCGAAGTCCCGGTGCTTGGGTTTTTGAGGCACTTTTAGTCTCGCACGGTGTCTGTCAAAAGGTTTGGGGGTTTGGGGTTTCGGGTTTAGGGTCTAGGGTTCGGGGTTTAGGGTTTTGGGTTTGGGGTTTAGGGTTCGGGGTTTATTTATGGTTCGGGGTTTGGGGTTTAGGGTTTATGGTTTAGGGTTTTGGAACAGTTAGCATTTGTCTGATATGGCCTGTAGAAACACGGACAAGGGTGTTTGTTGGTAAGTTTCGGGATTATGTATGTGTTGCCTGGTTGCCTCTTGTTCACCTGCCTGTGCCTGAATGTTTCGCTGCTGCAGCATCTTGCTTGTGAAGCTTGCATTGAACCATCGAAGTCAGGTAAAAAGCAACACAACTCTCTATGTAAGCACAATTAATACTGCTCGACAGGTGTTTCCACCGCACCTTGTGAGTCAAAGCCTACTTGGAGGGTCGGAGGACTGAGTCATTAGATCTTTTCTGACTTGTAAGTATCATTACCCACTTTAGGACCCCTTTTGAGGGTACTTACAACTCTGCCTATGGCCTTCGTACAAAACCTTGAACGCCCTAAAACCTTCTTGTAGTGAACCATGCAGTTCCGCTAAAGGAACCCGTTAAAGATGATCTAATCCCTAAACTCTTGAAGGAACCCTGAAAGGAAGCCTACGCCCTCTTTACAGGAGCCCTTAAAGGGAATGCGAATCATGGTTCCTTTAAAGAGAGACCCTTATCATTGCACCCTTACGTTTTCGGAAGCCGATCATGGCACCCTGAAATAAACTAGGTAGGATTGTGGGGCATTTTGTTATTTTCCTTATTTGGGTTTATAAGGGACCCTATATATAACTATTTTTCAGGGTGCTTAAAGGCCAACCCAGTAAATGACAAGCACCGCAGGAGCCTGCGAAGTTTCTACTGACGGGAGCCACCGGCGGCCTAGGAAAGCGACACGCCGGCAAGCAGTGGCTTAAGGGCTTATAAGGGTTCAGGGCCTAATACTATGCTGAGGGTTTCTGATCATATTTAGAGTAGAGTATCCTTCAAATATTAATTATGCTCCTGTATTGAGGTTTCAGGGTTTAAACAGCTTTGGATTGTTTTGGGTCTTTTTTAGGGGTTTAGGATTTTTGGTTTCAGGGTTCAGGGATTTGGGGGGTGAAAGTTTTCATAAGATTGAAGGATTGTAAGTATGGTACAGGGCATATTGTTTTGGATTTGGGTGGGTTGCGGGGTGTTAAGGTTTCCGGGAAAGTTTGGAACCTCCCTAAACCCTAAACACTCCGAAACCCTAAACCATATGCCCGAAACCGGAAAGTTTAGGGCATGCCCACCTCCGATAGGGTCTCGGGACCAGAGCACTCAAAAAGCCCCCAACTCACAGCAGAGGCAAACCCACCCGAAGCTCAGTCCCTGCACGCTATCTGGGCTTTGGAGTACCATACTTCAATACTTCTTTGGGACCTGTTACTTAAAAGAATCCAATCATGAGAAAAAAGTCTATATATACTTTTTTCTCCCTGGTTACTTCAAAGCCCAGCTATAGTTTGGGGCTCAGGGTTTTGGGTGTCATCTCGAAATTTCCAAAGCTTGAAACACCAGAACCCCAAGCCCCAATTTGAGATTCAGCAAGGTAGGGACCGCAATGTAAGTCTTTAATAGTAAGGTCGTGAATACAAGCAAACACACAAAATACCTCAAACCCTAAACCCTGAACCCTAAACTCTAAACCCTAGACCTAACTTGAGCGATCTTTTCTGACTCTGCTGAGGAGAAAGGGGCTAGTGCACTTAAACTAGGTAGGGCTTTGGGACATTTTATATTTTCCCTTATTGGTCTTAAAGAGGATCTTACCTACTAATATTTTTCAAAGGCTTTAAAAGCCCCTCCTAGTAAAGAAATCCCTCAAGCTTCAGCCCTCAGGGCTGTGGTGTCGTGGCTTATCAAGGAGCAGGTCGGTCCGAGCCAGCTTCCACTTTTGGGGTTTAGGGCTTATAGGGGTTTAGGGTGTTTCAGGGTTTAGGGCTTTAGGGGTTTAGGGTTTAGGGTTTAGGGGTTTAGGGGTTTAGGGGTTTAGGGGTTTTAGGGGTTTAGGGTTTAGGGTTTAGGGGTTTAGGGGTTCAGGGTTTAGGGTTTTAGGGTTTAGGGGTTTAGGGGTTTTGGGCTTGGGTTTCGGGGTTGAAGTGTCTCTTTACAGAAACTTCTGGATCTTGGTAGAAAGTAGTGTGGTTTGCAGCAGCAACTGCAAGCACAGGTCATGGGGCTTTGGGTTCCGGGCTTAGTAATTTGTGTTGTGGTTCCACTGTGGTTGCAGGCAGGAAATCCCTAAACCGCAATTGATCGAAGTACTGCTGCTCCTCTACACCTTGAACCCCCCAAAGCTTGAGCCCAATGCCCTAATCCTCCACGGAATTGGTGACTGGCCATAGTGTTTACAAACTAAGTCTTCAGTTTTCGGTGTTTCAAAACTATCCGGGATTATTCTTCAGAGGGGCTTACGGCGTACATTTTCAATTCACCCGGATTCGCTAAACGCTGTACCGGCTTAGAATGCTAGGGGTCAACGCGTCAAGTTGAATGATTTAGCTTTCAGAATTCTGGCTTTGGGCTGTGGCTTTAGGGCGAAGACCTATGCCCGAATCCTTCAAGCTTAAACCCAGAACCCCTAAACCCAGAGACCCCAGAACCCCTAAATCCCCAAACTCTAATAAAATCCGAAAGCCCCAGACGTCTGAGAAGCGTAAACCCTACATCCCTAAGCCCCGAACCATCAAACCGTCTCCAAGAAGGATTCCTAACCCCAAACCTTAGACCTTCATTGAACCCAAACAGCATCCCTTCAAGGAGTCCTCAAGGGAACACACAACCCCTCCTCAATCCCTAGATCCCTTAAAGGAGCCCTTCAAGGAAGACACAATCCCAGACCCTTAAATCCCCCAAATGGCACCCTTACAGATCCCTTACAGGAGCCCTTTCAAGGAACGCACAACCTGGACCCTCCAAAGCTCTGGAACAGGGATTTCAGCCTGAGCAGCTGCTGCTCCTACGCCGGGCGGGCTCCAGCCGAAAGCTCGAGAGAAGAACCATTCAGCTTTAGGGTTGAGGGTCTATAAGGGTTTATAAGGGTTTATAGGGGTTAGAGTGTAGGGGTTTAGAGTTTAAGATTTAGGGGTTTAGGGTGTAGGGCTTTTGGGATGGTTTGAGGGCTCAGGGGTTTACAGGGTTCAGGGGTTTTGCGCTTGTAGCTTTCAGGTTTGGCCCTATTCCTCCAAGGACCTCATGGTTAGGGCCCTTGGCCCCTTAAGGGCCCCATAGTAAGGTCCCTGGAGGCATAGGGTGGGGTCTCGGTTGCATAAGGGAGCAGCAGAATGTACTGCTCAGGGCTCGGGTTCCGGATTTGGTGTGAGGTCTTAGACTGTTTCGAGGTCGGTTTAGGTTTATTTAGGGTTTAGGGTTCGGGGTTCAGGGTTTAGGGTTTAGGGCCGTTTAGGGTTTAGGGTTTAGGGGTTTTGGGTCCAGAGGTCCGATTTTTTGCGTCTTACGCAACCCAAAACCCCGAAACCCCGTAAACCCTAAACTCCAACCCCTAAGCCCCCTCCTGAGAAGTTTAGAGGTTTAGGCGTTTAGGGTTTAGGGGTAATTTGAGTTATGCACGTGACCGGACAAAAAAAGGTCACAGACGTTCGGCTCCCTGTCAAGTCTTCTGTTCGCCATGTTCTACTACCTTGTTATCTATTACTAAATTGTCCTATTCTATCCTAGCTTATTCTGTTCTTTGCTTGAATTGGGGTCTGTGGCTGGTCCTAAAGTCTAAACCCCAAAGACCGGGTTTGGGAAGCCTGAAGCCCTGAACCCTGCCAAATGTGACCCCTAGTGCTGCCCTGCAGCCCCATTGAACCCAAGTCTTACCTATAGTCTCCATTGTAGTTCCATTTGTTGGTTAACCAAAATCTCTATTATAGGATCCTCACTTCCTAACCCTGAAACTGGTTAACCAAAAAAAGGAACAAAAATGGAGACTCTAGGCAAACTGTTTATGCTGCACCCCAAAATCTGGAAGCCCTGAGCCCCCCCAAAACCCCTACCCCTCAAAGCCGCAGAAAGAAGAGCGGACGACTTGCGCGGCTTAGGACCCTAAACCCTAAACCCTAAACCCTAAACCCTAAACCCTAAACCCTAAACCCTAAACCCTAAACCCTAAACCCTAAACCCAAAACCCAAAACCCTAAGGCAAGCTTGAGGGCGAGCTTGCCCGCTGCACCGTGGTAGAGGCATGCCATGTACCTCGAAGGGCTTTAGGGTTTCGGATAGCCCTACTTAAAGGGTCATGGGACTTAGTAACTAGGGTTCCTTAAAGGGGTCCTTAAAGGGATCTATAGGGGTTCCTTAAAGGGATCTATAGGGTTTAGGGTTTAGGGTCTACTTAAAGGGTCATGGGACTTAGTAACTGGGGTTATAATTAGGGTAACTATACTTATAATTGCTTATAACCCCAATTAGGGTACTTCTAACCCTACTTACTAAGTCCCATGATCCTCCAAGTACACTATCTCCTATATGATCTCCGAAGGGGTTCTATGCGGATGAAACTTTGGCGGTCCTGTGCTTTCCGAAGATGCGGAAGGCACAAAACTTTGCAAGCGCTGTAATCGGTGCTTTACAGAGGTCCTACAATGCTTTCAGATTTGTTCATGGGTTGTGGGCTTTATGGAGGTCTGACTCTCCAGCTGCCGGTTGACGCACCCCTGTCCATTTTATCTCAGGCACAGCAGGCATACCAGTGTGCACCTTCGAAGAGTGCGCCGTCCTACAACCCTGAACCTCAAAACCACTTCTTCACCAATTTCAGGGTTCTGGAAGATGATGGCTTGCCAAGAGGCCCGAAGTACTACATGACTGTTTGACCCTCAATGTAAACACACATGCAACACGGATCCGGTTTCATAGCCGTAAATAGCAACCCTCAAATCCCGAACCCTAGCTAACAGAAGCCTGCATACATGTGGGTGGTTGTCAAAATTAGGGTCCCTTTTTCGGTCCCTATTATAATACGGCACCTAATATTTAGGGTACCCAAAAAGGGACCCTAGTTTTGACAACCACCCATGTGCAAAGTATGGTGATGACGATTGCTATTGCCGCTCGTCTTCCTTTGAATATGGGTGGTTGTCAAGATTATGGTCCCTTTTGGGGGTCCCCTAAATAAGTCCTAAATATTAGGTGCCGTATTATTATAAGGACCCCAAACTTCGGGGTATTTAGAAATAATTGTTTATTTTGGGTTATTATAATCCCGAAGAAACCACTAAGATTATATTTTTTGCTAGGGTTCTAAGTTCAGTATAGCAAAAGGGACCCTAATTTTGACAACTACCCATATGACTATATGACTGTGAAGCCCAAGGCGATGTTGATGGCAACGATTATGACCCTGATGTTTAGGGTTTAGGCTTTAGGGTTTTGGGTTTAGAGGTTTAGGGTTTAGGAAGTTTTTAGGATTCTAATGTCATATAATATGGATATTCTATCAGTAGCACCATTATTGTTGCTGCGACGACGACGACGACGACGACGACGACTACTACTACTACTATACTACTACTACTACTACTACTACTACTACTACTACTACTACTACTACTACTACTACTACTACTACTACTACTACTACTACTACTACTACTACTACTACTACTAGACCTAGTGCTACTACTACTGCTACTTCGTTGTCGCAACAGTAACAACTTTTATCTTCTTCGTTTTGCCACAACTCCAGCGGCCGAATACAGGCCGCCAAGGTGGACTGCCAGGAGATGCTGAAAGAATCGCTGAAGGAGGCGACCCTTATCACTGTTCCTCTGGGTTTAGGGCTTAGGCTTTAGGGTTTAGGGTTTAGGGGGGCGCTCCTTGGAATCATTACGCATTTTCGTTCAGTAGCCTCCCAAGGTGTTATCAATCACACTCCTTGATTCTGGCCAAGGGGCATCTGCGGCCTTGTGGTGATTAAGGCTTTCAGTGATTAGGATTCTCTGAACGTCAGCATCCCCGGCCCATTCCCTAGATCCCGAAACTCTAACGGTTCTTCGGTTTTGGCGTGCTCTACCTGTAGTCTCCATTGTAGGTCCTTTTTTCTGCTTAACCAGTTTTATGGTTAGGATCCTATAATATAGTTTTTGGTTAACCCAAAAAGGGAACTACAATGGAGACGAGAGGTGGATCCCAAAACTTAAACCTTTGAGGCATTCATTCATTGGGTAAGGCTCAGGGCGGTGGGACTGGGTTTGTTGGCCCAAGACCTTGAACCCTAAGTCGGCGCCCCAACCCGGAAGACGCTTGACCGGAAGCTCGCAACTCCAAACTCAAAGGCTCAACAACTAGGGACAACAACACCCGGAACGTCTAATTCACTTTCTGGTGGTCGGGGTCAGCCTAAGACCGTTAGCTGAAGGGTCCAAGGCATCGAATGACCACGTTCTTCGGTTTAGGATGTTTGTAATCCGAGGTTTTTTGGGGGGAATAAACGAGTTTTAGATACTTGGACCCTTTCGGATGATAAGGCTCTGCAAACCCCGTTTCCAAGTTGAAGCCCTTATGTAACCGATATGAAAGCCCATAAGACCGAACTGTGAGCCTTCATAAAGGCTTACACTGGCATGCAAAAACAATTCTGCACAACCGCAGCTATAAGATATAGTACAATGGTCGTACTACACTATACAACCAAAAAAACAACTCATCAAACCCTTCTAGAACTCCATAGGACCCTTACAACATTAATTTCCCAACAGAAGCTTCATAGAACCTTCATCGAACCCAAATTTTAGACTTCAAAAAGCCCTTACATTCTAGTAAAAGCCCTAAACCCAAACCCTTATATAATCCGCTAAACCCTTTAACCTAAACCTCTTGAAACCCTTATACATAAATTATATAAACCCCAAACCCTTCAAGCCTAAATCCTTAAACCCTCAAAGTCTTTACTGTAGAGAGTGCAGAGGTGCAGGGCATCTCTGGAATCCTTCATCTGGCCGGGGTGCTCGACGATGGGGTCGTCGGAGGCCTCGAGTGCGGATTTTGCGCTTAGGGTTTAGGGTTTAGGCTAGGACCTTACTTAAAGGGTCATGGACTTAGTAACTAGGGTCATAATTAGGGTAACTATACTTATAATTACTTATAACCCCAATTATTTAGGGTACTTATAACCCTACTTACTAAGTCCCATGATCCTCCAAGTAGGAGGGGGCGTTCTACCGGGATTGAGGCTGGTTTCTTCGTGGAGGCTGGTTTTGGTGCCAAACCCTGTACCCGAAAACCCGAAACCCTAATCCCTAGCCTCCCTGAAGCCTAAACAGCCTCGTAAAAGCATCGCGTGGTTGTTCGAGACCCCAAATCGAACCCCCATGTCCAACAAGGGAAAGCCCGACTGTGACGCAAAGGCACGTCAAGGTGCCAGGCTCGTTTCGGGGTTAGGTTTCATGGCGGTTGATAACTTATTGGTAATCGGTTTGGGTATTTACCAGGTGCCCTGCACACAAAACGCTAACTCCCAAAGCCTAACTAATCCCTAAATCCTAAACCGTAATCCCAAAACTTAGCGCTCAAAAGCTGCTGCCCGATGCAGGAATGACAGAGGAGAGGATGCGGAAGGTGGGGAGACACCGGATCTAGAACCCTAAGGGTCCAATGTGCCTCATCATGGGTCACGTTTAAGCGTTCAGGGCTACGGATGGGTTAGGATCTAGAGTTCTGGGATTTAGCACGATTTCGGCTCTGGGTTGTCCTTCTCGAAGGATTTTGAGGCTTTTGATGCACCAAAGCCCCTAAACGAGGACACCTTGGATCCTTAGGGGCAGGGGTTAGCTTTTTTCTTCATGGAGGCGGGGTAAAGAAGTGATTTTGACTTCGGGCCCTCTCCAAAGGATCTGAAGTAGATTCGTTAATGTAGGGGCCTTACTAGTCAGAATAGGGTTTTGGGGCCCATTATACTATACTTATATTCAGGAACCCCCAAGATAGTCTCGGTGATTATTTAGGCGCCTACATATGTGGGATACGTAGACAAATCGTGAACATATTGTTACCTCCTAGTTTAGAAGCCTACTTTGCACTATGCAGCCACTACAGGGTCGGGTGCTTTAGTAAGCCTTTTTTTGTGGGACTCTACCTACGCTACCTAGCTATAGTCTCTATTGTAGTTCCTTTTGTGGTAAATAAAAACTATATTATGGGATCCTAACTATAAAACTGGTTAACCAAGAGAAGGAACTACAATGCAGACTATAGGTATTCTGGTATACTTACTACGTCCCTCGACCTTCCAAGAAAGGATCTTTTCGGCTGTCTTTCATCAAACCCTAAACCCTAAACCCTAAACCCTAAACCCTAACCCTAAACCCCTAAACCCTAAACCCTAAACCCTAAACCCTAACCCTAAACCCTATCATCGGGGCTTTAGGGTCCTCTTCGTGGTTCCTTTGGTGCCGCGTGGCTCGACCCCGAAGGTGCTCAGGGTTGAGGCAAGGACGAAGTCCCCATATGGGTGGTTGTCGAAATTCGGGTCCCGTTTTGGGTCCCGATTATAATACGACACCTAAAATTTAGGGTACCCAAAAAGGGACCCTAATTTTGACAACTACCCATATAGAACGCTTTTGGACAACAAGACGAATGCACATGATGTGAAATTCGAAGGACCCTCCGAGGTAGATGGAGCATGACATGCGTGTTCGCTCAGAAAACTATCTTTTTGTGTAGAGGCCCCCGAAGGGCAGAGGGTAGGAAGTTTAGGGTTTAGGGAAACCTCTAGGGTTTAGGGAACACGGAATAATACTTTTCGTCAGCTGATTGCTGAGAGTAAGCTCATAACAATGTCGCCAGTAAAACTGACTGAAACCTGAAGCCTTCAACCTTCAGTCCTAAACACGACGTGGGAGTTTCCGAAAATAGGGATACCTTATTTTGGGGGGCCTTATAATAAGGATCCTGCTATTTAGGGTACTATGTTAGGCTCCCCTATTGTCGGAGATTCCCAAGTAGTAGTCTGGAATGCTTGAGTCCTCGTGACTCGTTTTCTTAATCCCTTCGTTCCTGGACTGTCAGGTAGCCCAACCTAAGTGTGGAATGCTGACGGCGCTGCTGAATGCTGCGAAGGTTGTCCTGAAGCTGCGGGCATTCCTTCAAGAATTCAAGGGGTTTACACCAAAAGCCTAAAAGTTGGAAACCCCTTAGCCTCAATCCTTAAGAGCAATTTATATGGAATCCCAGCACTATTTGCCCTTAATCCGGTTTCCAACTTTATGGGGTTTACTATACGGTTACGGGTATGTACCCTCTGGGTTGAAGGTTTTGGTTTCAGTCGATAGTTAAAAACAACAAGAATCAGGCTCAGAGCTTTAAGTAGCTACATCTTACCCATAGGCTCCATAGTAGTTTTTTTGGGGATTACCTTATAGGATTCGAAATATGAGCCCCCAAAAGGAACTACTATGGGGCCTATGAGTATATCTTATGTCGACGCCCACGGCCGGGCTCGGTACCAGACCGGTTGTACGCAGGGCTCCTGTTTGATTAACAGGCGCTTTAGCGGACAGCGCGAAATTAGCAATGAAAACGGGGTCGCAGATTTAATCATGGCGTCAGAAGCAGTTTGATGTAGTGTTTCGGGCACAGGGTCTCAGCTTTTGAGGGTGACTCCTAAGGTGTTTGCCAGGGATCAAAAATGTGCCTTGATGCTTGTTATTGTATGCTCTAGGTGATTCTTGTAAATAGAAGTCGTCGCATTCTCAGTATAGAATTAACCCAGCAGGTTTTTTTGACAGGTTTTATTTCGTGTTGCGCTTAATGTCTTAATGTGAAGAACATCAGAAATTTGAGAAGGTCTATAGTACAGTGCCTGCTTTTGTGGTCATTGTCGTCTGTCACGATGGGCTCCGCAGTTTTTGCACGCATCTTCGAAGGTGTAAAGGTTTGGGTACGATGTGTGCAGGTTTGTTTGAGGTTCTCAAGGTCTAACCCTTTTGCCCGTTTTGGTGTTGGGTTCCCCGATGAAAGCCAAATAGTCCTTAATATCAAGGGGCCACTCAGGAACCTAGGGGTTGTCAAGAGTTGAGAGCTCCAGGACGTCAGGCGATAAACTCTGCCTGGCCTAAATAAGGTGGGTTTAATTTACTTGTATCCCAAGTGCTATACTCTGAATGGTTTTTGGTCGCTCAATCACCCAAATGCCTCAAACCCTACTCTTATCGTACTTGGATCCCTCACCCTTCGTACCGTCGAAAGTTCCTCTTCTCTGCTGACCCTAAACCCGAAACCTTAAACCCGAAACCCTGAACCCGTATCCGAAGGCCCACACCGGTCATCGGTGGGCCTGGGGCACTGGACACTTCTGGAAGCCTCTTACACTAGGAAGCTTCCTAGAGTACTGTAGAAGCCAGAATATTGGAACATCACTATCATCATACTCTTAAAGGGAACTCCAGAAAGTTGGAATATGGATTAAGGGTAGGATCCCCTATATTTTACCTTAAAGGGATTATGATAATGATATTCCAACTTTCTGGCTTCTACTCTTAAGGAAAAAGGGAATCCCTGCACCCATGATCCCAAATCCATGTTCCGAACCTTGTACTTATGCGCAACAAACACCCTAAACTCTGCAGCCGAATTCACAACCCTAAGCCATAAACTGGCCACAGATCCTAAGCCGGAATCCATAAGGCCCACAAGTATCTACCACACATGGAAGCCCTGAGCCCTATAAAGCCTGAAACGATGGCTTCAGGAACTGCAGTGGCCTTTGCAGTGGACCTTGGGCTTTTCCTCCACATCCTCGTTGTTCGGCTATGCCGGGCAGGTGGAGCCACGGTTTAGAGGTTTGGGTTCCGGGTTCAAACTTACAGTTCGCGGCTTTGGGTTTGAACTTCCGGGTTGAGGGTTAGGGTTTAGGGTTTTGGGTTTATACTTTTAGGGTTATACTGTAGACTGTTATGGTTCAGGGTTTGGAGTTTGGGATTAAGATTTGCCTGCAGTCTCCATTGTACATAGGTACATGTTTGCATCGCCGAAGTCAAACATTAGAATCCTAGGCTGCTGAAACAATTTCATTGCTCCAGGAAGGCTTAGAAGCAGGCTTGCGGGTCTCCGAGTCTTCCTGGGCTTGGAACCAGAGCTGTTAAAGCAGGTCCCCTTCGGGGCTGCAGGCTTGAACACATCCGAGCCGACAGCAAAACAGATTCCTGCTTCAACCTCAAACCCTAAGCCCTAAACCCTCAACCCTAAACCCTAAGCCCAAAAGGGTTCCTTAGGGGTTCTGTACTCGTACCAGAAGGGTTTAGGGTTTAAGAGTTTAAGGGTGCACCTTTTTAGTACTGATTGGGTACATGGACCCTCGGAGACATACTTTGGTCCGAGACGCTTTCCTCGGTGGGTTAATTGCTAGCAAGTGCATGCATTTTCGGAAGTCAGCGACACTTCCTTACGTCCCATGATCCTTCCAGTACAGGGTCTAACTCTGGAGAGTGCTCGCCAGGTAAATTACTGCGCGGCCAATGCGCTGCTAGACCAGCTTGCTGCTTTCAGCAGCGAGACGGCGCGTCCTGAGGCTGTCGAGACTCGTTATCGGACAGATTCGGCTTCACTGCGAGTTCAGGGTGAAGTCTTGTTGCTATTGCTGCTAACCTGGTTATGGTTATCCAGTTATTCACCACTACACCCTACATTGCATCGTATTAGCAGCAGGGCTGTTCTTGATTATGATCCCCGCACCCTTGTACTGCAGCTGCTGCTGCCGCCGCTGCTGCTGCTCCTCCGCCTCCTCCTGCTGCTCCTCCTGCTTCTCCTCCTACTACGACTACTGCGTGCGCTATTTCATTTTGTGAGGTGTGATTGGGTTGTCATAGAATCACCATATATACATAAAACACAGCCACGATAATGCACCCCGCAAAATCCTTCTCAAACGCGTAAGACACCGTCACAAACTGCAAGACACAGGGCCCACCATGCACAGTGGCACGGCAGATCTCCGAAGCTCATTGCCTGCAAACCAATGGCTTTGTCTCCTAAACCCCCAGATGTTCGCTTCCGAAAATAGGGAATGGGGGAATGGGCTATGGAGACTACTATTGGGGATCATATAGGGACTACTATGGGGATCCATTCCCCCCATTCCCGACTAAGAACCCGACAGTTGCGGGAGTTTCCGAAAACAGGGGACCCTAAGCTAGTGCCCTGATTAATCTAGTACCCTGATTTAGTAGGATCCTTATTACAAGGACCCCAAAATAAGGTACCCTTAATTTTAGGAAACTCCCAGATCAGGAAGTCCCAACACAGGGCCCTGAATCAATACCAAAGGGGGGTTCCTTAGTTATAAGTATAGTATAAGTATAGTAAAGTATCGTATATTGGGCCCGAAAACCCTATTCTGATTATTAGATTAGCCCCTAAACCTTGATTACCTCAACCCTGAATAACCTGCCTTGTTAGAGCTCCTTATCATGATTTCCTTATATAAGTTCTTGAAAAGGTAGGTTATCCACGGTTAAGGTAACCCTAAGTAATCAAAGGACCTCAATGTTGGTTAGTTGCGCTTGCGATGGTAGCAACGTAGGTGTGCTCTTTGCTTTTTTGAGAGGGCTGCATATGAATACCTACAACCTCCATAGTCGTTCCTGTTTGGGGTTCTTATTTAGAGTCCTATAAGGTAGTCCCAAACAGGATTTATGATACTATGGTACTATGGAGCCTATGACTTGTTATCAGGTACCTGGGGCCAGGCTAAATCGTTTCAGCCCAAGGCCCCGAAGTCAAGAGGGCCGGAAAGCTACTGGGCCTTAGTACTTAGAATAGGGTGTTTGGGCCCATTCTACTATAACTATAATAAGGAATCCCACGGAAAAAAAAGTATAGGTAATGATTAAGGCCCCTCTAGTGCATCCCATCCAGAAATCAGTGTTGAAATTTAGGATTTCGCAGTTGCATGTTCCTTGGTTCGGGCTTTTCACACCCCATCAATGCTGCACCGCCTTAAATTTCTGATGTCGGCGCTGGCGCTTGGAGTTTCAAGCTGTCAGGTGCTGACTCCTGGATGGGGGGGGTTGGGGGATCAGAGTTTAGGGTGTGGTGTTTAGGGCTAGTTCGCTCAGGAACCCGAAGCCCACAACGCCGAATGAGGTAAGGTGTATATAGAGGGTTGACGTATCCTGAATCTCAGGTCCACCCAACTGTCTTATTGCAGGCTGCGATCCCGCGCATTATATTCAGGGCGACTACATGCGAAACCTTCTCGTACGGGATTTGAGCGGCATTGAGGTGTCTCTTGGTCAAAAAACACCCTAAATCCTACAGTCGCGAATCCTTGAACCCGAAAACCTATAAGCCCTAGATACCATAAACCCTCCGGGCAGTGATCCCCAAAAGCTGGCGGGCCCAGAATCCCTCCCGTCTAATACATCGGTACATGTATGCGGTTCAGTTTTTGGTACAGTTTAGGGTTGACCCAGAACCCCTCAACAGAATCATCCTTTACATGTTATTGACATTCAGCACCAACTAGGATGCCCAGTAGTACCCTTATTCCCTTTTTGTAGTCCTATAGGTTCCCTGTAAAGTTATGAAATGCCAAAAAGGGAGCCCTTTTTATTCCCAGGTTACTGGGCATCCTAGACAACGCTCAATACCCAAATCCCAAGCCCCGGAACCCATGAACCTGTGGCATGAGCAGGGGGATCGACCACCATGCCGCTTCATCACCGTGAATTGGGGTCCCTGGGGCGTGCCAGCTGCATTCAGGATGCTTGAAGGATTATTACAGGAACTACGTATTTTTCTGTTCATGATTACTGCTGTCATTGTTATGACATGTTTTGTTACAGTTGCTACCTCTGTTCTTTGTATCATGATTATCAATAAAGTTTGGGCTTTGGAGTACCATACTTTACTACTTTTTTCTTAAAGGAACCATTGTGAAATACAAGTTTATACTCTTTTTCTCCCTGGTTACTCAAAGGCCCAGGTTCTTAGTATCATGATTATCAATAAAGTAGCTTCTGTTGGTCAACCAGTGGATCCTCTCCGGTCCCTCAGGGCTTCGTTGTAGGGAACGGGCCGCGGGGGACCCTGAACCCTGAAAAGGCTGGGCCTATGCCACGCCTTTGAACTCGCAACCGTTCGTAGGGTTTAGGGTCTAGGATTTAGGTGTTTAGGGTTTACGGGTTTAGGGTTTAAGGTGTGCATTGTACATCATGTAGAGTGTGAACGTGCCTTTCTTGAACGTCTGAAGTCCTCATGAACCTCCAAGTGCACCCTAGACTGGTGAGGTCATTGTAAATGTGAAGTACTATTGCCATTGCTGGTATTCATTGCAGTATTCAAAGCAACCTTAAAACGGATTCTTGTCAGGGTTCCTGGAAGGGTTTTTTAAAGGCGTAAAGGCAGTGGCTTACAGGTGTTTCATCAGCGGTGACGAAGGGGACTGCGAGCCTGTCGCTGCACTTCCAAGTTGAAGGCTATGCGCTACCAAAGACCATCTGGGTAGTTGTCAAAATTAGGGTCCCTTTTTGGGTACCCTAGATATTACAGTACGTGCCGTATTGTATTAGGGACCCAAAAAGCAACCCTAATTTTGACAACCACCGATCTAAACATGCCCAATCTTGAACTTAAAGCTAAACCGCATGTTATGAACTCTGAACTCTACAAGCCTTTAAAGGCTAGTTCTAATCGAACCGCAGGCGCCCAATCCTATGATCGCCGGTATGCGACACTGGGACGGTACCTGACCCCGCATACAAGTACACATGCAGACAGTACGGCAAATTAAGCAGCGCCCGCAGTAGCAGAAGATCTCAGGTGAGGCGGGCATGGCTCAGGCACCGACGGGGTGGGCTGGAGGGAACCTTAATCCCTGAACCCTTTAGTTAGGCCGCAAAACCTAAACTAGATCCTAAACTTCCTGAAACTCAACCTCAGAAACCAGACCCCTAAAGATATGAGCCCTAAAGGGCGTGGGCTGGAGGGAGTTTTGCGAGTCTCGGGGTTTCAAGGTCGGGGGCTATCGGATATAGGGCTCAGTCGGACTGGAAGTTAAAAAGGTATATACAGTTTAGAGTTCATGGCGTAGAGTTGAAAATTGTTCCTTGTTGTCCCGTCGAAAGTTGTGGCGACAATGAAGGCCGGCACCGTCCGAAAAAAGGCCTGGATCGTTGCTTGTGGGAACTTCGTCTCTAGTTGAAAAAACTCGTACCAGCCCCTATGCTCTCGCGAGGAGACACATTCACTTCATCGCTTGATTCACCATCTAAACCTACCAAACCCTACTTTTCTGTATGTTCTTATTGTGAACCCTAATATTTGGAGTTTATAGGGACCCTACAAAAAGTAGGGTTTGGTAGGTTAAGGTATCCTTGTGCATACAGCTCGCACTGGCTAGCTTAATTATGTGGACGGTCCTCGCGTAGATGGGAAAACAGCCTTCCTAACAGCTCTCAGGTGGGGTGGGCTTGGGGACAGAACAGAGTCGTCGTGATCAAGTTTGCTAAGCTGTTGTTGTTTGCAGGCTTAGTTTCCTCGGACCAATCTTTCCGCGTTGACAGAGCCCTGTACTTGGAGGGTCGGGGGACTTAGTAACTGGTTATTTTAGGCGCTTGTAAGTACCATAACCCCAATCAAGGTCCCTTTTAGGGTACTTTATAAGTCTACTTACTACCTACTTACCAAGTCCCACGACCCTCCAAGTACGGTCTTCAAGAGAGTCCTGGCGACTTGCAGCTGGACAGAGATCGAAAGCTCAGGCTCCTGGTTCCCAAAGGCTCCATGTACCCATACAGTAGGTACTTGGGCCTTAAAGTACCCATATGGGGACCCCTTTAAGGCCTAAGTACCTACTTTATGGGCACATGGAGTCTTAGGGGTTTGGGTCGTTGACGGGGCATCACCATGCCTCATTCAACGCGCTGCTGATTGCTCCGTGTGGGTGATCAAAGCATGTGAAGGCATCGAGGAACCGGGACAGCCCAAAGGTGTTGATCCAGGTCCTCCACAAGTGCTTCAGGCATCTATGTAGATGATCTCCAGATCACCGGAATTGGCAAGGAGCCACAAGGTCTGCTCAAAGCTATAAAGGCTACGTGGACATGTTCACCAGAACAGTCATTTGACTGTGGTGCGGTTAAATTTTCTGGTCTACTTGCAGGTTCATGTGTAGTTATAAGTGGGGCTATAAGTAGGATAACTATACTCATTATACCCATGAGCCTCCAAGTAGAGATGGACTTCAACGCCGAGACCACGCGCTTAGAAGTCTAGCCAGCTGCCTACATCGGAGAGTTGGCCACTGCCCTGAGGGTCCAAGTGCCCAATTATCATATACTCTCAACAACAGTAACCTACATAACTACGATCCCAAAGCCAAGCACCTAATTATTGGGTCCTCTGAACTCTTAGGGCTATGTGACAAGGATATCATCATAAGGAACCCTACGCGTGTCGGGTTTTCTGGTGTTATTAAAGTAAGTCTCAACCGGTTCAGCAGTGTAAGTTAGGGTCGCATGAGTCACTGGGGACACGAACATAGCCAATTTGGGTGATAACTACGTCGGAATCATCACCAATAGTTACTCCGTTCTAGTCTCATGTAAGACTATAGCATAATGTGTCCCCAAAGCCTGTGCTGTGGGACCTGAATCCCTGCTACGAGGGCAGGATTATGAGGTCGTCGTTTCAGAGTTTTGGAGTGCAAGTCCAAGTCTCCGGCATTATCGGTCGCACAATTCCCTGTGCTCTCTAAACCAGTTTCATCGATTCGCTGAGTACCTTAGTTGCTTAGTTCCTAAGTCCTATAGCCTAAACTCTAGGATGCCCAGTAGTACCCTTATTCCCTTTTTGTAGTTCCAGGTTCCTTATCCAGTTACCCAAAACCGAAAAGGGAGCCCTTCTATTCCTAGGTTACTGGGCATCCTAAACTCTAAATCCGAACCCAAAAGCGCTGGGCCGCGAATCTCGGGCCATCTATCTGCACACAGGTGGGAACAAAAGCTTACGAGCAGGCGGTGAAGGAGGGCGACACGCAGCCGCCTTGGCTTACAGTGACCACCAACACTTGGAGCAAATGATTCGTGGCATTCCTCATGTTTTTACCTTACCTTGCAGCTGGTGCTAGGGGTCAATACTAGGGGCAATTGTGTTTTGGATTAGCAATAGCAGTAGCAGCAGCAGCTGCAGTGGCAGTAGCAGTAGAGCAGTAGTGGTAGTAGTAGTAGCAGTAGCAGTAGCAGTAGCAGTAGCAGTAGCAGTAGCAGTAGCAGTAGCAGTAGCAGTAGTAGTAGTAGTAGTAGTAGTAGTAGTAGTAGTAGTAGTAGTAGTAGTAGTAGTAGTGGTAGTGGTAGTGGTAGTGGTAGTGGTAGGTAGTGGTAGTGGTAGTGGTAGTGGTAGTGGTAGTGGTAGTAGTAGTAGTAGTAGTAGTAGTAGTAGTAGCAGTAGTAGTAGTAGTAGTAGTAGTAGTAGTAGTAGTAGTAGTAGTAGTACTAGTAGTACGAGTAGTAGTAGCAGCCGGAGTAGTAGTAGTAGTAGTAGCAGCAGCAGTAGTAGTAGTAGTAGTAGTAGTAGGAGGCATAGTAGCACCAGCAGCAGGAGATTCCTGCGGTTGGGATGAGACGATGATTAGTTACTTCTACACTTGGGTTCGGTGTATCGGGATCATGATGCCACAACGCTTCTTGCGGTGGTTCTGTCTAGTGCCTGCTGTATCGAAGTCGAAGTTTCATTGATCCGGACCGAAGCTGGCCATCGAACGTACGTCTAAATGTGTTAAAACCTTTTACCGAAGGAAGCCATTACCGAAAGCCCCTAAACCTGTGCCCCAAAATACCCGCATGTATATGGTTCCTTGTGAAATTCGGGCTTCCTTGTATGGCCCTTTGAAAAGGCAGGTTTGGGGTTACCCGTAAAGCTTGTCGCCTGTAGTAAGGCCTCTTTCAACTGCAGCAGCGTTGCGCTGCCTTGCCGTGGCACTGAGACAAGTTAACCAGGCTGGAAATCCTTGGCTACTACAGGGGTCGGCGAAATTAGTTGCCGTATTCTCCTATGGTCCCGATGCACTGTACAGTTGTAGTACAGTATGACCCCAAACCCTATTGTAATTTTTGCATCCCCCCCAGATTCCCAGATTGGCACGCCTGGGATACCCGGCTTCAGGGGTGTATCATGGGAAATGTAAGTCCCTCTGATTGATAGGCCCCTCTTGGCTATGCACATGTATATAAGGCCTGTAGCCGTCATCAACTATCAGTTGGAAGTTATGAGCCATGAGTGGTTAGGAATCAGGGATCTACATCACGTCTGCGGATTTATGTAGGCCTGTAAAGCAAACATAGCCTTGACATGTTCTCTACCCAGGCCAGGTGCCTACTGCACAGCTGTTGACTACCTAAGACCCAGACCCCCGGGAGGATCCGAAAAGTAGATCCCCCCAATGGGGGGCTCCTATAAAGTACCCTTAGTAGAGGGCCGGTTGGGGGATCCGGTCCTGGCAGCTGAGTAGGTTAGCCGCACTTCTTCAGTGTTTTTACATGACCCTAGCATACGGTTGATGATATAAATCCTGCATAAGGAATATACCATAATTCCCATAGTTTCGGGTCCTGAAGGTAATGCAGGATTTTTATCATCAACAGTAGTGGAGAGGCGAACCTTTTGGGCGAGGGTACGCAGCCCTAAGTCTCAGAAAGGTTCAGCGGTTTGGGTCATGGTGTATCCTTCGGAATGGAGTGGAATACGGAAGCTGAATAACTGCAAATATTCTTACTTCGCGTTCCATTCCATATATGCGCGTTCCATTCCATATATGTGTAATATGTAGGTGGTCATTCATCAAAGTATACAAGGATCCAGAATAGGCCCTTATTATTTTTGTTTAGGGTTTATACGCTTTAAACCAAAAAGGGCACCTTTTTATTCCTAGGTTACTCTGAGGTCTAGTATAGTATGGCCAAAGCCTTCTCCGATTCTGGCATTGAGGGTCTGAACAGGCCCTAAGACTCCATGTGCCCGTATAGTAGGTACTTAGGCCTTGAAGGGGTCCCTATACGGGCACTTTAAGGCCTAAGTACCTACTATATGGGTACATGGAGCCTTTGGGAGGGTCTCTGTCAGCTTGACTTGGGTTTGCGATGATGGTTGCAGCTATAGTTTTCCCATACCACCCCCGGTTCTAGGTAGGCCTTGGGGTTATTTTATATTTCCCCTTGTTGGGCTTAATAGGACCCTAATTACGAAAATTTTTCAGAAGCTTTAAAGGGCCGACCTAGGGTTTTCCTCCCCCCCCCCCCGCCCCTTCCCCGTAACATCCCAAAAGCCGGAACGCTGAGCATCGCGGACTGCAGGTAGGTGTCAAGAACCCAAGAGGCCACATGGAGTTGTCGAGACCCCATTGGCCATCCCTGTCCCATTTGGAGGATCATGAGACTTAGTAAGTAGGGTTATAAGTACATTAACTAGGGTTATAAGTAGATATAACTCTGGTTTCTTTTTTTTGTAGCCCTAATTGCTAAGTCCCCTGATCCCTTAAGTATTATGCTTTGGGGAGTCTGCTTCCATGCCGCCAGTGCATTTCGGCAGCTATTGCTGATGCCCCTATCCTTCCCTAAGGCTCGATGTACCCATATAGTATATACCTGAGCCTCGAAAGGAATTCCTATATAGGTACCTTGAGGCCGAAGCGTATACTATACGGCTACATGGAGCCTTAGAGCTTTAGCAGGTTTGCTCCTGGTTCCTGAAATTAGGAACCCATTTAAGGCCAAAGTGTACACTATGTATGGACATGGAGCCCGAAACCCTACGCCCTAAACCCTGGGAAACCCTAAACCCTAAACCCCAAAAGCCTTTTAGTGCAGTTGCAAAAAGGCCCTCAAAAAAAACAAAAGAAACCCGAAGCCCCAACTGCTGAAGGCGGAGCCAAGCACTACGCAGCTCTGCGCCTGCGACGTGGAATGGCAAAAGTCCCAATGGCAGGAGTGCGCTTTGGGCTCTACCTCCTTGAAATGTTTAAAGTCGGCACTAGACCCTCAAGCCTAAGCCGTAATTCAACCAAGCCCCAAACCCTAAACCCCAAACCCTAGCCCTTTAAATGCGTTTAGTGGTTTAGTGCTTTTGGAGGCTTGTGGACCTAGAAAGATCAACAAGTCGACGAGAGCATCGTGAGTCCGGCGGCAAAGATGCCTGCAGGTTCCTCAAAGCACTGTTCAGGTTTAGTCCTTAGAGGGTTAGGGTTTCAGGGGGGTTCAGGGTTTCGAGGTTTAGGGTTTAGGGCTTTAGGGTTTGGTCCTTAGAGAATTAGGGTTTAGGGGGGTTTAGGGTTTCGAGGTTTAGGGTTCTTCCGGGATTCGGTTCCTGGGGCCTCACATACCCCCTTAAGGAAAATACCGTAAATTATAGTGGGTCCCTAATGTAAGGGCTCAGGTTACAGGTCCATGACATCGGGTCATACTATAGAGGCCTCAATCATTACCAATACTCTGTTGGGGTTCGTTTATATGATTATACTAAAAATTAGTATATTATACCCCAAAACCCTATTCCGATTATTGAGGCCTCCATATCAGGCTAAACCTCCTCCCGCAGGGCCAGCTACAAGCAGAACCGAAGTCTTAACTTCCACCACATACCTCACGCTTCAGGATGGGCACAACCGGTTTGGCCGTAACAAAGAAAGCAGGCGTAAATCCTTTAGGCAGAGATTGAGACATGTGGAAGCCCTAAACCCTAAACCCCTAGACCCTAAACCCCAAGACCCTAAACCCTATATGGAGTTTCCAAAAATAAGGTACCCTGATATAGTACCATAAATAGTAGGATCCTTATTCTCAGGACCCCAAAATAAGGTACCCCCAAATTCTGGAAACTCCCATATATCCCCCCTAGTTATTCCTTTATCAAGGGACCTTTGCAGTCTCTGGGAAGGACTTGCCCATTTTGGATCACGTCCACGAGAGTCCGGCTGGCGAGTTCTAAAAACCCTAAACCCTAAACCTAAACCCTAAACCCTAAACCCTAAACCCTAAACCTAAACCCTAAACCCTAAACCCCCTAAACCCCCTAAACCCCCTAAACCCCCTAAACCCCCTAAACCCCCTAAACCCTAAACCCTAAACCCTAGATAGGTGTCGGGGGATCGGTGTCGGGAGTTGATAACCGGGACCTCCCAAGGGCCCTTTAAAAGCCCTTAAGTGTGGGTATTTGGTGTAAATTCGAGGGGAGTTCGGGGTTTCTGGGTTTCGGGGATAAGGGTTTAGGGTTTAGGAGATTGTTGCTAGGGTTTAGGGTTTTGGACTTTAGGAGCTTATAACTGGGGTTTAGGGTTTAGGACTTTGGGACTTTGGTGTTCGGGTTTTAAGAGTTTGTAAGTTCAAGCACATGGCGTGCATCCATGCTGAACTGCGGAGACGAGACTGCCGCCACAGCCCCAAGCCCTGAACCCAAAACCGTGTTTAGGCTTTAGGGTCTAAGGCCCGCCAGCAGATTCCTCAACGCCGACGCCCCGCAATTTGAGTCCACTTATAGGGGGTTCTTCCTTGAGCATCGAAGCGAGAGACTCGAATGTCACTCAAGTAAGGAATAAATCATATAGGGATCCGGCTGCAATTTGTCGTATGGTCCTTATAACCAAGGGCTAAATCATATAGGGATCCGACTGCAATTTATGGTATAGTCCTTCATTAAGGGATATTGGAGTCTTGGGGAGCCCGGCTGTTGCTTTCTGGAGAGTGGACAAGCTTATGATCTCATATTATAGGATTTAGGGTTTAGGGTCTCTGTGAATCAAGCTTTGTAGGACCTTATGGTCTCATATTTAGGGGGTGTAAGTTGAAGGCGCAATCCTTGCTGCGAAGAAGACGCCTGACCCTGAACCCTAGACTCAGAAGCCTAAGCAGCTTAAACAGTAATAAGACTACCCATAGGCCCCAAAGTAGTTCCTTTTTGGGATGACTCCATAGGATTCTATATACGAACCCCAAAAGGAACTACTTTGGGGCCTATGGGTAAGCCCATCTTGTAATGATTGTCCACCCGAAGTAGTGCCGGGCCTTTCGGCACCCGTAGTTAGCAAGAAGTAGCGGTAGCGCAGAACTCCTACAGCCCATTGGTTCAAACATCCATGTGCAGTTTAGGGTTCCGGGTATGCTCCCGAAATACTGCTAATTTAGGGTTTGGGGTGGAGGGTCCTACGCCTGCTTTTCCACATCTACTTGACTTGTATAGGGCACCCTAAACCCTAAACCCATAAAACCTAACCCCTAGACCCGTAAACCCTTGGAGTGCCCTTTCACATCAACCCCTCCCCCACGGAAGTGGTTGCTCTGTTAGTGCGTGTAGTTGAAAACCCCGTTTTCCGGCAGAGCTGTGAGCCCGCGAACCCTGAGGCTCCATGTAACCATATAGTATACACTTAGGCCTCAACGTAGCTATATAGGAACCCCTTTAAGGCCCAAGTATGTACTATATGGGCACATGGAGCCTTAGGGGAAGGTCGCAGGCTGCTCCTTCGGTGGCGGTGGACGTCGCGTGGCACAAGATGCCGGCCTCTTTGGGCTTTTCGTTTAGGGTTTAGGGTTGAGGGTTTAGGGTTTAGAGTTTAGGGTTGAGGGTTTAGGGTTTAGGGGTTTAGGATTTAGGGTTTAGGGTTTAGGGGTTTAGCGGTTTCGACCACTTCTCGCACCTTGGCAGGGTCTCTCTCTGAGACAACCGGACGTCGTGAGGCACTGGACACTCATCCCTCCTGGACCGCCACCAGCACCAACGCAGGAGTCGTCTTCTATAAATTAATAAAACAAAACATATGTATATATATATATATATATATATGCTGGCCCCGCCCCAAGACCAACCCTGAATTCCCTAAATTCCCTGAGCCTGATTCCCAATTCTTTAAGTCTGACCCCCATGGATAAGATTCAGTGGTTTCCGTTCATGGGTAGGGAATTTAGGGATTTAGGGAATTTAGGGACATGGGGTAGGGACTTTAGGGAATGTTTTTTGGTGAATTTAGGGAATTTTTGGAATGTAGGGAATTTAGGGAATTAGGGAATTCCCTAAATCCAACACATGGGGTAGGGAATTAGGGAATTTAGGGAATTATGGTGTTCTGTAGGTTCCATGCACTAGGGGATTGATCAAGGAAATCAGCTGGTGAACCCAAAAGGCCACTTAAACTCTTAAACCCACCACACGACATAACGAACACAACTAAGTGTAATGGAACGACTGCAGGTATCTCGGCGAGATTTACGACTGGCGGCGCTGGGCAATGTTCATTATACTAATATTACTTCTTGTACTACTTACACAGACAGAAGCACAATCAGTGATCGAGACATACATGAGTGTATGTCCTTTGCAAGGACATAATGAGTATCGCACGTGTTCATTTTTTGTCTACATGTATCTGAAGCCCTTATAAGGCCGCGCATGCGCGGATGTGAGTGCTTTAAGACAGCAACGCAACTGCTCGCAGAAGAAAAGAGTGACGGTGAACACTATGCGATAGCCCGCATGCTCATGATGCACATTTTGTTGTTGATGAATGCGCTTCCTTGTTCAATGAGTCGAATCAAGCACTCCACGTCATTCTCGGTGATATCTCGTCATCATTGTCGCCATGGACCCCGAAAACATGACGCTAAAGGATGCCATTGAGGCCACATCGGACTTTTTCATCAGACAGCTTCCACAACACATCAAGATCGGGCCGACGCCTTCGGGAAACGTTACTCCTATGACTTTGCCCAATCGAGAAACCGACCCTGGCGTAAAACAGATGAAACACTTCTTCGACATTATGCATGATCACGAAGGCCCCATCAATCATGAACAGTTTCATCCCGTTATGCGCGACAAAGCATGGCATGAACTCCCTGAGCCCTTCAAGTTGAAGAAGCAACTCCAGGTTGACTACACCATGCAGTTGTTTATACTACCTCTGCAAAATGGCAAATATTGCATCGTGAAGCACATGCACATCGCCAATGAGAAGGTCAAAGCTTCATCGATCTACGAGCACGTCTACGGCCTACGGCACCGCGTATGACATCATTTGGGGAAGTCATGACAACAGACAAGCACGCAAAGGTCTGCAGTGGATGTTGGAGCAATTGGGGGGAGTTCAGTATAGATTCTTTGGTCTTACTCCTATGGTGAAAAAAACAACAAAGGCGGTGGTAGAGAAGTCTGAGGAGGAACTCGACAAGGGCTTTGAGTTTATTCGAATCCATGGGGAAAGGGATAGAGGTGATCTCAAACACTTGGCATGGATTCAAAAAGCTATCTCGCAGGACACCCCCATCAAGGGCTGGAAAGACAGCCTCGCACAAAGATGCTTGGATAGTCTCGCTACAGACTCTACTACGGCAAAATTTATCACCAGGTACGACCTGACTGTTGCTGATTTCGAGGAGCCGATTCAGGAGATCTTGCAAGTTATCGTTCCTTCTCTTCGGGATACCAGGCGAGCCAGGAAAGGGAGAATCTGTTTGGGTAGGGTGGTGGCGATGATGTTCAGCCGATAAAAAGGGGGGTCTTGGTGCATACCGCAGTGCCAGCGACTTTGACTGACTACTTTAGAAGCTGCCCCTTCATAAAGGATATCCCTGCGATTTACGATGACGGAGATATCGGTCCGGAGCCCATCAAAAAAAGAAAGCATCTCCGACGATGCCGATCAGGAAACACTTACGCGGGAGCGGTGGACGGCGGCTAAGGTTTATCAAAATCAACTCCGCATCGTCATTGATAATTCCTATGACCCCAAGGAGGAGACGACCATCGACGTTGGCCCGAACCCGTCCATTAATTACCCATGACGTGTTCATGAAGCTCATTCGTCCAGCGCTGGGTTTCTTATTTCAATCATGACATGTAAAGGAAACGTCTTATCATTGCATTATTCAGTGCATGTTGGCTATCTAGAAAGCTAATTAAATGCTTCATATGTCTTTTTGTATATAGGTAATAAAACTGAGGCGATATCACTGAGGTGGATGCAATGGCTATCCTGAAGCGTTCGGTCTTCATCATCATCTCCAAAACCACTATATATTTGCGTCTTCCTAGTGCAATTCCACACAAGGTCCCGTGCAAGATTTGGCTGGTGGACATCATCAAAGAGGAATCCAAGCATATCTTGGCCAACTACAAGAAGTCTGGACCTGTCCCCGATGATCATGATGCTCCGGTACTGTGGAAAAGGCATGGCTGAACGAGGCTATTCGTCAACACGAACCACACACAGATGAGACCGACCACAATGCCGTGCTATCTCCAGCTGTTCGTGTATAAAGTGAAAGGTTGGTTTGGGCGAAGTCGTTGTCTTCAGAAGCCCGCGATCGACCCATCAATTTGAAGACCCCATCGCGGGCACGAGGAAGCAATGACATCTCCAAGACATTCCCAATCCGGATTTCGGTTGTGAGGCTGAGCGGGGTTCCATAGAGGAGGAGCTTGAGCGCCTTGTGAACGAGCAGGAGGAGGAAGATGCCATGGATGTCGCGTCACCTTCTGGCTGGGGACTCATCGTGTCTTAGGAAGCTATTCTGAAACAGAATTGCCATGCAAATGGTTACTACATTGGGCGATCTAAATTGATAATATGTCCTTTCATTCAGAAGTAAAGATATAAAGAAGTTCTGTTTGCGTACAGAATGTCTGGCAGTTCGGAAAAGCGTTCTGTATTCAAGCTTTTCACCATTGCCCTACAACAGCGGAGCGAAAAGTAAAGGCAGGGAACGATTACAATCTTGTACGAGGATCACGCTAGTTTATGTTCCAGTCATGTATCTCGTTTGAAGTTTTTTTGTGTCAAAAACTAGACATATACGTAGTTGAATCTCGTCTGTGCTATGGCCAAGAAGACCATGAATGCAAAGTCTCAACCCTCATCTACACACACCAGTGGAACTCAACGAGTGCCTCGGAAGCCTGTTGGGATGGTTAAGACATCGGCAAAATCTTCGGAAATCTCGTCTACGAGTTCTACCACAATACCTCTCATCACGAGGTATGACCTCACCATTGCTGATTTCGAGGAGCCGATTCAGGAGATCATGCAGGAAATTGCCCCTCATCTTTATGATGATGCTCTCTGGATTCTTGGTGAATCAGGAAAAGGAAAGACCTCGTTAGGCATGGTGGTGGCTATGATGTTCAGTCGCTATCATGGTGGTTGCGCTGCATGTCGAAGCACATGTATTCTGAATCTCCTCAAAGGTGGTGGCTTCTCCAAACATATCCCTGTAATTTACGATGATGGGCAGATCGAGATCGATTCAATCAAAAAGAAAAAACCCTATCAGACGTAGCAGGTGAAGAGGTTAATGGACCTGAGCGCTGGAATGCCTTGCCTTTCAAGCCAAATCAGCTCCGAGTGATCATCAACAACACGTACGACCCCACAGAGGAGCCCAAGATCACCGGTGGTGCCATTGAGCATGGTGTGTTCATGAACATTATTCGTCTAGCGCTGGGTGCTTGGATTTATTATGATCATAACAATAATATTGAAAGCATAACACACATATTTCATTGATAAGAACTCAGGTTTTGTTTTCTAGTCTGCACAAATTGAGGCGAAATCACAGACGCGGATGCTATGCTCATTCTGAAGCGATCGGCCCTCATCATCATGTCCCAGACTGCAATCTACTGGCGTCTTCCGAACTCCACCTCCCAGAACGTCGCACACCCAACGTGGTTGGTGGACATCATCAAAGAGAACTCCAAGCATATCTTGTTTAACTACAAGGAGGATGGCCCTGTGCCTGAAGATCATGATGCTCGCGTACAGTGGGAGCAATGTTGGCTCGTAGAGGCTTTCCGCCGGTACAGGCCCAATCTGTCAACAGTGTCATCATATGTTCATATATGTATTAAGTAACATCATATACAAAAAATGTTTTGTAATAAGAATGCACAAAAATCATGTGCTTATACATGTATCAGTGGGGGAAAGCATTTTGAGTCTGAGCTTCTCACCCGTACATGACGCGGCCACAGGAAGCAGGAAGAAAAGGTAAATCTTGAACAGTTGCAGGTTATCATGTCACGCATGTCTGTTACAACTACACAGCATGTTTAAGGCATCTGGCCTCGAAAATCAGCGATCCCATTAGCCGACGGTTATCTCGATCATGGCCAAGAAGATCATGAAGGCGAAGAATCATCCTCCTTTTCCAGCACCCAAGCGCGGAAAAGCTCGTGCACTCCGTAAGCCTGCCAGCATCCTCAAGAAACCCGCAAGCAGCGCAAAAATCCCTTATGTACGTCATGGTGATCCTACGACAAAAACTCGAAACGAGCCTGTGCGGTGGGGTATTTCTGTGCAGATGCTTGTCAAGAAGAAGAGGCTACCCTTGATCAAGCTGAATCAAGCTTCTCCAGAAGGACGGCATTCTCCCCAAGATGAAGACCTGTCCGCATTGTGGCGGAAAGAGTTTAACGTCTCTCCAATACTCCGATATGAAGGGTATCTATGCGCACCGATGCAACCGTAAGGCATGCATGCGTCGAGTTCAGCCCCATAGCTTTCACCCAATCGTTGTGCAGGGAAGTGGAAACAGCATCACCTCGTTGGCTAATTCAGGCGGCAATTCGGCAATTCTTTTCTGCGCGATCATAGGCCTAGCCACAGTGCAGACCCACCTCCTCCTCGATGCCAACAAGAAGTAACCTCGAAACTGCGCGCACGAGAGATGTTCACCTCAAGGAAAAGGACATCGTCTATGGGAAATGGAGGGATGTCGAGGCAGACGAAGTGGACCTGGGGAAGGCAGTTATGAAAGAGCCCCTCAACGAGAACTTGTGCATAAGGTGGGAGCAATGGGGTGGGGCGTCCTCGTTCCCTCATCTTTGCGGTTGTTTCGCATTAGTCCACGACTATCCGATCGGCGTGCACCAGGCCCAGGACCGATCAGGAAGCATGATTTGAAACCAATCGCGGAGAAGTACTTGGCGGGGAAGGGGGTGATCTTACACACCGAAGCTCCCGGACGTCATACATTGTAATGTGGTACATCAGAAAATGAAGATTATCGTGAAGGGCGACGTTACTTGTTTACATCATTTATCATTCAACACATGATAAAACATAATAAGTATGCATTTGATAACCTGATATCACGTCTGAGGCCGTCTGGGGAACACCGCACCACACGAAGATCTACAAGGTCCAATTGCCGGATGGTAGGAAGTTCATCGTCAAGAGCGGAACACAGGCAAATATCTTGTAAATTCAACAATAGTTGATAAATATGTGATTTTGTGCAATGATATTTCGTCTATATATACACATAATAACCCTTTAAAAGCATCTCCCAAAATACCAGGCGATCGACCGCTGTTGGCGGCACATCCGTGTTCATCTTCGTCACAGTGCCCGTAACCCCGGCTACCCTATCCTTGTTCGGAAGATTAGATCCGCACAGTGGGTGTTCTGGAACCGCGGCAAAAACCTTTGGAAGCAGACAGGCGCAATGCTCCAGACCCTGGACAAGTGAGCTGTAGCATGTCTCGCTGATTTAGATTCAAGCGTTCATCGCTTTACGCGGCGCGGAAAAAACTGCAAGCACCCATGTGAATGATGTTGTTGACGTGATTCACCTAACTGTGCTCATGATGCAATGCGTAGTCTCAAATACAGCAGCATTGGCTCGCAAACGTCACCTGCCAGTTTAGAACGACCATGGCGTGGACATGGTCAGTGCAAGCCGGCCTGGGCAGCAGACTTCCCATAGAAGTATGGGACAACATTACTGGTTTCGCAGATCCGCGTGAACAGAGCCTCAGTATGCCCACTGCGCCCAGATCTTATCCAAAGCTCGTTGGCGGAGCTAATATATGTGAGCACGAAATCTACCGGTATTTACAGGGTTTTCGACTCTAACCCATGACGCTGTGAAGACAGTAATGAGCAGGGCAATGGTCGAGGTTGGTCCTGGGGGGGGATTACCATTTATGTTTATGTGTATATATATATATATAGATAGATAGATAGATAGATAAATAGGTATATTTCTGTATTTATTTAGAAAAGAATAAATACCAAATAAATTAATGAATATATATATATATACACATATACATCGATGGATAGATAGTTAGACCCTCTTGGTAATGTCCTGTGGGCCAGGGCAGGCGGCTCCAGCCGCGGAGGCTCAGACCGAGGTCCGGGGCCTACTTGGAGGGTTGGGGGTCCTAACTGACTGGGGTTATGGTACTTATAAGTCTGCAAAATAACTGGTTACTACGGTTTGCGATATAAATCCTGCATTACCCAGAATAAGGAATGTACCATAGTTCTCATAGCTTAGGGTCCTTAAGGTAGTGCAGGATTTATATCATCAGCAGTAGGTCCACCGACCCTCCAAGTACTGGTGGCTAAACGGCTTTATCAGGGCTTTAGGGCTTAGGGGTTTAGGGCTCCCTTTAAAGGGATCTACAAGGGCTCCTTTAAGGGATCTATAGGGTTTAGGGGCTTAGGGGTTTAGGGGTTTTACAGTTTAGGGTTTAGGGATTGGTGGTTATTGTACTTCTAGATTGTATCGATGTCTTGGGTTTTATAGGTTTCTACACCGATAAGTTACTCATAGACTACTGCTGATTCTTTTTAGTTTTATAGGTGTTTTCAGGTCTTTCTTGATTTCTGGAAAAGTTACAAATCTGGGTAGAATAGTTTGGGAGTTGTGTAGATTGTCGTGTTTCTTGTGAGCGTCGTTAATAGCGTGTTCTTTGTGGGTCATATAGGCAATGTAAAGGGTTTTGTGGAGTTTTCGTAAGATTGTCTTAGGGTTTTGTATTGCTTACATACGGTATTCGATTTCTAGTCTCTCAGAACTGAGGTGTTACACGGGTTTCGGGCTCATTTTGATGCTTGATTCTCCTTGCCGCGATGGACAGGTCCTAAACTGAAACTGCTTGAACCTGGCCTACCTAGAGGCTCCATAGTAGTTCCTTTTGGGGGTTCATAGATAGAATCCTACAAGGCAATCCCACAAGGGAACTACTATGGAACCCCTGGGTAAAGCACCCTGGTTTTAAGCCTCAGCCGCCCTAACGTGCGAGTTCCCAAACCCTTAACGCCTTAAAGGCCCTGATGCGAATCGCCAAACCTTGTAGAACACTTGAACAGCTTTTTAGAGCTCGCAACTCGCAGCGAGCCCTTAAAGCACCCCAAAGGAACCTCTAAAACTTGCAAAATCCATTCGCCCAGTCTCCCTGAAGAACCCCTACACCCTGAACCCCGGGACCCCAAATCCCCAAACCCCCCGACCATTCCATCGAGCCTTCGGGTTCTTCCGACAGGACAAGGGCTCCAAAGAGAGTTCGGTGCAGGACGGGACTTAGCAACCAGGTTCAATTTCTTTAGGTCTGGAGTACAGGATTTAGGCACCTCTAACTTATTAGCACATTTTAATTTTGGTTGGGGGTTGGAAACGTTCAGACTTCGTTCGGGCATGGATCCCGGACTTCTTCAGTTTTGGTAGGGTGTTGGGCATGTATTGTGCATTTTGGAGATTGTTGCGTGTACCTTCTCTGAGTCTTTTGCTCTTCTTCTCTCAGTTCATAACAGATTTTAAGGGCTCCCCGGTGTTAATTTATTCGCAATGGGTCGCTTGAAGCCGCTCAGTCAGTGGGTTTAAATGAAGGATCCCTTTTGTGCTATTCAGTCCCTTTTGTTCTTTTCAGTCTTACCAACCCGGCTTAAGGCCTCAACCGAGTCTAGAACCCAAACCCTACCGGACCTTTGTGGAATCCTGCCGCGAAGTCTCAAAGGGCTCGGAAGTTACGCCCTTGAGCTAGTTGCAGAGTCCTGAAGCCGTGAGGGTTGAGAGTTTCGGGTCATAAAACCCTCACTCAAGCCTAAGTCGCGCCTGCTCCCTGAACTAACGTGCGGGAACTGCCTGCTTGGTCCACTGCGGTCCCCCCACCTCCGAATGGGGGGTTTAGGGTTTGGGGTTTAGGGTTTAGGCCTATTGGGCAAGACCAGAGTCGCAGCAGACCGCTAATTACCTTGGACTGGGATGCATGCCTCGACTTGGCCGGAGCACGCGCAAGGTGTTTCATGGCCTCCGGCTCGCGAAGCACTTCGATGATAGCCAGCTTGCTTTGTTGCAGAGGGCTCAGAAGAAAAGCCTCGATGAACCGGTGGATAATGCACAGCGGCCGCCCATCTACTAGGATGGTGCCTGGCACAGAGTTTAGAGTTTTAGGGGTTGGGTGTTTAGGGTTTAGGGGCCGGAACTGGGTCTTCAACAGCATGATGGGCGGTACTTGTGAACCTCTCATCGACCAGCTCCCTCGCGACACGCCTGGCGGATCCACGTATGGTGAGCGTCCTGAAACCTTAGGTGCACTTAGAAATAGTTTTTAATTTTTGGTTATTATAACCCCTAAGAGACAGCTAAAATTATAATTTTTGCTAGGGTTCTAAGTTCAGCATAGAAACCTGCAGTGGGCGAGTCGCTCGTCACAGGGGCCGGTGCCGAGGCTCCGGAAGACCCGGGGCAGAAACCGAAACTTTTCACAGCTTCACTGGCGGACTGTCAGTCCTGTGTTCTAAAATCCCTGAGGCCTTGTACAGTGGTAGCTGGCTCCTCCACAGGTTGAGATGAGGGTTTAGGGTTTATACTAAGGGTTCATAGCGGTATAAAGGTTGATAAAGGTTTAGAGTTAAGGTTTAGGATTAGGGGAGTTCCAGATCCAAAAAAGCTTGAAAGTGAGCCCTAAACAGCGCAAGGCCTGCTCTCCAAACTCAAAACCTTCAGCTCCCAAACCCAGTAGCCCTTGATCCTGCTTTGAAGCACTTTTGACTTAGTAGGTTACTACTTGGAGGGTCAGGAGGGGACTTGGTAAGTAGTGGTTATTTTCTAAACTTTTTCCGCAGCCGAATCCCATTTAGGATCCCACTCAGGGTGCTTACAACACCATTTGCTACTTACTTACTAAGCCACAAAACCCTTACCTGATTCCAACTTACTCACATTAACCCACAGGGTCCAAGTAATAGTACAGTATATACTTTGGGTCCCCAAATAACTACCAAGCACCTATTATAGTGGTACTTGGACACTGTGGGTAAGATTATGAAGACTATTATTGGGGACTATATCGGGACTACTATAGGGATCCATACCCCCATTCCGTGCTAAGCACCAGACAGCATTAAGAGATCGTTTTTGCTCCTAAACCCTGATTACCACATCAAGAGAATCAACAGATCGTTTTCTGCCGACAGGGGTTCTTGGCCCAGCAAGCCAAAGCTGGCGGAAGCTGGCCGGGAGCTGCTGTCCTGTGGTTTGACGGCTTCGGGTGACACGGTTGATGATATAAATCCTGCATTACCCATAATAAGGAATATGCCATAATTCTCATAGTTTAGAGCCCTTAAGGTAATGCAGGATTTATATCATCAACCGCATGTACGGGTTTTGAAAAGCTAGAAAAGGTTTCCTTTCAGGGCTCCTTTGGATTGTTTCCACAAAGGTTACTATAAGAGTTTCGTACATGGCCTGACTAGTGAGAGTAGGGTTTTGAGGTAGGCTATATATAACGTACAGTTGTACAGGCGCGACAAGGATGCATCGTTGTTTCTTCTGCGCCCTGTGTATGCTTAAGGGTTGTGAAATTACTACAGTAGGTTTACACTGGCTCCGGGTTTTAGACGCTAGGGTTTAATTACTCGGCTGTCGGCACTGGGGTTTCACAAAGGTTATCCAATGTTTGCAGGTTACTATGGGGGGGAACCAGCAAACCCTCAGAAGCCCTACCTCTAAAAATCAAGCCGGAAGCCCCAAACCCCAGCCTCAAGCCCTCATTCCAATAGTCCCAACACATAGATGAGGTGGCAATACCGTAGTCGTAGCATCATACCAATGCAGTGTAGTATTCAGACTCATGGGCGGCCAGGGTCATCAACAAGCAGGCAGAGCTTGTCGCGGTAGCTAGACCAGGGCGGATTTGCTGGAATGGGCAAATTCGAGACAAGCCGACTTCCGTTGCATCAAACCAACTGCTTCTTCACACCAACGATGGCAATTCCAAAGTTGTGCCACTGGGTCGGGCAGGGGCACATGCATGAACTCTCTGTTGGCGAATCGTAAAGAAGGCTCCTGGATCACGAATGCCCAAAACTCCGCATCCCGTCCAGGGGCCGAGTCAAGGGGAAGTCTCTGCATCAACTCGGTGTCTTGGCTGCAAGCTGCTGGCTGCCGCAAGGCTTGGAGATTTCGGATTCTGGGATCTAGGGGGTAGCGTCCGTGCCGAAGGGTTTGGTGTCTCGGGATGGGGTTTCGTCGGTTTGTTTTAGGACTGTTCTCGAGCTCAGGGTTTAGATGGTCTAGATGTTTGGGCTTTTCTGGTTACCCTAAACCTTAAACCGTAGGGCTTTAAGGGTTATTGGGGTTCTAAGGTCTCGGGTTGGGGTGTACCTGTAGGCTCATACCCCACCCCTTCTTTAGGTTACCTTCTTGTTGTCTAAACAGCAGATCGTAGCCATAAAACTAGGTATCCTAAAGAAGCGGCAGGGCATAAGTCTACAGGTAAAGTTCAGGGAGTTAAGGAAGTTTAGGCGTTCCCATGACCCTACCGGTCTGGTCCTGTTTGGAAATTCACGCTGCAAGCTTGTACTCGTGTTGCTTCGATTGCACGCAGAAGCAAACAAGTTGCGACACCTGCTAAACCTTACCCCTCCACTGCGGACTTGCAAGTATAAGAACCCTCAACCTTTAACCCTAACCCCCCCCCCCTTAAACCCTAAACCCTAACCCTTCAATAAGACTGTACGAGACCTTGCTGCTTGGGTGTATCGACTGACAGGTTTTTGTAGCCGTGGCGAGATCAGGGCTTCGGATGTTGGGCCAGAGTATGGAAACTTTTAGGGTTTAGGGTTTAGGGGTTTAGGGTTTAGGGTTTAGGGTTAGTAGCGCCCTTTGGCCCCTTAAGGGTCCTATATTACAAGGGCTCCATAAGGGTCCCTTTGAGGGTTCTACAAAGGAACTATAAGGGTTCCTGAGTAGTGCCCTTTTGCCCTTTTTATTTTGGGTTCCCCCATTAAAACCAAATAGTAGTAAAAAGGTGTACCCTTATCAACAAGGGGCCACTCAGGAAGCAATGTTGAAATGAACCCTTCCGTTGCAGGGTGAGGCTTGCCTACCTTGACCACTTATATGTTAGGAGGAGTTGTCGGCAGTGTTTGTGGTTTCGGGCATAGCATGGTATGCAATGCCACAGAAGAGCGGAACCCTGTAACTTCCAAAAACCCTCTCCCAGAGGGTCCAAGTACTCCCTATTGTAGGACTTTAGGGCCTTTTTAGGTACCAAAAACCATAAATTAGGACTACTTGGACGCTTAGGGTCTTGGTTAAAATCCAAAAATCACATCCCTGTTGCGGCAAGCTGCATCTTCAGGTCCTCGTCAACACTTACCGTTGGTTAGTAAGTTAGTAGGGAATGGAAGAGTGGTAGTAATTGTAGGTATAATTGTACCCCATTCCTCCATTCCCTACTAACCAACGGTAAGAACAGCGGTCAACTAGCTAGGGGGTATTGCAGGTTCCTCTACTTTTTCCTTACGTTGACGTTGCTTCTTGCTTAGAACCTCTGCAGACTGGGTGTTTGACTTGTGTCATTCCTGGTTCTTGTTTTTGCCCTATCCCAGATGTATGCTACAGATCCCCAGGAAACCGAACATATATGATGCAGGGCTGCTGCCCCCCCCCCCCCCCTCCCCCCTCACCCCATGGTATCCCCCCTTGCCTGTCAGTGGGTAGTCGTCATGTTTGGCCTTGTTGCTTTCCCCGTCTGGTCTTGTTTGGCCTCGTTCCCTCCACCCTGTGGAGTGGGGCCTGTGGTCGTTTTGGCTGGCCCCGCCTGTGGGGGGCAGTGTTCTGCAGAGGTATGGTATGGTTGCTGCCGCTTGTTGGCAGTAATGTCATCGTTGCGTGCTCGTTACCATACAAAATACGATGTTGCTCCTTTCTGCTTGCAAACGGTGCCGCTGTCCCTGCTCTGATGAGGTTCTCCGCTCCTCTGAAGAAGCACTGGCTGGGATCATTCTCCATAGTCCTCCCTCCCTCTGGTGTCCGTCTGGTTTGCGTGGGTTCGTTCCGGTTGTGCGTGGTCGCTGGGAGCAGGGGCGGGCCGGGGGGCGGGGGGGGGGGGGGGGGGGGGGGGGGGGGAGGGGTGAGGGCCCGAGGCCCGACAGCATGAATATTAAAAGTTGAAGCCTTGTAAGACCCTTGAGTTGTGACATCCTGATAAAACAGTACATCGCGCCAGACCCTTTGAAATCCAGAGGCTGAAGCCCCCAACTTCTTAATCCAAGCTTTCCAGCCCTAAACTAAACCTGGACCCGAAAGACCTAGACCGTTTGGGCTTCGAGGCTCTGGGCTTCGGGTTACGGCTTAGGGCGCTGTGTGTTTTAGGCTGACTTACAACTCTGAACCTTGAGCTGCAAACCGTATACACCTCAAACCCTAAAGTAGCTGTTAGGGCTTGGGCATTTTGTTTGTGCAGCCTTTCTCTAAACCCTAACGCCTGCATGAACCCTAAACCCCTTAAACAAAACAGGAAAGTTCTGACTTCCCGATCAGGACTGGACTCCCTGGAGTTGGTCCAGCTAAGGCATGGGTTTTGGGTGCAGGGTCTACGGGTTTAGGGTCTACCTGGACCCTGAGTAACTTTCCTTTTAATGGTTTGTATAAGGAAACCATAGCAAGGAGCGAATATTGACAAATCATCGAGGTGCTGGCTGGTAGGGAGTTTGCTGTGATTGTCTCGGTGCTGGCATTGTTGTGATTGTGATTGTTATTATTGTGGTGTTGTGGTTGCGGTTGTCGGCCGTCGTCGTCGTCGTCGTGGTCGTCTTTGTCGTGGTCGTGCTCGTGGCCGCTGTGGTCGGGCTGGTGGTGATGCTGGTGGCGGCGGCGGCGGTGGTGGCGGTTGTCGTTGTTGGGGTTGTCGTCGTTGTGGTGGTGCTGTTATGTTCTTGAGCAAACCTTATTAATCCTCAAACCCTAAACCCAAACCCCTAAACCCCTAAACCCTATACCCTAAGTCTTAACTAAAGCCCAATCCACAAGCCGGAGTGGCTGAAAGAGCACTGCAGAGTGTTCTAAGTGCGAAGCTAAGCATTTTCTCCAAGACCCCCGATGAATGAACCCCGAGCTCTAAACCCCACATGGACCGTCAAGAACCTACCTTTTTAGGGTCCCCTGTAATGGTTTCCGTACACGAGTCCTAAGAAAAGATAGGTCTTTGGGGGGGTTAAGGCATACCCTAAGCCCTAAGTCCCATAGTTAGACGTATGTACAACATTCGCAGGCTGAACGCCTTGGAGTTTCAGTCTAGGGGTATAGGGTTTAGGAGGTGTCAATAATGGGGATTAAGAGTTCGGACTTGTGGGTCTATCTCAGCCTGTGACCTGTGGGGCGTCTTGGCCAGGAATCTTTTCAATAAGAAGTACAATGTCAATGTACCGCTCGGTATCATCGCCGACCCGAGTCAGAAGCCAGAGACCCGGATGTTGAGTTTCGGCTGAGGTTTCCATGTTGTTCATCCCTAAACCCTAAACCCTAAACCCCGCAGCCCTCAATTCTTAACTTTGTCCTAGCTGGGTAACATTTTACACGGGTATGGGTACTTAAACCCAATCAGGAATAAATATGTTGATTTTAGATCTCTCCCAACAATGAACTAGTTAACGGGTTTTCGTGTTTCTGTTGGATACCCATAGGCCCCAAACTAGTTCCGTTTTGGGATTACCTTATAGGATTCTATATATGAACCCCCAAAAAGGAACTACTATGGAGCCTCTGGGTAGGCTCACCTATAGTCTCCATTGTAGTTCCTTTTTTTGGTTACCCAAAAACTCTATTATAGGATCCTAACCATAAAAGACTATAGGCAAAGTCACGAATGGCTCGGACTTGAAGTTCCTTACAGAGCGCACAGGGACATCGGAAGGAGCTGTCCCGGACTTGGGGATGGGATGTAGAGAACCGTAATATGGGGGCCTAAATAATTACCTATACTATTTTTTTGGGGGGGGTTCCTTACTATAGTTATAGTATAATGGGCCCAAAAACCCTCTTCTAATTAGGAAATATAGGGGCCTTAATAATTAGAATAGGGTTTTTTTGGGGGGCCCATTATACTCTAATTGTAATAAGGAGCCCCCCAAAATAGTACAGGCGTTTATTTAGGCCCCTATATTAGAGAACCGTGGGCGTCACAGGACCTTCCTGGACCCTAAGTAACCTACAGATTTAGGGTTCCTTATTACGATTTCCTTATATGCCGAATTGAAAAGGTAGGTTATTTGGGGTTAAGGTAGTAGTTTAGTTAGCTATCTGGGACTACGAATAAATACTGTAATTACTACACAAGATTTGCGGCAACTGCAGACGTCAAGAAGAGCATTGCTGCGACGCTGAAAGAGAAGTGTAAAAAGATGGTCGCCAAGGCGACGGAGAGTGTTTACGGCTCTCTCAGGCAAAGCATTTCTTTCGAGCCCTTCAGTGCTTACAACATTTTCTCGAAGGGCATGACTGTCACCTCGCCTGATGAGGTTGAAATGTTTTCTCGCCTGAGACCTCCCGCCCCGGGAACGGGGACGGAGGCGAAACGACGAGGATTCGCCGGCTCGCACACTTCTGACTGTCGGGCCGCATACATCTTCCCTCCGTTCGACGACCGCGTCCGTGGAGAATACAACTTCCGGAGGAGCATCTACCTTGAGCTTGCTTCCTAAACCCTAAATCCTTAACCCTAAACCCTAAACCCTAAACCTGTTACTTCTGCTTCCTTGAAGCCTGACCTTAAGGTCAGGAGGCACGAGCTCAACCCAACGGCCTGAACACCTGCACCGTAAACCCTACACCTTACCTTCTGAACCCTTAAGGGTTTAGGGTTTAGGGCTTAGGTAGGGTGTTAAGGTCTAGGGGTGTAGGGGTTTGGGGTTTAATGGTTTAGGGTTCAGCTCAATTCCAGACCCTACGCGAGCAGAGAGGCTACTGCCCCTTTGCGTCGACTGTGGCTGCTTTTGGTTTCGTTTCCACTTTTATGAAGCCCTAAGGCTCCATGTACCCATATAGCATATACTTAGGCCTTAAAGTACCTATATAGGGACCCCTTTAAGGCTCAAGTATCTACCAAAGAGGTACATGGAGCCTTTGGGAAGGGCGGTTTGTCAAACTCTAGGTCACGGGTCTGCACCGCGCGGCCTGATTACTACGGTTGATGATATAAATCCTGCATTACCCATAAGAAGGAATATACCATAATTCCTATAGTTTAGGGTCCTTAAGGTCATGCAGGATTTATATCATCAACCGTAGGATAGTCTCGACAAGGGCCATAAGCTACTTGTAGCTGTCGGATGAACTAGAAGGTATGGGTATGAGTAACTGGTTAGATCCACTTCGCTTGGGGTTTATGAGTGTTTGGCAGACGTGTTTCTATGAGGCTTTGATGCTAATATTAGCAGGCTGAATAAGTAGTAGCAGCTCCAGTTCTATTTGCGACATACCTGTATGATTTGCAAGACACGACATAACTGTATGATCTATAATGTATGCCGAGTCAGGGCTTAGGTTAGGCTTCTAGGGTTCCGGTGTTGGGGTGCAGCGAGAACTTCAGCGTTCCAGAAATTGAATACGAGGCAGGCGCCGTTTCATTCAGGTCACAACCGATTTGGAAAATACCCTGCTTTGCTTTGTTGCCCACTTGCAAGTTCGTAGGAGGCCCTATGTATAGCGTGGTATTCTCAGCATGAGTCGACCCATAACTCATGACCCTGAACCTGAACCCAAATAGCCTTGAACGCCTCTAAAGTAGGGAATAGGGGAATGAGTTATCGAGACTACTATAACAGGGACCACACACTATATCATAGGGATCCGCTCACCAGTCACTACTAAGAACCGGAGAGTAAATTTGGGGTTTAGGGGTCCCTGGACGTGCAATCTCTAAGCAACGTCTAGATTTTAGACCCTGACCTACACCGGGCGTCACCCCGAAGCACTGCCTAACTCCTAACCCCGAGCAGGTTTCGGGTTTGGGCTTTGGTCTAAGGTTAAGAAGTATGCGGCCCTAATATGGACCCTTAGGCCTCTTTGGGGGAGTTCCAGGGACCCTTAAGGCCTTACGAGTCTGTATAGGGTATATAGCAGGTATTTAGCGATCCCACGGTTAAGGGCCCACTAGGGGCGCATGGTTTCAACCGTTGATTTGGGTTTAGGATTTGGGAGTTTCCGAAAATAGGGGACCGTAATATAGTGCCCTAAATAGCAGGATCCTTATTATAAGGACTCCACAATAAGGTGCCCCCGATTTTGGGAAACTCCCATTTGGGGCTGGGTGACCTCAAATTAGGATGTCCTTAAGGGGGGGTGGTCCAAGGGGGGTAGGTAACCTAGTAATCCCCATTATTCCCCAATACTCCCTAAGCTTCCCTAAGGTTCCCCAAAGCTCCCTAGTACCCTCCCCCCTTGAACCACCCCCCCTTAAGGATCCTATAATCAATAATCAACGTGTTCTTCGAGCTGAGAGCCCCTACTACTCCGGCAATCGACCAGCGGTTTAGGGTTTAGGGTTTAGGGGTTTAGGGGTTTAGGGTTTAGGGTTTAGGGGTTTAGGGTTTAGGGTTTAGGGTATAGGGTTTAGGGTATAGGGTTTAGGGTTTAGGGGTTTAGGGTTTAGGGTCTAATAGCCCTCATCAATCCTAATAATATAGGGGCCTAAATGTTTACCAGTACTATTTTGGGGGTTCCTTCTTATAAGTATAGTCTAATGGGCCCCAAAACCCTCTTCTGATCATTGAGGCCCCTACAATACCTCGGAAAGCCATGAGTCTAACAAAGAAATGCTTAGGGTTTGGGATTTGGCGCAACATAATCCCACAGCCCGAAACATGCCAATGAGTGATTGCCAAACGCCCAGTGCCCTTACAGAAATCCCAAGTCCTGAAAGTCCGCAAGAAACATTCCATCTGAAACCCCCGCGAAGCCCGTAACCCCCAAACCCAAAACCCTTGAGCCTAGGCTTGGCGAATTGGCCAGTGCTTTGCTCAAGTTTGTGCGGGGCTCAGCAGTTGTTGTGTAGATTTTTGTGTGTCGTGTCTAGGGTTGAGTGTGCGAGGGTTCTGACAAGGATTACAGTTTGGCGGTGTAGCGTCTAGGCTTTGGGGTTTAGGTTGGTCCCAGCCAGCTGTTTAAGACTGGCAGGTTTAGCATGCACAGCTTAGCTGCAGACTGCAGATTAAATCGGCGCATCTTCGAATTACTGAAAGAAGCCCTTAAACCCTAAACCCCACTATAGGGGCCTTAATAACTACCTATACTATTTTGGGGGCTTCCTTATTAGAATTATAGTATAATGGGCTCCAAAGCCCTATTCTAGGTATTAAGGCCCCTATATTACCTGCCACCCGGATGCTTCTCGGGGTCGTGGCAAGCAGGAGGTTCGCCTGCGCCAGGGGTCGTTCTCATTTTGAGAGACTAGCGATGGAGTTGTATTGCAATATCTCATCTTAATGCCGTCTCTAAAAACTTGGGGTTTAGGGGATGTATAAGGTTTTGGGTGAGCGGGAACATTCAACAGACCTGAAGATTCGAAGTCAATCCAACACAGCGTAGGTGGTGCTTGCGCCTAGGTGGGAGTCTAAGAAATGGTGTTCACAAAATGGTGTTCACTTGCTAACAGGTTTACTTCAAGATACCATAGTCAAGAAGCCCTAAAATCTTCTATAGATCCCTATGATGGTAACTTGCATTAAACCCCTTTCCTTCCGAGGACCTCATAGTTAGGGCCCTAGACCCCTTAAGGACCCATAACAACGTCCCTGGAGGCATAGGGTAAATCCCTGATCAGGAACCCCGTTTGACTTCAAACAGCAGGATCCTTGGCCTGTGGACCTCCCCCGCCGAAACCCTAAATCCTACGACCCAAACCAAACCCGGCTTCCTAAATTAGTAAACCCTGACTAAGCCCAACCCTAAACCTCAATTACCGAACCCCGACAGAGCCCAACCCTGAACCCCAAGCCTCTAGGCCCTAGAGCCTAGATGCCTAAACGCCGCACAGCAAGAAACTTTCATGGGCACCGGGCTCGTAGGCTTCAGCTCCTCATGTTTCCATTTCAAAGCAGCCATGCAGGTAGAACAAACTGATTACAAAAGAGATCGGGGTAGGGTTCAGAGTCTTCGGGTTTAGGGAGTTAGGGTTGAAGGCTTTAGGGTCGGAGGGTTCGGTCACTCGTCATCGTCCTGGTGCACGAGTTATGTACCTTTGAGTACAGGTCTTTCAAAACCTGACTGTAGACTCACACAAGCCCACGCCGTCAAAGCTCGCAGCACCGCCCAAATCTAGATCTCAAATCTCAGGAGCCTTAACTACCCTCAGTGCGATGAGGAACACCAACTTTACTGCGAAGACACCACCGCCTCGCGAGAAACCTGACAAACCAAGCCAAAGACACCCCAAAGCCGGAAGCCATACAACACACACACACACACACAGAAACAAAATCAAAAACACAGCCAGAGAGACACGCAAAAAAAACGCAAATCCTCTGGGCCCTGCAGCCGCGAAGCCCTGCCCTGTAGCTCGACAGACCCCCAAGCTCGTACCACGCGAGGTCGCATGAAGCTGTTTTGCGGCCTGCTAATTAGCATCATTGGCCCATGTGCCGTTTGCCCAGATCTGGCCACTGAATGTTAAGATTTTGCTTGAAGCATAGGTTGCAAGTGGGGAGTTCATACCGGATATAGATGTAGAGCCATTTGGGAGTCCAGCTCGTGGGGTTTACGATTTAGGCTCGATGGTTTAGTGCTTCTTAGCGTGGTGCACCCTAAGAAAACCTGCTGAGAGCCCCTTTCGTACCTGCATAACACTTGTCTCAGAAACCACCCCTAAACCTAAACCCTAAACCCTAAAGCGAAACCCCTAAACCTAAACCCTAAACCCTAAACCGAAACCCCTAAACCTAAACCGAAAAAGCCGTTGCCACCCAGACCCTCAACTCTAAAGCCCCTGAAAGCTTTGGCGGGTGCAGCCCTCAGTGGGCTGATCCAACTCTAATCGATTTCTTCTTCGTCGGGACACTGGAGGTCGACGGGCATTGCCCTTTCTGGTTCCGGGTCTAAAGTTCAGGGTTTAGTGTTTTTGGGGTTAGGGTTTAGGATCCCCAATCACAAGCCCTGCCCTCGCCTTTTACACAAAGAGCTCAACCCGCGATGTTTGAGAATCTCGGATTTGAGGATTTAGCTTTTGCTGCATCTGCGCAAGCTTTCGGTCTAAGTGTTTCGGGCTGAATCTTAGTTTTTCCAGGTCACTGTCCCAAGATTTCATGATGCTTTCGTGTGTAGGTTTAAGGGTGTAAGGTTTGGGTTATGTCTTAAGGTTCATGGTTGCGCCGTACAGGTTTCTACGGTTTGAGGGCATAGGGGAATACCCTAAGGGCCCTGACACTTCGGGGAACCTCAAAATGTAGGATTTCTGAGACCCCAAAGCAGACGCAAGGCCTCTCCCTCGGAGATTCCGGACCCTGCTAGGGAGATACCTGCACCCTTAGAGGGTACCCAGTAACCCACTGCATAGGTATCTCGACTCTTGCGGGCAGACTCTCTGTTAACAGGGTTGTACATCAGGCAACCATAGACTACCTGTACCCCGAATAACCTGCCTGTTTTAGATAGGGGAATCATTGTAAAGAGCCTTAGCTAACAATGTTTTTAGGGCCCAGGTATAGAATATCGATGGCCACAGCCCCCAGGTGAGGCGCGGTTAGAGCTTAAGGTTCAGGGCTCGGGCAGCCTGCTTCGGAGACCACCAGATGCTTGCCTAGTGCTTGCTACTGGAGCGGAGACAGGCCCCACCAACACAAGTAAAGCAAAGTTGTACCGTAGTATACTATCGGATATTCGGGTATAGTAACTATAGGAGATAATCGGGAACTAGGATATCACGGTATATTAGTTTTAGTACACTATAATGTAGGGGGTCTGAAGAATTTGATCCATGAGAGGGCTTCTTGAAGGGTTGTACTGGACTCACTCTTCAAGTCGGCGAATGCAGCCATGTGGCCTGAGGTTTCGAATGCGAGGCAAGATCTCTGATTGCTTTCTTTACTTTTGTTCACAGAGACTATTCGACTCGTGGTTGCGCTTTAGTGAACCCCAGAAAGTTGGAACATTGATTGTAGGACAGTTCATTCTGGGAATCCCTTTACTTTACTGTACTTTAAGGAAATGAGGCTAATGATGTTCCACCTTTCTGGCTTCTACTGTACTTCTTGAAGGTGGTGAGTTAGACCAGGCCTCCCAAACGAACCCCGAAACACTCCCAAACCCGAAAGCCGACAGGTATCGCACCCTGTAAGACCCTAACGCGTTGTGTTCATAGATACTTCAAGGACCCAGGGCTCAACAAATAGGTGGTACTCTGGGTGATAACCTGGCTCATTGTTCCTTGTTTGTGTTTACCCGAGTGTTTACTCCACTCCTACTGCCTCTTTCTAAGGCCCTTTGAGCTTCTAAGTGGACCTTAAACCTTAAACCCATGAGTTTCTAAGTGGATAAAGGCCAAACCCGACCATTCCATGCCTGTCTCCGGAGCTGCATGCTTTGGCCTCTGTGCTTGATCTTCCAGCAGCTTCCGGGAACGTGCTGCGATTCTCGAAATCCCGCTTCGCAGTGTAGGGTTAAGGGATGGTTAGCGCTTTCCTAAACCCGCAACCCAAAGCCCTAAACCCTGATACCTACACCCTAAAGCGTAAGTTAGGGTGTAGAGTTTGGACATTGAGGCAATCATTGCGGCGTCGAGCGTAAGGGTTTCAGGGGCTGCACGTTTCTGGGCACCGGAATTTGGGAAGTTCTCTAAAATCAGGGTCACAAAATAGCACGGCACTCTTATGAAAAGGATCCTGAAGGGGACCCTAATTTAGACAACTACCCGCCTGCAAACCATGAGTAGTATCCATGTTAAGGTATTTATAAGTCGACGTACTTTTGCCTACTTACTAAGTCCCTCGACACTTCAAATATAAACCCAAGTCATGAACAGACACGATAAGCCCAAAGCCCGTAAGCAGATAGACCCGCACAACCGAGATTTCCAAACCCACCACCCCGAACACTAGACTAAAACCCTATGCCACACTTCAAAGACTCGGGTTAAGGTTAATGGGGATCTAGCAGCAGGGGTGTCGCTTGGTGGGAGTGTCGGTCTCTGCACACCTAGGGTTTATAAGGGTGCAGGCTTTAGGGTTCAGGGACCCTTCGAACCCACGTCGCTAAACCCAAAGCAAGCCTATAACAAGAATTCTCGGTAATTATACCCTCAACCCTCAACCCTATTAAGGACTCAGGGTTCTTGCGCAACTACAACACGAAAATCCTCACATCGGGTCTATCCTGAGATCCTTTGTTCGCTGAGCTCTGACATTGCTTAGGGCACCCTGGCCCACCGGAGCGTGGTTTACAGTTTAGGGGTTTAGGGCATCGTTTTTTGGGTATATTGAGGCCTTATCAGAATATTATCTTGGGGTATGATACCATACAGCAATTTATCATCGCCAGCAGGTTGCAGGGGTGCTTTCTCCATTTTAAAGTGAAGTTAAGGCCTCTAGACTCTATGCTATGTTGTACCTTAAGCCCTTGACTACGTTTTGAGAGACGGACTCCAATCGAGCGGATCAGATCGCCCACCTTCCTGCCGACAAGCCCTAGCAAGCTGAGGCAGAGGGCCTGCAAGAACTTTGGGCTTCAGGATGTAGGGATTGAAGCCTTCAGCTTTTTTTGGTAGGTCCTCCAGGGTGTTATGATTAGATTTCCCGGGGTAGGGCTGCTGAGTTTACTTCCACATTTAGTGTTTTGAGAGTTTGTGGTTGTCATCGGTGGATTAGAAGGTCCTTAGGGGTACTTAGAAATATATTTTTAATTTTTGGTTATTATAGTCCCTACGAAACAGATAAAATCTAGTTTTTGCTAGGGTTCTAAGTTCAGTATAGGGTCGGGCCCATTTTTCTACCAGCTGCTTGCGGTGGAGGAGCGGAGCTTGTGGGTTCCTTTGCAGAGGGTCCGGTAAGGGTTGCTTTTACTCCGGTTCAAAGATTCAGGCGCCTTAATACTTGAAATAGGGTTTTAAGGCCTACCTACTGGCGTAGATGTAATAAAGGGGCCTAAAATACTTACCACATACCGTTTTGGGGGGCTCCTTATTATAATTATGGTATAATGGGCCCCAAAACCCTCCCTAAACCCTAAACCTTAAACCCTAAACCCTAAACCCTATACCCTAAACCCTAAACCCTAAACCCTAAACCCTATATTAGAAGGTGAACCCGGACAAGCTCCAAAAGGCCTAGCAGAGTTGGGGAGGCGACGGTCTGAGATTCAGGGCTCCGTTTTCTTGACTCCAGTGATTTTGCGGTTCCAGATTTGCGGCGCAATCAGGGTTCCTGAATATTTACAAGCAAGTCTGAGGGCGGTAAACTGTATCGGATTATGTGGAGACTATAACGGTATACTATGTCTGGTTCCTCAGACCAAACCTTATAAACCTTAGAGGAAGTGTGAGGTGTTTACGGTCTATTAACCCTAAACCCTAAACCCTCTATTGCCTGGAGTTGTGGCAACATGCGGGCACTCTGCCATCGACGACTTCTGGGAATCCGGACGCATGCCAAATTCCAATGTTGCGCAAAACCTAGAACCCTGGACCCTGAGCATAAAGAACGTAGCCCGAAACCTGACCTATAGTCTCCATTGTAGTTCCTGTTATTGGCCCAAAAACTATATTATAGGACCCTAACCATAAATTTCGTTAGCCAAAAAAAAGAACTACATTGGAGACTATATGTAGAGCCCTAATCCTTTAACCTTCCGCCATCCTGAAACCTGTAACTGAAGAAGTGCGCAAGCTCATAAACATTAGGGCCCTGACACCTGCCTACATTATCCCACCCCATACCCTAAGCCCCTAACCCGGTTTAGGGACTACAATAGAACCCGAAACTCTGTTCTATTCCTGAAGCCCTCTCTCCCATGGAAATGCATCATCAACGCCCCAAACCCTGAGGCTCTGCTCACAAGCGGAATCAACCGCTAAACATATTTGGGCTAACATATTTTTCCCCTATATGTTTGGGGGGAAAAACATTTTTCCTCAATATGTTAGATGCCAGCTGGGGTTTATAGGGGTTTAGGCTGCAACTATGGTGCTTTAGGGCTAAACCCTAAACCCTAACGGGCCGCGTTGAATCTAGATGGGAGGCTTGCCGAGGGGCGGGACGTGAATTTTTTGGAGCCGTAGATCGTTCATGGAGCGGTTCTTGGGTTCAGGTTCAGCATTCAAGTTTGAGCAGTTTTGGTTTCAGGGTTTACGTAGGACGAAGCCGCTAAGCTTGAAGTCCTAATTCCAAAGCCAACAAATCGAGAACGGAGCCTAAAGCCCAAACCCCCCTCATTTTGTACAAGAAGCCTACAGCATTACCGAAGCTTTTTTTGAACCGCTCGCCTGTACAGTGGAAACGGCTGCAGTTTCGGAATCCACTTCGACTCTCCGCCGCCCGCTTGGGGTGCAGAGGACTAATAATCGTTGACCATGAGATCACCCGGTCTCTATTTGTTGGGGTATGTCGCGGCG